CGGAGGGGGTGTGTGCGGGGGGCCGCGGGCGGCGGCTGTCAGAGTCGGCTCAGCCTGCGCCGGCGAACGTCGCCGCCTCCAGCTCCCGGCGCGGCCCGGCCGCCTCAGGTGAGCCCCCGCCCCGGCCAGCGGCCTGCCGCGCGCCCCTGCGGGGAGGGAGGGGGTCCGTGCGCCCCACGCGGGACCGACCCCCACACACACACACACCCGGGACGCCCCCCGCCGCCGCGCCTTCACCTCCCCCCCCCCCGCGCCTCCTTCGCCGGCGCTCACTCACCCGCGGCCCGCGGGCCAGCCGCCGCCTCTCCGCTGCAAAGCCTGCAGAGACCCCCTCGCCACCGCCGCTCGCCCCCCCACCACCCAGCCTGGAGCCACTGGAAGATGCCCCTTGTTTGGGGGGGCAGAACCCGAGCTGCGCAGGTTCCTGGCGTCCGGCTAGGGAAGCCCCCAACCACCCCAACGCCGGACCCCGACGCCGGCGCCCCAGCGCAGCTCGCGGCCGAGCCCCCTCCCCTCGGAGAGGCCCAGGACCTCCTGCAGCGGAGACTCCGGAGCTATTTTGGGGAAGGGGCGGCTCAGCGGAAGCCCCGAGTTATAATTAGCCGCACTCGGGTTTCCGAGTTAATCTCCAGCGGCCGCGACGGCCACGCAGCGCAAGGGCTGGGTGAGGGGTGACCGCCGGGAAAGGGGGGAGTTCCGACCCAGGGAATTTTGATCCCTTGGCTGGAGGCGCCGGAACCGCAGCAGCTGCTGCCCCTAAAATAGCGCCCCCGCCCTTCCAGCCGGGGATCTCCGGAGCTGCGGGAGCGCTGGCGTCCCCACTCGCCCTTCATGCCCCTCCGCCCTGCCCGCCAGCCCCCAGACCCCCCACCCCAAAGTCGCCGGCTCCCGGGTGGGGAGCACCGTCCTTGACTGCGTCTCCACTGACCCCCGCTGGCGGCGGCGCGCACTGCAGCCGGACACGCTGACGGCTTGAGTCTTTGGGGGGCCAGGGCATGCGCGCTGGGGGGCTGGGGCCGGGGTGAGGGGGTGCGTGTGCCGAGCCAGACGATGGAGCGGTTGACGCAGGGTGGACAGGATGTGAAGTAGACAGGATTTGAGAGAGCACTGGAGCTTGGGGCTCCCTGAACGCCAAGCCCACCTACCCTCGGGCACCCCTCACCACCCCTCGGTCTTGACCAACCCTTGGAGAGGCTTCCCCCCCCCCCCAGGGCGCCGCCCGTTCGTGAGGGACCCGCCTCTGTCCTGTGCCCTGATGTCCGCACTGCACGCACTGGGCCCTGCGGGGAAGCCTGCGTTTGCGGGGAGGGTGTGCGCCCGACCTCTGCCCCTTCCTCCCTCCAGTCAGCTTCCCCGGCTCCGTTTCTCTCCTCCTCTGGCCGACCAGGGCCCCACCTCCTCTGTGACTAGGCGATAACGCCGGGGCGAGAAGGTTGCCTAATCTGCAGCCTGCGGACTGCTCCAGGGTGGGGAGAGGGACCTTCACCCCTTCCTTGCCTTTCTTTCTCCCAGCAGACGCCGCCGCGGCCTGCCCTGGCAGCCATGAGGCCCCCCTGGTGTCCCCCGCACACGCCCTCCCTCGCCTCCCCACTGCTGCTTGTCCTCCTGGCGCTGCTGGGAAGAGGGACAGAAGCTGAGGGCCGGGAGGACCCAGAGCTACTGGTGACGGTGCGCGGGGGCCGGCTGCGGGGTATCCGCCTGAAAGCCCCCGGAGGCCCGGTCTCTGCTTTCCTGGGCATCCCTTTCGGGGAGCCTCCGGTGGGCCCCCGGCGCTTCCTGCCCCCGGAGCCCAAGAGGCCCTGGTCGGGAGTGCTGGACGCCACATCCTTCCAGAGTGTCTGCTATCAGTATGTGGATACCCTGTACCCTGGCTTTGAGGGCACCGAGATGTGGAACCCCAACCGCGAGCTGAGCGAGGACTGTCTCTACCTCAACGTGTGGACGCCCTACCCCCGGCCTACAGCCCCCGCCCCAGTCCTGGTCTGGATCTACGGAGGTGGCTTCTACAGTGGTGCTTCCTCACTGGACGTGTACGACGGCCGCTTCTTGGCCCGGGCAGAGGGCACCGTGCTGGTGTCCATGAACTATCGGGTGGGCGCCTTTGGCTTCCTGGCCCTGCCGGGCAGCCGGGAGGCCCCGGGCAACGTGGGCCTGCTGGACCAGAGGCTGGCACTGCAGTGGGTGCAGGAGAATATAGCAGCCTTCGGTGGGGACCCCGGGTTGGTGACGCTGTTTGGGGAGAGTGCAGGTGCGGCCTCCGTGGGCCTGCACCTGCTGTCCCCACCCAGCCGGGGCCTGTTCCACCGGGCAGTGCTGCAGAGTGGTGCTCCCAATGGGCCCTGGGCCACGGTGGGTGTAGGCGAGGCCCGCCGCAGGGCCACGCTTCTGGCCCGGCTGGTGGGCTGCCCCCCGGGTGGCACCGGTGGCAATGACACAGAGTTGGTGGCCTGCCTACGGACACGGCCAGCCCAGGACCTGGTGGATCACGAGTGGCATGTATTGCCGCAAGAGAGCATCTTCCGTTTCTCTTTTGTGCCCGTGGTGGATGGGGACTTCCTCACCGACACTCCGGAGGCCCTCATCAACGCTGGAGACTTCCAGGGCCTACAGGTGACTGGAGTGGCTGGTGTGGGGAGGGGAAAGGCAGGGGGCAGGGGGAGACATTCTTCCTCCAGGACACACCCTTCCCCTCCCTCAGGGACTCAGGCATGCAGGCTCCTCCAGACCCACTCCTGGGGGGAGGGCCGGGAGGGCAGGGCCTATGGGTGAGTTTCCTCTTGTCTCCAGCCCTGCCCCACCTCACATTCTGGCTTCAAGGTTCTGATTCTATAACCGTTCACTTCTCTCGTCTCTGGCTGTCTGCCCCTCTGTGCCCGTCTGCCCATCTGTCTGCCCCATCCCTCCCTCCTTCCCCTCCCCTCCCTTCCTCCCCACCAGGTGCTGGTGGGTGTGGTGAAGGATGAGGGCACCTATTTTCTGGTTTACGGGGCCCCAGGCTTCAGCAAAGACAACGAGTCTCTCATCAGCCGGGCCCAATTCCTGGCTGGGGTGCGGGTCGGGGTTCCCCAAGCCAGCGACCTGGCGGCCGAGGCTGTGGTCCTGCATTACACAGACTGGCTGCACCCCGAGGACCCGGCACGGCTGAGGGATGCCCTGAGTGACGTGGTGGGCGACCACAACGTAGTGTGCCCCGTGGCCCAGCTGGCTGGGCGCCTGGCCGCCCAGGGTGCCCGGGTGTATGCCTACGTCTTCGAGCATCGTGCCTCCACGCTCTCCTGGCCCCTCTGGATGGGCGTGCCCCATGGCTACGAGATCGAATTCATCTTCGGGCTCCCTCTGGAACCCTCGCTCAACTACACGGCCGAGGAGAGGACCTTTGCCCAGCGGCTGATGAGATACTGGGCCAACTTCGCCCGCACCGGGTTGGCACTGATGGCTGGGTGGGAGGCAGGGGGCTCAGGATAGAGGCAAGACAGGAACTTGGTGGGAGTGGGGGAGAAATAGGCACAGAAAGGAGACAGTGATGTGAGGAGGGGTGTGCAGATCACAGGATGCATGGAGTCTGTGAATGGGGCCTTCCTAGCTGGGCCCCCTGTACACCTCTCACTTGTCCAGCATCAGGCAGCTGTTGCCCAAAGTGGTTTTGCAGACAAGATTGGCCCTGGTCACGTAGGGTTTATCAATGGCACAAAGCTGTATGGGAGAAGCTAAGATGTATCCAGACGCCTGAGGGCGAGAGGAGGGATTCCCAGATGCTGGGAACACGGGAAAGGGCGGAGAGAAGGAGGTGCCCGCTGCTGTCCTCTGCCCATCCTCACCCCTGTGGCGGGGTGTGGCGGGGAGAGGCAGGCCTGCGGAGATGGGGATACTGAGCCTTCCCTCTCCCTTCCGCTTGCAGGGATCCTAATGACCCCCGCGACCTCAAGGCCCCGCAGTGGCCCCCGTACACCGCAGGGGCGCAGCAGTACGTGAGCCTGAACCTGCGGCCTCCAGAGGTGCGGAGGGGACTGCGTGCCCAGGCCTGCGCCTTCTGGAATCGCTTCCTCCCCAAACTGCTCAGCGCCACCGGTACGCGGGGGGCCATCGGCCCATGGCTGGGAGGAGAAGGGACGAAGAGCGAGGGGGCTGGGAGCCGCCGGCTGTAACCCCTGTCTTCTCCCCCATCCCACCAGCCACGGAGGCCCCCTGCACCTGCTCGGGCCCCGCCCACGGGGAGGCCGCCCCGAGGCCTGTGCCTAGCCTCCCCCTGCCCCTCTTCTTCCTGGTCTTCCTCCTCCTCTCCCAGCTCCTCGGGCTGTGACCAGTCTCTCTTGGGCTACACTCATCTCAGGGACCCCCTCCTCTATCGAGGACATCCCCTCCCTGCTTCCCTCCCCCTCAGACAGGACTTGGCGGGAGTGGCCGGGGACGAGGTGGGCTCCCACCCATCTCAGGAACCCACATCCCTTTATTGTTGAAATGGGAAAGCCGACGTTCCTGGCAGGCCGGTACTAGGGGACCAGGGCCCTCACAGTGCTCCCCAGGGGGCTATAACCGTCAATCATTTCTGTCTCTTCTCTCCTCCTCCTCCCTTCTGGTCCCCTGTGGCCCCCCCCGCCTCTGCCTCCTGCCTGCCTGCCGCCTCTCCTCCTTCCCGTTCCCATGCGCGCCCCCGTGGGGCGCCCCGAACACAGACACGCTGGACGAGGCGGAGCGCCAGTGGAAGGCCGAGTTCCACCGCTGGAGCTCCTACATGATGCACTGGAAGAACCAGTTCGACCATTACAGCAAGCAGGACCGCTGCTCCGACCTGTGAGCGGCGCGCTCGCCGCCCAACGCGCCTGTACATACTGTTATTTATTGACGGGCTGGGCTCCAACACGCGCGCTCAGCCCCTGCGCCCCCGCCTCCCCCGGGGCTCCCCCGTCCTCTGCATGTCTCGGGTCGAGCTCCCACCCCCGCGGTGCCTTCGCCCCTCCCGGGCTGCCAATAAACTGTTCACAGCCACAAGGGCGTGCGCGATGCAGGGCGGGGAAGGCGCCGGAACACGCCCCCCCCCGTGGGGCGGCAGGAAGGACTCGCGCCTGCGTAGTGCGGCCCGGCGCGAGGCCTTGTGGGAGCTCCGAGGCCGGCCCTTTCCGGCGGCCCGCACCGCGTGGACGGTCCTCGCGGGTCCGGCGAGCGCGTCCCGAGCAGCTCGGAGCCCCGACCTTCCCGTGGAGTTCCTGCCGCCGCCGGCGCCCTGGAGCCGCTGCGGGACGTGCACCTGGGCCTGGCCCCGCCGCGCGGCGACCGCGCCAGCCTGGCCGTCCTCTCGGGCCACTACCTCTACTACCACTACGGCTGCGACGGGCTGGACGACCGGGGCTGGGGCTGCGGCTACCGCACGCTGCAGACGCTGTGCTCGTGGCCGGAGGGCCAGGCCGCGCGCGTGCCCGGGCTGCTGGCCGTGCAGGCGGCCCTGGAGGACATGGGCGACAAGCCACGCGGGTTCCGGGGCTCGCGGGACTGGATTGGCTGCGTGGAGGCCAGCCTCTGCCTCGAGCACTTCGGCGGGCCGCGCGCGCGCCTCTGCCACGTGCCCCGCGGAGCCGGCCTCGCCGGGCAGCTGGAGACGCTGCACTCGCACTTCACGGGAGGAGGGGGGCCCGTCATGGTCGGGGGCGACGCCGACGCCCAGTCCAAGGCCCTGCTGGGCGTGTGCCTGGGGCCCGGCTCTGCTGCCCATGTCCTCGTACTGGACCCTCACTGCTGGGGCGCCCCGAAGAACCCCAGCGAACTCCAGGATGCCGGGTGGGTGAGCTGGCGGGAAGTGGGCACGGCCTTTGACCCAAGGTCCTTCTACAACCTGTGCCTCACCAGCCGTCGTGCCTCGGACTGAGGGGAGGGGAAAAGGCCACTATCGCTGAGAATAAAGCACCTGCCCAGTGCACCCTGCCCCGCGGGGGTGTGGGAGGCAGCAGCCACCGTGGAAGTGCTTTATTGGTAGTTGGGCTGAATGTAAAAACGGGCTTGAGGCGTGGGGGCTGTGAGCATGGCAGCAGGGGAGTGAGAGCGTAAGTTCAGAAGAAGTCCACGTCGTCAGGGGCATCCAGGTCCCGGTACTCCACGATGGCCCGGGGGTCTCCTCGCACCATCCTGCGAAACACGGGGTGGACCAAGATGAAGTCAGGGGCCCAAGGGGTGCAGAGGCAAAGCGGCCACAGCAGCCGGCACATCTGGGCTCACCTGTTGCGAGGTTTTCCAGGATAACCTCCCTGGCCTCGGAAGGCATCATAGTTCCCTCGGCCAGCACCGTAAGGGGCGTGGGGGTATGGAGGGCCCCCTGTGGGAACTGCAGGGCGGACAGCACCAGCTGCGAAACACGAGAGCAGAGTGTTTTAACACCCAGTCCTTGCGGTACATCACAGCCTTCTCCCCCACACACACCATGCTTACCGCCGTAGCCCAGGATGGGGGGCCGGGGCTGCCCGTAGGGCATCAGGCCCTGTGGGGTCTGGTGTGGGTAGGGCAGTCCCGGAGTCAGGCCTGGGGGGAGTACAACACAGGGACAGGCACGTGAATTACTGCGGGGGGAGGGGCAGGTTACAGAAGGGACTCCTGAACAGCTAGGGCAGACCCTCACGGATCGTATCTTACTCTGGGCTGGGCCAGGTGGCTGGGCAGGCTTGATCTCAGGCAGAGCAGGGCGCTTGGCATCAGTGAGGAAATTGTTAAAGAATGCCACCTCCTTCTTCACTTCCTCAATTTTTTCTGCATGCTTGTTGAAGATGTGTTTACGCACAAACTCAGGGCCCTGAGTGGACAGGACAGGTTGGGACACGGCCAGTAACAGGGAACCCACCCCAGGGGGGTCTACACACCCCAGGCCTGCAGTAGGCTTTCTGCCTCTGCCCTCCCCACCCCCAGCATGCCAGTTCCAGAACATCCCAGACCTTGAATTTCTTGCCACTCAGAGGGCATAGCCACTTATCCTTGCCCAGTTCCTGGGTGTTGGAGGTGACAAACTTCTCCACTTCCTGTTCAGGGTCCTTACGGCCCATCTTCTGGGCCTCCTCCTCTGAGAGAGACTCGCGCACACTCAGCAGTGGGGTCAGCTTCTCCTCAAATGTCTTCTGCCATTCAAGCACTGGGGCAGGACAGAGGGACAGGCTGGGGAATGGAGCAGGGAGGGGAGGGGAGGACAGGACAGAGGGACAGGCTAGGGAATGGAGCAGCCAACTGGGGCTCACCTTCTCCATGGCTGATGCGGTTGGGCGGCATGGGTCCACGCACGTGGATGATGCCACAGCGATTGGGCATCTCGTCCTCATTGGGGTACTCACAGGTGTTATAATAATCCAGGGAGTGCACGATGCGCAAATAGAGGAGGAGTTTGTCCAAAACCTGACAGAATGGGAAGGCACAGGTTCCCCACTTTGGCCTGTGGCCCATGTCCCCACACCCTGTGCCCATCAGCTGTGGTAGGCACCTTGATCAGCTTCTCATCTCGCTCCACGTTGATCTCCGCAGGGTTCCCCTCCTTAGGAGGTTCCTCAGGAGGGGGTCCCCCACTGCTCCCCAGCAGCTCCTCTTCCTCTGCGCTCACTTCCTCAATCAGGTAGTCCGTGATATTCTTCAAGATGGGGTTCTGGGAAGGCAGGCTCTGGGAGAAAAGGCAGGGAAAGTGAGGCAGAGAAGGCCCTGCAGGGAACAAGGCTCCACTGATGCCCCTGTTCACTGACACCTGTCAGTGCTGCCCCTTTACACCAACACCAGTCTGTTCTAGCTGGTAGCTGGGGCGAGGGTGAGGAAGAGTGGGTATCAGGGTGAGAGGTCAGAGCAGCCCACAGTCCCACAGGTGTCACTGACTGCTGGCAGAGGAGTTGTCCCAGGCTCCGCGGCCCAGAGCTGGGTCCGGTCATCCAGCGTGTGGATCAGCTTGGCAGCCAGCTTGATGTCATTGCGCACGATCTGCTTGTGCTGGGTGATGCCGTTGATGTTGCGGACGCGCCGGGTCAGGTCTCTGTTCACACCAGGGCTCAGCTCACACTCCCGGAGCTGCAGGGGCAGGCAGTCAGTCCAACAACCATGAAGACCTCCCTCCCTGCCTGCCTGCCCGCTGGAGCGCTGAGCACTCACCCGGATGTTCTGCAGGTTCCAGCAGATCTCCTTGATGTTCACACTGCGGTCAAAGGTCACCCAGCCACGGCGGAAAAACCTACACCAGAGAGCTGCATGAGCCTGGGAGCCGGGCTTCACTCCACCTTCTCCACCAGGCGCCCCATCTCTCACCTCCTCTCCGGCTGGGGCTCCGACAGAGCCACACGCATAAAGCCAGGATATCTCTTACACAGCTGCAATAAGCAGAGGGACACAGCTCTGGCAGTGACTCAGGATTCCCTTCCTCTAACCCCCACAACACACCCCCGCGGATCAGCTATCCAGACCCAGCCACCAACCAAGGGTTCATAGACAGGGACCAGCCAGGGAGGGATCACGTGCCCACGCGTGCCCACTCACAGAGACAATCTCAGCCCGGGAGATGTTGGGCGCAATGTTGCGCATGAAGAGCGAGCAGGTCTTGTGCAGGGGCCGGGGCCTGCACTCCAGCCCCGTGGTGTCCTTGGCCTTTTCCCTCTCCTCCTCTTTGGGCTTGTCCTTTTCCTTCAGGGCTTCCTCTGCGGGAAGGAAGGGTGAGCGGGCGGGGGAAGGAGACTTGCACTGACCCCCCTCCCCACACACATATACAAACACACAGGTCTCCAGCCTCTCCCCTCCCACACGGGGCAGCGGGAAGGAGCCTACCAGCTTCTTCCTTCTCCTCTTCTGCCTGGCCACTCTCGGACTCGGACTCAGACTCGGATGCGCTGCCCTCATCCAGGCTGTCGTCCCCACTGTGCTTACGGTTCCGCTTCTTGCTGCTCTGTGATCGCCACAGCAGAGGGGATGCGTCAGAGGGCAGGAGTCCCGCCCCAGGGCCGCCCGAGCCAGCAGCGCACACCTCACCTTTTTGGCATCCTTCTCTAGGTCATCTTTCTTCTCATCCTTGTCACCTTCACCCTCAGGATTCTTCGCTTTGTCATCATTACAGCTGTCATCTTCTGCCTACAAGCAGAGGATACAGGGTGTCCACTGTCCCTACTGTCCCTTCACCTTCTACCAGCACCTGGGCCTGGGGTCACCGTGCCCTCCTCCCTCCTAGGCCCAGGCAGACCTGTTTGCCATCATCTTTCTTGTCCTCTTTATCTGCGGCCTTGCGCTCACCATCCGCAACGACAGGCCCCGTGCGGCCCTCTTCTTTCCTGTTGGCCTCCCCCGGCTTCCCCGCCTGCTCCTCCTCCTCCTCCTGCTCCAGGATGCGCAGGTCATTCTCTGTGCCGCCTTCCATCTTAATCACAGCTGCGTCAAAGCAAAGGCCCTAGCTTCAGCCCACCAGCTGGCACCTCCTAGCAGACGCGACCCACCAGATACTGCCCACTCCCCAAGCACACACCTGCGTCCAGCATCTTGACAATGGCGTCGGCTTTGTCTATGTCTAGGAGGAGGTTATCAAACCAGCCGCTCTCCATGAGGGACAAGAATACCTTCAGCCTGTTCTGCAGGGCCCCCCGGGCCTCTTGCCGACGCTTCCCCACCTCATCAGGATGATACTTAGAGCGAAACCTGGGAGGCAGGGAAGGGGCAGGAGGACGACAGTCAGCGGAGGCCAGGGCCTGGGAGTGGGGAGGGGCCCAGGAAAGTCAGGGCGCAACCCCCATCCTCTCCCACCCACAAAGGTCATAAAAGCCAAGAGGGTAGGGTAGGAGGCACCCTTGAACCACCCAGCACCCCAGAGGGGCCCCAGAGGCCGTGCTCTGCCAACATCTGGGGGAGAAGCAGCAGCTGAGAGTTTTGGTTCCAGACCAGTGGCTGCAGGGGCAGCTCACCACGACTGCCTCCAGGAAACTAACTATGCATTTAGGCTAGTTCCCCATGCTACCAGAGGAACACCAAGGCAACGGCAGGCCCCAAGGAACCTCCCTCTCCTCACCAGCCCCAAACAGTTGTCGTTAACGAACTGCTCCCACTGATTCCCTCCACCCCTAGGTGGGAGACAGGAGGAGGCCTCCAGTGTACCGGGCAGCGTTAAGTCCAAAGGAGGGATACCCTTCTCCCCCCTTGGGAAGAGGCAAGATGGTGAAGGGACAGAGAGGCCAAAGGGAGAGACTCAAGTCCCCTCATAGTCACAGGTGCTGGAGAAGGAGAGAGAGACAGATGGAGAGGGAGGGAGAGCGCTCAGAGCTGGAGGGGCAGGTAGAACATGAAAAATAAAACACTTCCAAAAGGACAATGGGGGAGGGGGACCAGAAGAAAGCAGGAATAGGAAATAAAGAGGGGAAATTGACAGAAAGTTCCAGAAATAGAAAACAAAGGGAACAACTAAAGACCAAACTGGAGGGGTGGGGAAAGGAACCAAAAAGCAGAAAAGAAGAGGGTGTTAGGCAGGGAGCCAGAGTAGAGCCAGAGAGAATGACAGGAACAGCAGAGACAGAGACAGGGCCTTCCGCGCGGCCACAGGGACAGCGACAGGACAGAAGCACAAGGCGAGTGGAAGGAAGGGAAGCTGCAGGCGTCGCCTCCAGGGTCTTTACCTTGGCTGCTTGGTCAAACAGAGCTCAAGATTTAACTAGCGGTGCCCAGGGCCCATGCTGGCTGGCTCCTGGCTGGGGCGCCCGGCCCAATGCCCCCCCTGCGGGACTCCGAGGGGGGGCCCTGCCTGACTGACTGCCTGAGCAATCACATTCAGCTAAGCCGCTGCATTGTGCACAGCGGTGCCCTGCCTGTCTGCCTGGCCGGGGCAGCGCGGCTCAGCCCGGGGGCTCATGTATGGGCTGGGCATGGTGGGGGTGGAGGTGGGTTTGCTCCGAGCTCCGACGATGAGCGGGTGTAGTTCCCAGTTCTGGCTCTTTTCAAGGAGGAGGAGCAGAAAGAGGATGAGGAGTAGGAGGAGCAGGAAGGGGGGAAAAGATGGTTGATTAAAATTAAAACATCCACAAAAAGGAAAAAAATTAATTATTTTTCTCTCAAACGACCCTGCGATCTTTGCTTTTCTTGCTGGATTCATTCGTCGTGTTTGGGAAGATGCCACAGCCACACAGGGTTCCTGACGATCAGGGAGGACAATGACCCGACAGCAGCAGGTGCGCAGCAGCCTGCCCACTGCCCCCAGGGGCTCTGGCCGGCTGCCTGGAGGTGCCCGCTCACTGAGGCCAGTGGGAGAGGGAGAGGGTGGAAGGCCGTGGCAGACATGGAAGGAGGAGACCCATCAGCCAACGCTGTCCCCTTCCCCTCCCCCACCCTGCAGGTTGGGGATCAAGGGACATGGGGAGAGGCCAGGGGGAGCATGCCAGGGAAAAGGTGGCAGGGCAGGGGCACTCACCACTCCTCGTCCTTGTGGGCCAGGAAGAAGTCCTGCATCTGCTGCCGCCGGAAGTCCAGCTTGTAGTCATTATAGCGCTTTACAGCCTCAGTCTCATCCACAGAGTCATCCAGCGATAACAGGAACTCTTTGAAAGTTTTCATCACGGGCGGTGGCACACCCAGATCGATCTCCGCAATGCTGCCCAGCCTGGGGGCCAGCAGGGCATCTTGGATGGGGGAAAGGGAGTGGGGGCACCGAGGTAGCTGCTACCCCTTCCTTTGCCCACCAAGGACATCCCACCTCCTTCAGCCTGTAGCCCCGGGACTTTTTACCTGGCCTGGATCGGCAGCACGTGGTGTTGCATGATGTGGACGTCTGGGTGGCCCCAGGGCTGAGGGGGGCCATAAGTTGGGCCCCCACCGCCCCCAGCGTAGGGCATCTCATAACCACTGTGGTATGGGTCAGAGCTGTGCTCATCCCTGAGAGTGAGGGACACCAAAGTCAGACAGGCAGCCAGCATACAGGGAGGGTGCACCCGGAAGCTCAGCTCTCACCCAGGGCTCAAGGGAACACAGAAACCATCAGGGGAAGGGCTGTGCGGGAAGAGCCAATGCCACTTTCAGGGAGGCCCAGGTGGCAGGCAGGCTAAGAGAGAGGAGAGAAACTCGTCATCTCACCAATCTCGCCTCATGCGCTTCTGTGGGGGACTGAGCTCATGGCGGGGAGGAGAGAAGCGCTCTCGCCGGTTCCGGTCATAGTCCCGATACTCGCCCCGACTGCGGCGCTCCCGGCCCCGGTCCCAGTCTCTGGGTGAGAACAAGTACCCATAAGCCAAGGCCACACCCCTGGCAGCCCCTCTTGCCCAAAAATTATACACCCAGAAAAGCACCTCTCTGCTACCACTCACAGACAGCTGCCAGCCAAGCTGGCACTAACAACCCCAGCAGAGTCCCCCCTCACCTTCAATTCACCCAGCCCCTCCTCTTTGCAGCCCAGTCCCACCACCTGCTCCTCTACCCAGCATGAGCCTCACCCTAATCCTGCACCATCCTCTTAAGCCCCACCTCACAGCCGGTCACAGAACAATCTTCCCCGCCTTCCTCAGCCTCTGCTCCCATCCCTGCCCATTCTCCTGGAACCAGGTTTTTGTAAGCTGCAGAAACTGCTTCCTGAGGCTGCCTCCCCTTAGACACCAGTTTTGAGTCCTGGCCACTCCACTTCCCATCCAGCTCCCTGTTGATGCACCTGGGAAAGCAAAACAGCATGGTCCAAGTGCTTGGGTCCCAGCACCCCAAACACCCCAAAGGAGCTCCAAGACCCTGGCTTTTGGCTCTAGTTGCTACATCCATTTGAGGGTAAATCAGCAGATGGAAGACCTAACTCCACCTTTCAAACAAATACTTAAAAATTAGGCAGCGTGGCCTAGCGGCTAAAGTCCTTGCCTTGAACGCGCCAGGATCCCATATGGGCGCCGGTTCTAATCCCGGCAGCCCCACTTCCCATCCAGCTCCCTGCTGGTGGCCTGGGAAAGCAGTCAAGGATGGCCCAAGGCTTTGGGACCCTGCACCCGTGTAGGATACCCGGAAGAAGTTCCTGGATCCTGGCTTCGGATCGACATAGCATCGGCCGTTGTACTCACTTGGGGAGTGAATCACTGGACAGAAGATCTTCCTCTCTGTCTCTCCACCTCTCTGTACATCTGACTTTCCAATAAATAAATCTTTAAAAAAAGAATTCTGCTTTCTGTTATTTTAGCCTTTACTCATCTTAACAACAAACTCTTCCAGCCCAGTGGTTTTCAAACTCTTTTGTCTCTGAAACTGTCAAAGCCACAGAACTTCTGCTCATATCCTGCAATGGTCACTGCCTTCAGAAGCAAACAGAACTTGAACACCTGGTCATTTTGTTCCTACAAGAAAAAACCTAACTTTCCCATACAATCTTAGTAAAATTTTTTTAAAAAGTGGCACTTTGCTTTTTCTATTTTTACAAATTTCTTCAAGAACAGCTTCACAGACCTGTCTTCCATGTTCACTCTGTGTGCTGTTTTGCTCGAAAACATGGAGACAACGTGGCCTCACACCAGTGTGTGACTGGAACCTAGGAAGATGCCACTCTGGCAGGGCATCCCACGAGCTCACACAGGACTCAGGGCACAGTGGGCAGCCAGCTGCCCTTGCTGTAGGCTGGCATTCATGGGTGACACCTGGCTGGGGTCTAGAGAGATTGACCACAGGGCATACAGGGCCTCAGACCTGAGGTTGGGGAGCCAACTCCCTCCACCAGTGCCCCCTTTCTGGCCCTTGGGCTTTCCCCCCAAACTTAAAGGCCTCCAGCCCACACACACCTAGCTGTGAGCACTTACCCTGGGCAACTGGTAAACCCCCGTTTCAGCTATCAGCTAGATGACCCTAACATGCACCCCAAAAGTCAACAGCAGCACACCACCCTTGGTGGCCCCATCTTGGCCCATGCAGGTGTCCTGACCTCACCTCCCAAGCCTGCAGGTGTGGGGAAGCTGGCCAGCCCACACTGGCAGTTCCCAAATCTTTGGTTTTCACCAGAAGCTTCACTTGCCACCGCTCCTTAAGAAAAATGTCTGCCGCAATGGGATGCTGGACTGTCTGACTTTGTACCAGCAATGCTGGGATGCACTTAAATAAGAGACTGATGGAATTATGATTCCTTATGAAGGATTATACCACTGTAGTAAAATGGGGAAAATCTGTTGGGGGAGTGGAAGCTTGGGGGGTAAATCCCAGTCTATATGAAATTGTACAACATAATTCAAAAATTCAAAGTAAAAAAATTAGTTAATTAAAAAAAAAAAAGAAAATGTCTACTGGATGTCTGAGCACCTACCACGACACAGTCACACAGGTCAGAATGGCATCTCCTGGGCAAAACAGCCATGGGTTCAGCTGGCAATTGAGCTTTTTCCTCGTACCTCCCTGGCCAAGGGTCAAGTCCACCTTACCCACTAAGTGACACTGGCCTTTTTTTTAAACTCTGTGGTCTTTGCGTTAAGGCATCAGCGTTCTTACCCACCACTACTTACAGCACCATCAGAGACAGCTTAGCCTTACCAAAGTAACTTCATAGACTTATTCAATTACTTCCAGTTCTTTGAAAGGCAGACAGACCTAGACTATCTGTCTGCTGGGTCACTCCCCTAATGTCTGGGCCAGGCAGCAGGAAGCCAGGAACTCCATCTCATGAAGGTGACAGGGACCAAAGCACTGAACCATCCCTGCTGCCTCCCAAAGTGTGCACTAGTGGGAACTTGGGACAAGCAGCAGAGCTGAGGCTCCCAACACCAGGACACAGAGCACACGCACCCCAAATGCACTCCCTTGAGTCATTAGAACCGCACAGACACCTCCCTCCATACTGGTCTATGGGCCCACTGTGAACCACTGCTCCCACCACACTGGAGCCTGCGCTCTCCCCTGCACCCACGCTGGGTCCACAGCTCCAAGGTGCTCGCCTCACCCACTCACCTTTACCGGTGAGGCCCAGGGTCCCTTCCCGGTAGCTCACCTGACGCCACACCACTCTGTCCCTGAGAGCTTCGCAACAAGGTCCTACAAGCGCACACTTGCACCATATCCCCAGGGTACTCGTGCTCCCCAGCTGCACTCCTGTCAGCTCCCCAGAGCAATAATCCCACCACTTCTGGCTTCAGAATTCAGGATCCCTTCTTTCCTAGAGAACACCACACCTCAGCTGCTCTGCTTCTGACTCAGCGCCCAGCCAAGGCTCTTGGGAAAGCAGAGCAGGGTGGCCCTAGCATCTGAACCCCGCTCCCCACGGAGGGGACCCAGGTTGGAGTTTCAAGCTCCTGCTTCAGTACAGCCCCGCCCTGGCCATTTCACTCATTTGAGGAGTTTACCAGCAGATGAAAAAAGCCTTCTCTGTCCATCTGCCTTTCAAAGAAGCATCTTAAAGGAAGAAAAAAAAGTGAATGAATGACTACACCAAGGAAACCAAGGTGCCAGGTGGTGTCCACAGTCACCAAAGGCACAACCTGAGTGACCCACAGACCCGCTTGTCCGTTTTACTTTTAGACAGACCAACTCGTTAATTTCCTTGGCAGTGCCAGAGAAAGACAGAGATCCCCATCTGCCAGCTCACTCACCAAATGGCTGCCACCCCTAAGGCTGAGCTACAAGTCCATCTGTGCCTCCCCGGGGGCGTCTCCTACAAGACCTCGTCACCACTCACTGGGCCTTCCCAAGCACACCAGCAGGAAGCTGGAGCAGGAGTGGAACTGCCAAAACAGAACAGGCACCAGCGGGGTATGCAGCCATGCCAAGCGGCAGTTCATCTCCACAGATCCACACCGTATCCCACCTTCTCCCCCCATACAACCTCCTTTAGGCATAACTTAGCCAGGGTAAAACAACACCACAAGCAGGCTTGCTTGGACCAGCACCCATAGCGCTTTCAGCACCCTGGGCCTTCCTCCCCAGACCCCTCTTGCCTTTACCCTTACGACAGGAGCAACACACAGTCCGGAACCTACAGGAATACGGTCGGCATCCACGGGTGGGGAGGCAGCGCAACCCAGGGCCCCAATGCGCAAAGGGATCCTCACCTGTCGTTCCAGTCGTCCCCACGCCGCCTCTCATCTCTCTCCCGCGAACGGTCGTAGTCGCTCCGCTCCCTTCTAAACTTGTCTCTGCGTCTGCGGTCATACTCGTCATCACTGTCCCCCATGGCGCGGTCCAAGAAGGCCTGGGGCCCAGGGAAGAGAGGCAGTCGGGAGTCCTTGCTGGCAAAGGACAAGCCCAGGGAGTGAGGGAGCCACCCACCCCCTAGCTGGCCATCACCAGCATGGGGACGCCCCCGACCCCGCGGATCCGGCCTCCTCGCCTGCCTGTCCCCACCAAGAGCAGTCACGGCAAGCAGGTGGACACCCCTTACACTGCCACTCACCAGCACCTAACCCGCCACTTTTGACAAGGCCTCCTCTCTCGCCTGCTCCCTAACTGGCACTCCTAGGCCCCTTGCACGCCATGGGCAGCAGGTGGACACTCCCTTACACTGCCACCCACCGACACACACCCCGATTATGCGCCATCACCAGCAGGTAGGCGCGCCCCTACCCCGCCTCCTTCCCGACCACCCCCCAAGGCAGCCATGGGGAGCAGGCGGGCGCCCCCACCCCGCCTCCTTGCCGACCACCCCCCAAGGCAGCCACTGGGGGACCAGGTGAGCGCCCCCACCCCGCCTCCTTCCCGACCACCCCCCCCCAAGGCAGCCACGGGGACCAGGTGAGTGCCCCCACCCCGCCTCCTTCCCGACCACCCCCCCCACGCAGCCATTGGGGGACCAGGTGGGCGCCCCCACCCCGCCTCCTTCCCGACCACCCCCCAAGGCAGCCATGGGGAGCAGGCGGGCGCCCCCACCCCGCCTCCTTGCCGACCACCCCCCAAGGCAGCCATGGGGAGCAGGCGGGCGCCCCCCGGCTGCAGCGCCGCGCCCCTCCCCCACCTGGCAGCGCTGGCGACCGTTGGGCGCGCGTTCAGGCAGGCTAATCTTCCGGTCCACCCGGGCGCGCGACGAGGGTGAGAAGCTTGCGGGGCCACGGGGAACGGGGGGTGGAAGGAAAGAGGATCTCCCAAGCCAGCGGCCCCGAAGCAGAAGGGCGAGGGGCAGTGGAGCGGCCAAGAAAAGGCGCGCACGCGCGCGGCACGCCAACCGCCGCCGCCGCCTCGCTCGCGCGTGCGCGGCCCCGACACACAGGGGCCGCCCCGAGCCGAGCGAGGGCTGACGGGAAGGGGCGGGCCTCGGAAGTCTCGCGCGCTTCCCTAGGAATCAGGGACGACGGAAGCCGCGCGGGGCCCCGCGAAGGCTTTGGGCTGGGCAAGAGGGTCGCTGCTCCAGGGAGTCTCCGGGATCTGCGCCATTTCCCTCCCAGCCCAGGACGCCTCCTCAGCTGGGTCGGGATGGGGAGAGTGGTGTCAGCCCCCTCATAGCGGTTAGGGACTAGGACCGACCGAAGCGACCATTTTAAACTGTCTCCTCCCACCATTTTCTGTTCCCATAGAAAAAAAAAAACCCAGCTTGGATAGAGACCCCAGTGTGAGCTCCCAGGAAAACCCACGGTTCTCAGGGTGCGAGTCTCAGCTCCTGAACAACCCTTACACGAGATGGGCTGTAGGTCCCATAAGTGACCCTTAAGGACCCGAGGTACAGGCGCGTGGGACAATCTGGCCTGACCCACCCTGTACAGCCTCTTCGTGACTTCAATGTGAGCATACCTCCCATCACTGCAAGGATAGGAGTTGCAATAATAATAATGATGATGATTTTTAAAATCTGCACCAGAGCTAAAAGCACCCAGCTCTGGAACCCTGTGCCATCAATTTGGAATCTCCCCCAGCCCACTTGTTCACAACTCTGGCGTTAAAAAAAAAAAAAAATTACAAGGCCTGACACAGTAGCCTAGTGGCTAAAGTCCTTGCCTTGCATGTGCTGGGATCCTATATGGGCGCCAGTTCTAATCCCAGTGGCCCCACTTCCCAACCAGCTCCCTGCTTATGGCCTGGGAAAGCCTTGGAACCCTGCACCCATGTGGGAGACCCAGAAGCAGCTCCTGGCTCCTGGCTTTGGATCAGCTCAGCTCTGGCCGTTGCGGCCACTTGGGGAGTAAACCAGCAGGTAGAAGATCTTCCTCTCTGTACATGTGACTTTGCATATATATATATATATATACACATTAGAAACAATAGGTGTGCTTGTGTTGTGGCCACTGGGACAATCAGACAAGACTTGTAACCTGTGGAATGCTCAGGGGTTATTATTTCACCAAGAAGGAGACATTTGGTAACAAAATTGCAAAGGCAGATGCCAGGGCTGGCAAGGTCAGGGACTGGGAAGGCGGCAGGCAGCACGTGCGCTGCCCACCAGGGAGTCTCAGCAGTCAGTGGTGACGGTAGCAGAGAGTTCCTGGATGCGCCAGGCGCTGCAGGCCTTGCACAAGATATGCCCATCCAGTGGGTAGCAGCCCTGGCACTCGCCCTCCGAGGACAGCAGCAGGCCACACTCCTGTTGGCAAGGAAACAACAGCTTTCCCAGCAGCTCCCTCCCACCCTATACCCCCAGTCCCCCAGCTCTTCCCCCTGTAGCCTAGACTGTCAATTCCTTAACTGTCACCCAGGCCCCCTGACCTCGCACTTGTAGCAACCGATATGAAAACTGCGGTCCAGGGCAACGATCCTCACGGTCTCCTCCTGGCCCGGCTCAGGCATGATGGCCCCGCCACACACAGAGCACCGGGGTGCAAACTTCCTGGGTATGGGAGAGAACCAAGGGATGGTGGGAAGCAGGAGGGGATTGGGGGATAAGAGGTGGGGGAGAGGAGGGGTCCCCACCTGTGGAAGTCTTCAATGCAGTGGATTTGGCTGGTAGCGTCCACTGTGAAGGGGACGCCGTCTAGGCCGCGGTGGCAGACCACACAGGTGAAGCAGCCAGGATGGTAGGCCTTCCCCATGGCCCGCAGGATCCGGTCCAGGATGGGCTGGGAGCATGTGGAACATTTCTCCAGGGTGGCCTGGTGTGTGGGACAGCCAGGAAGGTCAGGGGGAGGCAGGAGGCACTAGTTCTTCCTCCAGACAATTTGCTTTTAGTTGGGGTTCTTTTTTTTTTTTTTTCAGATTCTATTATTATTACTATTATTGGAAAGTCAGATTTACAGAGAAAAGGAGAGACAAAGAGATAGATCCTTCATCTGCTGGTTCATTCCCCAAATGGCCACACAGGCCAGAGCTGAACCAACCCAAAGCCAGGAGTCAGGAGCTTCTTTGGTGTATCCCATGCAAGTGCAGGGTCCCAAGACTTTGGGCTATCCTCCGCTGCTTTCCCAGGCCACAAGCAGGGAGCTGGATGGAAAAGGAATAGCAGCAGCCAGGACATGAACTGGCTCCCAATATGGGATCCTGGCACTTGCAGGCGGAGGACTGGCTAACTGAGCCATCGCTAAGCCCCACTCCTCATCCCCCACCCAGGGCTGTTTTCTGTAGCAGCCTCCCTAGGACTTGGTGGGAGGTGGAACTGAACCAATCTGAGTCCAGTTCCCTGAACATCAACATCCTGTTAGTCCGTAATCAGGAGTAATATCTGGTTTTGCTGGGGTGGTGTTGCCATGGTACCCACTCCCTTAAGAGACTGTTTGAGACACCTGCATCCCATGTCAGAAAGACTTCCAGTCAAGCTCCTGAGCACCCAGGTGGGTAGCAGGGATGGTGCCACCCACATGAGAACCCTGGATGTAGTGCCAGGCTCCTGGCTTCGATATAGCCCAGCCCCACTAGCCTGTCCCACACGTGTTGGGGGAGTGAACCAGCAGGAGCAATATCTGTCTGTGTGCCTTGCAAATTCATATAACAATGACTTTCAAGAAAATCCCTTCTATGAACGGTGAGCCTTCCCTCCAGCACTCGGCTCCTCTGCGAATGTTTCCATTCACCTTCTCTGCGAATGTTTCCATTCACCTTCTCCATGAAACTCCCCCCCCCACCACCCTCCCCTCCTTCATTCCTCTTCTGGCCTTGGACATCTGGCTTCCACCTTGCAGGAAGCTCCCCTGCCTCCTGCCACAGTCCCCGCCAGCCGCAGCCACTCACCACATAGCAGCTCTCACAGTACGCCCTCCTGTCAACAGCATAGAAATGCTGGCCCCGGAGCTGGGCCCGGCAAGTGGAGCACACGAAGCACCCCACATGGAAGACACGGTCCAGGGCCACGACCCCAGCACCATCCCCAACCACGTCTTCTCCACAGCCACCACATCGGCCTGGGCGCAGGGAAGGACAGGGTCACAGCCTGCCACAGACCTGGGCTGGCCAGCCTCCCTCCCGCTCCACACAGACACCCACCAAAGTACTCGCCGCTGGGCGGGTGGCTCATGTCCTGCACCAGCTTCTTGGTCAGTCGCTCCAGTTCCTCCTCAGGAGGCTGGCTCAGGGGCACCTGAGAGGTGGGCAGCATGGGGCTCAGTTCCCCCAGGCATCCAGCCTGCTCGAACCCCTTTCCTGCTCCACACCCCAGGTCTTTCTCAGGGTCTGCTCTCAAACCAGGATCTTTAGCATTCCTCCTCTCACTCTCAGTTTAGGAAGCCCCTACATGTTAACACCCAGGGGCTCACCTGTGGCCCATGTCCGCCTCCTCTTCCTCCTCCTGCAGGACCAGACACCCCAACAGCGTCTTCTTTCCCCCCCGGCCCTGGCCCACGGTGGCTCCGGTAGCCAACTCCCCAGACATCACCTCGGCCTGTGAGAGGCAAGTGGGGGCCAGGAAGGGGCCCAGAGGCCTGCGAAGCTCCCCGCCTGGGAGGGCCACAGCCTCTCACGGGCTGGGCCACCTTCACCTGCACCGGGAAGGCTGGGCCAGCTGGGGTGCTGGCTGTAGCATAAGAGGCTGGGGTGGGGCCCCCATAGGGGGACGCTGGCAGTGGAAGGGGTACGCTCCCTCCATTGGGTTTCAGGGAGCCAGAGCGGTAGGAAGAGGGCTGAGCGGCCTCGTAAGCCTGGAGAGAAACAGATCGATCAGAAGCAATGAGCAAAGCCCAAGTCAGGAGCGACCCCATACCTGGGGAAAGTCACCTGACCCCCACCTTGGTGGGTGATGAGTGAGTCCCATGGAGCAGAGGTGGTAGGGGCAGGTGGAGGGAAAAGGGAAGGGGAACTGGCGCCCGGTCCCAGGCTGGGGTCGAGGCAGGGGAGACAGGAGCAAAACATGGGAAGTCACCTGTCGGTCAGGCCTCCGCACAGGGTGTCCCCGGCCCCCATCGAGCTCGGCCAGCATGCTGGTCAGCGAATCAATCTCAGCATCCAGACTTCCTGGGCGCAGCGCCCCCCTTTCTGGGGGGAGGCCCTGGAGAAGGAGCCAAAACCAGGAGGAGGCATATCAGGAAGCCATCTCCCAGGGTTCCCCCCTGCACCACACCACACCCCAACACCGCCATTCTCACCTGCGGACGCTGGGGTGCTGCATGGGACCCCACCCAGGCCGGGCCCCAGTCCTCCCGGCCCCGGTCCTCGCGACCCCCTGGGGACTGGTAACACTGGTCAGACGGGAGGGGGCAAAAATTGACCCTGGGGTGGGTCTGGAGTGCTGGGGTGGGGGGGAGAGAGACCAGAGGTGGGGACGAGGCTGGAGAGGGCCATTCCGCTCCTCCACCCCCTCACCTGGGTGGGAGGTAAGGGGCTGCAGGAGCAGACTGGGAGGGGCCCCGAGGTGGGCACCCCTCCGCCCCAGCCCTGCCCCGCTGCAAATGCGCCTGCCTTACCTGTTCCGTGGGCGGGTGGCAGCCCAGGGGCGCCCCGGGAGAGCGCCCTCCCTTGAAGGGCTCTGGTGGTCTCTGGCTGCTTTGGGGGGAGCCAGGTGGGCCCCGACATGGTCTGGATTGGAGGAGCCTATGGCCTAGGCCACCTCTTCCGTCCAAGGCCTGGTATGGGACTCCAAGAAAGAAACTTTTTCTGCTTTTTTTTTTTCCCTTCCTCCCCAATTTTGGGGACGGCCACGCCCCCGGTGACGTCACTGCATTCCGGGGGAGGGTCACGTGGGCCCCGAGGCCCTCTCTGCGGCCCCTCCCCGAGGCGCGAGGGGCGGGCTCTCTGGTGGGCGTGCAATCCTGGGGGGCTGCGGGAGGCGCTGGCCTGCACGTGGCAGCTGGGTAGGGCCTGTGCAAGCTCTGGCACCTCCCTCCCACGTCCCCGCCAGCAGCATGAGGCCAGCCTGTAGTGTTTCAGTCTTTTATTTATGGTCCGCAGAGTTAGAAAAATGACACCGCAAGGAAAACATGGCCCTCCATTCACCCACCCACCCACCCACGCACCCACTCGCGGCGGCCAGCTGAGGTAGCCTGGGGTCCGCAGCGGAGCCGGCCCCTGCGGTCAAGGCACCAAGGTGGGAGAGGCCGGCAGGCAAGAGGGTGTGGGGGTCTATGGTCCCCCACCCCCGGCCAGCCCCTGTGCTCAGCCTGGGTCCCCTCCCAAAGGACACGGGAGACACTGGAGCTCAGGACCCCCTGGGAATTTCCAGGGTCCCAAGGTAGGGCTACCCATCCCTGATCCCCACTCCTGCAGCGTCCACGCCTCCGGAGGCTTCAGAGGTCAGTGCAGGTGACTGGCGTGAGGCCATGCACCAACAGCGTGGGGCCCAGGTCACGGCTCAGAGTTTCCAGCAGCGCCAGGTAACGCTGGTAGCGCGTGGGGTCGGCGGGCGGCCGAGGCAGGTACAGGAAGGTGAGTGCCGTGGCAGGCCCCTCCTGGCCATCTGCTGTTGCCTCCGGGCCACCAGGCCCTCCACCCGTGCCGCGTCCCTGCTGAGCGCGCACCAGGGCGTTGGCGCTGCGGGCCAGGGCCTCGGCCTCGGCGTCCCCGTGCCCGCTGTTTACAAAGTCCCCTTCATCCTCTTCCTCCTGCCGGTCGGCCCCGGCTCCCTCGCCCCACACCACCTCGTGCACCTCGGCCCGGATCCGCAGTTGGCTCAGTAGCGCCCGCAGCCTCCCTTCGGCCGCTCCGGGGGCCTCGCGCGGGCCCAAACACAGGAAGATGCGGAGTCGTGCGCTGTGCCAGGCGGGCACCATGCCCAAGATGGTGGCCATCTGCAGTACAAAGAGGCCGCACACGTCCACGTAGCCGGGCCCGCCCCGGGGTCGCAGCAGATTGAGGGGCCACACGTCTACATGGTGCGGTGGCACGGGACCCCCGGAACCCCGGCTCAGCCGTTCAGGGGGCAGGGCCCCGCAGGCCCGGGCCAGCACCACGTTCTTGTTCATCTTGAGGGCGTCCGCTACGGTGGCCACGTAGTCCTGGGGGCTGAGCGCGCGGGGGCTCCCAGGAGCCCGGGGTGGCGGGAAGAGGGTACTCAGAGCTGGGGCGCCACCCTCCTGGGGACCGTCTAGGGGCTCGGAGAAGGCAGGATCTCTCAGGAAGTGGTCCTGTGGCGGGGCATCATCGTAGAAACCCAGGACCAGCGTGTTGGGCTTCATGCCACCTGCGGGCAAGTGGGGGGGTGGGAGGTGGTTAGGCAGGGAAGGCAGGTGATGGCTATAACCCTGGCAGGGTTAGGCCAGGCTCACATGCGCCCCCCGCGCACCCCCTGTGCAGGGTGCAGGTGTTGGACTCTCCTACGCTCACCCTCAACCGCGCTGGGTTCCCGCCAGGCTCTCACGTGCCTGAGCCCTCGCCCACGCTCCCACCGTCTGCATTTGGTTCCCACGGGTGCTGGGGGATACCCAGGCAACATCACACAGCTTTCCTCATCGCTTCCACAGGCATCTATTTGCTTATCTCTGTGGCTAATCTCCGCCACTTTAAAGAAGCCAAAATCACCTGAGGAGTCTGTTTAAGGAGCCGCCCCTGTGAGGAAGTGGGAGGCAGGAAGCTGCTCATCTAGAGCCCTGGGAAGATACTGACCCAGCAGCTCAAGAGGTGGCAGGTTCCTGGGGCAAGCACGTGAAGCCATCCCACACCCTGGGCCAGCCTCGACTGCTTTCCCAGGCAGAGAGCTAGATCGAAGTAGAGCAGCTGGCACACGAACCCGTGCCCTCCTGGGATGCCAGGGGGAGGACTAGGCTGCCACTATACTGGCCCCAAAAAACTAAACTTTATAATAAAATAAAACGCCGCAGAAGATGGCCCAGGAAAAGCAGAATTTTCTCTATGTAGAAAATCCTCCTGGCATATATATTTTGATTTGATGTCAGAGTTAAAAACATTTTTTTAAGTGGGCCTGGCAGGATAGCCTAGTGGCTAAAGTCCTCGCCTTACAAGTGCCAGGATCCCATATGAGCGCTAGTTCTAATCCTGGCTGCTCTACTTCACATCTAGCTCCCTGCCTGTGACCTAGCAAAGCAGTCGAGGACAGCCCAAGGCCTTGGGATCCTGTATCCATGTAGGAGACCAGAGGAAGTGGAGTCTACCCAGGTCTCCCCATATGGGTGACAAGCACTTGGGCCATCTCCTCGGCTTTCCAAGGCACATGGGCAGGGAGCTGGAGGGGAAGCAGGGCACCAGGGAGGTAGAGACAAAGAGAAAGGAGTCTTTACTAGCTCACTTCCTAAATGGCCCAATTGGAGCTGGGCTGGGCTAATGCCAGGAGCTCAGAATTCCATCCAGGTCGCACACACATGAGTGGCAGGGGCCCATGCTTGATCCATCCTCTGCTGTCTTCCCAGGAGCATAAGTAGGCAGCTTGGATCAGAGGTGGAGCAGCTGGGATTCGATCCAATATTCAGCTAAGGAACACCAGCAGATGGCAGCATCATGAGCAATAGCTTATCCTGCTGAGCCCCTACAAAGCTTGCGTTTTTATGAATGTGGCAGTGACTGCTCTAGCAACTTGAAGCCAGCCCCGCCCGTCCTGGGCTGTTTCCAGGATAATGATTCTCACAGCCAGGGCGATGTCCAACACTCTTGAACTTGAGCCAGATTCTTAATGGGGAAGGAAGTGTGCACTCAGGTGACAGAAGCCGGGAAGCTAGGCGGGGACTCAGAGGAGCCTGGGCCTGGGGCTGGAGTGGCAGTGCTCCAGCTGGTTTTGTGGCCTGCGACAACCCACGTCCCCAATCCAGTCCCCTGGTGATGTGCCTAGGAAAGCAGCAGAGTCTGGTCCCTGCCACCTGCGTGGGAGACCCAGATGGAGTTCCAGGCTCCTGGTGTGCACCTGGCCCAGTCCCAGCCATGGCAGCTAGTGAACCAGCAGATGTAAGCTTTCTCTCTCACCTCCTTCTATAACTCTGCCTTTCAAATAAATCAGTGAGTCTTCAGGGAGAAATAAACACTCCATTCCCTCCATGTGAGGCATCACCACGTGCCCTCCAGCGTCCTTTGTGGTGGCTGGGGCTGTGCCATGCCATTACCCACTGGCCAGGCTGAGAGCCAGCCTCTCCACAAACCCTCTGCTGGCCACATCACTGCGTGGTGGTCTGGCTCCTCTGAATTCTGGTGGTTGATGGGACAGCCCCAGACCCAGACAATGCCCCTACTGTCCTAGGAATATGAGCCTCCTTCAGCAAGTGGGTGGAAAACAGAATTAAAAGATAAGCGTGTTTTGCCACCAAAAGTTGAAATCCACTCAGTTTTTCATCATATGCAATTTCTGTAGACTTACTGAGAAACTCTCACATACACAGATTTTTAAGTTTTTTGCACTAAAAACTCCCTTTCTATAAACTTTTTCTTTTTAAGATAATTTTTTTTTTTAAAATTTGAAAGAGAGAAGGCAGGGATCTTCCATCCGCTGGTTCATTCCCCAACTCCACAAATGCCAGTTAGGAGCCTCTTCCAGATCTTCCACATGGGTGCAGGGGCCTGAGGACTGGAGCCATCTTCCACTGCTTTCCCAGGCACATCAGCAAGAAGCTGGCTTGGAAGTAAAGCAGCTGGGACTCAAACCAGTACCCATATGAGATGCCGGCACCACAGGTGGAAGCTCAGCCTACTGTACACCACAGGGCACTGGCCCCATTTCCATACACTTTCTGAAAAACCCTCACACGCTCTTCAAAATCTATACTCCCATTTTGGATTGTGAAAAAAAAAAGAAGTGGGGTCAGCTTTACGGCCCATCAGGTCAAGCTGCCACCTGCAATGCCAGCATCACAAAGGAGCGCAGGTTCAGCTGCTCCATTTCCGATCCAACTCCCTGGCAAGGAGCCTGGGAAAGTCCGTGGGCCCCTGCACTCATGTGGGAGACCTGAAAAACTCCCAGCTCCTGACATCAGCCCAGACCCAGCCCAAGCCACTGCAGCCATGTGGAGGAGTGAACCGGTGGATATGGAAGATCTTCTGCCTTTCACATAAACTGTAAATAAGTAACAGTTATTAAAGAGAAGAAACCCCACAGCAGCAACCCTTATCCCCAGCCGCTGTGGCTGGCAGTTATCTCAGCTCTCCTCCTATCGGCACAGGGCCCAGTTCCTTCTGCAGTTTACAATCTGCGGTCTGTTGTGGGCAGGAAGTGAACCGAGATTTAATGGGGCCACAGAGGGGACAGCAGGGAGAACAGAGCTCACCGAGGCCCGAGATCCGCAGCAGGTGCTGAGCCCCCTGCCGTACGGAAGGTGACAGGGTGAGGTCCACAAAAGCCTTCACCTGGGCACGGTCCACCAGGCTCAGCCATGCCCCATACTGCGGCTGCACAGGGTCCGAGGGCAGTGAGTCTGCGGGCAGGAGCAGGACAGCAGCTCTGGATCAGGTCTCCAGGCAGTCGAAGCCCACCTGAAGCCCAGGACTGGGCACAGCCAACGCTGGTGGGAAGAGTCCCCCGGGGCATTTGAGAAGGGCAGCGGACTACTCACCCAGATCCCCCAAGGTCACATGGCCCAGCACGTAGAGTCCCCCTTTCTTGAGCTGGTTGGCTAAGCGCAGCAAAGGCAGGGCACCCCGGGGGTTTCCCACCAGCAGCAGCAGCTGGGGCCGCCAGAATTTCACGTGGTCTTTGCGGACGTCAAGTCTGAGCAGGTACTTTCGCACCTGGGGATTGGGACTTCAGATGAGCATCCACCTTCCACCTTCAGCCTCCCCCCTCTTGAACAGAAATACCCACCCAGTCACGGGAAGTGGGGTCCCCCCAAGCACCTCTCACCTGGTGGAAGAGCAGGGCCTGGCTGACATAGCCCCAGCTGCTGGGGCCCCCTCGGGCTGTGAGCAGGGCTGACAGCAGGCCCATGAGCAGCAAGGAGCCGCCAGCCGCTCCCGGGCTGATCAGAAACATCATGAGCAGGCAGGAGGCCACGCCCAGCAGGCAAGTGTGCCAGGAGAACAGGCTGAAGGTGGGGCTGGGGTCGGGCAGAGAAGGGAGGGAACTCAGGGCCAAGGCTCTGGGTCGGGGCACAGCATCAACCCCGGTGGCTCCCTTCATCCGTCTCTCACCGGAAGTTGGGCGCTGAGGCCCACTCTAAGCTCAGACAGGACAGGTCCACGGCGGCATAGGCCACCAGGTAGAAGACAGTGACCACAGCGGCCAGCGTGTTCAGCTTTCCGGCTAGGAGCACCAGCTGGGCAAGGATCAAGGGGGGCAGGACATCCATCAGGGTATCAAAGCACTTCCGGAAGTACAGATGCACCCTTCCACAGAAGACCAGCCAACATCCCCACCATTCCATCCATGACTCCAGCCCACCCCTAACCTGCCCCAGCCATGGGGGAAGCTTGAAGAGAAAGACCTACCTGTACCAGGCCCCAGGAGTACAGGACTGCTCCCCAGGGGTTCCCCCCATGGGTGACCACCTTAGCTGGGGCCAAGATCACACCTATGAAACCAGAACCAAGGCTGAGACAGGTCAGCCTAGGCCGTGCCGGCAGGTGCAAGGGGGCTGGGAACGGTATGGGTATACAGGAAGAGGGGTACAGGAAGAGGAGAGCGCACCAAATAAGTCATCCTGGGCCAGGGCATGCAGGATGCGGGAGGCGCCAATGAGAGAACTCATGGAGGCCGACAGCGAGGTGGCATAGATGCCGATGAGCACCAACGGGGGCCACAAGCTAATGGCGCGGAAGAAGCCGTAGTCCTCCTGCAGCAGGACCCTGGTGGGGGTGCGGAGGGCAGCCCTCAGGCTGGGCACCAGCAACCCTCACAGCCCCTCACCCTGACAGCCCTCTACTCCGCCTGTGCTGCTGCCCACCCCTGCCGGGATGACCCGGGTCACCTGTCACAAGTGAAACTGGAGAGGAAGAACAGCAGGACATAGATGAAGAAGGTGTAGGCCACGGCCACGATCGTGCCCAGAGGGATGGCCCGGCTGGGGTCCTTCAGTTCACCTGCAGGGCAGGGAGCAAGGGGTAAGCGATTAGCCCTCCAGCCATCCCCACCCCCTGCACCGTGTCCTGGAGCGAGGCAGCAGGTGGGGGTTCCCACCTGACATGTTGGCCCCCGCCATAATGCCAGTGCAGCCGTTGAAAAGGACAGCAAAGACGCTGGCGAAGGTCATCACGGCTCCGGTGGTGTAGTCCTCAGCGTAGCCAGCTGAAGGCAATAGGGAGTCAGGATCCTCCTCATCTCCCCCAGGCCAGGCGACCCCTCTCCAGCTGCCCCTGCACACCTGCACGCAGCACCCCAGCCCTGGCACCTCTGAGGGACCCATCAGCTCCTCTTCCTCCCCACAGACCCTCACCCGCACTCTCCCATGGCGTCACCTGTGCCCCCGCCTCCTAGGGTGGGTGCCCCTGCCTACCCCAAGGCAGGTACCATCTCATGCTCTCTCTGGGTGTGACAGATCTGAACTCTTCACCCTCCCTCCTATACCTGTTCTGTTCCCATCTCTAGGGACCCCAAGGGCCCAGCCCCCCAACACACACACACCCCACCCCACTCACCACCCAAGTTGTCTCTCAGGGTGCTGGTGTTGAAGCCGGTGAAATGGCCCACCTTGGTCGGCAAGGAGGAGCCGTTGGTGCCGGGCCGAGGGGTCAGGGGTATGTCCCTGGGCCCCACAGCCACAAAGCTGACCAGCACTGAACCCAGGGAGCCAGAGACCAGCAGGAAGGTGAGGAAGGAGGCCCGGGCATAGAGCCCAGCGCCCAGCGTGCAGACCCCACCCACGAGGCCCAGCAGCAGGGAGCCGTAGAGGAGGTTCCAGCCATAGCCTTGGGGCAGCACCCGGATCCCGCTGGATCCTGTGGCATCTGGAGAGAGGCAGGGACAACGTAAGCTTTAGGCAGAAGGGCTGGCAGCTCCCCATTGTGGGCAAGGAGGCCTGTCTCTGGCGACATGAGTGACAGCAGCTCAGGACAGCAAGGGACCCCCTTCCTCAACCCACAATCCCAGAGCTGCCCACAGCAGGAAGAGAACACAGACCAGCTCCGAAGATGTCCAGCACAGACTCCACCAGCCCCAGCAGGGACACGGCACAGCTGCACACGTTGGCCAGGTAGAACATGAGGCCGATGCTACCGCCAACCTCGGGCCCCAGGGTCCGGCTGATCATGACTACAGGGAGTGAATGTTAAGGAAAAAGCAACGGGAATGGAGCCCAAAGAAGGGGCCATACACTGGGCTGTCTGGCTAAGACCAGACACAGCTGCCTGCTAGCTGTGCACTGACAACTGTCTCATCATTTGCAGGACAGCACAGAGCCTAACAGGTGCAGCCAGAATGGCCCTTCCGCTTACACACACACACACACACACACACACACACACACACACACACGCCGCCCAGAGGCAGGACAGCCAGGACCCTTCCCCTTATACACACCCCACCCCATCCCACCTCACCCAGAGGCAGGGCAGCCAGGACCCTTCCCCTTACACACACCCCACCCTACCCAGAGGCAGCACAGCCAGGACCCCAGCCCCATTGTGGAGGATACAATAGGCCCCGCCTCCACGCACGGCGCCGTTAGTGGCAATGGCACAGACAGACAGGACGGTGAGCGCCAAGATGAAATAGGCAACCAACAGCATGGCCAGGGATTGCAGCAGCCCAGCGTGACCCACCACGAACCCTGGGCCAGCAAGGGCAAGGCAGGTAAGGGGCTGGGAGGGGCCCCAAGCCTCCAGGCCAAAGCCACACCTTCCCCATTCTCCAGGCCCACCCCTCCCCCAAGAAGTCCCCACCCCTGCCCCCCCGCGCCCCGCCCCACTCACCAATTCTCAGAAAGACTACTATGCTGAACATGGACAGCACCGTGGGCACCACCACGCCGAGGAAAGTGGACAGCTTCCGTGCAGGTGCCCCTCCGGGACCCCCAGCAGCACCGGCGGGGAAGGCGGCCGCCTCCTCCCCTAGGAGCCGGTAGGCCAGCAGAGGCGAGCTCTCGCTGGCCATGGTCGAGCAAGAGCGGGCAGAGGATGCCACGAACGGGCCTGCCAAGCACACAACAGCAATGACCTGCGGAGCCCCCTCCCCAAGAAAAACCCCAGTCGCGCACGCGCGCGCGCACACACATGCACAGGCTCGCAGCAATCTCAGATGTCCCACCAGGCAGGACATGAAACCCCCCTCCCACAGGCCCGCTGCTCCCCCAGGCTGTGCGAGAAGGAAGCGAATCCCCCAAAAGGGAAGTGAGTTCCCGTCCCGCGGCCAGCCTCACCCCTTGCCCCGGACGCCGCTCACTCGGGCTGCTCCCCGACCATCGCCCACCAGCAGCTAGAAACTTGCAAATCTCCCCAAAGCCCCACCCTACGCCAACCCATCCCTTCCTCTCCCTAGCACCCCCTCGCCCGTCCCAGATTCCACACAGTCACACGGGGTTCTCCCCACCGCAACCCCGCCAGCACAAACACCCCGCCCCATCACCCCGACCGGCTCGCGGCCCGCCGGACCTCCATCCCCGGGCCAGGCCCACCCCTCGGCACGGCTGCGGCGCGGTAAACCCACTCACCAGCCGGGGAAGGAGCCCCGCGGGCGGGCCGCAGGGGTCCGCGGAGCGCCGAGCGGGGCGCGGGGGGCTCCGCCGAGCAGTCGGCAGCGGCTACCGGGATGTCAGGCCCGGAGCCTGCCCCATCCCCCCAGCCAGGCGCCCCATTGGTCCCGGGCGCCGGTCCCGCCCCGTGGGCGTCCGGGAACGTCCCGCCCCTCCGGGGGCGCCCAGTCCCCGGCGCGGCCGCAGCTTCCACGTGCTCCCGCCCTCAAGGTGCAGCCCGGGGCTGTCAGGTGCGAGCCTCGGGACCCACGACACCCACAGCGCTCTGCAGCCCCACGGAATGGGGTAGGGCGCATCGCCCGAGCCCTGGACAGGAGCGCGCGCGGAGGTGGCGGAAGGAATTGGGCGGGGCCGCGACACCTGGCGCAGGTGCATCTCCGAGGAACTCGGGATGTGGGGCGCTTGGCCCCTTTCGGAGTCCTGGTCCTGCCATCTCTCCAAGTCCTGGAACGAATGCAGGGTCCCGGCAGCGGCCCCCCAAGTCCCCCAGCCTCGCTCTGGGAGCCAGCTGCCGCCGCTGCGCTCCCTCGTCTTCGCCACTGGAGGGTGCCCTTGGCCGCAGGTCCGAGGTCGGTCTGCGCCGTCTGCCACCTGCTTTCGGGGGCTCATTGCAGCAGCGGCCGGCGGTGGGGTTGGGGAGCCCTACATGAGAGCCTTCCCATCACAGGCCTCAGCAGCGGCAGCGCAGTTTTGGGGTGACCCTACTTTTCTCTCAGGCAGGCAGGACCGCAAGCAGCTCCTCAACCACTCTGAGCTTGTCAGGTAACGCAGTTCTTGCCTATAACTTAAAATTTTTTTTTTATTTTTATTGGGAAGTCAGATTTACAGAGAAGAAAAGAGAGAGGTAAAGAATCTTCCATTCACTTATTCACTCCCAAAGTGGCTGCAACGGTTAGAGCTGAGCCAATTCTAAGCCAGGAGCTTCCTCCAGGTCTCCCAAGTGGTTGCAGGGTCCCAACTCTTTGGGGCATCCTCCATTACTTTCTTAGGGCACAAGCAGGGAACTGGATGGGAAGTGGAGCAACCTGGACACAAACGACACCCACATGCGATCCTGGAGCATGAAGACAAAGATTTAGCTACTATGGGGCCCGGCGCGGTGGCGCAAGTGGTTAAAGGTCCTCGCCTTGCACGCCCGGGATCCCATATGGGTGCTGGTTCTAATCCCGGCAGCCCCGCTTCCCTTCCAGCTCCCTGCCTGTGGCCTGGGAAAGCAGTCGAGGACGGCCCAAAGCTTTGGGAACCTGCACCCGCGTGGGAGACCCGGAAGAGGCTCCTGGCTTCGGATCGGCATAGTATCGGCCCGTTGCGGTCACTTGGGGAGTGAATCATCGGATGGAAGATCTTCCTCTCTGTCTCTCCTCTCTGTATATCCGCCTTTCCAATAAAAAAATAATAAAAATAAATCTTTAAAAAAAAAAAATAAATAAATAAAAAAAGAAAAAAAAAAAGATTTAGCTACTAGGCTACTGTGGGGAGCCAACCTTATTTTTTTTAAAAAAAGATTTATTTTATTTTTCATGGAAAGTCAGATATACAGAGAGGAGAAGAGACAGAGAGGAAGATCTTTCATCCAGTGATTCACTCTCCAAGCGGCCACAACAGCCAGTGCTAAGCTGATCCAAAGCCAGGAGCTCAAAGCCTCTTCCGCATCTTCCTCACGGGTACAGGTTCCCAAGGCTTTGGGCCATCCTCAATTGCTTTCCCAGGCCACAGGCAGGGAGCTGGATGGAAAGCGTGGCTGCCTGGACACGAACTGGTGCCCATATGGCATCCCTGTGCGTGCAAGACAGGACTTCAGCCATTAGGCTACCGCGCCAGGCCCAACAGCTAAAATTTCAAGGTCCACTACAAGTACTCCCTGGCATGTGCCTGAATTTCCTCATGCTGGCTCACTGTGTGTGTTACACCTGCTGGCCAAAACCACAACCTACCCCACGCAGCTGACCCTGAGTGGACAGAACACCCCCAGGGCAGCGTGAGTCTCCAGTGGCCCCTGATTCACTCTCTGCCCTATTCCCTTTCCCACGACTTCACCCCTCTCATCAACCACCCCAGAGGTGCTTCTGCTTAGTCCTGGCTCCCTGCCCTGCCTCCCATTTCATTGAGAAAACAGAAGCCGTCAGAAGAGACACTGGAAGCTTCTCTCCGCCCACCACCGCCCACCTGCCTCAGTGCTCTGCACTAGGCTGCCCTGTGCAGCCGCTCCAGCTCGGTGTCTTGGTTGTTCTTTGCACTGGGCCAGTCCCATCTATATCAGATAAACTCCATCCTGGAGAGCAGGTCCCATCTGTATCAGGTATGCTCCAACCTAGGGGAGGAGGGACAGGTCCCATCTGTATCCCCTAAGGTGGAGTGCTCTTAGGCGGCATGGAGCGTGACATGACATATCAAGCTAAACCTGTGCCTACCATACCAGCATCCCATATGGGCACCAGTTCTAATCCTGGCAGCTCCACCTCCCATCCAGCTGGGAAAGCAGTCGAGGATGGCCCAAAGCCTTGGGACCCTGTACTCGCGTGGGGGACCTGGAGAAGGTTTCCTGTCTTCAGGTCGGCACAGCTCTGGCCATTGTGGTCACTTGGAGAGCGAATCATCGGATGGAAGATCTTCCTCTCTGTCTCTCCTCCTCTCTATATAACTGACTTTGCAATTTAAAAATAAATGTTTAAAATAAATAAATTCCACCTGGATAGCAGTGTCCCCAAGGCGTGTCTGCAGCCCAGCCCTCTACCCTTAACGCCAGGCAGTGAAGAGGGGCTTCTATTCTTTTAAGACTTATTTCTATTTGAAATTACAGAGATTACAGAGAATCTTCCATCCGCTGGTTCACTTCCCCACTGAGATCACGCAGGAGGTGAGGCTCGAACTTCACCCCTCACTGCTTGTCAGAACTCTCCAGCGTGCGAACCAGCAGGTTGCTCACATGACTGCGGAGGCCCCGCCCCCTCCTAGAAAGGGAAGATGGCGGCAACGGAGGCGGCTTCATAGAGCGGGCAACCAACGAGAGGACGCCGAGCTGCCAGAGCGTCCACGTCGCCGCACTTTGTTTCTGCGGTTGCGTCCTGGGAAGGCGCGAATTCTGGGGTTACGTGCTGGTCCTCCTTTCCACCATTTTTTCAGGGGAGGGGGAAAAAAAAACACCCACAACCAAGTCTTAGAGACTGTTAGGTGGGAGCTGTCCGCCGCCTCTCCAGTTGCTGGGGTTCTCTCGTGCAGCGTTCGGGGTCTTGGAGTCACTCGCTGTGCACGCTTTGGGTGACTGCAGCCCAGCCTCCGGTTTGGGGGATCCTCCCTGCACTCCGGGCCGCTGGCCCTGGCCACCTCCGGCCTCCTCCCTGGCCTGACGATCCCGCCGCGATTATAAATCCCTGATCTGGGAGCCCACTCCCTCTCCCAGGTCCCTGGGGCAGATGAGCCCCGGGTCACCGCCCCTCCGATTTCCTGCAGACCCAACAAACAAAAGGCTTGGCGGAGCGGGGCGCCCTTCCTGCGGGAACAGCTGATGGGGCGCAAAACGGCCCGGGCGGGAGCTGGGGGGGTGGGGTGGTGATGCCTGGGTTCTTAGCGGACAGCCGTGAGGACAGGTCCTGGGGAGGGGAGGGCGCAGGCGGGACTTTGGGTGAGCTGCTGCCCGCCTGGGGTGATGTCAACCTCGGGGAATGGAGGGGGCGGGGGGCCCAGGCTTCAGGTGAGCTCTCAGGTCCTGGGAGCTGGGAAAGGAGCGGGAGAAGCCATTGCGTCATCTCCCCTGCGTTCAGCCCACCTCCCTCAGGCCCGACCTGCTACCCCCGGTGCTGGCCACACCCAGGCCTGGCTTCCTGCCCCTCCCCTCCCCATTTCTCTGAGCTTCACAAATCAGCCCAGGTCTCCCCGTCCCGGCAGCACCCGGGGAGCCCCAGCCTCAGCCCAGTCAGTCCTCCTAGGCCCTGGCGGTTGCCTGCCCCGCCCCCATTCCTGTCCAGGACACAATGCTAAAGAGAGGGCCAGGTTCAATGCGAGGGGGAGGGGGGTCTGCTGGCATGGGGTGGGGACTGGAGGGGGCTTGGCCTCATATCCTGTCAGGCTGCCAGGGGAAGAGAGGAAACAAAAGACTTCCCCGTGCTGCTGCCGGGACAATGAGCCTCCCCAGCCTCCCACCTTTCCACTTCTCCTCCTCCTCAGCCTGGCTCCCCAGCCCCTGGGCTAGGGCTCCACCTCCCTACCCCGGCCCAGGGGCCGCCTCTGCCCTTCCCTTTCCCCTTCCCAATGGCTATCAGCTGTGCTGACGTGGGCTCCCCTGTCCAGCTGTCGCCCGGGGTCCTAGGGCACCAGATTGGGGGCAGGGTGGGAATAGCTCCATCGAGTGCTGGGGTGGGAAGACTCTAGTGCAACTCAGAAGACAATCCTTAACAGGATCTTGTGAGTGGGAGTCTTGCCCTGGCAAGTGGGGCTTGGAGGGTACCTACAGCCTCAGTGCCACTGTGGGTCATCCCTGTATTCCCTCCTCCATCCCCATCCCATGATGCTGGTAGGGCCTTCCTGGGTCTCCCTCTCCAGGTGCCCCCACAGTGCCCGCCCGCCCTGTGGAGCTCCCACCTGGCAGGAGCCCATCCCTTATCCCTGGACCGCTCCCTGGTGTAGCAGCCCCTGAGTCATCCTCCTTGATTTTAAAGCTCCCAGTCCTTCCTGCAGTGGCTAGGGCGGGCCCATGCTCGCTTGCTTCTCTGGCTCATTCACTGTTGTCATCTGAGAATCCCCGCTGGAGGCTGCAGGCTGGGTGGGCCATGCTGTGGGTCCCTGGCCTTCACCCTGGCCCACGGTAAAGTACCTACTGGATTTATGAAAGAGTTGAGGAAGGAATCACCCCTGGCCAGGCGTGCACTGCACACCTGCTTTCCTGAGCCATGAAGCCCCGAGCCAGGAAATTTGGGCAGTGACTAATGAGTCAGTTAACGCCTGCATGCTCCAGTCTGGAGCCTCTGGAATCAGCAGACCAGGCAGAGTCTGGCTTTGTGGATCTGGAAGTTTATCTAGTCTGGAAAGACTGTCCTTAAAATAGGGAAAAGCGGATGCCAGTGCAGCAGATTGATAGGCTAATCCTCCACCTGTATAAGCCTAAATTCCCAGTTGGGCACCGGTCTGTAGAAAGACACAGCCAGTAGAATCTCCCCAGAAGGCGCCAGGAGCAATTGATAAGGAGACTAATGAGCAGGAAGCATCTTGGTTCACAGGTTTAGATAAAGAACCTGCTAGAGGAACAAGCTGTGTTTTGGAGAAGTGCACCTTGCTGTTGAGATGTGAATGGCTCAAGTCCCTCCTCCCTAGATGCCTATCAGACAACCTTCCTTTAAAAGTCTGGTGCTGTTAATAAACTCGGCTATCGACCACTAGTTAGTAGTCCACCGGTATCATCGTCTCCATGAACCAAGTTGTTCGCTGAAGGACAGTGACACTGGTTCATGCCAGTACAGCTCCCTGTTTGTGGCCTGCGAGCACAGCAGAGGATGGCCCCAAGGCCTTGGGACGCTGCACCCATGTGGAAGATCCAGAAAAGGCTCCTGGCTTCAGATCAGCTCAGCTCTGGCTGTTGTGAACATTTGAGAGTGAACCAGCACACAGAAGATCTTTCTCTATCCTTCTCTCTGTCTTTCTTTCAATAAATAAATCTTTGAAAAAAAAAAAGTGAGAGGTGGGCTTCTGGTGTGGTGGTGAGAATGGTGATCATTGCAACCCCACAGCCCCCAAGTCCTTGGGTTCCTGCCATCCAGTGGGAGAGAATCAGGGAGATTCCCACCCCACCCCAGCTGCAGCCTGGCCCAGCCCTGAGTGTTGCACACATTTGGGGAGTGAATGAGCAGATCAAAGGTCTCATCTGTCTTTTTAATTAAAATTGATCATCTGTGTTTTTTTATTATTAAGGATTTATTTTGATCAAGAAAGATTTCTGAAGAGAAGGAAAGACAAAGATTTTCCATATGCTGGTTCACTCCCCAAGTGGCCACAATGGCCAGGGCTTAGCTGATCCGAAGTCAGGAATTTCTCCCTTGTTTCCCACCTAGGTGGAGTAACCCATGGACTTGAGCCATCTTCTGCTGCTTTCCCAGACTGTAAGCAGGGAGCTGGGTGGGAAGTGGAGCGGCTGGGACTTGAACCTGCACCCATATGGGATGCTGACATTGCAGGCAGAGGATTAACTTGCTGCACCACAGCACCAACCCCTCCTCTATTTATCTTGAATCGAACATCAAAATGAGCAGAGAGCAAATTCCCCTTCCTGGTGGAGTAGGGTAGGATGCTGGAAGTGGCAGCAATCCAACTCCTTGAGCCATGCCTGTTCCCTGCCCCCCACCCCTGGGTCTCTGGCAGGAAGGTGGACGCATGGGCAGGCATGGACACTGGACTCTGATCCGGCGCCCAAGTGCCTTCCTGGAGTGTCCACTGCGGTCCACCCCAAGACCTTTTCTGTTTCTGTCTTTGCTCTAACATGTCTGACTGGGTTTTTCTTTCATTCTAGAGGGTTCACACATTGAACTTTACGATGCAGGGCTAGCCACAGCATCCAGACGATTCAAGGGGACACTTGCCACTCAGAGCTGCAGCAGCTGAGGGCACTCATTAACCAGGGTTCTGGCAGGAAAGAGACAGGCAGGTGAGGGTTGCCCACGCTGGAAACTTGCGAGCTCCCAGATAAGCCTGAACTTTGCCCGCGCCTAAGTTGGGCAGGCTAAAAGCGGGAAGTCTGGGATGTGGGAAAAAAAAAAAAAAAAAAAACAAAACCTGTGAGTGCAGCCATACAGGGAAAAAGGGAATAATTCTCATTGTATGTCGTCTGATAACTACACACCAAAAATTCTACCCCTGAGACTGCTCAGAGAGAGCCGCCACACAGTAAGTGGCCAGGAGAAAGCAGCAGGTGGCTCAACCAGGCTCTGGGCAGCATGTCTGTGGACAAGTGAAAGTAAGAAAGATGCTTACTTGGATGCAGACCATGTTTTGGCTCCTATGGAGGAGGATTCTTCAAAGAAGTTTGTTTAAGATGCAAAGTATGAAAAGCCTGTATGTGGGTTTCAAATTTTTTTTTTAAAGACTTATTTATTATGTATCTGAAAGTCAGAGTTACAGAGAGGGACAGAGGTTTTTCTTCCATGTGTTGACTGACTCCCCGAGTGGCTGCAGTGGCCCGGTAAGTGAGCCAGAAGCTTCATCCAGGTCTTCCACGCGGGTAACAGGGTCTTAAGGACTTGGACCATCTCTTGCTGGCACTAGCAGGGAGCTGGATCAGAAGCAGAGCAGCCGGGACTAGAACCAGCAGCTAGAGAGGTTGCTGGCATTGTAGGTAGTGACTTGGCCCGCCACTCTATAACACTAGGCCTTCAAAAAAAATTTTTTTGCACCTACAAATGTGAGCACACAGGGTTCTGTGTGATGACAGCACGTTGCTGTCATCTCAGAGCAAGTGTGACACCTCACATAGGCAGACAGTGGCGTGTCCTGCACGCCCCAATCCTGTGCAGAGAGGTATCCAGGTGGTGTTTGGGAACAGGAATGGATTGAGGAGGCCAGTGTTACAGTGTGGCAGGTTCAGCAGCTGTTTCAAGGCTGGTGTACCTCAGGAAGCTAGTTCAAGTCCTGTCCATCTTGCTGTCTGATCCACCTCCCTGCTATCACACTCAGCGAGTCAACAGAAGGCCCAAGCTGCCACTCACGTGGGAGACCCCGAATGAGTTCCTGGTTCCTCCTGGACTTAGGAAGGTCCAGCCATGGCCATTGTGGCCATTTCGGGAAGGGAACTTTGTGGGATTTTATATCAAGTTCAATCCATTTCCTTCTGGATGATCTTTGAGGACAGGAGGCATGTCTTGGTGCTGTGGGGGGTGGGGGAACAGGGTGTGGCATGAGGCACAGTGAACATTTCCCGTCTTCATTCCCCTGTGCTAACACACAAGCCATCAGGGTGGACGTTGGCTGTCAGCGGAAGGGCCCGAGGCACAGGCGAGCCAACCCCGGTGGGACACCTGCCTGCTTTCTCTGCAGCCCCCTCCCCAACACACACTGGGCCACCCCCAAGCTGAAAAACATCCAAGCAGTTAAGCATGAGCCCGTGTGAAAGTGGTCGGATGGATGACCTGGCTTTGAGTGGTTGGGGGTCTGGGTGCAGAGAACCCCAGGAGGAGGTGTTTGTGAGAGAGCATGCACAACATACACACATGTTGCTCAGCACGTGTGTGCAGGCCTATGCACGTGTGTATGCATCCATGTGTACGGGCATGTTGGGGGGGACCTGCAGGGAGACGCTGAGTGGAGGCGCGCCAGGAGGGAGGCGGGGATTCCCAGCTCCACCGGGTCTGCCTGGCTCCAGCCAAGCCGGCTGTTTCCTGCCCTCTGTGACCCCCTACTCCGGGGCAGGACCCATTCAGGGGGACGAGGAAGGGCAGGGGTGTGGGAGCACCTCTTGTGACTGGAAGATAAGTGCCAAGGGACAAGTCATCGCTGGCTTGGCTGTCCTGGGGAAGGGGGAGCTCAGGGTGCTGGGCAGTCCCTCACTCCCCCAAGGATACTGGGCTTTTTCCCTCTCTGGGCGCTCAGCTCCCCAGGACTGGATCATCCCCCTGTTATGATTTTCCGAGTCAGGCTGCACAGCCAAAGCCTGCAGCAGGAACCCCCTTCCGTAGGTGGCCCACCCCAGCGTGAAAGGGAAGGTGGGAAGAGCTCGGCTTTCCTGGACCCTCCCGCCAACCAAGTGATGGATGGGGGGGGGATGTTGGCAATGAAAGGAAGGGCCCCTCCCAGCCATCCCGAGGGCCCCCAGGAGCCAGACAGGAAACTGCCTCAGGAAAGAGCCGAGGTAGCCCCAGCCCCCGGGGTCACTGCCGACGATGGTGAACCCCTCGATCTCCCGCCACTCCCACACCCGTGCTCCGGACACTTTCTCTCCCCTGCTTCGCAGTCCTCCGCCCCCTTTCTAACGCCCGTGCACGCTCAAGCTCCTCAAGTTCGACTTTGTGCAACGGCTGCGTGAAGCTTCGCTCCACGGTTAACGTTGCTGGCATGGCTCCCTAGGGGGCTGTTCTATCTTCAAAAAAGTTTGCACCCCTTTGCTCTTGCAAACGTAGCCCCCATTCGCCAACTCTGGCAAGCGCGCGCGATCTCAAGTCCGCGGCAAGGTCAGAGCCGGCTTTGTGTGAGCTGTGCACGTTCCCGCGCGTCGGTGCACTCCTCTTCTCTATGGGGCGCGTTTTCCTCCTCGTGGAATCGGCCTGGTTCGGGCCTGTTCCAGGAGTCGGGGGACGGGGAGGGTCCCTGGGTCCCGGCCCCAACACGCGTTCGCAGTCCCCGACAAGGAGCACGGCCGCCGGGCACGTCTGGGCGGTCCCCGAGCTCTACTCCAGCCGCCCCTCCCCCTTCCCCAAACTTTCTCCCAACTTCCCGACCTGCTCCGCTCGGCGCCCCGCTCCTCTTCCCTCATGAATTATTCAGCAGCGAGCGCTCCAATCAGCGCACCCGAACACCCCCCGGCCGCGCTCCGACGGGGTGGAGGGGAAGCTGCTCCCGCGCGCCCCTCCCTCCCGGCCCAGGCGCCACCCGGCCCAGGCCCGGCCCGGCCTCGGCTCGGCCCACCCGGCTCCACAGTCTCCCTCCCTCCCACTCGGTCGGTGCTCGGGCTCCCACCCTCCCCGGCCGCCCCGGAGCGCTCAGCCCAGCTGCGTGAGCAGCACCACTCCCGGGAGGGGGGGAGACGACGAGCGGCCGACCCACCTCCAACCCAGCCGGGGCGGGACCCCGAGGCTCCGGAGGGACCCCCAACTCCAGCCACGTCTTGCACTGAGCGTGCGCCCGGCGCAGCCACTGCCTGGACGCCCCCCGGCCGGCCGGTCGTCAGCGCGTGTGCGGCGGAGACGCGGGGCCACACCTGGGCGCCTGCCGCCCCGGTGCCCGGCGCGCCCGCATGGGCCCGCGCTGAGGGTTCGGACCCGGTGTCCTGCGCGAAGAGGGGATTGGGAGGGTGGTGAGTCGGCGTCCACCCGCCAGGCTTGGGGGTCAGAACTGGGGGGGCTAGGGCCCCCCAAACTCGGATCGGATCCAGCCTGAGCAAGGCGGCGCCATGGAGTTCCGAGCGCTGCTCTGTTGGGCTTCCCTCGCCGCCGCCTTAGAAGGTGAGTTTCCTCAAGGGGCGCCCCACCACTCCCGGGGGCCCCCCACAAGTTGGGCTTGAGAGCGAAGGGGCCGATCTTTCTCCATCCAGACCCCGGCAGCCCCGCTTCCAAACACTTGGGACCAATAGCGCAGGAAGGGGGGGTGGACAGGGAGGAGGCGCCCGGCGGGGAGTGGAGCTTTCTTTTGTTTGGGAAAACGATGGAGCCGGGCTCCTGCTCGGGACATTCCCCTAGACTTGTACTCGCGGCGCCAGAGATCCTTGGCAACCTTTGCTTCCTCCCCACCCCAGTCCTCAAAACTATCCCCAAAGTTTCTGCCACCCCGACCCTTTCCCATCTCCCCACCGCGACTGCAGCCAGCAGCGGGGAGAGGGAGCGGAGGCCAGGAGGGTGGAACTTTGCGCTGGGCCCCTAGCTGCCCCCTTCTTCCACCGCCTCTTCCCTCACTGTCGCACCTTGATCTGTACTCGGTGCTGCTCGTCAGGCCGGCCCTTTCCACAGCCTCCCAAGCCGCTGGCTTCTGCAGACGCCCTGCCCTCCTCCCACCCCCCACCCCGGGCTGCACCCCAGCCTTCTAAATCCCAACCCTGCCTGAGCACCAGGTTTTTCCCCAGGCCTAGGAGCTCCAAGAAACTAGGCTGCATGAGCTCCCCTACCCCCCCAACCACCACCTTCTTGGGGCTCTCAGATTTCCACTTTTGCCTGCCTTCCCTTCCAGATGCAGCCTTAAGGTCCAGGAACCCCAAGCTAACCTTTTCACATCCCTAATCTCCCTTCATTGATCTGCCTCCCTGTCTCCCCAGCCCCCTTTACTGCCTGGAATTAAAGGAGTCTCTGAGGGAGTGGGCCATGGGGAAAGCACCTGGAGAGGAGGAATCAAAGGCTACACCCGGTTGGGCAGCTCTGCTCTGGGCTGGGGATCAAAGGCAGGGTGTGTGTGTGTTGGGGGGGCATTGAAAGGAGGACTGTGTGAGCCAGGCTGGGGCTAGAGGGAGAGAAGGAAGGTGGCAAGAAGGAATGAGAGATGGCCAGGGGAAATGCCCATCCAGCCCCCTGTCCTTCTGCTGGGCTGACCCCTGGGCAGATGTCACTTCCACCATGGGGGTGGGAGGGGAGACTATCTCCCATTTTACAGATCAGGAAACTGAGGCTGGGAAATGTTCATGTATGTAAAGTCCTGTGCCACTCCCCCTAAAGGAGGGTGGCAGGGGGAAGGCTGAGGAAGAAGGAGGAGGAGGAGGAATGGACGTGAAGTGGGGTAGGCGGGATGAAAGAGGCAGGTGACCATGGCCAGTGGCCACCGGGGAGGTGGGAGGGCCAGTGCAGCAGGGCTGCTGGGCACTGGCCCCCAGGACCGCCCAGGCAGAGACAGTGTGTAAATTGGAGACAGGAAAACACTATCCACGCTGGAACAATGGAGGGTGGAGACGGCTGCGTCTGTCCACCCTCTTCCCAGAACCCCGGGCATCCTGTCCCCAGCCAGCGGGGTTGTCTCCTGACACCCATCTGGGCCCTGGGCCTCACCTCGGGCTGGCTGTGTTCCCACTGCCCCTGCCATCATGCCTTGGCCTGGGTCGAGTCCACCCCCAACCTCACTTGCTGCCTCCCCTGGGGGCCTCCTCACATGCCCCCCCTCCACCCCGACTTCGCTCACCCTCCCCTACCAAGACCTGTGGGGCTTTTTCTACTCCCTGGACCCCTCCCTGTCCTGACAGTGCAGGAGCAAGCCAGGTGTGCCCCCCCTTCACACACCCCTGCAGCCTCCTCCCCTTCTCCTTGCCCTAAATGACTCCAGATGTGAGGCCCCTGCAGGGGCCGGGCTGGGCACCCAGCATTCCAGGCCTCTGTGCTTCTCCCTCTGAAAGTGGCAAACTGGAGTTGGGGGGCAGTGGGAGTTAGAGGAGGGTGTCCGCCCCCCCCCCCCCAGGGCCCTGTCTAGGTGAGAGAGGGAAAGAAAGAGCAGAATATTTGTTCTGGGAATGGTAGGGGGTGGGGGGAGTTGGACAGGAATGTGGGGCCTGAGATGGGCTTGCAGGGAGGGGTGTTGGCTTGGCAGGGTGGGAGGGGGCCCTGACCCAGGTGGGGTCAGAGCCAGGGCAGGGTTCTCGTTTTAACCCTGTGTAAGACACCGAACTTTGTTGCCTTTGCAGCCTCCTGGTTTCTGTTCCCTCTGGCAGGGCACAGCCCTTTTGGGAATCTGGGGCCAGCTGGTGCCTGCCAGCTGCTGGGGGTGGTGCCAGAAGTCCGAGGGGAGGGTGTTGCAGAGGGCAAGTGTGCCCCCTCCTGTCTGTTCACCTGCTGATCGTAGCTGAGAGGTAACCTGGTATACCTGCTGCGTTTCCCGACAGCACCCTGCACCCAAGCACTGACTGTCTGCCCACCCCTCTCTTAGAGACCCTCCTGAATACAAAATTGGAAACTGCCGACCTGAAGTGGGTGACCTTCCCTCAGGCAGATGGGCAGGTGAGCCGGGGCCAGGCGCTGGGGTCGTGGAGAAGAGCGGGAGGAGGGGGCCAGGGTACCTGCACTGTTGCTGCCAGCTTCACTGTTCCCTTCTGGGCAGGGGTCTTGCGAGCCGCTCCCCTGTGCCCACACATGCTTGTCCTTCTCCATGCAGTGGGAGGAGCTGAGTGGCCTGGATGAGGAGCAACACAGCGTGCGCACTTACGAGGTGTGTGACCTGCAGCGCACCCCGGGCACGGCCCACTGGCTGCGCACAGGCTGGGTTCCTCGCCGTGGCGCTGTGCATGTGTACGCCACACTACGTTTTACCATGCTGGAGTGCTTGTCACTTCCCCGGGCTGGCCGCTCCTGCAAGGAGACCTTCACCGTCTTCTACTATGAGAGCGACGCCGACACTGCCACAGCCCTCACGCCAGCCTGGATGGAGAACCCCTACATCAAGGTACCCTGGGTACCTCACAACAGCTGAGGCATGGCTGAAGGGTGGGGTAGCGTGGGGTTGAGGGGGCTGAATGGGGCTGCCCGTGGAGGCCCTCCCTCTTCTGGGCCACTGAATCCCCACTGTGCTCTAGCCCACTGCCTTTCTCCCATTCCTTAACCACATATCTGGGTTTTTGTTTATTTTTAATTGGAAAGGCAGATTTAACTATGAGGAGGAAAGACAGAATGATCTTCTATCTGCCGGTTCACTCCCCAAATGGCCACACTGGCTAGAGCTGGGCGTTTTGGGATGTGAGAGTGTCCTCCAGGTCTCCTATGTGGGTGCTGGGGTCCAAGGACCTGGGCTACTTTTCCAGGGCACAAGCAGGGAGCTGGATGGGAGTAGCCAAGACACGAACCGGTGCCCATATGGGATCTCAGCGCTTGCAGGTGGAGGATTAATCCCACTCTCCTGCGATTCACTCCTCTGTTAGTTGGGCTCAGGTCAGAGCTTGGTATGGCTCAGATCTTGGCAGATGCCAGTGGACGGTGGGGCAGATGTGCAGGATACAGGCTGGGATTACTGGATAGTGCTGGAGCCTGAAGGAAGAGAAGGTCCCTGGAGAAGGTGGGGAGAAGGTTCTAGAACCTTCTTGGTATATACCGAGGAGGTTGGGGAGGGGCTGCTGCTGGGGTCCTCAGGGCTGTGTGGACAGTGGCAAGGTGTCTCCCATCACCACAGGTAGACACAGTGGCCGCAGAGCACTTGACCCGGAAGCGTCCTGGGACCAAGGGCACGGGGAAGGTGAACATCAAGACGCTGCGTCTGGGCCCGCTCAGCAAGGCCGGCTTCTACCTGGCCTTCCAGGACCAGGGCGCCTGCATGGCCCTGCTCTCCCTGCATCTCTTCTACAAGAAGTGTGCACAGCTCACCTTGAACCTTACCTACTTCCCAGAGACTGTGCCCCGCGAACTCGTGGTGCCTGTGGCCGGGATCTGCGTGGCGGACGCTGTCCCTGCCTCTGGCCCCAACCCTAGCCTGTACTGCCGGGAGGATGGCCAGTGGGCCGAGCAGCCTGTCACAGGTTGCAGATGTGGTCCAGGCTTTGAGGCCGCTGAGGGGAACACCAAATGCAGAGGTGAGAGCTGGGGAGCAGAGGTTCCTGTGGCGGGGAGCATGTGGTCCCCTGCTCTTGGGCCAGTGGAAGTATCTCCTGGGAGCAGCTTTTGCCTCCTGGGCCCTGGCTGCTGAAGGGCCTCTTCTTGGGGCACCCCCGTCATGATGGGCAGTGTTCTCTTTCTTCCAGACATTTCCCAGCACATCTCTCTGCATTCTTTTTGGAAGCTGGCTGGGGTGCAGGACTATCCTTGGTTAGGGGACACCTTGTTGGGCTCAGGACAAAGATATTGTGGTTTCTGTTTTTAAGTTTAGTGATCTGAAAGGCAGAGTGGCAGAAAATCTTAGAATCTTCCATCTGCTGGTTCATTCCCCCAAATGGCTACAATGGCCAGACCAAAGCCAGGAACTTGGAGTTTCCTCTGGGTCTCCCAGGCAGATGCAGGGTCCCAAGGCTTGGGCCATTCTCTACTGCTTTCCCAGGCCGCAGCAGGGAGCTGGATGGGAAGTGGAGCGGCTGGGACATGAACCAGTGCTCTTATATGATCCCAGCACTTCCAAAGCGAAGATTTAGCCACTTGAGCCATGGTGCTGGGCCGTACTTTCTTATTTTGAAGATTTAGAGAGAGGGAGGCATGAGAAGGAAAGAGATCTATCTGCCACCTCCTGGTGCGCTCCCCAAATGACTGCGCTCCCCAAGTCTCAGCCAGGCTGAAGCCAGGAGCCTGGAACTGCTCATGTGGATGCAGGATAGGCCATCTGCTGCTACATTCCCAGGCTCCTTAGCAGGGATCTGGGTTGGAAGTGGAGCAGCTGGAACTCAAACCAGTACTCAGTTATATGCATCTGGACATATTGCTGGCTCCATGATGTCTGTGTAAAATTGTAGGTTCACACAGGGTGTTTGGGCCCCACCAGGTGGCCAAGATGAGGGTTGGGAAGGGCAGGAGCTGTTCTCCCATCTTGGCATTTCATGCAACCTTAAAAGCAGCTTTTTTTTGTTGGTGATTCTCCCTGTCTTTCTCAGCCTGCGGCCAGGGAACCTTCAAGGCCTTGTCGGGGGAGGGCTCCTGCCAGCCATGCCCACCCAACAGTCACTCCAACACCATCGGGTCCACTATGTGCCAGTGTCGCATTGGGTACTACCGGGCCCGTGCAGATCCCCAAAGTGCACCCTGCACGAGTGAGTTCACGGGGCGTCCCTTCCCCTGCATGCTGGCTACCCACCCTCCCTTCCCCTAACCCCACATCTGTCCCCTCCCCGCCTCTGCTGACACTCTGATTTCCGCAGCTCTGCCCTCTGCCCCGCGGAGTGTGGTTCCCCGCCTGAATGGCTCGGCATTGCACCTGGAGTGGAGTGCCCCCCTTGAGTCGGGCGGCCGAAATGACCTCACCTATGCCATCCGCTGTCGAGAGTGCCGCCCTGGGGGCTCCTGCACGCCCTGTGGGGGAGACCTGACCTTTGACCCTGGCCCCCGAGATCTGGTGGAGCCCAGGGTGGTAGTGCGGGGGCTGCGTCCCGACTTTACCTACACCTTTGAGGTCACTGCCTTGAACGGGGTGTCTTCCTTGGCCAGCGGGCCAGTCCCATTTGAGGTCGTCAATGTCACCACCGACCGGGAAGGTAAGACTGGGGGTCGGGCTGGGGTAGGGAGATGGCAGGGAAGATGGGGTGTGGAAAGCATAGAGGGTTGGGGCTTCTGGGGCAAGAGGCAGAGAGCAACTGAGAAAGGTGGGGTGGCGGGAGGGCTAAGGGCTGGGAGGCAAAAATCTGTGGCCAACCCGAGCGTAGCAGCAGGCTGAGCCAGGAGAGGGGCTGCCCAACAGTGCCCCCGGGATCTCTTTCCCACAGTGCCTCCCGCTGTGTCTGACATCCGGGTGACCCGCTCCTCACCAAGCAGCCTAAGCCTGGCCTGGGCAGTTCCCCGGGCGCCCAGCGGGGCAGTGCTGGACTATGAGGTCAAGTACCACGAGAAGGTGAGGATGCCTGGCCACACGGGTTGGGTAGCAACCCTTGCCTCCAAATTGCAAAGGCACCAGGATCTTTAACTTCCTGCACCTGACACTGCACGCAGGACATTGCACACTCGGTGTCTCATGTGTGGTATAAACATAACGTGCATGGTGAGCTTCAGATTCTAAAACCACCATAGCACAATATGGCTTATGCAGCTATTCTAAGCCTGATGCTGGAAAAAGATGGATAGGCCCAAGTGTTTGGGGTGAGGGCTGCTCAGTAACTCACCTGGCACATACCTACGTGGGACTTCTGAGGCTGCCGCTGCTTCATCAGGACCGCCACGCCAGCCATGGGGATCCCAGGGTTGGTGACTGGGGTGAGGGCAGGGGAAGACAGAAAGAGTGGTAAGGGCTGCTGGGGAGCCCCTGACTTACCCCCAGACCCCTCTTCCTTCCGGCCAGGGTGCAGAGGGCCCTAGCAGCGTGAGGTTCCTGAAGACGTCAGAAAATCGGGCTGAGCTGCGGGGGTTGAAGCGCGGGGCCAGCTACCTGGTGCAGGTGCGGGCGCGATCCGAAGCTGGCTATGGGCCCTTCGGCCAGGAGCACCACAGCCAGACCCAGCTGGATGGTGAGCCTCCGGCGAGCGGGGTATGGGCAGGAGGTCTTACCTATGCCCCTCCTTTCAAGGGTCCCCTGCCCGTCCCCACTCCCAACCCACAATATTCCTCAAAGAACTGGAGATGTAATTCCCATGCCTGTCAACCCATTCATGGAAGACATACAATCCAGTGGATTTTTCATGTATTCTAAGGGTGATGCGAGACTCACCACAGTTCATTTGAGGGTGCTTCCCAGCACCCTAGGAAGCAGCCCAGTATCCCTTAGCCTCCTCCCGTGGCCACCCCACCCTAGCAAACAGTTGCCTCATTCCTGTCCGCACTGACTCAGGCATTCTACGCATTTCATGCAAACAGGATCCACATTGCGTGCTCTGGCCTGACCAAAGCTTGCAGTTTCCTTCTTGTTTTGGGGTTCATGTGTGTTGGCCCATGAATGAGTATTTGGGTTTTCTTCAGTGGCTAAGGAATAACCCATTGCATTGATCCAACACATTTACTGTATTCCCATATACATCCACAGACACTCAGGTTTTCCATTCAAGGGCTATATATGTTTTTTAATTCTTTGCCTTTGGGAGATTTCTTCCAGATGAGGCTCTTTCTAGATCTCAGTACACGGGACCTTCAAAAAATTGGTGGAACATTCATATGCTGTCATGGATTAAGCTGCAGCTTCTGGTACTGGAACCCTGTGTCCCTGGTTCGAGTCCCAGCTGTTCCACTTCCGATCCAGCTCCCTGTGGATGCACTTGAGGGGGCAGCATACAACCCCTGCTACCCCTCTGGGAAGCTGGATGGAGTTCTAGGCTCCAGGCTTCTGCCTGGCCCAGCCCCAGCTGTGGCCATTTGGAGGATAAACCAGCAGATGGAAGATCTTTCTGTTCTTTCTTTTGCTCCCTCTCTCTCTGCTGCTCTGCCTTTTAAATAAATTAATATTCTAAAAGCTTCCTATTTTACCTTATAAAACATTATTTGAAAGCCAGAGTTAGAAGGAGAGGCAGAGAGAGGGGTCTTTATTTCACTGCTTCACTCCCCAAACGGCTGCAGCGGCCAGGGCTGTGTCAGGATAAAGTCCGGAACTAGGAGCTTCATCTGGGCTTCCAACCAGAGTGCGGGGACCCAAACTCCTGGGTCATCTGCTGCTTTCCAGTCAGTAGCAGGGAGCTAGATCAGAAGTAGAGCAGTAGGACTCAGCCTGGTGCCCACATGGCCCAAGTGGAGTCTTTAACTCGCCATGCCACAATGATGCCCCCCGCCCCAACTTCATGTTAAGAAACTATGCATGAATTTCAAAGATGTGTTTTTGCCCCACGATCAGCTTAGTTCCCAATTTCATTTTCCATGAACTTTCTGAGGTTCCTTCATATTGGTCATGGAATAAAAATCGAACCTACTTTGGGAGCAATAGGGTCAGGACAGCTGTTGCCTCCTGTTGTTGCCATGAGGAGCACTTGGCAGCTCCTGGTGGCTCCATGCTGTGCCACACTGTGCGGTGCTGTGTTGGGGGCTCAGGGCCAGGGCTGGGTCCTGCAAGGGGCCACTTGCTGACCAGCTCCTCTTCCCCTAGAGGGTGACAGCTGGCGGGAGCAGCTGGCTCTGATCACTGGCACAGCAGTCATGGGAGTGGTGCTGGTGCTGGTAGTCGTGGTCATCGCCATCCTCTGCCTCAGGTAAGGGCCCTGAGAGCCCTGGCTGTAGCCACCTGCCATCCCACCAGTCTGTTGTCTCATGTCCTCCTTCCCAACTGCCCCTTCCCTGTATTCCTCTGGGGATGTAGAGATGCTGTCTGGGTTGATCCCGTGCTTCTTTCCCACTGGCCATAGGAAGCAGAGCAGTGGGAGAGACGTGGAGTACTCGGACAAACATGGACAGTATCTCATCGGGCATGGTGGGTACACCTGTCCCTGGGGGAAGCTGGGGCTGGGAACAGGAGTGGTGGGAGCTGACAGACAGGCTCTGTATCACCCCCACAGGTACGAAGGTCTACATTGACCCCTTCACTTACGAAGACCCCAATGAGGCTGTGAGGGAGTTTGCCAAAGAGATCGACGTCTCCTATGTCAAGATTGAAGAGGTGATTGGTGCAGGTAAGTGGGTGCTGGCATTGTTGGAGGGTGGAGCACACCAGAGGCGGTAGGTGGCTGAAGCTGCACATCTGTGTTTGCCATAGGGGAGTTTGGAGAGGTGTGCAGGGGACGGCTCAAGGCCCCTGGGAAGAAGGAGAGCTGCGTGGCCATCAAGACCCTCAAAGGTGGCTACACGGAGCGCCAGCGGCGGGAGTTCCTAAGCGAAGCCTCCATCATGGGCCAGTTTGAACACCCCAACATCATCCGCCTGGAGGGTGTGGTCACCAACAGCGTGCCTGTCATGATCCTCACTGAGTTCATGGAGAATGGCGCCCTGGACTCCTTCCTGCGGGTAAGCTGCCCTGGGCCGGCCGTGGGGCCATCTCCTTGTCCCCTCAGTTTCCCATCTGAGAGACACGGAGCTCCTGGTTCTTGCCTTTTCATCTGGCCTCTCTGTGGATCCAGCTGACTTATCCAGTCGGCACTTGTCATTTTTCCTTAAATTGGTTCCTCATACTTGGTGGAAAGGCGGAGACAAAGAAAGTCTCCTCTTTGCTGCCCAAATGCCCACAACAACCCAGGATAAGCCACGCCAAAGCCAGAAACCGAGAACTCCATTGGGGTCCACCGTGTGGGTGGCAGGGACCCACAAACTCGAGCCATCACCTGCTGCCTCCCAGGGTGCCAATGTGTAGGCAGTAAAGAGGCTGCCAAGCTGGTTCAGGCCCAGGCTGTCCTCTCCCAGTGTGGTGAGCAATATCAGCCATGCTGACTGCCCATCCCGCTCCTTTATGAATACTTCCTCGGCCTGCCTGCCAGCCCCTGTCCACACTCCCGGGAAGCAAGCCAAGGACGTGGCGCTTGGGGCTTCTGCTCTTGGGGTGCAAATGGTCTCTGGGGGAGCCTAAAGAGTAACGAATGGACAGCCCAGATCAGATGGGAGAAGTCAAACAGAGTCTTGGCCAAGTGGCTGGAGGGGCAGCGGGCCCCAGGGCACGTTTATTCTTGTTCCTTTACCAGGGTTTACTGAATTGCAGTCTTTTTTTAGCTTTACTAGGTAGCTTTCTTAAAAACATTCTGCTCCGTAGAATAACACTGCACATAGCAGAATACCCGATTGGTTTCTCTGACGGTTTCAAAAATTCCCCTGACCGCTGCTTATCCAAACCAAGGCCCAGCTATTGCCAGCTGCTGCCTCTGGAGTTTTTTTTTTTTTTTTAGTGATTTGTCAGTTTGAAAGAGTTACAGAGAAAGAGAATCGGGCCTGGCGGCTAAGGTCCTCACCCTGGATGCACCAGGATCCTATGTGGGCGCCGGTTCTAGTTCCGGCGGCTCCACTTCCCATCCTGCTCCCTGCCTGTGACCTGGGAAAGCAGTCAAGGACAGCGCAAAGTCTTAGGACCCTGCACCCACATGGGAAACCTGGGGGAGGTTCCTGGCTCCTGGCTTCGGATCAGATGAGCACCAGCCGTTGTGGTCACTATGGAGTGAGTCATCGGACGAAGGATCTTCCTCTCTGTCTTTCCTCCTCTACGTATATCTGACTTTCCAATAAGAATAAATAAATCTTTAAAAAAAAAAAAAAAGAGAGAGAGAGAGAAAGAGAATCTTCCGTGCTAGTTCACTTTCCAAATAGCCCAACAGCCAGGGCTGGGCCAAGCTGAAGCCAGGAGCCAGGAAAAACTTCTAGATCTCCCATGTGGGCGTAGGGGCCCAAGGACTTGAGCCATCCTTCACTGTTTTCCCAGGGGCATTAGCAGGGAAAGTGGAGCAGCGGGATTGAAATGGGTGTCCTCATGGGATGCCTGTGTGGGAAGAAATGACTTAACACACTGCGCTACCAGGCTCACGGAGTGTGGATAGTCTGAGGCTCGTCCAGTTCCCCTCTGGGGTCATTGCAGTGAGCGGCTGCTGGGGAGGGTAGAAGACGGGAGACCCAGAGATGCCCTGGTAGGTGTGAAAGGGTCGTGAGGAATGGGGTCGTGTGCTGTAGACTACAGGTGGAACCCCGAGTAGGCAGGAACTGAGCACACTGAGGTCCCAGGGATCAGAGCAGAGCAGCAGTGGGGGTCTTGAGGTGGGTGGGCCTGGTGAAGCCCTTTGGGGTATGGGGGGGGGTTTAGGTAGAAGAGGGAGGTGACCAGGAGCTCCCCCTGGCTGGGTACTGGGGACACGTGCGAGGCTATCGTTTGGCACTAGGCAGAAGTGGCTGGACCTGGGAGGGACACGCATTGGAGGCAGGGCTAGCTGGCAGGTGAGGCGGACAGGAACCCAGCACACAGTGAGGTCTCCAGTTGACCTCCGCAGGGGCTTTTCCCACACACTTCCAGTTACCATGACCGAGGGCAGGTGCAGGCTGGAGGATGAATTTGGAACTTGGTTTTTGTCTCTGGTCCCTGGTTTGCTGGCACCCCTAGCTGAACCCATAAGATGGGATCACTTAACTGCCTGAGACTGGCCAGTTAACTTCAAGGTCCAGGTTAGCGTCGGCACTGTGGTCACCAGTCATTGCTTTCCTCCCCACTGGTCTCTGGCGGGGCAGAAGCTAGAGGGCTGAGCAAGACTACTGCTGGAGCAGGCCATATGGTTGGCTACCTGGAGACAGGCAGCACAGGCCTATGGCAGAGCGGGATTCAACACGCTCGATTCAAAGCATCCGGATGGTATAGTCTGAGTGTAAAACAGTACTGTCGGGGAAATGGAAGCCAGGACCTTTAAAAATCCTCATAAAATTGGATCGAGAGGGACCCAGAGTGTGTCTGCCATGGTGGCACAACAGTGTATGCTTGGGTGTTTGAGATAGGAGGCCAGCTCATCTGGCCCACCTTCTGGCGGGGGAGTTGTAAAGGGAGTCCATAAGTGTCAGAGGGTTCAGGAAGCAAGAGGGGAGACTGGGTTGGGGGACCTAACGATGCCCGCTTCCCTTGTCCACTCCCCAGCTGAACGATGGGCAGTTCACGGTCATCCAGCTGGTGGGCATGTTACGGGGCATCGCCTCGGGCATGCGGTACCTGGCAGAGATGAGCTACGTCCACCGGGACCTGGCCGCCCGCAATATCCTGGTCAACAGCAACCTGGTGTGCAAGGTCTCTGACTTTGGCCTCTCACGTTTCCTGGAAGAGAACTCGTCTGATCCCACCTACACGAGCTCCCTGGTGAGGCTGTGGTCCCAGGGCTGGGCGCGGGGGCTGAGCTGCATCCTTAGGACCGAGTGAGGGCTGGGAGGCTGGAGTGTCGGCCTCTGGTTCAGAAGGGGATGACATGGGAACAAAGGGTGGAGATGATGGTCAAGTTCCAGGAACCTGGCCTGCAGGTATCTAGGAAAATAACTGAGTTGGAGAGTTGTGGGGTCCTGAGTATAGGGGCAGCATGTCTGGGTACTGGAGCCCTTCACTCACCTTTTCCTTCCCTCTTCTGCAGGGTGGGAAGATTCCCATTAGATGGACGGCCCCCGAAGCCATTGCCTTCCGCAAGTTCACTTCAGCCAGCGATGCCTGGAGCTACGGGATTGTCATGTGGGAGGTGATGTCCTTCGGGGAACGGCCATATTGGGACATGAGCAATCAAGATGTAAGTGTGCCCTGTGGTCCTACCAAGGGGATGTGGGGTTCCCTGGGCATCTTGGTCCCCGCAAGATGATTTTATCCATTGACTCTCTCTTCCCCCACCATCGTTTCAGGTGATCAATGCCATCGAACAGGACTACCGACTGCCCCCACCCCCAGACTGCCCCACTTCCCTGCACCAGCTCATGCTGGACTGTTGGCAGAAGGACCGCAATGCCCGGCCCCGCTTCCCCCAGGTGGTCAGTGCCCTGGACAAGATGATCCGGAACCCAGCCAGCCTCAAAATTGTGGCCAGAGAGAACGGCGGGTGAGGACCAGGAGTGTCAGCTCACCTAGGCACATCCTCCATCCCTTTGGGGCTGGTTGGGTGGATGGTCCCTCACCCTAGCCAGGCCTGGGCTCACTGCTCCCTAACCCTTGTACCAGCGCCTCCCACCCACTCCTGGACCAGCGGCAGCCTCACTACTCAGCCTTCGGCTCAGTGGGCGAGTGGCTTCGAGCCATCAAGATGGGAAGATACGAGGAAAGTTTTGCAGCTGCTGGGTTCGGCTCCTTCGAGCTGGTCAGCCAGATCTCCGCAGAGTAAGTGCTGGCTGAGAGCAGAGGGGATGATGGAGACAGCCAGAGTGGAGAGTGGTACCTGGGACCCTCGCATGCAGGAACCAGGGCAGACCCTCACTTACAGCTCTCCCAGGGCCTCACTCTCACCTAGAATGTCGCTCTGCAGTGTGGCAGGGGAGCCCCCAAAGGCCTGAGACCCCAGGACCGCTCACCTGGAGACCTCCGCAGCAGCCCCCTCCCCGGCCACCTCCCTTCCGGCCTCTGTATCTGGGCCTAAATTGGTGCCTCTATCTACATTCCAACGCTGGCTCTCGCATTAACAGCCCGTTCCTTGACTCTGCTGCTGGCTTCCCACCCATAAAAGGAGAAGACAAGGTCTCGGAGAGGCTCTTCAGTGTTCATGTTCAATGGTTTTACGATTCCATCGCCTCCTGAGTTGCCTTTTTCTTCTGGTCTGGCCAAGATGTTTCTCCTTCTCATTCTCACCCTGGGTTTGAATAAACAGACATGGAAGGAGCAGAAATCTGGGACTGGAGGGTCCCTGGTAGGGCGGACTGGCCCACCTCAGGGGCAGGAGGCTCCCTGACCTCGCCTGGCCTCTCCATCCGCCCTGGGTTTTCTCTCTCCCATCTGAGCTGTACTGGGCGAGGAGCCGCACCTCCTTCCTCCCCACCCAGCCTTCCTTCCTCTCCGATCGCCCTCTCACTTCTCCTTTCTCGTCTAAAGCCATCTCTGCTATCCCTGTCCCCCAGCCTCCTTTCCAGTGTATGCTGGCATGCTCCATTTTTTTTCCTACCTCTGCCCCTTTTCAACCCCACTCCCTACTGTGGCTGCCCAGCAACTCCTGACATCGGCACCCCCTTGCATCGGCCTTCCTGCTTGGCTGGTGATCCCAGCTAACGGGGCCAGGCCCGTGGGTCTGGGGCCAGGTGTGGAGAGCATCCCATCAGGGCTCACTGGACCCTTTTCCTTTCACAGAGACCTCCTGCGAATTGGAGTCACCCTAGCGGGGCACCAGAAGAAGATCCTGGCCAGTGTCCAGCACATGAAGTCCCAGGCCAAGGCCAGCACCCCAGGTGCCACGGCAGGACCCACGCCGCCACCACCACCGCAGTTCTAAGCTGTGGAGGGGGACAACAGCGGGGGTCTCCTCCCTGGGCGCCCCTGCTGGATTGCACTTTGAACCTGTGGGGATGGGGAGCTGGATTTGGGGGTCCTTCCTGTGGGAGTGTGGGTATCACATTTCCTCCTACTCCTCAGAGGGGACCCTTCCCCCAGAACAAGGGTGGGTGAGAGGGCCTGCCCCTCAGCACTGGGCGTGACCCAAGGGACAGGAAGCGCCCAGTGCCTGCCAGTGTCCCCAGGTGCTGCCGTCACCTTACCGTGTCCCTGCAGACCAAAGAGAGGGGCGACTGGCCTGCCCACCAGAGTGGAGGCAGGAAGGGGTGCGGGCCCAGTGATGAAATCATTGTGCTGCAGTGCCCTGGCTTGCTGCTGTGGCCCCCAACTCAAGCCTTTTCCCTGTAAATGCCCCTCCCCCATCTGCCTTCATATTGAAGGCTTTGAGTTTTATTTTTTATTAATTTTTTTTTCCGTTTTGGTCTTATTTTTCTTCCTTCCCCATTTGTTTTTTTTGTTTGTTTGTTTGTTTTCCTGTCAACTTTGTGTTGGAGGACACCGTTTAGCCATCACCTCCTTTGCCTCCTGGGGCAAAGCAGGGGTACCCCCTGTTTCCTGTAAATGGTGGCTCCAGACGTATCCCTGCATCCCACAAGTGTCCCCACACTGTGGAGTTGGGGGCTGTGGGATGAGGAGGGTGAGGGAGTGTGAGAGGCAGGGGAGAAGGTGGAAGTCAGAGACAGATCCCGGTGCTTGGCGGCATTCTTAAATTATATTTAAAAAAAGAAACTTTTTTTTTGTATTAATAAAAGAACATGGGATGTGTCCTAGTTCTGGGGGTGTCTGTGATAGGTGGGTTCTAAGCCCCCCACCTCAGCCCATGTGTGTTTGGGGTGGGGAAAGGGGCGATGAGTCACTCCTACTGCTCTAACAGCTCCCACTGCCACTGCCAAGCGCCTGGGGCACCTCCAGGGTGGGGCTGCTGCCCTCCCCTGCTTACAGGGCCTGAGGGAGGGTGGGGAGGCCTTGAGCCCAGGACCCTAGCCTGCAGTTCCCCCCAAGAGGGTGGGAGTTGGCCAGTGGGGAGCAGCAGCAAACAGATGGGGAACAGATGTTGACAGCTGGGGCTGGCATAACAGCAGCAGGGGGGTTGGTTGGCCTTAGCTGTAGGGGAGGGGTTCTGGGTGTGGTAGGCAGGGACCCCCAAACATGTGCGCCACCTGCAGGCCTGGCTGGGCTGGGTCTTAAGGAGGACAATCCTTTCAGGGTGCTGCACTACAGATTCTGGGGCCTCAGGAAGGGAAGGGGATGCCCCCTGATTTTAGCTTTCCTCAGCTTCTCCCTAACAAATGAGAATGGGGTTAGTCCCCTCCAGCCACCCCCATTTTCTCCCTGCTATGGTTGGTCTGAGACACAGGCTGGGGCAGGCCCAGGAGGACCATCCTGGTGGATCACTGTTCTTCCTACTCCTGTGTCTGTCACCCCCCACTTGTGTGAGAGTCAGTGTGGGGTGACCCCAAGTCTCCGCTTCCCTCCTTAGTTCAGGAAGCAGCTTTCCAACCTCAGCATCCTTGTCTCTGGGTCCCTCTGCCTTGGTAACAGAGCCCCCAAAGTGTATCCCCAAGAGGGATGCAGGATCCATTTGGAGGATACCAGTCCAGCCAGACCCCTCCCCTGCCAAGCAGACATCAGGCTAGATAAGGTGACCTTTGGAGCAGCAAATAAGGGCTGAGGGAACGGAAAGAGAGGTGTGGGAACTCTGAGCCTGTGAGTTCCTCTCCCAAGGCCTGAGCAGCTCTCCCAGCTGAGCCGTAGTAGGGAGGAGGAAAATTCATGCTGGATCGACAGGCCTGGCTGAGGGATTTTTGTGATACCACCCCAGGTTGGGTCTTGTTTCCTTCCAGGAACATGGTGCCCAATCATCTCATGAGCTGGGCACAGACCATCACCACCTTTGGGGGACCCAGTGCATCAGTACCTCCTGAGCCTGTGCCCCCCAGCAGGCAGTGGTGCTTTCCTTCTAGAGCCCAGACTACATGTCCCTGCACCCAGCCAGTGCAAGCCCTCGGCTGCAGCAAGTGGGATTCTGGGTGAAGTCCCCTTTGTCCCTCAGGAGTCAGGGGTCCCCCACTTCACAGCCCTTCCCTCCCTGACCCCTTCTTTTCCTAGGACCAAGAGGCCCATTTAGACAGCACCCTCACCTCTCCCATAGCCACATGGCGGGGGGGGGGGGGTCACATCTCAAAAATAAATAACTTTATTAGATCTCTTGGTCAGGGACAGTTCAGAACTGGGTAGTTTTGAAGACACCTGGGTCAGAGGTGGGCCGGGCTCTTGGCTGCCAGCGCACCGATCGCCGGGAATGGTGATCCCCTGTGCCTAGGAGCCAGTCTCGGCTTGAGCTCTTTGTCTTCTCCCTGGGAGGCACAGACACAGCTGCGTGGGGCCCTGGCTCCCAGGCCCCCTGTGCTGTTTACTTGTCACCCACCCCCCACTACCACCCAATGCTTACCTCAACCGCCGCTTCTTTTTGGAGACGCATTTTCTGATCGCCACCAGCCCGAGGACTGCCAGGGATGCCAGCAGCCCCAGCATGACGGCCACCAAGTTGGACAAGTCTGCACACATGGGAAAGGAAGGACTGGGATCTGCTGGTGGGGGTGAGGACCCCCTGGAGGCTGTTACCCTTCCCCCCTACCGAGAACTCCATGCCAGCCCCCAGCACCCTTCTCCAGTTCTAGACATAGGCCATTTGAGGGGCTGTTTGTCTAGTGGGTCCCCTGGGTTCGCCCAGCATCAGACAGGCACTAGCTGGAATGGTAACGTTTCTGGGTTTCCACTCTCAACTTTCCCAGGCCCAATCCTGGGGTGAGTCCTACAACTCCCACATCAAACATGCTCCTTCCAGGTCCCTACCTGGGACAGGATACCTGCTGACTTGGGGAGATCTGAATTTGGGAAGGGAGAGACAGCAAAAGGTACAAGAAGAGATACAGAGGAATGGGGTTTGGCAGCAGGCTGAGGCAGCTTCAGAGAGGATTCCAGAATGTGGCCTGCGGTGGCAGGGCAGGGAGCTGACTGAGAACCCCTGTGCTCTTCGTCTAGGCTCATACTCAGATATTTGTGATGACAGTGCATGTGGGAACAGGCGTTTGGCACGGAGGCTGGACACCATCAGGACACCGCATCCTGAGTCAGTGTGTGAGGTCCAGTCCCAGTTTCACTCCCTGCTCATGCATCCCCCAGGAGGCACCAGGTGACAGCTAAATCATCAGTTGGGTCCTTGCCACCCTCGTGGAGACAGGCACTGGTTGCCAGGCTCACAGCTTCAGCCCAGCCTGGCTGTTGCAGGTTGCCAATAGAGAGGAGCCCTCTGTCTCTCCAATATGTGAAAGACATTTTGAAAAATTCAGGCAGTGCAAGCTGTATTTATCTGTGACAATCCCTGGGCTCCTGGTGGAGTTGAAAACCAAAGCTGAAACTTTACTGAACACACCCATACTGCCATTTGGGTAATGAACCAGCAGATGGAAGATCTCTCTCTGTACTTCAAATACATAAATAACATCTTTTAAAGCCCTGTGGTAATAAATATGATGTGTCTATAACACAGCAGCATGTGTGTCTGTGCCATGTACTGTAACAGCTGTCACAACGTGTCAGCATTGTCCATAAAAGAATAACTGTGCAGCAGATGCCTGCGGGCAAGCGGCAGCTCTCACCTGGCCTGGCACGGGGCACGATTTCCCGGGGCTCCGTGCAGAGGTTCCCTCCGTAGCCCGGCTCACAGTCACAGGTGAAGCTGGCCCCCTGCTCTCGACACCGCCCATCGTTCCAACATGGGTTCTGCAGGCATGGGCTTTCTGCAAGGATGCAGTAACCCTGAGACGGTGCCCTGGGCGAGGCTCCAGGGAGCAGCTCCCAGCGCCCGTCCCTGGTCCAGCCAGCCTGCCTCCCAGCCCTCACGCTGCTCAACTCCCATTTTCCTGGTCTATCATGAGATGGAGATGCTGCAGTGAGGGCTGGAGAGGCCCTGGGAGGTAAGACAAAGGGCCCTGGGTTTGGGGATAGCTGGGAGCCACAGGGTGAGATGTGGCGCTGTTGGAGGAGAGGGGTCCAGGCTCACCCTGGAAGCAGCCCCGGGTGAGGTTGCCCAGGGTGCAGATCTCCCCAGGTCTGCAGCTGAAAGGCTCACACAGCAGCACCCCCGAGCTGGCACAGGTACAGCGCTGAGAGCAGTCGGCAGTCACGAAGCTGTGGCCCAGCTGCAGGCAGAGAGGGCGAGACGGGAGCCTGTTTCCACCTGGGGCCGGCTCTGTACCCAAGCTCCCTGGGCCACCGGCCCCCAACCCGCACCTGGTAGTAGACACCGTTGCTGGTGCAGCCGCAGTCAGCCAAGGAGAGGCTGTGGGCTCCACTGAAGGCGTAGCCAGGGAGGCTGGCGCAGCCCTCCACGCAGGGGCCCTCGCAGTCCTGGGGGCCCAACAGCTTGGCACAGGACGCAGGGCAAGGTGTCATGCAGCTCTGGTACACGGTGTTGGCTGGACACACCATGGCTGAGAGCACACGGGCATAGTCAGGAGCTGCATAGAGGTCCAGGCCAGCCAAACACGTACAGGGTCTTGGGGACAGTGGGGGAGGCCCTGGTAGGCGCTGAGGGATGTGGAAGCCAAGGGGTAGGGGCGGGCCTCACCGCAGTGAGTGTGGTCACGCCAGCTGGCCAGGGCGATGCCCATCTCCTGGCAGAGAATGCCGTAGCCGCCCAGGATCCGGCAGCGCAGTTCCTCATGCACTTTTTGGTCCTGGGTGACACACAGATCCAACAAGCAGTGCCTGGGAGGGAGGGGGACGGTGGGACAGGCTGTCCGAAAAGAGGAAATAGAAACCCATATCGGAGGACCCGGGACTCCTCCCACATCCTCCGCTCCCCCGCTGGCACCAAAAGACAACAGGTGGTGTGGAGGGAAGGCTGTTGGGAGGCAAACCGCACAGCAGGCAATAGGGCCCCTGGAGGGCCTGTGGGGCAGGCGCCCTGACTCACTTGTGGAAGGGCTTGGGGTCCACGGTCTGGTGACATGCAGCAAAAGGGCCCTGGGAGTCTATCAGCACCCCACAGTTCTGGGTGTTGTTGGCGAGCGTCAGCTGCTCCTGGCTGCATTCTGGCTCAGGAGAGCTTGGCTCTTTCTCTTCTCCCTGGGCATCCTCTCGCAGGGCTCTGTGTGGCAGACAAGCCAAGGGGCCGGGTGAGGCCCCGGAGGAAGGACGCTCCCTGTGGAGCAGGGCTGCAGTGCTCCAGCAGGCAGGTGTCTCACAGCGGAGCAAGTGACCCCTCGTGAACCACCAGGCACCTGCTGAGAACAGATCCAGAGCTCTGGCCCTGGCCCGACCCCCTCACCTGGGGGAGCGGAAGAGGGGCTGCGAGTCATCCAGTTTCAACTCCCAGCTGTTGCCGAATACATTGATGTCGGTGGTGAGGGCGCCGCTGGGCAACATGTACTCATTCTTGCGGTTCTGGTCATAGGTCCCACACAGGCCGCGCACCAGCCCCTGGTACATGCTGGGTAGGGTGATCACTGTGTGGGAGAGACGGGAGCCCCTGGTGAGCCCCCCGCCACTCCTCCAGGCACTGCCCTCCCACCACACCCAGGCCTGGGGTCCAGTTCCTATGCAGTGTTCCCCTCATACCCCCAAGACCTCCCTTCTCAGTGACCTGCGTTGTTCTTGTCATTGAGGCTGATCACCACATCAAAGTCAGTGATCAGATAGAGCCGCTGGCCCCTCAGGGTGACCCGCAGCCGCTCCTCGGGCCGGTAGGGGACTGCCATCTTCTGGTTATTCACCTGGGAGGGCAGGAGGTGCCGGGATGGGTGGAATTAGCGCTGCTGCCCTCTCTGCCCACGTGGGCTGACTCTCTTTGCAGCCCTAGCCCCATCCTAGCAGCAGCCTGGCCCCATGGATGGCTCTGCCTTCCTGCAGCCCAGGCTGAGCCTCCGTGTCAGTGCTCCATGCACCCCACCCTGCCACCACTCCCTCTCAGTAGTAGACTTTTGCTGAGCCCTCCTGTCCACCTCTGCCTCACCCCAGAAAATGAACTTGACTCTGACTCAGGCAACCAAGCTACACCTGCAAGGATCTTCCTCCGAAACCAGGGATGGGGTCTCACCCAATGCCCTGGGGGATTGCTCCTGTCCATCCAGGCCTATCCCTCCCCTGGGGGTGGGGGGTTGCCTCTTTCTCACCACAAGCAGCAGATCATCCCGGAGCTGGACTTTATAGCCATAGACAAAGGTGGTGATCTCTCGTACGAAGATCTTGGTGTGGGGCACAAACACCTTGTTGCGCCCCTCCACGAGCAGGGGCTCCACCCCGTCAGGAAGCGTGTCCACCGTCTTCACCAGAGCGTAGGTCATACGGCCCTGGAAGATGTAGTTTGCGCCGTCGAAAGTGCGGTAATGTGGGTCCCCAAAGATTGTGCATTGATCTGACTCTGCCAAGAAGGATAGACGCTGAGGGCATGACCATCTCCTGAGGCCTGGCTTGCCACCTCCTACCTCCTCCCAGCCCCAGCATCCAAGAATGAGTTCAAGAGCTGGCGGCTCTGCTTTTGATCCTGTTCCCTGCTAACGTGTCTGGGAAGACCACAGAAGCTGGGTTTCTGCCATCCACATGGCAGACCCGGATAGGGCTCTAGTTCCTGGCTTCTGCTAGCTATTTGGGGGGAATGAACCAGTAGAAGGCAAATCTCTGTCTCCCACTCCTCCTTCTCTGTCACGCTGTCTTTCGTGTTGGTAAAAGCCACACTCACAGGTCAGAACTCCAGATGCCCAGCCCAGGCCTGCCGTGGGCTCCGCCTCCCCTCCACCCTTGCCAGAGGCTCCCCTTACTGTCAGGTGCACAGTAGCTGTCGCTGTTGGAATTGAGCTGGCAATGGGACCTTGCAGGGCAGTGGAAGGCGTGACATTGAATGACGCCACCATTGCAGGTACACTTCCGGTTGCAGTTCTTTGACATCCAGCTCTTGCCCGGCTGTAGGAGCCACCAGGAGAGAACAGGATGAGGATGCCAGAGCCCTCCTTGTATCCCTTCAACCTAAGCCCATCGTCTCAGCAGCCAAGGATTAAAAATATTTGGAAAACATTGTGTCTGTTGTTATTCCCTGAGCAACACACATGGCAGTTACTTATACAGCCTGTACGTGATGTAGGGTGCTGTTTTTCCCCTGGAGACCGTGCAGCGGACGACATGCATGTGTTCTGTGCTATTCTATGTAAGACTTTGACAGCCTCAGGGTTGGGAAGCAAGGCCTGAAACCACGTGGAAACCGAGGGGTATGTACTTAGCTACAGTACCATTTGGATCTTTGCATGTTTTCCAGAAAGTACCACTGGACCTGCTGTACAGACAACAGAGCTCACAGAGGTCATGCCTCAGTGGTCTTACCAGGTTTCAACTCCAGGCTATCCCAAACCAAGTCTCCTTCTACTAAACCCTGCTATATCCCAGGCATAAAAACCCTAATCAGATACAGCCCCTGCCCAAGGCCAGTCCTTCACACTTGAGAAGAACTGAGGCAAAAAGCAAACCTCATCCTCAAAGCACAGCCCCTTCCCATCCCATACAGAGTGCCCACTCACAGGGATGAAGCCGCCCTCGGTGTCCTTGCAGCTGCACTGACTCCTGGGCACACATTTGTCCTCACTCAGCACATAGCCAGGCTTGCAAATGCAACCCTCGGCACAGGTGGAAGGGACTTGGGCGCCCTCCTCACAGCGGCCATCCAGGTCCCAGCAGGAAGGTGAGCAGGTGGGAAGACAGTTGGTGTAGGTGCTGTAGGCGGAACATTCCAGAGCTATGGGGTGGAGGAGGGGAGGGGGTCAGAGGAGACTTGGACAGGGGAGGGGCAGAGGCAGTGGAAACTGGGAAAAGGGGGAATGGGCAGCAAGACTGCAGATTTTTCTTCCTTTCCTCATTTATCCAGCAAGCATTTCCTGAGTATGGGCCCCAGGGCAAGAAGGAGCAAAGAACAGCTCTTCCTGGTGGGCAGCATGGGAGATTAGAGATCCGTGGTACCAACAGGTGATGAGTGTGTGTGCAGGAGGGACAATGGGAACACGGTGCAGGCAGGTGACAACTCTGCCAGGGAAGTGTGGGGAGCTGAAGAGAAAGCAGCTGTGAGCCAACAGAAAGGCATACCATGTTCATAGGTAGGAAATAGCAACAGGGAGATGTCAGTTAATTGGAACACCGAAGATGGTCAACAGGGCTATGTGACAGTGTGTGTGTGTGTGTGTGTGTGTGTGTGTGTGTGTGTGTGTGTGTATGATACCATGATTTTATTTTTAATATTTATTTATTTATTTGGAAGTCAGAGTTATAGGCAAACATAGAGAGGGAGAGACAGAGAGAGAGAGATCTTCCACCCACTGGTTCACTGCCTAGAGAGCGGCAAAGGCCGGTACTGGCCAGGCTAAAGCCAGAGCTTCCTCCAAGTCTTTGAGCTACACAAGCCCACATGCCTGGGCCATGCTTTCCCCAGCCTATTACCAGGGAACTGGATCAGAAGTAGAGCCACTGGGATCCCAGCGCCTGTTTGGTATATCACCATTTCAGATGATGGTTTTACCTGCATGCCGGTCCCAGACACCATAAGATTAAGGTCAAGGTGACATTATAAGGAAGCTAGAAAGTCCAGGAAGCTTCTAAGAAGAAAGAGCTGAGGCCAGTGTCAGGGTGCAGCCCATTAAGCTGCCACCTGCAAAGCCAGTGCTTTCATCCAAGCATTGTTCTTGCTTCCTATCCAGCTCCCTGGTAATGTGTCTAGGAAAGAGGCAGAAGTGTCTGGATCCCTGTCACCCACACAGGAGACTCGGATGGAGCTCCAGGGTCTCGGCTTTGGCCTGGCCCAGCCCCAACAGTTGCACCTACCTAAGGAGTGAACCAGGGACGGAAGAGCTCATTCTCTGTTTTGCAAATAAATGAAAGCAATCCCTTTTTCTAAGAAAGAAGAGCGTTGGGTAGTGAACGTTTCCATCAATAATCAAAGCACACTTTGAGCTATCACAAGTCCTACAGATCCAGATGGACCAAGGGGATGGAAGAGAAGGCTGAGATATGGATCCAGATATACAGCATGTGCCACACAAAACCTCAGTCCACCACAGAGCTCATGTGTGATGGTGATCCCAGAATATCAGACAACACCCTGCAAGTTATGTCTGCATGGTGATGAGATTGCCCAACAGGGTGCCTGAAGTTATAACACAGTAAGTAAGCCACTACCTGTGACACTGGTACCCTATATGAGTGCCAGTTACAGTTCTGACTGCTCCATTTCTGAACTGACTCCCTGCTGATGGCCTAGGAAAGAGGTGGAAGTTGCTCGGGCCCTTGAGGGCCACATGGGAGACACAGAAGCTCTTTGTTTCTGGTTTTGGCCTGCTCTAGCCCCTATCTGTTGCAGTCATTTGGGGAATTGAATCGGCAGTTGGAAGATCTTTCTCTCTGTGTCTCTCCTCTTTACAACTCTGCCTTTCACATAGTATCGGCCCGTTGCGCTCACTTGGGGAGTGAATCATCGGACGGAAGATCTTCCTCTCTCTCTCTCCTCTCTGTATATCCGCCTTTCCAATAGAAAAATAATAAAAATAAATCTTTAAAAAAAAAAAAAAACAACTCTGCCTTTCAGATAAATTAACAGACTGCAAAAAATCGTCTAACAGATGATCCTGGTATGGTAGCCTAATGGCTAAAGTTCTTGCCTTGTATGTGCCAGGATCCCATATGGGCACTGGTTCATTTCCCCATTTCCCATCCAGTTCCCTGCTTGTGGCCTGGGAAGTAGTCGGGGATGGCCCAAAGCCTTGGGACCCTGCACCTGTATGGGAGACCCAGAGGAAGCTCCTGGCTTCAGATCAGCTCAGCTCCAGGCATTACAGCTACTTAGGGAGTGAATCAATAGATAGAAGAGTTTCCTCTGTGTCTCTCCTCCTCTTTGTATATGTGATTTTCCAATAAAAATAGATAAATCTCTTTAAAAAATTTGTTTAACAGAGCACTCCTCTGAACACAGCCCTGCCACTGAGCGACATGTGACCTGTGGATGGGTGAACTGTGGAAAGTCCATAAGTGGACAAAGTCAGAGCCGCTTATTAACAATGCAGGAACGCCTGCCTAGCCCTGTGGGAGAAGACAGAAAAACAAAGTGGATTTATATCTTGTATTACATGCCAGTGTAAATCCTCAAGGGATTTTTTTTTTTAATATTAAAAAAAAAAAGCTGAAACCACAAAAATTCTGGGAGCACAGTGAGAGCAAATTCTTTGCTTCTTCTGTGGGGACAGTGTCTGTAACCATGGTTTAAGATTGCAGAAGCTATGACAAGATGAATATATTTGGTCACATACAAAATATTTTCTTTCCTGCAGAGCAGAAAAAAAAAAAGTCACCAGATATAAAAACTAGTGTCATTCAGAGAACTCCTAAAGAGATACTTTTCCATGAGAGATAAAATACCCCTAAAAAAAAAAAAACTTTAAAATATTGTGGAGAGAAAGAGACCTGAATAGACAGAGATCTCCCATCCACTGGTTCACCTCCTCAATGCTTGCAACAGCAAGCAGCTGGGCCAGGCCAAAGCCAGGAGCTCGCAACTCAATCCAGGTCTTCCACTCAAGTAGGCAGAGGCCCAGCTACCAGATCCACCCCCTGCCTTCTCCTTGGGTAATCACTAACAGGAAGCCAGAATCAGCAGCATGGCCGCACACGAATCCAGGCATCTGCTATGGGACGCAGGGTTCCCAGGCACAGTCTCTCTGCTGCCCCAATACCCACCCCTAATATATAGCCTGATAAGCACCAACAGCTCAGTGTGTAAGTGGAGAATGCGTGTGAGCAGGGGGGGTCAGGGAGGAAAAAATAAATGAAGATTCCTCTTTTACACTTATCAAATGAGCAAAAATTCAAAAATTGTGAGTGTGCACGGTGCTGACTGGGCAGTAGAGAAACGGGCACTTCCGTGCAGTGCTGGCAAGAAGGTAAAGCCATCTCTGGAAGTCATCTGCCAGCAGCTGTCAGCAGCACCAATGCACATGGGCTCCTGACTCAACAGCTCCACTTCTAGAAAATTCACCACGTGCTGCTGGCATTGTGGCAGAGCTGGCAAAGCTAGTTCTGGTGTCACACACCAGCATTCATATAAGCACCAAATCCTGTCCTGTCTGCTCCACTTCCCATTCAGCTCCCTGCCTGTGACCTGGGAAAGCAGCAGAGTGCATAGGAAGACCTGACTTTGGCCTGGCTCAGCCCCAGCTACTGCAGCCATTTGGGAAGTGAACCAGCAGATGGAAAGTCTCTCTCTCTCTCAGGCCCGGAGGGGTGGCCTAGTGGCTAAAGTCCTCGCCTTGAACACGCCAGGATCCCATATGGACGCCGGTTCTAATCCGGCAGCTCCACTTCCCATCCAGCTCCCTGCTTGTGACCTGGGAAAGCAGTTGAGGACGGCCCAAAGCTTTGGGACCCTGCACCCATGTGGGATACCCAGAAAAAGTTTCTGGATCCTGGCTTCGGATTGGCATAGCATTGGCCGTTGTGCTCACTTGGGGAGTAAATCATCGGACGGAAGATATTCTTCTCTGTCTCTCCTCCTCTCTGTGTATCTGACTTTCCAATAAATAAATAAATCTTAAAAAAAAAAAAAGAAAATCTCTCTCTCTTTGTTCTGTAACTCTGCCTTGCAAATAAATAAGACAAATCTTTAAAAAAAATAATAAGGAACGAAAATTTGATGCCTGAATATTTACAAATCAAAAGTCTTTGGCAGAAGTGTGGACTAAATCGTGTAAGCATAGATTCCACAACAGGTGAACACGCTGCATTTGAGGAAAGCCCCCATTTCCTAAGAGTGAGGAAAGGCCACCTGGGGCTCCCTTGGCGTGGGTCTGGGGGTTTGTGACCATCAGGGGGACACTCACGGCAGAAGGTGCTGTTCCTCCAGAGTGGGGGCTTGAGCCCCTTGTTCTGGCACATGGTCCCAAAGGCTTTCAGGGCCTCGCAGAGAGGACGGAGGAGGCCACCCAGCTGGCAGAGGTTGTTGCTGCAGCCCAGCACCAGGGGCTTGGGGTCCACACGGGTGGCACACTCTGCCCAGCCAGGGCCATGCAGGGCTGCCTGGCATCGCTCCTTCGCCTTCTGGAAGTCGGCTGGCCCGCACTTGCCCTGCTGCCTGGACTCGCTCGCCTGCTGTACCACTGGGGGCTTCCTCTCCTCTTCTTGGATCTTCTGGCAACTGGGGACAAGGGATGGGTTTATGAGGTGCAGCTGCTGCCCCACCCATGGTGCTGCTATGGCACTCCGTGCCCTTGCCCAGGCTTGCCATGGGGCCTCTTGTCTTCACCGAGAAAGAAGTCCGGTTGCAGCTTTCACCTCCTCCCTCCCATACTGCTTTTCCAAAGTTCATCTTTTTTCTTTATTTGAAAGGCACAGGCAGACAGATGGTGAGAAACCTTCCACCTGCAGGGTCACTCCCCAAATGTCTCCAATAGCCCAGGCTGGGGCAGGCCAAAGCCAGGAAACCCTGACTGCATCCGGGTGTCCCATGTAAGGGACAGGGATGGAAATACTTGAGTCATTCATGCTGCCTCCTGGGATATATGCCTTAGCAAGAATGCTAACAGGAAGCAGAGCCGGGACTCGAACCCAGGCGCTGTGACACAGAGTGCAGGAATGCCAAGTGGTGGCATAAGGGCAGAGTCAAACACTGGCCCCCTCGCTCACACCAGAGGAAGACCTAACCCAAGTAACTCTTCCTTCTCTCCCCACGCAAAACACACCCGCCAAGGCAACACTGCAGCCTTGCGGAGTGAGCCCTATAGTCTAGTTTCCCAGCTCATGCTACAATCAAGCGGGAAAGTCTTAGGGGACAATTACTCTCGGTCAATGTCGTTATCTTTCCAACTCTTCACAAATTCGAGGTCGTTGTCAGCTAGCTCGTCACTGGACATCAGCAGTTCGTCCTCCGGCTCCCCATTGTAGTTTCCGCAGATGCCGCACATCTGTGTGCATTCAGGGTCCACGTGGTGTTGGGAGACATAATCCATCGTTTTACACAGGACCACGCTGGTCCTCCTGAACAGAAAGGTGCCCTCCCCAGTGCCCCCCTCTGCTGTGCCCATGCCAGCTCCCCACCCCTGCTGGGTGGAGGCTGGGTGTTTTCCTTTGCCTTTTCATAGTAGGCTGCGGGGATTATGATCTCTAAGTTGCGGCGGCCGTCAAACTTGATCTGGGCTCCGATCTTCAGGCTGACCATGGTGTGGGTGCTGCTCGAGGTGATGCTGACCCCCGGAATCTGGTTGGTGACAGGCAGGCTGACCTGGTTGCCGTTGATCTTGAGAAGAAGGGCATCTGTGAGGAGCAGGGGACACCAGCGTGGTCCTCTGGGCCCCTGACCCTGGCCAGCCTGCCCTGCTTACCAACACACTGTTGCCCTTCTGCAGGGTGATCAGGGAACTGGAGACATCTATGTAAACCTGGCGAAGGTAGACAGTGTTGGACCTGCCTTCCAACTTCTCATTCTTGGCGCTGACCTTGAAGAATGGCAGGTCCATGTTGGGGTGACACACTTGGGCCATGACATAGGTACAGGTACCCTGAAGCGGGTGGCTGATGCCATCAAAGCCGATGTACTGGGATGGCTCTGTGATCCGGCATACACCCATGCCTGGGAGGAGAGAGAGGGCACTGAGACTGCCATCTGCTCTCACCTGGTCAAGCCACGCAGCTTTGAGAGGGGAAGAGGACGAGGACCGAGGCCACAGCTGGCCTGAGGCCTGGGGGCAGAGTGGGAGTGATTCTACTGGGCACACAGGCATGCTCTCCCATCTCAAGTTCAAGGCTGCTGTGGAAGAAGCATGGTTGTTGTGTGGGGAATGTCTGGTGCTGCAAACATAGCATTTGGAGGTGAGGACTTTGGGAGGTGACTAGGTTATGTGGGCTCTGCCCTCACCAGTGGGTAGACTTCTCAATCCATCATGGGTCATCTAAGCAGGGGACTAGTTTTCCTGAGAGCATGTCTGGTCTCGGCTCTGGGGGTGCCTACCAGAAGCCCGGCAACGCAGGAGCCCATCCACCGGCCAGCACTGCTCGCCAGCTTTGCAGGTGGTTGGCTGGCAGGTGATGTTGTTAAGGAGGGAGCAGGTGCACAGCTTGGTGCAAGTGTTGTCTGTGTACCAGCTCTCCCCGACCTGCACCGAGTAGGGGTGGGTGGAGACAACAGAAGCTTGGGAGCTGGAGATGGAGATGGAGGCCTCCCCCAGCCCAGTCCCCTTAACTCGAAGCCCCGCCCAAACCGACCCCTTGATCCAATGTCCCGCCACCCCAGCCACGCACTCAAAGCTCAAAGCTTTGACTTGATGGCATACCCTCACTCAGGAGGGACAGGGGCCCCTGGTCACTGGGTCTGGCTCACCGAGTGGTAGGAGCCATCCGTGTCCATGCAGCCACATTCTCTGAGAAGCACACAGGAGGTTCCACTCAAAACGTAGCCTTTCTGGCATTCGCAGCCCTCAGTACAGGTCAGTGTGACAGGGCAGTCCTTGGGGACATTCAAACTGAGGCAGGTGGCTGGGCAGGGGGTGCTGCAGGGGTTGTAGTTGCTGTTGGGCGGACACTTCAGAGCTGAGAAAGACAAGGGTGTTACAAAGCCCAGAGTAGATGTCCCAGCTCCTGACCCCAGGCCTCAAGAGTTATGGTGCAGGGACCAGCATATGGCACAGCAGGATAGGCCAGGCCACACTGCTTGGGACACTGGCATCCACAGGAGTGCCGGTTCAAGTCCCAGCTACTCTACTTCCCACCCAGCTCCCTGCTAATACTCCTGGGAAAGCAGCAAGTAATAGTCCAAGTGCTTGGTCCCCTTGTCATTCTTGTGGGAAACAAGGATGGCGCCACTGGCTGCTTGCTTTGGCCTGCCCCAGCCATTGTGATCATTTGCACAGTGAACCAGAAGTTGGAAAATATCCCTCTCTGTGTATCTGTTTCTCTCTCTGTAACTCTGCCTTTCAAATACATTTTAAAAAAAAAGGAACTTTCTGGGGAGGAGGAAAGGCAATAGCTGGCCCAGGTAGGAGGGAAAGACAGTTTTCTAAGGAGGTGTGTGTCAGATGGAGGAGGCCACAAGTCAGGGAATGAAGGACAGGGGACTGCACAGAGGCTGGGACAAGAGGACAGGAGGGACCTGTGTGGCTGCCAGCCAGGGTCCAGGCTGTGCAGGTTGGAGCAGGAGAATTTCTGGGTGAAGACAGGGAGTAGGGATCTGGGGACTTGTGCAGCCTGCGGGAGCAGCGTAACCCATACTCACGGCAGAACGTGCTGTTCCTCCAGCCAAGGGGCTGGCCGGCCTGGGCACATAGGGCCGCATAGGCCTGCAGGGAGCGACACAGGGTCAGGCCGTCGCCCTTGGTGCCACACTGGCCATGCACGCAGCTGATGAAGCTGGCCTTTGGGGGCACCACTGAGTGGCACTGAGAGAAGGGCCCTGGGAGAAGGAGAGCAGGACGGGTGAGGAGAGGGAGCCTAGGAAGCAGGCTCTAACAGGCAGACCCCTACTGCCTGAGATGCAGAGGCAGACCTCCAGCCAGTGTTATTATGCAACAAGCTGAGCCACTGCCAAGGATGCCTGCATCCTATTGTCTCCGTGCTAGCATAGAATCTTGGCTTCTCTGCTTCCCATCCAGTTTCCTACTAATACAAGTGATGGCCCAAGTGCATGGGACGTGCCACCCACACAAGAAGGACCTGGATGGAATCCATAGCTGTTGGCTTTGGTCCAGCCAAACCCTGGGCTATATTGCAGGCATTTGGGGAGTGAATCAGCAAATGGAAGGGGTGTGTGTGTGTGTGAGTGTGTGTGTGTCTGTGTCTGTGTCTGTGTCTGTGTGACTTAACTAAATCAATACATTCACAGCACCACAGTAAGTCCCAGAAAGACAGGTCAGTCGCAGCTATGTCTTCCCCTGTCCCCTGGTGGGCCTGAGTTCTGATGGCTCCCCCCATGTCTTCCCTCACCCCCAGGCCTTACCTACAGGGTTCCTGAGGACCTCACAATTCTTGTTCCACATGTCACCCATGTTGGTCCCCTTGCAGCTGGAGGGCTTGCCGCCCGCGATGAAGCAGCTGAGTGGTGACAGCAGGAAGGGGCAAAAAATTAGGGGTCACTAGAGGGAAGCAGGTGTGGCAGGGCATTGGGGAAGGGGTGCATTTCAGTGGGAAGGACCAGGAGACTCGGGAAGAAGGAAAGGGAAAGGAGCAACCTCTGCAAGGGATGTCTGGGCATGCGGGCAGGGAGGATGCAGCGGGCAAGGCCCAGCCTCCCACCAGCAGGGCTGCAGCACAAAGGGCTGGGGGAGTCGCCATGTGCGCACCCAGGTTCAGAGCCCTCCTCCAGCTTCCAGGCAGCCCCCAGCTGCAGTGAGTTGCTGGCAGGCCTCTGGTTTGGGCGCAAGTTGTCATCCAAGCTGTTGTTGTTGTAGTTGCCTGTGGGACAGGGGAGTCACCGAGGCCGTTGAGGCTGCCAGGCGCCAGCAAACCCAGCTAGGGCAGCCCAGCTTTGTACCATCCATCCATCCAGGGATGCCCAGACAGGGCCATCGAGCCAGGGCCACTGCCTCCCCTCACTCTCCCTTCTGTCACATTAGCCCCTTCTGCTTCTTCACCTCTGGCTTTCCCTGACACCTGCCCTTCTTTCTTTCTTTTTTTTTTTAAGATTTATTTTATTTTATTGGAAAGTCAGATATTCAGAGAGAAGGAGAGACAGAGAGGAAGATCTTCCATCTGTTGATTCACTCCCCAAGCGGCCACATGACCAGAACTGTGCCAATCCAAAGCCACATGGGTGCAGGTTCCCAAAGCTTCGGGCTGTCATTGATTGCTTTCCCAGGCCACAAGCAGGGAGCTGGATAGGAAGCGGGGCTGACAGGAAATGAAACAGCGTTCATATGGGGCCCTAGCCCATTCAAAGTAAAGACTTAAGCTGCTGGGCTACTGCGCCAGAGCCGACACCTGCCCTTCTTGCTCAGCATCTTCAACTGAAGATAAAAAGACTTCATGGAAAACAGAAGTAAAAGCCAGTTTTTTTTTTAGGCAAAAAAATTTTTATGCCGAAATCAACTCACCTCTAAAATTTAGTTAGCTATTTGAAAGGCAGAGAGAGAAAGAGAAAATCTTGCAGCCTGTCTTTAAATGCCTTGGGGGTAGGTCAAACTAGTCAGGAGCCAGGAGTACAATGCAGGTCTCCCTTGTGGGTGGCAGGGACCCGAGCCCAGGAGCCCTCACCTGCTGCCTCCAGAGTGTCCATGAGCACGACCTCGGTCAGAAGTGGAGGCAGGACTCGAATCCAGGACTTGCAACTTAACCAGATGTGCCAGAAATGCATCCTAAACTCATTATTTGACTACATTTCCTAGGGACTTTTTGAAGCACCCTCACACGGGTATACCTTGGACATTACTGCAGATTCAGTTAAGCTGCTGCCTGCAAGGCCAGCATTTCATAGTACAGCTCTGATTCAAGCCACTCCACTTCTGATCCAGCTCCCTGCTAATGCTTCTGGGAAAGCAGCAGAGGATGACCCAAATGCTTGGGCCTTTGCCACCCACGTGGGAGACCCAGATGGAGTTCCAGGTTCTGGCTTCAGCCTGGTCCAGCCCCAGCCCCTGAGGCCATCAGATGGAAGATTGAGCTCTTTGTCTCTGCCTCTTCCCCAACCCCTGCCAATACTCTCAAATAAACAAAATAAAATCTTTAAAAATAAGTTAATGTTTGTACCATACTGGAATCTATTAAATGTGTAACAGCACATCTTTAAAAAGAAAGAAAAAGTATGTACCTTAATTTTTCAAAAAACGTTATGGCTAAAAAAATGCTAACACAATCATCTGAGCACCTGTGGGAGTGACTTGCATCAAACCTTCAGTTTGTAAAAAAAAAACAAAACACAAGCTCTGCGAGGCACCCTGCAGTGAAGTGTCTGAGATGGTACACCTGTACTCAGGTGATGGGCACCTAGGATGCCCCCAGAGCAACGTGTGGTGGCCAGGACCACACCACAACACCTACCCCCAATCCCCATGCCACATGAGGGTGCCGGGGAACTCACCACACAGCCCACAGAGGCGGCCGGCATAGGAGGAGGGCACAGTCACCTGTACCAGGTGGTTCCCATCATAGCGGATCTGAAGGCCAAAGTTGGTGTAGAGGAGGATGAAGTTGCCACTAGGTCTGATGATCACCTGGCCCCGAGAGGGCCACACGGGCAGGGCCACCTGACGGCCATTCAGCTGTGTGAGTAGGGAGGACACAGTCAGCAGGGAGCAGGAAGGGACAATGGGGCCCCAGAGGGAGGAAGGCATCCCTGCAAGGGGGTGTCCAGGGTTCCCTAAGATGGATGCGTGGGCCAGGAGTGGCTGAGTGCTATAAGGCCTGGGCTAAGAGAGGCACGTACCATAACCTTGCGGCCTTTGACCAGTGAGATTTTGAGGTCAAAGACCCGCAAATGGACGGCCCTGACGTAGGAGACCTCCATGTTGCCGCCGCGGTTCTCGTTGGTGGCGCTCACGACGAAGGCAATTTCCCGAGGCTTGTGCCTGCAGGGCTGAGCCAGCACATAGTTGCAGGTGCCCATAAAGTGGTGCAAAGCTCCATCAAAGGTCAGGTAGTGCGGGTCGCCTGAGACAGTGCAGGTGGAGGTTCCTGCAGAGGAGAGGAGAAATGGTGGGGCCCAGGTCCAGACGCAAAGCCGACCAGTTGGCAAGTCTTTGTTGGCATGGTGCCCCCCTCACCCTTCCACCCACCAAGGCCTGGACTTGGCTGCAGGAAATGGTGGCCTGTCTTGGGGACAGCTTTCCCAGAGGCAGCTGCTTGGGGCAGGGCCATTGCCTTGCCTGAGGCCACCCTTCCACTCTGACAGCTCACTTTGTGCATGACAGCCATAGATGCCGTTCCGCAGGCCGCACTCCTCCTGGGCCCCGCACTTCCAGGGCTGGCAGTGGAACTTGTTGTTGTTCTCACAGATGCAAAGCTGCGTGCAGTTGGACTTGTACCACTGCTCCCCTTGCTGGTAGGAGGAAGGAGGGGAAGTAGAGAGGTTTCATCCATGTCTGACGTGTGAGCTCCCTGGGACGGGAACCATTAAGTCCCCTTGTGGGGAGGCCTCCTGAGTTCTGTGGGTGTCTTGGTGCTCTGCTCCAGTCACCCCATCATTTTTAGTGTGTTTGGCACTTCAATAAGTTATTTACTTGTCTGTGTCATGCTATATCTAAGGGATTCAGTAATGAATTGGATTGACAATATGCCAGCCCTAACAGAGCTGCAATCCAGTGCATAGCAAATTAAGCCATAGCCTGAGACGCTGGCATCCCATATGGGTGCCCATTTATGTTCTAAGTGCTCCACTCCCAGGACTAAAATAAAAAAAATAAAATAAAATTTAAACATACAAAACAATCCAGCTCCCTGCTAATGTACCCAGGAGCACTGCAAAAGATGACTCAAGTTCATGGACACCTGAACATGGGAGACCCAGATGAAGTTCCTGACTCTTGCTTTCCCTGACCCAGCCCTGACCATGGTGACCACCTGGGGAGTGAGTCAGTGAGTGCAAGATCTCTTTTTCTGTGTCTCTCCTTCTTTCCCTCTCTGCCTTTTAAATAAATAAAGGAAACTTTAAAAATCAGGAGGGAACAGAACTGGGGTTGTGGAAGGAGCAAGGCAGAGCTGTACTATGATCCCAATCCTGTCTGTGAGAAAAGGGATAGAACGAAAGACGGAGACAGGGCACTGAACCCCAGCCCAGCGTTCCCTAGTCCCTTCCTGCTTTGCACCCTGGCACAGGTTTGGGGAGCAGCTACAGGACCTGAACCCTTCACCTCCCTCTCCTGTCCCCTGGCTCACCTTGAAGTACCCCATGGAGGGGTCAAGACACCCACACTGGGACTGGGGCACGCACTCCAAGCCACTGAGGATGAAGCCAGGGTTGCATTCGCAGCCTTCCACGCAGCGCTTTGGGCAGGACATGCCTGTGTACCCCGAGTGGCAGGTTTTGGGGCATGGTGTGGTACAAAGGGAGTATCTGCTGTTGGGTGGGCAGGCCAGTGCTGTGGAGGGAGGAGAGTTGCAGGTGAAGAGGAGACAAGCCAGAATGGGGGAGGCATGCGTGGTCAAATGGAACCAGCTGAAAGCTCAGCTCTGCCTCTAGGAGAGACGGCCGCCCCCAGAAGCTGGAGTCCATGGGACACTGTTGTATAGATCCGTTTAGGACAGAGAAGCCGGGCCATAGCCGGGACTGTGGCCTTGCATGGTCCACTGGGGCTGCAGCAGGTATGTCCTGAACCAGGGCAAAAGCCCTTGCCCGGGTCTGGGGGAAGGGGTCCTGCCTCCCCTCCCCTGCCTCTGGGCTCAGCTTACGGCAGAACTGGGGCTTCCTCCAGGGCTTCACAGCATAGCCGGCATCCTGGCAGGTGGCGGTCAGAGTTGACAGGTGGGCACACAGCATCAGCTGCAGGCCCTGGAAGTTGCACAGGTCGAACACGCAGTTGCCAAAGAAGAACGGGGCCTTCAGGTGAAGCAGGCACATCCTGAGGACAGAGGCCATGGTTGGAGGGAAAGGGATGCCCCATTTATCTCCCACCCTGCCCCCCACGAGACCCCAGGCTGCCTTGCCCGGTCTTCATACTCAAACAATCCGCGGGAGTCGACAAGTTGGCCACAGAACTGCGGTCCTAACATCTTGGTCTCCAGGGCATTGTCACAGAACGGGGGCTTTGCCTGGTTCTTCTGACACCTGGAAGAGACCTGCCTAAGTCCCTTCCTGTCCAGGTCCCTGAGCCAGCAGCATAGGCAGGGGCCATCCCAAATGTAGCACAGAGGGACCCCCCCCCCCAATTCTCCCCAGAAGAAGCTTTAGGGTGGGAAACAGAACCAGGGGCCTGGTGGGGTGCCTCACTCCTTGTCCCCTTCCAGGGCTGTCTGCCAGCTGCTGCCCAGCTCCTCCTCACTGCGGGCTGCTTGCCCGTCTGGCTTCAGGTTGTCGTTGCTGTCACTGCCATCATAGTTTCCACACAAGCCGCACAGTTTCTGGAAGTAGGTGCTGCAGGGACCCAGGGAGGGAGCAGTGTTAAGCGGGAGGAAGCAGGCAAGAGATGGCAGCTGGAGACCAACGGGCTAGGCCCTCACTGGACCTGCCGCACACCCCTCCCGCTCTCACCCTCACCTGGACACGGTCACAAAGAGCTCGCGGTCGCCATCCCATCTGAGCCGCAAACCAAAAGCTGTCTGCAGCTCCACAAACCGTCCACTCGGACCCAGGAAGACACCACTGGAGGGCATGGCTGGGAGAGTGACCCGCTGGCCCCCCACCTGCAAAGTGAGGTGAAAGGGAAAAGAGATGCAGGGTTAGAGCCAAGGGTCAGAAGGACCCCGGGACTCCCACCACCCGCACGGTATCCTAACAGATCCTTCTACCTCCATGGCACAGAGGTCCCTGTCATTGTCTTATGTTTGTCTTGGGGTCAGAGACCCTTCTCCACTCCGTGGGGGTAGGCGGGGCCAGGACTCACCAGCGTGTGTCTGCCCTTAAGCAAGGTGATGGTGGTCTCTGGCAGGGTCACGTCAACCCTGCTCAGGCAGGACATGCCCTCCTGTCCACGTTCCTCATTCTTTGCTGTTACTCGGAAGAAGGCATCTGAGTGGGGACAGGAAAGGAGGAAACCCAGCATTTCTAAGCACCCCAGCCTGGCTCTGCTATATCCACTGGGAGGGGGGCTGCGTCTGCCCTTTCATAACAACTGCCTCCAAGGACAGGGAACTCAAGGAAACCCAGCTTCCAGAAAGATCTGGTGCTAATGGGGCCTCTCTCCAGCTGGGCGCTGCCCACCCCCACTGCCCCACCAACAGCTCAGACCCCAGCTCCTGTCCCTAGCCATGCTAAGCATCTCTAGCACTCCTACCTGTTGAGTTGTTGCAGGGTTGGGCCAAGATGTAAGTGCATGTACCCATGAAGCCGAAGGGCCTCCCATCAAAAGTGACATAGTGGGGGTCTCCATAGACAAAACAGGTGGCCGTACCTGTCCAGGGCAGGGAGAGGGAGGGGGACGTGGGAAGTTGCCTCCACTGGCCCACCAGGCTGGGCTGCACGTCCCCACGTCTCCTCTCCCCCCAACCTCCTCTGCTCCAGGAAGGGGCTGGCCTGTGGGAGGCTCTCACCATAGGGGTAGCATCCGTACTGGCCATCCTTCAGCTGACACTTGGTATGCGTCTTGCACTGAGAGACCTGGCATTCAACACGGCTGCCAGGCCAGCAGCGGCAATGCTCCGTGCAATTGGGGCTGAACCACTCTGCCCCAGGCTGAGAGTGAGGGATCAGGAGTCACAACCCTACAGATCCTAGGAGACTTCTGCCTGCTCCTCCTGTGCCCAGCTCTTTCCACCCACCCCAGGACGTTTGCACACGCTGCTCTTTCTTCCCTCCCCCCCGCTCCCCACTTTCTTAATCATTCCTGTGTAGCTGAGTCCAAGGGTGGCCCTCTCAGGTTGACGTCACAGGCTTCCTTGGCTTGGTCACCCTTGTGACTCTGCATGCCTTCCTTGCCTGGACTCACCACACTGACCTTACTGAGTCTTACTGATGGGTTACAGTTTGTAAATTCTGTAACTTGTGATTAAGGCAATAACTGAACCCACATGTAGGGCGGGGTGATGATTTCAGCACATGTATACAGTGTGACTTAACACTTTCCTCTCCTTGTCATTACTTATATTTTTAAATGATTTATTTGTTGGAGAGAGAAAGCTCTTCCATTCTCTGGTTTGCTCCTCAGCCCCAACAGGTCACAGCAGCACGCTCTCATTCAACAAACATTTGCTGATTGCAAGTCCAACAAGTCTGAATGGGATACCTTAAGGGCATGTCCTGGGCCTGGTGGCTCCCATGATGCTGAGGCCAGCAGGTGGGACGCACTAAACCAAGGCATGCCGGGTGCGTCAACAAATGCACAGTAAGTGCCTCTACCCGTCTCCAGGCCGGGAGAAAGCATCTTGATGCTTACAGCTTGGGTACTTTTTTTTACCTGGTCTGCTGCTGGTGTTAACCCCAACACTAACTTGGTAAGACCCAGGAAGACCACACATTGATTGGTTAAAGAAGGGCTGGGGGAGGAAGTGGCCTCCGGAAGAGACAATAAAAGCCCTGACTCCAGTGATAGGAGCCCCTGGAGCTAGGAAGTGGCACTGAGTGCTAATGAATGGTTTAACATACATGTAATTAATAGGTTGTCTGTGACATTTCTCCTAAGTTGGTATTAGTAACAATTAACACGTATTAAGTAATTTGTCTAGTGTGGGACTTAATTTCATCCTTACAACCATCTTATACAAGATGGGAAATCTTACTGTGTGTAGACACGGGAATAGACTTAAAGGGACACACACGCTTATTTGAGATCATCCCGCAGATGGGGGCTGGGTTCAAACTCAGGTTCTACCCTGCCTGGCCTGAGATGGGCACCTGCCACATATGGCTCCTGAGGTCTTGAAGCATAGCCAGCCTGAACTCTAGAGTGCACATAGGAATGCGAAGATGTCAGACAGGATGGGAAGCCATAACAATGACACTTCTCTAACCATTCTTTCTGGATGCCACACTGACCTGACTGAGACTGCACACAGCTGCCAGGATGTGCAGGGTCAGCATTTGCAAATGCAACTGTGGACTCAGAATGCTCAGTCTTCACTGAACCCACATGCAAAGTTTTCTTTCTCTTGAGGCTACTGAGTGGGTGAAGCTGCCACCTGCGATGCTGGCCTCCCACATCTGAGAGCCAGATCAGTCCTGGCTACCCTGATTTCTGATCCAGCTCCCTGCTAAGTTGCCTTGGAAGGCAGCAGCAGATGGTCCAAATACAGTGTCTGCCACGCATGTGGGAGAGCCGGATGGAGTTCTGGGCTGCCAAGCTTTAACTTGGTTCAACTTGGGTTGTTGCAGCCATTGAGGCATGGAACCAGAGGTGGAAGATCTTTTTCTCATTTAAAATAAGGGACTTAAGCATCAACAGAATGTAGTACCCAAGAGGGTGAGGGTGGGGGTCCTGGAACCCACAGGCTCTGAGGGATGTGCTGCTACTGCTGAACAGCAGGACAAGCTCCAGGAAAGACAACAGTCCTGGTGTCAGACAGACAGCTACGACCTCACCCGGTGAGATGATCTGCAGGGGTCGTTGTTGTTTACACAGCTTCTCTTTCATCACGTGTCTTTTTTTTTTTTTTTGGTGGCTGGCTTACCTTGTATTCATTGTTGTTGTACACACACTGGCAAGAAGAGGCATTGATGCAACTGTTGCGGCTAAACACGAGGCCGGGGTCGCAGACGCAGCCCGGCTGGCAGGGCGACTGGCAGCTGGGCTGGGGATGCTCGCAGGACGCAAGGCAGGCGCAGGACTCGTAGTGGGTATTGAGGGGGCAACTCACTGAGGAGAGAACATTGCCTCCATCAGGCCTCCCCCACTTCCTCAGCTTTCCTCAGAGAGGCCTCCTGACTCTTCTTTACCCCCAAACTCAAGTTCTGCTGTAAGAGGGGGGCCTCGAGGACTCTGCCCTGGGCAGAAGGAAGATCTGGTGCACACTACAGCAGGAGCGGGCCCTGAAGCTTGGTGGGAGCAGAGCCAGGCCTCAAGGCCTACATGCTGCCATGTCCGTGGAGTGTCCAGAATAGCTAAATCTGTCTAGAGAGATTAGCAGTCACCAGTGGCTGGGAGGAAGAGAAATCATGGAGTGACCGTGAGGCAATAGATCAATCCAGAATCAGAAAGTGAGGATGATCGCACCTCCTCGTGACTACATTTGAACTCAACCTGGCTTAGTACTGAATCAGAGCTCAAAAATAAACAAACAAACAAACAAATAAATAAATAAGGTGCCTGACAATACTCACCCACTCCTGCCCTGCTGTCCAACACCCCCACGACTGTTCCTATCACTGCTGGGAATGCAAGTTGGCTTCTAGAAGCTTTCTTTTGCCTGACTCTGCCTAGGAACTATCTCTCACACACAGCTCTTTTGACCAACACCCCGCCAATCTCTTACCTATGGTACGTGGGGTTTGTGGAGTTGTCACCAAGACAGTTGATTCAAGTGATGTGAAGGTGGAGCTGGCAGTCGTAGGGGGTGTGGGTTGCTCTGTGGGAACAGTAGTCTCTTCAGTGGGGACAGTGGGTGGTTCTGTGGTGAGAGTGGGTGGTTCTGTGGGGACAGTGGGCGGTTCTGTGGGGATCGTGGGCGGTTCTGTGGCGACAGTGGGTGGTTCTGTGGGGACAGTGGACAGTTCTGTGGCGACAGTGGGTTGTTCTGTGGGGACAGTGGACAGTTCTGTGGGGACAGTGGGTGGTTCTGTGAGGATCGTGGGTGGTTCTGTGGGGACAGTGGGCGGTTCTGTGGGGACAGTGGGTTGTTCTGTGGGGACCGTGGGCGGTTCTGTGGGGACAGTGGGTGGTTCTGTGGGGACCGTGGGCGGTTCTGTGGGGACAGTGGGTGGTTCTGTGGGGACCGTGGGCGGTTCTGTGGGGATCGTGGGCGGTTCTGTGGGGACAGTGGGTGGTTCTGTGGGGACAGTGGGCGGTTCTGTGGGGACCGTGGGTGGTTCTGTGGGGACCGTGGGCGGTTCTGTGGGGACAGTAGGTGGTTCTGTGGGGACCGTGGGCGGTTCTGTGAGGACAGTGGGTTGTTCTGTGGGGACAGTGGACGGTTCTGTGGGAACAGTGGGCGGTTCTGTGGGGACTGTGGGTGGTTCTGTGGCGACAGTGGGTGGTTCTGTGGGGACCGTGGGTGGTTCTGTGGCGACAGTGGGTGGTTCTGTGGGGACAGTGGGCGGTTCTGTGGCGACAGTGGGTTGTTCTGTGGGGACCGTGGGCGGTTCTGTGGGGACCGTGGGCGGTTCTGTGGGGACAGTAGGCGGTTCTGTGTGGACCGTGGGCGGTTCTGTGGGGACAGTGGGCGGTTCTGTGGGGACTGTGGGCGGTTCTGTGGGGACAGTGGGCGGTTCTGTGGGGACCGTGGGCGGTTCTGTGGCAACAGTGGGTGGTTCTGTGGGGACAGTGGGCGGTTCTGTGGGGACAGTGGGCGGTTCTGTGGGGACAGTGGGTTGTTCTGTGGCGACAGTGGGTTGTTCTGTGGGGACAGTGGGCGGTTCTGTGGGGACAGTGGGCGGTTCTGTGGGGACAGTGGGTTGTTCTGTGGGGACAGTGGGTTGTTCTGTGGGGACCGTGGGTGGTTCTGTGGGGACCGTGGGTGGTTCTGTGGGGACAGTGGGCGGTTCTGTGGGGACCGTGGGTGGTTCTGTGGGGACAGTGGGTGGTTCTGTGGGGACCGTGGACAGTTCTGTGGGGACAGTGGGCAGTTCTGTGGGGACCGTGTGTGGTTCTGTGGGGACCGTGGGCGGTTCTGTGGGGGTGGTAGGTTGTTCTGTGCGGACAGTGAGACGTTCTGTAGGAACCGTAGGTGGTTCTGTGGGTTTGGTGACCCTTTCAAGAGGCACAACGTGGACAAATGAAGGATAGGCGGGAGTCACTGCTGGTCCAGGTGCTACGAAGAAAAGAGAAAATGATCACTCACATCTGACGGGCGCAGGTAGACTCAGGGAGGAAGTGATTCACTCCTTCCACAGCCAAATCCTAATCTTCACTTAACCCTCAACAGACACTGCTCCTAATAAATGGTGGAGGGGCTGGCACTGCGGCACAATGGGTAAAGGTACTAGCTACAGTGCCACCACCCTGTATAGGCACTAGTTCTAGTCTCAGCTGCTCCACTTCGCTTCCAGCCTCCAGCTTATGGCCTGGGAAAGCAGTGGAGGATGGTTCAAATCCTTGGGACCCCAGAGAAACTCCTGAGGTGTTGCCTCAGACCTCAGGGGAGAGCCAGGGCAGATTGCCCCTAGGTGGGACCACCTTCCTGAGATCTCAGGCTCCATCTTACCTCGGCAGGTCCCGTGGTTGATCCAGATGGAACTCATAGCCACGACAAAGGCTGTGTTAGTTCCCCTGATGGCCTCAAAAACCAGCTGAAGGCAAATAGAAACAAAAATGGGCCCTTAAAACTGCAAGCACCACAGGGCCATTTCTTGTCCTCTGCTGCCCTGGGACGCCAAGTTCATGTCTTGTCAACCTCCATCGCGCTTGCTGGGGCCTCAGACTGGGCAGCCCCCTGTTTGCCCCTCTCACCTGCATGGGCTGCTGATGTCCCGAAGGGATGGTGACAGAGGCGTTGTGCCAGTCAGGGCTCTGTGACCCCACGCGGTTCCAGAGAGAAACTGGAGTGCTGCCTGCAGGACTCCCTAACAGGAGCTGGAGAGCAGTGCCCTCGCCCAGGCCGTACATGTGGTAATTGAACTCCACACAGACGTCACCCGGTGCACAGAAGGGCCGGCTCACCAGCTGCACAGACTGCCCAGGCCGGGAGGAGGAGTCAGCCTCCATGTAGATGTAGTGGTGCCCTGGGCAGAACATGGCAGGAGGAGGGAGGTGGGGAGAGTGGCCAGGTGAAGGACTTGCCAGAGCAAGCATCAACATGTCCCACATTATGGCATACCATTGTTGCTGCTCACATCTACCCCAAGGAGGGGATCTGGGGCTGATGTTGAGGAGCAGAGGGTTAAGCTGTGGCCTGGGTGCTGGCATCCCATATGAGAGCAGGTTCGAGTCCCGGCTGCTCCACTTCTGATCTAGCTCCCTGCTAATATGTCTAGGAAGGCAGTAGAAGATGACCCAAGTGCTTAGGTTCCCTGCCACCCATAGGGGAGACCTGGATTGGAGTTCCAGGCTCCTAGCTTTAGCCTGGCCCAGCCTGACTACTGCAGTCATCTGGGAATGAATTAGCAAATAATAAAAGATCTCTTCCTCTTTCTGTTTTTCCTTCCCTCCCTATCTCTCTGTAAAATGCCTTTCACATAAATAAAATTAATCTTTAAAAAAAAGGTATGTTGGGAAAGAAAGAAAAAACATAGCTGAGGTCATGGATGTTTGAAGTCTTGGGCTCAAACAAGGTGTCTGGATTTTTCTGGGGCCTTCTGTGATCCCACAGCCACAAGAATATCCAACTGGGCCCAGTTGGCAACCTAGTAGCTAAAGTCCCCAACACGCTGGCATCGCATATGACACTGGTTCTAATCCTGGCAGCCTTGCTTCCCATCCAGTTCCCTGCTTGTGGCCTGGGAAAGCAGTTGAGGACGGCCCAAAGCCTTGGGACCCTGCACACGTGTGGGAGACCAGAAGAAGTTCCTGGCTCCTAGCTTTGGATCGGCTCAACTCCAGCCATTGTGGTTACTTGGGGAGTAAATCAACAGACAGATCTTCTCTCTGTCTCTCCTCCTCCTCTCTCTCTCTATATATATATATATTTGACTTTGCAATAAAAATAAATAAATCCTTATTAAAAAAAAAAAAAAGAAAGAAAGAATCTTCAACTGATCCTACTCTGTTACTTCCATAGCTCTGGCCCCATGGTGACTTCCCAGCAAAAACCCGCTGGCGAATGGCCACCCTGCCCAACCGTTCGCTGCAGCCACACCTGCTCAGTCCCCCAGCCAGGAGCCTACTCCGCACTCTGGCTTGACCACCCCTCACCCCCAGCCTTCTCCTGGCTTACCTATGTAAGGAGAGTCTCTCATGAAGTTTTTGTCTTGGATGAGCAGATCTTTGCTTGCCCAGGTCCAGTGCCCACTGTCCTCGGATGATTGCAGCCAGTCGCAGAAGGGGTGGGCCTCATCCTCGAAGTTACACTGGGGAAAGCTCTCTAGCACACGCGGGGAGGGTGGGGGACAATGCTGAAGAAACTCTCTCCCTGGCGCCACACTGTCCCTTGCTCCGCCTTCCCACCCGCCACCCCCAAACTGGTCCACAGGGTTGGGTGGGGGGAATCTCCCAGCCCTGCTCTCACCCCCACAGGGAGCAATGCTGACAGCATCCACCGCCACAGCTGGCTCAGGGACATCTCCAAACAGGCCCACCATGGTGAACTTAAGAGCAAGAGGGTGGCCCAGAGGGCGGCAAGGAGGGAGGGAGCTGAGCAGACAGCCCCCAACCCCCAACAACTCCCCACAGCCCAACTTTATTCTGATCTGGGACCCAGCCTCCAACCCCCCCCCACGACCCCACTCCCTGGCTTCAGGTACCCAGGCCTTCAGTCTGTGTCCCCCACCACTCCCCAGGCTTGTACCTGTATCTGTCCAGGGCCTGTATAATTGACAGACACGAACTGCCAGCTGGGGTCAGGTTGGCCTGTGAACAGAGTGTGTTTCCGGATGCGTCCTGCGAAGGGAGAGGAATGAAACAGACAAGACCCAAAATGCAAGCCTGCATCCCTCTCTCACAGGCCTCCTCACCCTCCTCTCTACACCATGGCATAATCTTGCACCTGTCTCAGGTTTTCCTGGCCTCTGAGGGCTCCACAGCTACCCGACCCTGGGACCCTGTCACAGCTTGGAAGTCCCCCTGTCTCACCCATGACTGAGGCCTGGACGACGAGCCCGACGCCTGGCGACTGGCCCCAGAGGACGTAGTGAAAGGATAGGGTGAGGCAGCCAGCCGACTGGCTCGGGGGACTCAGGAGGACGGAGTTCTGCCCCGGCTTTGCATTCTTGGGGTCCAGCAGCATATAGAAGCCATCTGTGAATGACAAGACAGGTAAGGTGGGCTGGCTGCGATGAGGGCAATTCTGGCAGAAAGGCCAGGGGGATCCCAGAAAGGGTGGGGAACGCGGCAGCCCCGGGGCCGACAGAGCCGTCCAATCAGGCAGCTCTGAGCTGGGTCCACTTCCAGGTCGCTGGACGAGGTCCAGCCCTTCAGGAAGCGCCTGGGTCTGCAAAGGGCTACGGTGCCGCTGTCATAGGAGGAGCAGATGCCAGAGAAAGGTCCCTTAGAGTCACCGCCTCTCCCTTTTCTCGGTCCTCCTCTCTTCCCTCAGATACATCCGCTCACCCACTGGGGTGTCAGAAGGTCGGCCCCACACTGAGAAGCACACGGCTTCCAAACTTTCCCGCCACCAACGCAGCCAGCCAATCAGCTTAAACCCGGCTCAGTGACGCAACTGGTAACCAAGGGCAAAGAGGAAAGCTGGAACTCTGATTGGTAGGGAGTACGCATGCACGTTCCAGGACCTCGCACTGACACCAGGGTCAGCGTGTCGGGGTCAAGGGTGGGAAGGCTGAGAAGCGGCAGAAGAGAGCTGTAGGGGGCAAGGACCCGAGTGGGCAAGAACAGAGAGAAAGGGTCTGGGAAGGAAAGGAATGGGAAAAACCGGGGGTCCAAGAAGTCAGGAGAGAGAAGGTGCGGAAAGTCAGAACTTTCTAGAAGGCACCCTGGCGCTTGCATGGGACTGGGGTGGACATTTGTGGAGCTAAGTGAGAGGAGGAAGAAAATGTGGAGATAATGCCTAGCAGCATAGCTCTGTAACTTATGTCTTGGCTTGAGGAACTGTCGCCTTCTCCTGCCCTACACTGCTTGCCTGCTTTGTGTACTGAGTTTGTGGGGCTGGCATGGTGGCACAGCCAGCTAATCCTTGACCCTGTGGCGCTGGCATCCCTACGGGCACCAGTTCATGTCCCGGCTTTTCCACTTCCAATCCAGCTCCCTGCTTATGGCCTGTATACTGAGTTCTCTCAAGTGCCTAGGAAGGCCATTCCTGGCCCTGTGAATGAGGGAGGAAGGAGCATGTCAGTGGATATGGTTTCTAGGTGTGCTACCTGCAGTGGGGCGTGAGGCTGCAGGGCTTGTCTCCCTCCCCCCAGAGCACCCCAAAGCAACCACTGTAGGGTGTGCAGAGGGGCTCAGGCAGCGAGAGGAGGGGGGAGGGTGGCTGGTACTCACTGCCTGGGCTGGAGTAGTCGTCCTGAGGCCCCACACCTGGCACCCCCGAGTTCCCTGTCTTCTGGGTCCATTTGGCCCCAGAGATCGAAGGCACCCAGCTCCAGCCACAGAGATCATTGAGTGTGTCGAAGTTGCACATTTGCATCATGCAGACTGAAAGGAAGAACACACGAGAGGAAGGAGATGGCTCGTGATAGCACACCGTTGTCTGGGGCTGGAATTCGGTGCTCCAGTCTGGGTTGCTATTGTGAGCCATGCCAGGGGGCTGAGGCGGGGCGCACTTTGAGCCAGACGTGGCCTCACTGCTTTGCAAGTACGCGGTTAGGACAGGTGGCGAAATCCACCTGGGCCTCACTTTCTTCATCACACAGTGTCTGTCCTCCCCCTCATGGAATTGTAAGTTAGGGCATGTGAATGCACAGAGCATCTGACCCAGCCCCTTGGTTGAGTGTTTTGTTTTTTTCACCGGCTTCTGGACTTTTCTTTCCCTTGACTGTGCTCCCTGGAACTTCTAACATCAGCTCATTCTGGGTTGTCAGGGTAATGGACAGGGAAACAGATGCAGGATCTCACGGTTCATCTAGAACCGCCGGCTTCCTGCGATGTGGGGTTTTCAGTGTTAAAGTCAGGCCAGTCACCCATTTACATGTATGAGAGCTGAATGAGATGTGGGACAGACTGGACCAGTCTGCTGTGCAAGCACAGGAACCAGGGATGAGCCTGGTGGGGGTTATTGTGGGTCATTCTGACTAGGCTGCAGCTCCCGCTAGTGTACGTGAAGGTCAAGTGTGTGGTGGGCAGGACCGACTGGGCTGCAACACTTATTGCTTTATGTAAAAGAGGGCTGGAGACAGAACTGACCCAGCAATTGCAACCACCTGCATGTGCATAAGCCAATTGGGATGACGGACTGTGCCGGCCCTGTATTGGTGAGCATACACAAGAACCAGGTCTGGGATCATCTCAGACGAAGTTTTTATGGAGATCCCCCCAACTGAATTGCTAGACTCAGAACCCCAACCACGGAGAGAATTAAAGGTTCCATGGTCTGACTGTGGAGTGCATGTGTCAGAGCTGGGCCTCCTTATGGCTTAGACAGAGCAGTGGACAGCATATCCACATGGAATGCGCATGGAGGATATGGCAGTACATTGGAGTCTACAGAGGACACCTAGTACCACGACAGAGGATGGAGGATAAAACAAATCAATCAACTACCCCAGGCAAGTGTTGGCAGTGAATAACTGGGCAAACGGAGACTCTAAGGTAGACTGTGTCAATCAGTGGATTCTGGAGATTTCATCGTGCTTGGAGTGGTAAGATTGGCAGTAATTCGAAACTGCTGAATTATCGAAACCTCTTGAGTAGGACCCTCAGAACATGCCCCAAACTGGGGACCCGGGGTGTTGGGTGGCTGGACCCAGGGAGCAGAGGTGTTTGGGAGGCTGGGTCTGACCTTTCCCTTTATCTCTCCCCTTTCCCCAGATACAGGAAGGAAAAAGAAGAGAATGTGGAAATGGTAATCTCACCCACCTTTCTGTAGCCCTTGACCCTAATTACCCTAATCAACTATGTAAAAATCATCACAAATAATAATCTTTTAAAAATCAGGCCAGCCAAATGGTCCGTTTTGGAGGTGATGTTACTCTGACTTCAGGTTCAAAGCTGGCCCACCAGGAAGGTCAGAGATAGGGCATACCAAGGCAGCAGAAAGCTCCTAGCCATACAGCTCAGAGACGCAGGTGTCCTGGACCCCGAGGGAGCCTGGCCCCCTGACAGAAAGGACAGCGAACTCACTGTGATTACAGGTGCCCCGCTTGATGGAGAGGGCGTCCAGAGCGATGTCTAGGTAAGTGGTGCTGCCCCGGGTGGCCTCGAACATGAGCTGTGGGGCAGAGGTCAAGGGGCTGAGCTCCGTGAGCCCCTGGGCAGGGACCTCCTTGTCCTTCTTGAACTCCAGCGTCTCAGACCCCATACCTGCTTCTACAGGACTGCCCCCTCCCAACTGGGCCTCCCACTGGGGTGCCTGGGCTGGGCCTCACCCGGCTGGGCAGGGCGAGCTCTGCTGGCATGGTGACGGTGGTGGGCATCCAGGAGGGGCTCTCTGTGTTGTCGTGCTTCCAGAGCACACTGGGGCGCTTGCCCTGCGTGCCGCTGAGCAGCAGCAACCGCAGCTGCGCCCCCCACGACAGCCCGAACATGTGATAGGCGAAGTGCACACAGAGCGGCCCTTGCTCCCATAGGTCTGGGCTGCGCAGGCGGGCCACCCCGCCTTGGCGGAAGTTGTTGGAGTTCATGTGCAGGTAGTAGCCGTCTGTGGAGGCAGGGTTGGGTCAGATGAGCTGGCCTACCTACCCTCTTCCCTCAGAACCCAGGTAGCCGCCTCCCAGCTCGCTTCACACAGGGGAATGAACGCACGCCCAATGCCCAGGCCAAATGTCCCCCACCGGGATCCCTGAGGCATCCTGCAGGCCCTTCACCTCCGTTAGGGTACCCTCCGGAGGGCCCAATGATGCCAGCTGGGGAGGGCCCACTGGCCCGAGTCCAGTCCCCGTCATCTGCAGATACTTGGGACCAGTCGCAGAGAGGCCTGGAGTCATCCTCAAAGTCACACTGAGTGAGAACAGCTGGGAGGGAATGGCCACTGTGAGAGCGGAGGGTGCAGGGCACAGGGGGTAGGGAGCAGGGCACAGGGGGTAGGGGGCAGGGTGCAGGGCACAGGGGGTAGGGCACAGGGCACACTGGGGTATGGGGTCAGCAGAGCGCTAAGCTGGGAGAAGGCTGCCACTAAGATTAGGGGTCCAGATCTGGGAGTGGGACCTTCAGGAGGAACTGAAGGCTAGGCGGGAGACACAGTTGTGGAGCAGGGGTGGGGAGCCAACAAGCTGGGTCTGCCAAGTGCATATGTTGTTTGTTCAGGCTTCTGCATTGCTCTCTCCCCACTGCCTCGCTCAGGGGCTGTGTTTCATGCCTTTGATCCTTGTCTGCCTTTGCCCCCTGCCCTGGGGTAACCACGCCTGGAGCTGAGAGGGAGGGGCCCAGCAGTGCTGGTTCCAACTCACGGTTGTTCTTTGAACCTTGAGAGATCACCTTCCATTCCAGCGACTCCTGCCTCTTTGGGCTTGGTTTGGAGGGGAGAAAAAAAAAGGCAGCCCTTGGCCCCAGCCAGCATGAGGAGTCTCGGGGACCGAATCCCGCTGCTCCTGAGTGCTCCCTGAGGAGGCGCTCCGCACTTGGGATGCAGCCTCCTGGCCTACAGCCGCTGTCTGGCTGTTCGAAGCAACCCCTCCCTTCCCCACAGCACCCCTGGCCCCCATGAGGTGGCTCCCAGTGGCTGGGAATTCTCACTCGGTGCCCACGTCTCCCCCTCAGGTCTGCTTCCTTTGGCTAGTGATCTTTTTCGTCGTAGTCCAAGTCTTACCCAGGGAGTATAGATAGCGTGGGGTCCCAGGTTGCCAAGTGAACCTCTAAATGACTAACACCAAGAGGACCCCTCAGCCTGTCCGCCTCATCTCGGCAGCCACACCTCTGGGACCGTGGGCCAAAGGGCACCATCTGTTGTTCTCTAGGATCCTGTTCAACTTGCTCACATTCCGCTAGGACAGTGTCAGGACCCCGGCCAGCCATCCTCTGTCCTGCCCACAGTCTCTCTGGGCAGCCAGATTTTTATATCCACTGTTTCAAGGATTCTTTATCTTTCTCTCACAGCTTTAGCTCTGCCTCCCCGGCTCGGCACCTCTTCTGTTTGTGTTTATATATAGCTCTGTCCCACTTCCAGAACCCCATCTTTAACTTCAGGCTCTAGGTGGCCAGTGTGCCACTTTGGCACAGTAGAGCCCCGCTCGGAAGCCTGCGTCCCATCCTGGAGCGCCTCAGTTCCCGTCCTGCCTTAGTGTCCACTGCCTGCTGACATGCGCTCAGAGGCGGCAGGCGAGGGCTCAGTACTTGGGCCACAAACACCGCATGGGAGACCCAAATGGAGTTCCAGGCTCCAGGCTTCAGCCTGGCCCAGCTCTGCCTATTGCGGGTGTTTGGGAAATGAACTGCAAATGGAAAAATCTATCTTTGTCTCTTGTCATATATCTGTCTCTCAAGCTTTCAAATAAATATGAATAAAACTTAAACAAACAAAAAAACTCTCCAGAAGCCAGTGTGGTGGCATAGCTGGTATCAGTATTGACATCTCACCAAGATGACATCTCAGAGTCCCACCTGCTCAATCCAGCTGCCTGTTAATGCGCCTGGGAAAGGAGTGGAAGATAGCCTAAGTACTTGGGTCCTTACACCCATGTGGGAGACCAGAAAAAAGCTCCTGGCTTCAGATTGGCCTTTGTAGCCACCTGGGAAGTGAACCAGTGGCTGGAAGCTCTATGTGTCTCTCCTCCTCTCTGTAAAGCTGCCTTTCAAAAAACTAAATACATTTTTAAAACAGAAAAAATGAACAAACACTGCAGGCTCTGGGGCTTTGTGATTCAACCCTGTTTGTTGCTGTTATTTAGCCACCCTTCCTTGTCCTCAGCTCCCCCGTCCCTCCCCTTGTAGTATCCTTGGAAGCTGCTCCTCAGCCGGCGGCTCCTAGCTTACCACTGCCCCCAGAGACCTCAAAGACCCCAAAATGAGCCCAGCTTACCCTTCCGAGGCAGACAGGTGGCCCGGGCCCTGGGCAGCCCCCAGGAGCAGCACCAGCGCCCAGACGGGAGGAGCCATGAGGAACCTGGAGGCAGCTCACGGGGGTGGGGAAGGGCACAGCACGGAGTCTCTGTGCTTCTATATACCCCTGATGCCCCTCGCCTGGCGTCCTTCGGAAGCTGCCATGGGAAACACTGGGAACCGACCACCGGGAGGGCTGGCGTGTGCAGACTCCAAAGGAAGAGCTGGAATGTGGAATCAAGGGGAAGACTAAGGAGCTGGAAAGAAGGAAGTATGTTTGAAAAGGTATGTACTCGCCAAAGGGTCCCAGAGTGGAGACTCTCGGGCGTCTAGATGGAAGGGGACCTCAGGGGAGGCACACAGAGCCCCACAGGAGGCATGCTGGGAAATTTCAGAGGATGGGGACGAAGTGGAGATCCGCAAGCCTTTCAGACAGCAGCCAGCGGGTCGCACGTCAGGGATCAGGGTCCATTTGGCATTGCGGCCTTTCGGTGGCAACCACGCATTCTAAGGGGGCGTGACATTGTCTGCGGAATTCCAAGGGAAAGTCACTGGAAGCCTAGAATTCTATAACTGGCCACAGCTGCTGAGGGGCTGGGGTGTGAAGTATGGGGAAGGTCTGAAAACGCTCCCAATGGGTCAAGAGCTGAGAAGCTCCCAATGGGTCAAGAGCTGAGAAGCTGAGGGAGAAGCAGCCAACAGACGCTGGAAACAGTTGGCTTTCCCAGCCCCTGAGGAGTGCTGACCAAAGCTGCCCTGTGAGCCAGCCACCCACTTCCCCAGCTCTCTGCTGATATGCCTGGGAAGGCAACAGAGGACAGCCCAAGTGCCGAACCCCTGTCGTTCATGTGGGAGGTTCCTGGCTCATGGCTTTAGCCTGGCCCAGCCCAAGCCATTGTGGCCAAGTGGGGAGTGAATCGATGAATGGGAAATAATCTCTCCCTCCCTCATCTACTCCTTCTCTCTGTGTCATTCTTTCAAATAAATAACGATTTTTTTTTTTAAAGATTCACTTATTCTTATTGGAAAGGCAGATTTACAGAGAGGGAGGGACAGAAAAATCTTGTATCCACTGGCTCACTCCACAAGTGGCTGCAACAGCCACAGCTGAGCTGATCCGAAGCCAGGAGCCAGGATCTTCTTCTAGGTGTCCCAGGAGTCTCAAGGCTTAGGGCCATCCTCTACTACTTTCCCAAATCATAAGCAGGGAGTTGGAAGGGAAGTGGAACAGACACGATATGAACTGGTACCCATATAGGATCCTGACGCATGCAAGGAGAGGACTACTGTGCTGGCCCAGAAAGGCAGACTTTACAGAGAGGGAGAAAAGAAAGATCTTCCATCTGCTGGTTAGCTCCCCAAATGGCTGCAATGGCCAGAGCTGAGTTGATCCAAAGTCAGAAGCTTTGGGATGTCTTCTACTGCTTTCCCAGACCACAAGTAGGGAGATGGATGCAAAGTGGAACAGATGGGATATGAACTGGTGCCCAGATGGGATCCCATATTGCAAGTAGCAGTATAACCAACTGTGCCATGACACTGGACCCAAAGTCCCTATCTTTGACCCAACATTTTCTTTCTAGGAATCTTCCTGCAGAAATCCATGTATATTTGCAAAAAAATGCATACAGATACTTTAAAGATTTTTATTTTATTTTTATTACAAAGTCAGATATACAGAGAGGAGGAGAGATAGAAAGATCTTCCATCCGATGATTCACTCCCCAAGTGAGCGCAACGGCCGGTGCTGTGCCGATCCAAAGCCAGGATCCAGGAACTTCTTCTGGGTATCCCACATGGGTGCAGAGTCCCAAGACTTTGGGCCGTCCTTGACTGTTTTCCCAGGCCACAAGCAGGGAGCTGAATGGGAAGTGGAGCTGCCGGGATTAGAACCGGCATGTAGGATTCTGGCACGTTCAAAGCGAGGATTTTAGCTGCTAGGCCATGCCGCTGGGCCCTTAAAGATTCATTTTTATACAAAAGGCAGATTGGCAGAGAGGAGATAGTACAGAGAGGGGGAGAGAGATCTTCCATCTGCTAGTTCACTCTCCAAATGGCCACGACAGCTGGACTGAGTTGATCAGCTCACCTGTTGTGGCCTCTTGGGGAGCGAATCAGCGGACAGAAGATTTTCCTTTCTGTCTCTCCTCCTCTCTGTATATCTGACTTCCCAATAAAAATAAATAAATCTTTTTTTTTAAAAAAAGAGTGGCATGCCTCAAAAAATTAAAAATAGAGTCAGCATATGATCCAGGAGGTGCAAGAAAGAAGCGCAGCGAGTAGGGAGACATACCCATGATGGCCAACAGGTGGCAGCGCCCCAGGATGAGCATGGGCGGTGTCAGCTATCCGTGCAAGGGGCTGTTAACTCCACCTTCACCAGGAAAGTACTCCTGGGGTTGTTCTAACAGGGAGAACATTACGCCAAAACAAAACAAGACAGTTGGGCCCAGTGCGGTATCCTAGTAGCTAAAGTCCTAGCCTTACACGTGCTGGGATCCCATATGTACGCCAATTCTAATCCCGGTGGCCCCATTTCCCATCCAGTAGAGGATGGCCCAAAGTCTTGGGATCCTGCACCTGCGTGGGAGACCCAGAAGAAGTTCCTGGCTTTGGATCAGCACAGTTCCAGCCGTTGCGGTCACTTGGGGAGTGAATCATCAAACGGAAGATCTTCCTTCCTGTCTCTCCCCTCTCTGTATATCTGACTTTCCAATAAAAATAAATAAATACTAAAAAAAAAAAAAAAAAAAAGGCAATCACAACGAACCCATACTGTAGGAGGCCACTTCTTCAAAATCCAGGAGCACCCAATGCGGAGAGACAGAAAGAAGACTGGCAGTTCTTGGTGGGAGGAGTGAGCGTGGAGACTTTAGCAGGGCTTCAGTTTGGGGGAAGAGAAAATTCTAGATATGGTGGTGATATTCACAGAACCACAGAGTTGATACACTTAATGCCATTGTACTGCATGCTCCAAAATAATTCAGACAGGGCAGGCTTTTTCTTTAAAGGACGTATTTAGTTTTCTTTATTATCATTATTATTTTATTGGAAAATCAGCTATACAGAGAGGAGGAGAGACAGAGAGGAAGATCTTGCATCCACTGGCTCACTCCCCAAGTGGCTGTAATGGCCAGAGCTGAGCTGATCCAAAGCCAGGAGCCAGGAGCTTCTTCCAGGTCTCCCACATGGGTGCAGGGTCCTATCCTCTACTGCATTCCCAGGCCACAGGCAGGGAGCTGGATGGGAAGTGGGGCTGCCAGAATACAAACCGGCGTCCATATGGGATCCTGGCATGTGCAAAGCGAGGACTTTAGCCACTAGACTACCAAGCCGGGCCCTTATTTTTCCTTTAAAGTCAGATTTAGAAAGCGAGAAGGAGAGAAAGCATCCATCTGCTGGTTCACTCCCATATGGTTACAATGGCTGAGACTGGGGCAGGCTGAAGCCAGGAACCAGAAGTTTCTTTCATGTCTCCCAAGTGAGTGCAAGGACCCAAAGAGAGAGATTGAGAGGAAGAGAGAGAAAGAGACTGTCTTCCACTCACTGGTTCACTTCCCAAAGACCTACAACAGCCTGGGCTGAAGCCAGGAGCCAGAAACTCCACGTGGGTCTCCCATGTAGCTGGCCCCAGGGGCCCTATGTCATCTGCTGTCTTCCCATACCTGGAGGCTGGGACTGGATGGGAAGTGGAGTAGCTGGGATTCAAACCAGTGATGTGATACAGGATGCAAACATGACAGGGCTCTACCCCACTGCGTCATGATACCTTCCCCCAAGTAATTGATTTCTTCGAAAGCAAACGCTGCTGAGCTAACCTGAGCCCAGATGTCTACATCCCATCATGCCCAGCTGTTTCCCCAAATCTGCAGATTCATTTCCTTTACCTGGGGCAGCCCCTGTCCCACCCCCCTCCCACACACATCCCAGTGTCACTTCTGTTCCCACATGCCTGGCCTCTGACCCTCACACTCTCCTGAGTGGCCAGGGAGGAGTTGGCACAGGAGAAGAGACACAAAGCTGCAGGGCAGCCCCCCAAGACTTCTACCGCTGCAGAGAGGTTGGACAGCTGAGTCTGGGACCACAGGAGGCCCCTCCGTCTGCCACCAGCCCAGGCTCAGTTCCTTTGCCCAGCCCCCTTCCACACTGGGTCAGCTGAGTAGCCACAGAGGGCCAGAGCCAGGAAATGGTTAACCAGAGAAAGGCGGCAGGAGACAATGGCCTCTCTGCCCCTGCTGGTTGGGCAACAAGACCTCTGCCTGCATTCGCTGACCTCCTTTGGTCTCAGTGGGAAGATCACCGCTGGGAGATGGGGGTTGGGAGACTAAAAGGGAGGCAGGGAGGAACCTCTGGGTACGGCATTTTGGGGATCTGGGAATAGGCAAGTCCCCTCCCCCTCCCCCGAGACTGGCGGCCTTGACAAGACTGGAGCTGCAGAGGCCCCTGTAAGAGACCATGGGGTGTGGGAAGCACCCTGGGAACCACTCCGGAGTCCAGTCCTAGCTTGGCTGAGTGTCCCTGGCACTTGGCCTGCCCATTCTGAGCCTCAGCTTTTCTATTCATTAAACACAGTCAAGGTGTTTGAAAAGTATGATAAAAAATCAGGAGGAAGGATTGCGGCATCTGGGCCTTTGAGAAACTGCTGTTGTGTGGTTTCCTCTCACCAGTATTCTTTCATAATGTTCCCATCATAATGGAATTTTAGAAAACTGAGCCACAACCAGCTGGAAATAATAATCCAGGTTAGATTCCAGTAACTAACAGGTCCTGTTTAATTTGTTAAGGCTTTTATTTGAAAGGCAAAGCAATAGAGAACAAAAAGAACGAGAAAGAGCAATCTTCCACCTCCTGGTTCACTCTACAAACATCTGGAACAGCCAGGGCCAGGCCCCGGCATAAGCCAGGAGCTCCATCCAGGTCTCCCACATGGGTGGCAGAAACCCAAGCCCTTGAGCCATCGCCTGCTGCTTCCGGGGTTCTGGGGTGCTGTATCAGAAGCGGAGACACTTTGGTGTGGGGTGTGGGCATCTTAGCGGCCACCAGGCTATAAAGCTAACTCAGCTCCAGCACCATCAGCGAGACTCTAGAAAGCTGTGAGCCAGGGCCGGGCAGGTGCCTTGGGTCAGTCTGAAATGCATCGGGTTAAAACGGAAGGATCCGGTGGCTGTTTCTCTAACAGTTCCCAGCAGGGCCTACAGAGGGCACTGTAGCCCAGGAGCCGACTTGGCAAGAGTGAAAATTCTCTTCCGGTTCCGCCCTCTGGCTGACTCCTCCCCCCTTAGCCCCACCTCTACTCCCCATACAAACACCAGGCAAATACCATTCAACCTCCCCAACCTTCCAGTAAATTTTCCTGCCACAGATTGCAAAATGCTCTCCTCTCTCCTCATGTTTAGGGGGGCAGGCTACCTTCTCTACATTTTTTGATGTGCTCCTAAGCAAAAAGACCAGGCCCTGCCTTCCAGAGAACTCCAAGGAGTTTGCAGAAAACAGAATTAAAAGTTTATGTTGATGCAGTCTTTGAAATCTATGCATATTTTCTTCATAATATACATTTTCCATGAACTGTTTGAAGGCTTTTCATATGCATGGGTTTGGGCTTTTATGCACCAAAATACTTACCTTTCAAGGAAAGATGTATTTGTTTTATTCATTTGAGAGACAGAGAGAAATATAGATAGAGATGAGGACTCAGGGCTCTGCTGTCCTCTGCCGCCGAGGCTGAGCCAGGTCAAAGTCTGGAGCTGGGACTCACACAGATAGCCATCACCGAGGGCTTGAGCCATCAGTACCTGCAGTAGCAGTAATCTGGAACTGGGAACGGAGCCAGAGCTTGAGCTGGCAGGTGACAGATGGCTCCTGGATGTGGGTCCCCACCCTAAATGGTTCCCTGGCGTGGCCCGTTTACTCCTCATATAACCCTCTGAGAAAGCCCCCATCATTCCTGCCACCGGCCGGCGTGTGCATCAGCAGGTATCTGGAGTCAAGCCTGCAGCTAGGCTCCCTGGTGGGGGCCGGGTATGCTCAGCCAGACACCTCCCAAACTCAGCCTCTAATTCCACTCTCTGTTTGAAAGTCCCCTTCCAGAGGCCAGGAATGGCCATCTGGCATTGTGTGGTGGCATCTTCAGCAGTCTGAAATCCTTGCCAACATAAAGATTAGAACTCAAAGAGGAACCAAGGGTGGACCATTCCTTCATCCTGTGACCGTGTTCCTGCCTTGGAGGGTAGGGGAGCAGGCAGGGATGATGGGGAAGAAATAAGCAGATGCGGGAGAGGATACAGAGGCATCGGGAGGGACCTGTTTTCTTGAGCTTGAGTAGGAGACTTCATTTCTCTTTTTTAAGATTCATTTTTATTGTTATTAGAAAGCCAGATTTACAGAGAGGAGATACTGAAACAAAGATTTTTCCATCCGTTGGTTCACTCCCCAAATGGTAACAACAGCTGGAGTTGAGCCAATAGGAAGCCAGGAGCCTCTTCCCGGTCTCCCACACAGGTGCAGGGTCCTAAGGTTTTAGGCCGTCCTCGACTGCTTTCCCAGATCACAAGCAGGGAGCTGGATGGGAAGTGGAGCAGCCGGGACATGAAGCGGCGCCCATATGGTTTTCTGGTGCTTGAATGCGGAGGATTAGTCTGTTAAGCCACGGCACTGGCACCATTTCTTTTATAAAAATGTATTTGAAAAGCAAAGAGAGAGAGAAAGATCTTGCATTTGATGATTCACTCCCTAAATACTCTAAAGAGCCAGCCATGGCCGGATCGAACCCAAGTCAGGAACTAGGAACTCAGTCTGGGTCTCCCCTGTGGGTGGCAGGAACCCAAGACCTCAAGGCACCCCCTGCCGCCTCCCCTGCTTCACTCCAGCAGGAAGTTGGCACCAGGAAGCAGAGCCTAGATTTGAACCTCGCACTGCAGTAGAAGACGCTTTGCCTTTGTGCTGAGTGCCTGTCCCCACTTGACTTCATCTGGTACCATGGGAATGGCAGCAGGAGCTTTCTCAGAGAGGTATGTGGCCAGGTCCTGCTGGGCAGCACTTGGCACAGAGCAGGTACTCAGTCGGAAATCCTTCAGGGTGAGGCTCAGAGCCTCCAGTTCAGGCAAGGAGAGAGGGCAGCCGCCTCCACAGGGACACGTTGCAGAGCAGGAGACTGATGCTCGTGCAGGAGGACACGGTATGGGGCCTGCTTCCTGGTCCTTGCTGGGAACCACAGTTGGCAGAGGCTTGTCCTGGGCACCTGGCAGCTGCCTACCCAGAGACAGCCTTGAATGGGGCCACTTTATTGACCGGTGTGGGCAGAGCTCATGGCCTCAAGCCTGGTGGGGTCAAGAGGTCAGACAGGCTGTGTGAAGCTGCACGTAGGACCCAACCCCTTGTACCACTGATTTCCCAGACCTGACGTGCTGGGCTGCCGGGGTAGGGGGCTCCAAGCCCAGGGGAATAGGGCTTCCGGGGAAGACAGAAAAGCCCACGTGGGTGGTATCAGTTCTTGGCAGTGAGACTGGAAGATATACAAAATGCGACCCCCGTGAGAATCAGGGACCAGCCCCCATCATGTCTGCATGGCTCCCCGAGCCCTTTTGGCCACGGCAGGTGCCTGTCCCAGGAGTCTCTGTGAGACTTGGAAAACCAACGGCGCACCACCTCAATTCTCCTGTCCATCCTGTCCCTGCTTGGTGGGTGCAAAACCAAATATGTATGTGCCTCCCAAGTCTGTCTGGGTGTCACCATTCAGCAAGGCACCAAGTGAGCTTGACTGTACCCCAGCATGGTCTTCTCCTTGAGTTCAGAGCTGACCTCTGCGTCCCTCCTTCCATCTCAGTCCTCTGAGATGTCACTGCTAGCACTGGAGTGTCCATGAGACAGACTGGCGTGGAGGCAATAGCCCCGTGGCAGGGGGTGGCGAGTGGCTGGGGTGCGGGGAGGCACGGCTCAGGCAGAGGCGGTCAGCAAGGTGGTGGCCGTTGTGTGCCTGGTCACCTGTCCCCTCTCCGGCAGATCTGCCCTGTGTACAGCTTCAGCTTTCCCCGGAGGAAGTTGGAGTAGATGCGGAAGAGCTTGCACAGAGTATCCACAGCGACCGTTGGGAGTGGAGCAGCCGAAGGGGCTGCCTCTGGAGTGGAGCTGGCTTCCTTCTGTGGGGGGTAGAGTGGGAAGTCACCGCAGTCCACAAGGGACATGGGGGGCGGGGCTAGGATGGAGTGGGGGCATCTCATCCCTTTTAATTAATTACTGTATTTGCAAGAGAGAGTTACAAAGAGGAGAGACAGAGATGACTGCAATGGCCAGGTCTCGGGCAGCCAGCAGCCAGGAGCCTGGAATTCCATGCTGGTCTCCTGAATCAGGTGCAGGGGCCTGAACACCTGGCCAGGTTCTGCTCCTGGCAAGCTGGATGAGAAATGGAGCAGCTGGGACTTGGAACCAGCACCCATGTGGGATGCTGGCAAGGGCTTAACCCGCTAGACTTCGATGCCCGCCCCCTCCCCAATACCCTTCTCAACTTCTGGGAAGGGTCAGCAGGGCCCCCTGGCTCACCTGCACTCCCAGCGCCCGGAGCAGGGAGGTAAGGCTGCGTAAGCCACTGACAGCTTTGTCCACGTGCAGCTGCAGGGTATGCGGCGGCTGGGAGGAGTTGGCCAGCAGGGCCTGGCCGCGCAGCATGGCTTCCGATAGCAAGGACAGGCCCTGCCAGACCTCTACAGCGTGGGGCCCGGCCTAGAGGGAGCACAGACCAGCAGTCAGCTGACCCAGGCCCCTGCCTTCCCGCTACCCTACAGCAGCCCCATCACCCCAGCAAAGCGAACAGAAGCTCCGCCCCTAGGGTTTGTTGAATGAATGACGAAGCCCTCATCTCAACAGCTGCCTCTCTCGCTGCCCCCCTTGTTTCTTCTAGTCCTTCCCAAAGAGGAGTGCCCTGGAGGAAGGAGACATGGGCTCACCTCCACCTTCTTCCAGTCGTGAAAGTTGACCTTGGTGTCCGGCACTGTGATGTTTTCCCCGAAGCTGCAGCCTGCAGCACAGTCCATCTGAAACGGTCCAGCCCAGCCATCAGCCACCCTAGGTGGCCCGGGTTTGTGCCCTTGCCTAGCATCCAGATACACTTTGGGCACCACCCACTGCATCACTGCTGAGATGGAGGGTGGTGAGAAGAACAGCCCACCTACACCCTGAGCGGGAGGCCAGCAAGGAATCGAGACTCCTGGAGAGACACCTCCTCCCGGGAGACCCGAGGGTGCTGGCGTGGCAGAGGGGGCCTCACCGTAGCATTCTCAGCCTCCCTGGCCTCCAGAATGTAGCGCTCCAGGACGCGGCTGTCACAGATGAGGCGTGGGGGGGCGCATAGGGCCGGGAGGCCCAACGGGAGCAGGAGCCAGCAGAGCCGGGGCAGCAGGGCCAGGCATCCTGGAAGACAGTAGGGCGCGTGTGAGGCAGGCGCGCAGAGCAGGGAGCGGTGGGCTCCGAGGGGTCGCGGCCCGCCCCTTCCCCCGGCTCCCGGCTGCCCCGACCTGGCGAGCGCTCCGGCGCTGCCTCCCTCGCCTTCATTCAATCCGCCCGCCGCCGCGCCGCCGCACACCCCACCCCCAGCTACCGGCATCCACTTCTCCGGCCAAACTTCAATCCCCGAGTGCAGAGGCGGCCCCTCTCGCGGATCGCGGTTTTAACTCCAGGACCCAGGTATCAGCTTCACAACTTGCTCCCTACCCACCAAGCAGCTCCTCTTCTCCTCCCCTCCCCCCATCTTGGCCCCCAGACCTTTCGCCCATTCACGCGGACGTCCCAAGTTTCGTGGCACGTGGAGGCTGTCCCACCCCCCTGCTCTCCCGGCTCCTGGGCGAATCGCAGGTCCTTGATCCCAGCCACGTCCCGGGCAGCAAATCCCTTCTTAAACAGGGGCCCGGTCGGCGGGTAACTCCCGGAGCCCGCGACACTCACCGCGCGCCCCCATCTCCGCGCCGCGCCGGGACCCTCAGCGACCTGGGGCTCTGCTGGAGCCCTCGCCGGGAGCCCTCATCCCGGGACGCTGTCGGGCAGGGACCAGCCGCTCGGGGATCAGTGTCCTGGGGGCGCGGGCCTGGGGTCGGAGGAGAACCGGCGCAGTGGCCCGGGCCAGGGTCTGTGAGGCCGGCGCGCCGCAGCCACCGGAGGGGTTGGCCCGGGGACTCTGCGGCTGCGGCCGGGGGTCGGGGCTGTTATCTGCATGTGTGCGTGCGCCGGTGGGGGTGGGGGTGAGGCTGTGTGCGTGAGGGGTCGCCCGGGGTGGGGGTCAGTTGGGGTCGGAGCAGGGGGCAGGACGCCTGGGTCTGGGGCTGCGCCGGCGCGCGTGCAGGGCAGGGTCCGCCCCGGCGCCTGGGTTCGGGGAGGGGAGTGGAGCTGATGCGCTCCCGGGGGAGCCTCGGACCCGGGGACAGCGGTGCCCTTCAGAGCAAGGCTAGGGGAGGGTGCCGCAAGCTCCGGGCACACCGGGCTCCTGTATTCGCCAGAAGCCGGGCCAGCTCCGCTGAAGCTCATCTCAAATTTCCCACACGTGTTCTGAACCGGATGGGGGACAAACCGAGCTAGAAGTTGAGGCTTCTGACCACCACCCTCCTCGCCCCTTCCCGTGCTCCCCCTCCCAATCCTCCTTTTCCAGGACCCTGAAACGTTCAGGAAAGTGCTTTTTAGGCCCTGGAGCACACAGGTATGTTTCCATCTGTCTTTGTGACCCGTGACATGGGCTTGCTGGCAAAATTCTGAGCAATTCAGGAAGAGCGTGCTGGGATGGAGGCTGACTGCCTGCCGTGCAGCGGTTTCTCAAACCTTGAGCCTCAATGGTCAGACCTGTCTAGTGGGTGTGACAGAGAAAAGCCACACCTCTCTTCGGTCATGAACTCAGGGAATTGTGCAGGGCACTTCAAACACATCATGGAAAAAGGAGCTAAAGTGTGTCTGTTTGGACATCAAACAATCTGAAATCCCTGCGGATGAGCAGGTTCTGCAGGTTCGGAAGAGTTCATGGAAGCTGGGAATAGGATAACACTGTGGATACATTTTGAAAGATTTTGCAACAAAATAAACATCTCATTCTGTTTTCCACTCTTTCGAAGTCCTCTGATATATCTGCTGCTTCTTGCCCAGTGGCATGATGGTAGAGATATTTCAGTGGCGTTTTCAGCTCCTAATTTGTGCATGATCTTTGTTACACGGTTAGCAGGACAGAAAGATGTTTTGGAGCCTGATGCCATGGCTCAGTTGGCTAATCTTCACCCTTCAAGCTCCAGCAGCCCCTATGGGCGATGGTTCATGTTCACTTCGCTTCCAGCTCCCTTCTTGTGGCCTGGGAAGCAATCGAGGACGTCCCAAAGCCGTGGGACCCTGCACCTGTGTGGGAGACCTGGAAAAGGCTCCTGGCTTCTGGCTTTAGATCAGCTCAGCTCCAGCTGTTTTGTTCGTTCGGGAAGTGAACCAGTGGATGGAAGATCTTTCTCTTGGTCTCTCCTTCTCTATATAACTCTGCCTTTCCAATAAAAATAAATGGATCTTTAAAAAAAAAAAGAGTGATTTGTAAAATTAAAAGAGAGAGAGATTTGTTTATTTTTTTTTTTTTTATTGGAAAGGGAGTTACAGAGAGAGGAGAGACAGAGATCTTCCATCCACTGATTCACTCGCCAAATGGTTCCAATGAGTGGGGGCTGAGCCAATCTGAAGCCAGGAGCCAGGAGCCTCTTCCAGGTCTCCAAAGTGGGTTTGGGATCCCAAACACTTGGGTTGTCCAGTGTTGTTTTCCTAGGGACATTAACAGGGACCTGGATCAGAAGTGGAGCAGCCAGGACTCAAGCTGGCACTCCATTATTGGGTGCCAAAGAGCCAGGCCCGAGAACTCTCATCAAGATTTGCCTACAACCCCTAGGATTATGTTGGCTTCACCAGGACAGACATTCTGGTGTTGTTTGACTTTGGCGGGGGGGGGGGTCTGATTTTTTTGTTTGTTTGTTTCTGCTTTTTAATTGATGCATGGGGAGTCTGCTGTGGCACAGCAAGAGAAGCTGCTGCCTATGGTGCTGGGATCCCAAAACGGAGCGCCAGTTCAAGTCCAGGCCACTCCACATCTGATCCAGCTCCCTTCTGATGGCTTGGAGAAAGGAGTGGGAACTGGCCTGTGTGCTTAGATCCCTGCCACTCCTCTGTGAGACCTCGATGGAGCTGTAGGCTCCTGGCTTCCACCTGGCCCAGCACTGGCTGTTGCAGCCATCAGGGAGTTAATCAGTGGGTACAAGATCTCTCTCTGTCTCTCTTCTCTGTAACTCTTTCAAATAAATAAATCTTAAACACGCACATACACAAACAAACCAGCGACTCTCAAATGGCAACTGGGGATGTGCCCAACTGGATGGGACACAGAGGCTGCAGGTGTTGTGAGGTGCTCAAGGATGCCAGGGAGCCATAACAGGCTGTGTGGGTGTCACAGGGAACCACAATTTCAAAAGGGCTTGGCCAGAAGAAGAGATTCGGGGCTGTGACTAGTGAGTTTCTGGGGGACCTCAGGCTTGTCTAACTCCCTCAAGCCCCACTCCCCTGGCTCTAACTCACTTCCAACCTGGCCAGGGTCCTCCCCAGATGTGTAGTCCCAGCTTGCAGCCTCCTAGCCTGCTCCCCCTCCCTGCACAGGGCCCAGCTGTGGGACACACACATGCACACACGTCCACACACATCGGCATGTGCACTCTCCCGACCCCCCTGCTCTCTGGGTCCTGCTCTTCGGGCCCCCTGCTCCTGCGTCACTGCCCTGACCTGAGGGCTGGGCTGGACTCAGCCTAAGCCCTGGGGCGGAGAGGCTGGGCTGGACTCGGCCTGAGCCCAGGGAGAAATGGCTGGGGGTGGGTGGGGGAGGAGGGAAGCCTCTGGGGCTTGCCCCTTTCCTTGCAGTAACTTGCTAGAGGGTCCCAGGGCAGGGGTTGAGGCTGACCGCCACAGGGCAGGGCATCCAGCTCTGAGGCGGGTTTTTTGGTTTGTTTCTGGGTGTTTGGTTTTTTGTTTTGTTTTGTTTTGTTTGAGGGGGTGGGTGAGAGCTGCAACTGCAGCTTGAGGGAGAAGAGGTTTGCAGGATATGGTGCGCCCCACAGTCAACCCTGATACACCCCTAATCCAGTTGGGGTGGGCTGCCCAGCATCCATTCTCTGCTGGGTGCTGACCTAGTCAGGTCACTTCTGCTGTACCCACCAGGGTAGTAGCCTCCTGCACAGCCAGGAACCTGCCATGGTTCCCCAATTGCCTTAGAACTCAGACCCTCTGTCCCGCCAAGAGCCAGGAGTCTCTTCCAGGTCTCCCACGTGGGTACGGGGCCCAAGCACTTGAGCTGCTTTCCCAGGTGCATCAGCAGGGACATGGATTGGAAGAGGAGTAGCTGGGACTTGAACTGGTACCCACATAATACATTGAATGCTGGCATGGCAGATGGTGGCTTCACATGCTATGCCACAATACAGGCTTCTTGCCCTCTTTTCTTAAAGGCCAAACCCCAGCGCTGCCTCCTCCAATGAAGACTTCCCGGATCCTCCAGCAAGAAGTGACCGCCTCCCTCCTCACTGCCATAATTGATGTACACACCTCAGGCCCCTGGCTGCCTGGCCCACCACGTACAGCTGTCATTGTTCAGCAATGCACAGTTCCAGGAGGCCTGGTGCCTGCTTTCGGTCATCCTACACAAGTCACCAGTATTGGGTGGCCCTCTGACTCTACGCTCCATAGTTAGAGACCCAGAGGTCTGTGGTAGGAAAGAAGCCACACCTGCTCAGCCCTGGGGTCCTGGGGACTTAGGAGGCCTCCACTAACCTTCCAGTCAGGCAGGGTCTGGGGTCGGCTGTGACAACAGGCCAGCGGGGGGTGGAGGCAGGCGCTGGCCCACAGCTTCCTCCTGGCAGCCAATTCGGAGAACGTGTCCAAGGAGAGGCAAATTTACAGTCCCCCAGAGCTGTCCTAGGCCCCTGGCTGCACGGAGGCCCAGCTGCCTGGAGTCAAGCTGGGGAGCAGGGGCCCCCTGGCTCTCTCCTTTCTCCTCCTTTCCTCCCTCCCTCCTTCTCTCCCTCCCAAGCAGTGGCTGCTGGATCAGGGTTCAGTCTGTGACCCAGAAGACTTTCTGTGCTAGGAAGTGAGATGGCTTGGGTCTTTGGGGGTGGGAGATGGGGGACCCTCCTGGCCTTTGGGAACTGGAAAGGAGAACCAAAGCCAAGTCAGGACAGGGTCAGCATGGGGAAACTGAGGCAGAGGTTGCTGTTTTGGTCTGGAAACAACTGAGAGGAATAGGCATGTGGTGTCTGAAGTCTCTGACTGTGGAAAATAGAATTATAAGATGTATTTAGGGGCGGGTATTGTAGCACTATGAGTGGAGCCGCTGCCTGGGACAACCACACCTCTCCAGTCAGGGCACTGGATGGAGTTTTGGCTACAAGGTTTCCAATCCAGCTCCCTGCTGAGCCACCTGCTAAAGCAGGAGAGGGTGGCCCAAGTACTTGAGTTCCTGCCGATGCCAGCCATCCTGTGAAAGAAGACAAAGCTGACAAATGGGCCAAGCAAGTGTACAATTAGAAAATCCTTACTTAAAAAGGCAGAAGAGGGAGGGTGCTTGGTGTGGCAGCGCACATGCTGCTCGGGATGCCCACAGCCCGCAGCACAGTGGGAGTGTGGGAGCCTGGGGCCTGCCTCCATTTCCAGCTTGGAAAGCAGAGAACAATGGCTCTAGGACTTGGGTTCCCACCATCTGCGATGGAATTCTTGGCTCGTGGCTTTCGACCAACCCACCAGCCCAGCCCCAGCTGCTGTGGGCATCTAGGGAGTGAAATGGCAGATGGGAGGGCTCACTCTCTTGCTCACTTTTCCTTTCAAGTCAATAAAAATGAAATAATTTGGGCCCAGCACATTAGCCTAGCAGTTAAAATCCTTGCCTTGCACACGCTGAGGTACCATATGGCTGCTGGCTTGAATCCCGGCAGCCCTTCTTCCCATCCAGCTCCCTGCTTGTGGCCTGGGAAAGCAATCGAGCATGGCCCAAAGCCTTGGGACCCTGCATTTGCATGGGAGACCCAGAAGAGGCTCCAGGCTCTTGGCTTCAGATTGGCTCACCTCTGGCTGTTGCAGTTGCCTGGGGAGTGAATCAGAAGATAGATCTTCCTTTCTGTCTCCCCTCCTCTCTGTTTATCTGACTTTCCAAAATAAATAAATAAATACATCTTTTTAAAATGAACTAATTATTTGTTTTACTTGAAAGAGTTACACAGAGAGACCGAGATCTTCCATCCACTGACTGATTCACTTCCCTAGTGGACGGAACAGCCAGAGCTGGCCTGATCCAAAGCCAGGAGCCAGGAGTTTCTTCCAGGTCTTCCATATGGGTATGGGGACCCTAGCAGTTAGACCATTCTCCACTTCTCTCTCAGGCTATAAGCTGTAAGCAGGGAACTGAATCAGAAGTGGAGCAGCCGTGACTCAAACTAGACTCTATGTGAGATACCGGGGTCACGGGCAGTTTAGCCTATTACGCTAAGGCAGCAACCCCAATTCACAGAAACAGCACATGCTCAGTGAACAAATAGAAACCACAAGTGAGGTTAACCATGGAAATTATGAGACCTGTGATGCCCTTCGGCAGAGGGAGTCAGAAGTGGCCATTTTGCCCTGAGTCTTCTGTAATTTTTTTTTAATTTATTTATTTTTATTGGAAAGGCAGTTATATAGAGAGGAGAGATAAAGAGAAATATATTGTCTGATGATTCACTCCTCAAGTGGCTGCAACAGCCAGAGCTGCGCCGATCCGAAGCCAATCTGAAGCCAAGAGCTCTTCCTGGTCTCCCACGCAGGTACAGGGTCCCAAGGCTTTGGGCCATCCTCAACTGCTTTCCCAGGCCACAAGCAGGGAGCTGGATGGGAAGCAGGGCTGCCAGGATTAGAACCGGTGCCCATGTGGGATCCCAGCATGTTCAAGGTGAGGACTTTAGCTGCTAGGCCACAGCTCCGGGCCCCTGAGTCTCCGCTTGGCAAGATGACCTTTGCCTGCCTCACCCCAAGGCCCGTGAGTTGCACATCCATTCCGGTAGGTACTGCACTGGACATCTGCTGTTCAGCCATTTCAGGGAGTTGAGGGTTTGTGGGTCACCTCCACATCGTCACCCCATTACCTGACCCAGCCCCCCAGGCTCACCCTCAGCCTGCTGTAGCTGGCTCATAGGTCCTGAGGCCCACATCCTGCAGTGGGGGGCCACTACTGGGGTTTGGATATGGTCTGTGCTCCATATCTGCATTGGATGCTTTGTCCCAGGGCAGCTTTAAGAGGTGTGACCCAGTGCAAAGTCACTGAGGACATGACCCCCTGGTACTGCGGTGACTTTCCTGGAACCCTGGGTGCTGAAGGGCTGCTCTACACACCAGAGCAGGTGGTCGGCACCTTGCATCTTGCATGACAGTTCAGTTCCCACTCCTGTGTCCAGCTTCCTGTCCATGCAGACCCCGGAAGGCGACAGTGGTGAGTTAAATACAGGATTCCTGCCACCCATGTGGGACACCTGGCCTCAACCCCAGCCTAGCTCTAACTGTTACTAGCATTTGGGGAGCGAGCCGGGGAATGGGAGCTCCCTGTTTCTCACTGACAAAAATAAATAATAAATCATAAGCCTGACACCTTCTTGTTATCGCTATGGATCGCTCCCTCTCTCACACACAAGCATTCCGCTGTCCATCAGGAGGCCTGCACCAGAGCCGAACCGAGGCTCAGGCCAGGCCTTGAACTTCCTGTGAGTTACAGAAGCCTCTTTCCTGTGTAATGTACCCAGCCTGCAGACTTCATTACAGTAACAGAAAACTGCACACACACATCCTTTCTTTCTCTCATTCCCATTCAGGAGGCTAAAGCAGGCCTGAGGGGCAGTGCAGCAGGCTCAGCTACTGTGTGCATCCGATCACCTGCTCAAGTCCCGGCTGCTCCACTTCTAAGCTGGCTTCCTGCTTATGCACCTGGGAAGGCAGCAGACGACGGCTTAGATCCTTGGGTCCCTGCCCCCCCATGGGAGACCAGAATGCAGTCCCTGGCTCCTGGCTTCAGCCCGGCCCAGTCCTGGCTGCTGCAGGCATTTGGATAGTGAACAAATGAATGGGAGCTTTGTCTCTCCATCTCTCCCCGATGCTCTGCCTTTCAAATAAATAAATCTTTAAAAAATGGAAGTTAAATGACTTTTTAAAAAAGATTTTGTTGTTTTCTTATTTGAAAGGCAGAGTTAACAGAGAGATGGAGAGAGATCTTCCATCTGCTGGTCCACTCCCCAAAGGCCTACAACAACCAAGGCTGAGCTGGGTTGAAGCCAGGAGCCAGGAGCTTCCTCTAGGTTTCCCATGGGTATGCAGGGGCCCAAGGACTTGAGCCACCCTCTGCTGCTTTCCCAGGCCACAACCAGGGAGCTGAACGGGGAGCGGAGCTACTGGGACAGAAACCAGTGACCCGCAACGAATGCCAGCACCACAGGCGGAAGGTGAGCCCCTCAAATGACTCCTTAGCACAATGGTTCTAGGCCAGTGAAAAGTATTGTGCACATTCTTTTTTTCTTAAAATTATTTATTTACTTTTACTGAAAAGTGAGATATACAGAGAGGAGGAGAGACAAAGATCTTCCATCTGTTGATTCACTCCCCAAGCGGATGCAATGGCCAAAGCCAGGAGCCTCTTCCTGGTCTCCCACACAGATGCACGGTCCCAAGGCTTTGGGCCATGCTCGATTGCTTTCCCAGGCCACAAGCAGAGAGCTGGATGGGAAATGGAGCAGCCGGGATTAGAACTGGCACCCATATGGGATCCCAGCACGTGTAAGGTGAGGACTTTAGCCACTAGACTAATGCACCAGACCCATTATTTGTCTTTTTTAAACCTGTGCTGTTTCCTGCAACTTTATAGGACCCACAGTTTCTATACTTTGTGGCGCACCACCTAACATGGACCATTATACTGTAGTGCAGTGGACAAGGGTCAGTCATCTCTCTTCTCCAGGGCAGAAGAGCGTCCATTCACTGTGGGCTCTGAACCTTTCCAGTAAGCAGGAGCGGGGTGGAGGGGCCCTGCCTTCGGACATACTTCCCCCAGTCTCCAGTCTTCCCAAGCTGGGATGGAAATCACGGTCATGCAGAGCCAGGAGAGGGATAACGATGCTGGGGGCTCCCCATCAAGGAAGGGACATAGGAGAGACTGCAGGACCCTCAGGGTCGCCCTGCCCCCAGGCCCCTTCTCCCTTCAGCAGCAACACAGAGGGGATGTCTGTGTCCAGGGAAGCCCTCTTGGCAAGCAGTGAGGAAACAGGGAGTAGAATCAACAAACAAACAGTGCGGGAGGTCGGGCTGCCAAAGCAAACACAGCGGGGCTGCCTGCCACCGCCTGTCCTGAGCTCCGGCCAGGAGCACAGGCGAGCACACATACGTGCAGGGAGACACACAGCCTGCGCAGCTTCCCGGCCCGCCACCACGGGCTGCCGTCAGGGGCTGATGGTGCAGAAAGTCAGCAGCCTGGGTTCTCTCATCGGCCCAGCGGTGTCCTCACATGCCCTCCCCCCAGACCCCTGAGCCAGATCTGCCCTCTCCCAAACTCCTATTCATCCTTCAGGGCCTGAGGCCAAAGTGAAACTACCTTGGACTTTACCAGGAAGTTAGGCGTCTCCAACCCATTTCCCTAGCATGACTGCTCAAGAACCAAATGAGGTATCTACCCTGAGATGGCGAGTTCCCCAGTCCCCACGCACAAGCCAGAGGCAGGATCTGCTGACAGAGGAGTCTGGCTTGTGCACTGCTAAGTCAACCCACCTGCCCTCAGCCTGGCTGGTTTGTTAGTTTCTTGGAGATGTTCACATTCTGGTGAACTTAAACAGCAAAAGGTACAACTTACATCCAGTTCCTAACCAGGCCACCCCCTGCAGAAGGTGCTACGCTCTGTGCCCGCCCCAAAATCCACAGGGGCCTTAGGCCCTCCTCTGTAAAATGACAACAGAGGCAGGTGTGGTGGCACAGCATGTCAAGCCACCACCTGCCCTACCAGCAGCCCCCCATCAGCGCGCTGGTTTGAGTTCCTGCTGCTGGACTTCTGATCCAGCTCCCTGCACACACACCTGGGAAAGCAGAAGATGGCCCAAGTACCCACAGGGGAGTCCCCAGATGAAGTCTGCCTGGCATCAAGACGGCCCAGCTGTGGCTGTTGCAGCCAGTTGGGGAGCGAAGCAATGGATGGAAAATCTCTCTCCGCCTTTCAAAGCAAACCCCTATCCCTTACCTCTGTATTACTTAAAATGCCTAATGGAAATGCCAAGTAAACAGTTATCACATTGTTTAAGGAATAACAAGAACTTTCCATCCTTTGTGCATTATAAGACACAATGTTTTCAGTCCAAGGACGAATGGGGAACCAGAGTCAGGCACCTTCCTCAGAACATTCCAAGGAAAAGGCACCTGTTTTAACCACCTGTTTTTTTTTTTTTTATTGGAAAAGCAGATATACAGAGAAGATCCTCCATCTGCTGATTCACTTCCCTAGTGGCTACAATGGCCAGAGCTGAGCTGATCTGAAGCCAGGAACCAGGGGTTTCTTCTGGGTCTCCCATGCAGGTACAGGGTCCCAAGGCCTTGTACCATCCTGCTTTCCCAGGCCACAAGCAGGGAGCTAGATGGAAAGTGGAACAGCTGGGACACACACCTGCACCCATATGGGATCCCAGCAGATGTAATGCAAAGATTTAGCCACTAGGTTATGGCACTGGGGCCCTGTTTTTATTTTTTTAACACAAGATGGTGCCCCGCCTCCCCACTCCAATAACACTGCTTTAGCAGCCTCACATCTGGCAAGCATGAAACACCGAGCCATCTCACAGAGAGCCAAACACACCTTTATTGTCTGTGAGTGATGACTTGGGGATGGAGGGCTCACTGCCTCAGTGGGGCAGCCCAGCCAGAGGGCCTGCAGGGCACCAGGCGGAAAGCCATTGGTTGCAGTGCCAAAGCTGCTGGCGTCTCTGCTACCCAGGAGGGCCTCCTTCCCCTCCCCAACCCCTCCACCCCGGCCTGTCTGCTTCCTTCGCTCCTTCAGCCCTCAGCCTCGCTAAGCCTGACAGAGCAGCAGCCTGGTGCACACCTGTCAACTGAACAAGTGGCACGCTGTGCCCCGTCAGGCGAGCGTGCCGGACTGGACTGCCTCAGTGCCTCCGCTCCTCCTGTCCCGAGAGTCCAAGAACCATCCCAACAGATCCGGGTGTGGTCTGGTCAGCCTACCCTTGGCCACTGCACACATTGTGGAATCATTTGCATCCTCCCCCGCTTGCAGCTTTGCCTGCTTTCCTTATACAAACCCCCTCAGAACACACCCAGGGCGAGAAAGAGGCAGAGCAGCTGGCGTGGCGGGAACAGCAGCAACCGGGAACCACAGAGTCAGGAAGCTGTTGGGGTCCAGTCCTCCAGGCTGTAAACCAACAGCCTTTTTCCACAAGGCGCCTGACAGGCAGGTGGACGTGGGAGGGGAAGGACGGGGTACAAGGGCCCAGCCGGGCAGCCTCCTGTCCGTTACTTGGGGGTGACCCTGAAGACACGAATGTGGATGGCCGAGTTGTTGCGGATCCGTGTCATGGGCTCCCGCGCGTCAGTCTCGGGCTCCAGCTCGTCCACCAGCTCCACAGTGGAGGTGTTGGCCGCCACCTGCAAGGACCCGAAGCTGCCGGCCTGCAGCTGCAGGGCGATGTTGATGGCACGGTTGATGGCCAGCCCCAGACCATGAATGTAGATCTCACTGCACCCGTTCTGATTCCGCGCGCCCCCATCCAGCAGCTTCTGGCAGCGGGCCAATTGCGCCTTGAAGTCGGTCTTCATGTTGACGTAAATGTCATTGGGCCTCCGGGGCAGGCGGTGGGGGAGCCGCTTCCTAAGCGTGTACTCCACCGGGTCCAGTTCGGCCTCCACCGGCGTCCCGCGGGGCTCTCGGTTTTCCGCCATGCCGTGCGCCCTGGCGCGGGATCAAGGATCACATCAGTTAGGGCCGCGATTCAGTCCCCTGGGCGTGGGGTGCCCCTAGGAGGGGGCGCACCCGACGGCCCACCCCAACCCCACCCACCCCAAGCTCCCGCCGCCCCCAGGCTCACCCTCTCAGCGCATGGACCCCCGGGCGCACGCACTCCGCCGGGCCCCTCGGGGATGCGTCAACCGGCCCGAAGCAGGGTCCTGCCCACCCGCGGCCCCCTGCCCCCAACTGGCCAGGGGTGGGACGAGAAGGAAAGTTTGGGGGGAGGCGGGGAGCAAGCGCCAGCCGGATACGCAGCAGCTGTCCGGTGCCCGGGCGCCGCGTTCCGGGCAGGCTGCGCACTGCGCACTGCGCACGCGCACTCACATTTTTTATTCTTTTTACGCCTTCCGGGCCTCCGTTCTCCCCGCCCCTTCCCGGAGCGCTCTTGCCCCGATCACGCCGAGACGTGTTGCGAGTAACGCGAGACTTCCGGGCGGGCGCGACCACGTGGACGCCGCGCGCCGGGCGGGGCTGGGAGGGAACGAGGGAGGTCCGGGCAGCTCCTACCTCTGCTGTCCCAAGTTCGGGGCCCGCGCAGGGCGTCTCAGCGTGGGAGAAGCAAGTCGGGGAGGAGGGTCTTCTAAAGGCGCCGAGGACCGGATGGCGTCCAGGGGCTGGGGACGAAGAGTGTGCATTGAGGAGACCGTGATGGCGAAGAGGCCAGGCAGCAAGTCTGGACCACATCCCCCCCCTCGAGCCCCCGACCATGGCTGGACCTCTGGTCGGAAGAGGCCTCGGCAGGATTGGCAGTGCTGCTCCCCCAAGCCCGCCGCAGCAAGGCCCCTGTGGTTCTAGGTGGCGGGGGGGGGGGAGTGAGTGGCATGGCCGAGCCGCCCACCTCCCCATTGGACAGGGACACCCCGTATCCCTTGCAGCTTCTTGGGATCTGCCCTAACTCCCAAGGCGCGATCGCAAGCGCAGCCTCCCCGATGGCCCCGGTGCACGCTGACCACCGACTCCTACCCCTCAGCCTTCTCCCCCACGGGGTAGCAGGGACATGCCGCCCCCTGGTGGGCAAGGAGTGGTGGCGGCTTCTGGACTCCCCCAGGTCCGTGGGGAGGGGGCTCTCTGCCCAGATTTGGTTGAAGTTCTGGACTCATCCCCCCAGAAATGAGTTCAGCCTGCTCTCGGGATGGCCAGGCTCCCCTGCTTCTGTACCCCCATTACTCAAACGGAGATACCAACTGCTGCCTGGCGGTGCGGCTGTGAAAACCCCCAGCAATCTTTGTCAACAGTGTGCCGGGGGAAGTTAGGGGGTGGGGTGCATAATCATGGCCCCCCCACCCTTCCCAGTCCCATCCTGCAGAGTTTGGCTTCCTGGGCAACAGCTTCCAGCACCCTCAGAAGTCCTGAGCCTACAGTCGCGTTCACACTCAACATACAAGTTTGTGTTTCAGTGTCACCAAGATAAAGAATCGGTGCTTTCCATTTTTTGAAGATCTAAACAAATTTGCATAGAAATGCTTATTATTATTTGAAAGGCAGGAAGGCGCAGAGAAATTGTCCATCAGCTGGCTCACTTGCCCCAAATGGCTGCAGTGGTCCAGTCTGGAAACCCACTCTCTGATTTTAAGAATTAGTAAAGAATGACAAAGGATATGCAAAGATTATCAAAATAACTTAAAAACATGACAAAGGACCAAGAAAAAAAGTAGGAAAAAGGAGGGATAAAAAAGAACAGGGGTCAGTGTTGTAGCAAGCTGAGCCATTTCACATCTGAGCAACTGCTTCAATCTAATGTGCCTGCCAAAGCAGGTGACCCAAGGGCTTGGGGCCCTGCACCCAGAGGGGAGACCCAGAGGAAGCTTCTGGCTTCAGACCAGCCTGGCTCTAACCACTGTGGCCAGTTAGGGAGTGAAGATCATTTATAAATCTCCATGTCAAGTAAAAATTTTTTTAAAGGATATACAGGACCTGACATGGTGGCCCAGTGGCTAAATCTTTGCCTTGAATGTGTCCAGATCCCATTATGGGCGTTGGTTTGTATCCCAGCTGCTCCGCTTCCCATCCAGCTCCCTGTTTGTGATCAAGAAAAGCAGCAGCAAGGGACTGCCCAAAACCTTGGAACCCTACACCTGCATGGCAGACCTGGCTTTGAATCGGTTCCTGGCTTTGAATCAGCTCAGCTGTTGTGGGGTCCCAAGGCTTTGGGCTGTCCACTGTTTTCCCAGGCTACAGGCAGGGAGCTGGATGGGAAGCGGGGCTGCCAGGATTAGAACCTGCACCCATATAGGATCCGGTGCTTTACAAGACGAGGACTCTAGTCTCTAGGCCACCGCACCAGGCCCAAACAGGGAAATAAATTAACCTCAGACCTATGCCAAACTATAATTAAAAAAGGACAGTAAATAGAGAAACATCTGAAGGTATAGAACTTTTAGAACACCTCAGAAACAGTCTCCACACGGTAGGGGCAAGCACAGGGTTCATAGGGAGTGCTGCCCAAAACCGAATCTGTTCCAGAGAAATTGAGAAATCTTAGACTTCATTAAAATTTGAAAACTTGCTTTGTAGAAGATGTTAACAGTAAGAAAAAAAAAAAAAACTGGGAGAAAAATGTTGACAAATCACATCTAAAGGATTTGTATCCAGAATATATAAGGAATTCTTTATTTTTAAAGATTTTTTTTTTTTATTGCAAAGTCAGATGTACAGAAAGGAGGAGAAACAGAGAGGAAAATCTTCTGTCTGATGATTCATTCCCCAAGTGACCGCAATGGCTGGGCTATCAGCCAGGTCTTTCAGGTCTCCTGTGTGGGTGCAGGGTCCCAAGGCTTTGGGCTGTCCTCGACTGCTTTCCCAGGCCTCAAACTGGGAGCTGGATGGGAAGTGGAACATCTGGGATTAGAAACAGCACCCATATGGGATCCTGGGCATTCAAGGTAAGGACTTTAGCTGCTAGGCTACCACACTGGACCCAGGAACTCTTTTAAGTTCAAGAATTACCACAGATAACCCAGCTAGAAAGGGGGGCTGGCACACTAGCATAACTGGTAGAGCCACCACCTGCAACACCAGCATCCCTCTTCTGCTGCTTTCCTAGGCACCTTAATCAGAAGCAGAGTAAGTGAAACTTGAACCAGCCCTCCGGCAGGGGATGCCAGTGTCCTGGGCAGAAGCTGAACCTGCAGCTTCATGGTGCTGGCCCCTGCCTTAGCAAGGAAGACAAGCAGGACAGCACAATGGACCTACATCACCATGGATTGGGCACAAGCAGGATTCTGTGGACCACTCTCCTCCCTGGCCCTCCCCGGACGAGTGGGGAGAACAGACAAGAGGATCTTGGAGTGCCAATCCTTCTGGACAAGGCACTGAGAAAGCTATGTCTACCAGTGACGCTGCCCTCTCACCGATGGGGCGCATGGGCAGTGACCACTGGCTGGGGTGCCAGCAGCAGCACCCTGAGGGGCAGGAAGAGACCGAGGGAGGATGGGCCCTGGAGGCAGCATTGATTAACAAGCACAGTCCATAAAGAACACTCTGGTGCTCCTTTTCATGATTCCTAAAACATGCTTTAAAAACTTGTACATTGGGCTCAGTGTGGTAGCCTAGCACCTAAAGTCTTCACCTTGAACACGCTGGGATCCCATATGGGGGCTAGTTCTAATCCCAACAGCCCCACTTCCCATCCAGCTCCCTGCTTGTGGCCTGGAAAAGCAGTGGAGGGACCCTGCACCCATGTGGGAGACCTGAATGGAGCTCCTGGCTCCTGGCTTCATCCCAGCCCAGCCCTGGCTGTTTGGGACATTTTTGGAGAGTCAGCCAGCAGATTCAAGATCTCCTTGTAAGCACCTAGAACTCCACCCATGTCTGCTATGTGGGTACAGTTGCCCAAGGACTTGGACCAACCACCTTCCCCAGGCATGTGAACCAGAAGCTGGCTGGGAAGTGGAGCAGCCTGGACTTGAACCAACTCTCTGATGTGGGAAGCTGCACTAGAAAACAGCGGCTTAGCTGAGGCAGGAGCCCTGACCGCCAGGGTCACGGGGACATGTGACGTGGCAGGGTCACGGGGACATGTGACGTGGCAGGGTAAGTCACTTGCAGCGCTGGCATCCTACACACACACTAGTCTAGCCTCAGCTGCTCCACTTCTGCCCCAACTCCCTTCTGGTGTGTCTGGGGGAGCAGCAGCAAAGGGGCCCCTGCCACCTGTCAGGGAGGCAGGGGAGGAGGGGTGCTCCTGGCTGTGTGTCTGGCCCAGCCCTGGCTTTTGGGGCCATCTGGGGAGTGTATGAGATCTCTCAGTGCTTCTACCTCTCTCACTCTCTGTAGTTCTTTCAAATAACTAAATAAATCTTTCAAAACGTTTTTAAAAGATTTATTTTTATTGGAAAGTCAGATATACAGGGAGAAGAGAGAGAGAAAGTCAGATATGCAGAGAGAAGAGAGAGAGGAAGATCTTTTGTCCAGTGATTCACTCCCCAATTGGCCCCAATGGCTGGAGCTGAGCTGATCCAAAGCCAGGAACCTGGAGCCTCTTCCAAGTCTCCCACACGGGTGCAGGGTCCCAAGGCTTTGGGCCATCCTCCACTGCTTTTCCAGGCCACAAGCAGGGAGCTGGATGGGAAGTGAGGCTGTTGGGATTATAACCAGCCCCCATATGGGATCCCAGCGTGTGCAAGGCTAGGACTTCAGCTGCTATGCTACCGTGCTGGGCCCCTAAAATAACTAAACAAATCTTAAAACAAAGTAAAACAAAAAGCTGAGGGAACCAACTGTAAAAGGTAGTGGTTCAGACTTGCAAGTGCCTGGAGCCCCAAGAACAGGAACAAAGGGGCCTGCCGCAACCCCAGGAAGCATTCAATTCCTCCAAGGCAAGAAGTTCAAGTGGGGGTGGGTTCGTGTGGTGCCGGGCAGCAAGTGTTTTAGGGAGCTAGGCTGCACGAGAGAGCTCTGAGAACTGTGTGCAACAGAAGGGGCACTCCTTTAAGCAGGGGGCTTCTGCGGGCCACAGGCCTTGGTGGGGCAGGTGCCTGGCAGCTAAGTCTTAGGGATGTTCCTGTAAGAAGTGTGTCTGGGGAAGGAGGTATCGGCAATGAGGCCGCAAGCAGGATTGACCGCAACAGCAACGAAGCCTCAGCTTAGCCCCCCTCCGCAGGCAGTGCGTGGTCCGCCGCCGTCTATCGGGCTGACGGGGCCAGGTTTGCGCGGGACCGCTCCCAGATCATAAGGTGTTCGCAGATTTCCTATTTCACAGGTGTTTTGACGAGCTCCAACCCAGGCGGGCTTCCTGGAGGAAGCCTAATGGCCACAAGAAACCAGATCGTGCCCTCCCAAGTAGCAGCTGCCATCCCACGTGTGTGGTGGTGCAGGGGCGCAGGCAAGCACCCCGGGGACACCTTCCCCCCCACTCAGCCTGCGGCGGGGGGCCCCCCAACGTCACATGACGAACCTGGCACTCGGGTCACGTGCCGGGCGGCGGAGGTGGGGGGGGCGGTGAGTCAGAACGGAGATGGGGAGGGGGCGGGCGGCGGGCGTCCGGGCCGCGCCGCCTTCCCCCCGGCACGGGCACCCCGGGGACAGCCCGAGGCCCGGCGTTGCGCGCGGCCCTGCCGGCCCGAGCCGCGGCCAGCGGCGTTGGCGGCGGCGGAGGGGGCGGCCCCGCGTCCGCGTCACGTGGTGCGAGGCGGGCAGCCATCTTGCTACAAACACAAACAGAGAGGAGCGGCCGCCGCGGGAGCGCCAGCGCCCCCTCCCCCGCCGCCTCCGCCGCCGCCCCCCGGCCCGCCGCGCGCCGCCGCCCGGCCTCCCCCCCGGCCCGCCGCGCGCCGCCGCCAACGCCCCGGGAGCGACCCCTCGAGCCGGCCCGCCGGCCGCGGTAAGCGCTCGGCGGCTCCGCGGACCCCGGCCCGGGGCAGGCCCGCCCCCGACGCCGCGGCGGCCGCGCCGAGCCCACGGGAGCCGGAGGCAGCGCGCAGGCCGCCGGCACGGACTCGCCCCGGTCTTTCTCCCCGAGGCCGCCGCTGCCGCCCGGTGCGTCCGCCCTCCGCCCCTCCCCGGGAGGCCGGCTTGGCGAGTGTGTGTGTGTGTGTGTGTGTGTGTGCGCGCGCGCGCGCGCGTGTGTGTGTGTGTGATGGGGGCGACGGCCGCCGCTGCCCGCGCACCTGGCGCCCCTCCCTGAAGGGCACGCCGTCCTCCCGGGCCGCGCCGCCCACCCCCGCGCTCCTAACGGTCGCCCCTGGAGAAGCGCTGCCTGGGCCGCGCCCGCCCTGGCCCTCCCCACCCCGGGCTCGCGTGCCCCTTCACGAGCCGGGCGGGCCCTGCGGGGTCCTCCGAGTGCAGGCGTCCCACGACTCGGGCGACAGGGAAGGCTGTCTACCCCCCCCCCCGTCCGGCCCGCCACCTCGCAGCTTCTTTCAGCAGAGCCCCTCGGCGCTCGGTCCCGGGGGGTGGGGGGGTTCCTGGCGCCCCGGCGGCTGCTCAGCCGCGTCCCGGCCGGGTCCCTTCTCGCTCCTAGCCCCCTGATGCAGCCGGCGGTAACTTTAGAGAGACCCTCGTCTCTCGCGTTCTGGTCCAGTCGCTCCTGGAATTGTCACCAGCGTCCTCCGAATGTTACTTGTTGGTCGGCTCCTTTCTTGTCTCCCCCACCTCCGAGCTGGCGGCAGCTCAGCCCCCCACCCTGCAGGTTGCTCCCCCTCACTGCTGACTTGAGATTTGGGGTCAGCCACCCTTGCACCCCAGCGCTCTAGCTCCCGCGCTTAGGAAGGTCTGAGTTCAGTTACTGCTGCCTCTTTGGTCCCCGCCGTGGTGCTGGTTGTTGGGAGGGGTGTGTGCTTAACCTAGTGCCCTGACATGGACACACTGCACACAGTCGGTATTGAGTGGCGATGTAGTGGCCTCGCTTTTACGTCCTGTTGGGAGAGTTTGGCACAGGCAAATAAATAAATTAATTAATTAAAATCACCCCACTTTGGAGAAGGGACGGCTAGGAGAAAAGGAGGGGCCGTGTGAGGGATTTCGAAAAGTCTAGCAAGAAATTGAAAAATGTCTCAGCCTCCCCCAGTGGGCACACCAGGTGCGCTTTGGGATGGCTGCTGCCCAGTGTGTGTCTTGGATACCGGGTATCTGTTCGGGGGACAGTCCAGGTGCCCTTCTTCCTGATTTTCCCGGGGGGCGGGTTGCATTTGGACAAGTGGGCAGAAAGGAATCTTGTGAGATGAAGTGTGGAAGTGGTTTGAGAACCATCACCGGGCCCACAATTGCCAAGGGGTGTTGCCGTTGGTCAAGCTGGCATGGGGAGAGCAGAACAGCTGGGTGGGACCCTGGCTGGGGGCCCTGGGGCACTCCAGCCCCTACCCCTTGTGGAGAGTGTGTTCCTCCTGAGAGAAGGGCCAGGTCACCTGGTCCTGCAGGCCCTGGGGTTGGGGACTGGACTGGGGCTGGGACCTGTTGCTGCTCTGATGCTCTTGTTGCCTTTGGGGGTCAGGGAGTCTTGAAACACTGTTCCTAACAGAGGCTGCTGCCTTTGCATCTCCCGCCTGCCAGAAGAGCTGGCTCCTGGTCCCTGGAGCACCCAGGACTGGTGCACGGCCTCCCGCCTTGCTTCCAGCAGGGGGCAGCCTCGTAATAACAAAAGGGAGATAGGGAGCAGGGGTCCACTGAGGCAGAGGAGGACATGGCCAGAGGGGGAGTGACACAACCCTAGTACCAGAATTGGGGAGGGGGCGGACAGGCCCAGCCAGGCTTTGAGGGGGAGGGGAACCTTGGGTGAAGATGCACTTGCTGGGTCTTTGAGTTGGTGCCCAACAAACTTGGGACCTAGGCAGAATCATTGGCTGGCAGGATTTCAGATTCCAGTCAGGACAGCTGTGCCGAGGGAGGGAAGAGCGGAATGTGCGTCTGTTTTCCTTTCTGTGGCACTGCCCCCCACACTGGCACTGTCCACATTGCCTGGGGGGAAGGCACAGGTTTGTGGGGCTCTGCTCTCTGTTACTGGGACGCTTGCCATCCAGCTGCACCCCTAATCCCTCCTCATCAAGTACCAGTAGCCCCCTTCTCTACTCAGCTGCCCCTGGCAAGCAGAGGGAGTCCCCCCAGGATGGGAAACCTTATTCCCGGGTGCTGTTAGTGTGGGGACTGGAATGGGGGCCAGATCCTCCCTCCCCTGCCTGGACCTGTGCCCTCTCGCCCTGCCCAATACTGGGGAGGCCTCACTGCCCTGCTAAGCCAGTTCTTTCTGTTCCAGGTGAGGGCCTGAGCGAGGTGAGGTCAGGACACGAACCTGCAACTCCTTGGAGGAGAAGGGCTGTGTGCCCCATCCCCAGTGTGAGTTGCCCTTTATCCTCTCCCCACGCCCACTCTGCAACCCTTCCCCAGTCTGCAGGACTAGCGACTGTCCGTCTGGAAGGAGTGAGCTGTGGAGGCCTGTGTGAGGGGCTGGAGGGGCTGACTCGGGTATGCAGTGGTTACCCTCAGGTGGCCCTTTTCCCCCCTAAAATTTGTTCTCTCAGTGGTGAAATGCACAAAATGCTGAGGCCCTACCTGAGCCTTGTTTGTTTGGGGGATTGATTGGTTTGAAAGGCCGAGACAGATCTTCTGTGAACTGTTCACTCCTCAGATGGCCGCAGTGGCCAGGGCTGGACCAGCCAAGGCTAGGAGCTCGCAGCTCTGGGCTCTCCCTTGTAGCTGCAGTGTCTCAGGGCTTTGGCTCGTTTTCAGCTGCTTTTCCCAGGTATGTTAGCAGAAAGAGAGCAGCCAGGACATGAACCAGCATCCTGATGGGATGCCAACATTGCAAACAGGCGCTTAACGTGCTGTGCCTTACTTAGCACCTGTCCCATGAGCTATGCTTGAGCATGCAATGTGCATGTGCAGCCAGTGCCACTGCTGTCTGCAGAACTTTCTGTCTTGGTGGGGGGGGGGAGGTCACTGGACAGTACCCGGTCCTCTTTCCCCAGCCCCCTAAGTGTTTCTCTCCATACACTTGATCCCACCCCGGTGCCTTACGTGGGAGTCCTATGGCGCCTAGCATGGCGGGCTTAGTTGAGCCCTACAGACATGGCCCCTTAGGTGGTGTCTACTGGGTACAGAGCTGCCCTGGTCCTGAGTGATGCTGGCCTCCCTGAGCTCCCTCCAGCAGGAACTCTCTTCTCCTCTACAAACCGCAGTGTCCTGGAGTTCATGGTTGTGGCCAAGGCGTGCTGCTCCAGCCCCCCTCACTGCCAGTGACGCCCCCACCGCTGGCCCAGCCCCCTGCTCAGCCCGTGCCCATCCGCAAGGGATGCACCGCTGCTTGGGGGGTTCTCCCGTCCGTCCTTAGCGGAGCCTGTCGCTGCCCCCGTGCCGTCAGCCTGGGACCGTGGCTTCCCTCCAGTGATGGTGAGGGAGCCTTGCCTTGCCCTGGTGTTTGCGTGACTGTTCCTGGGTCCCAGGTGTCCTGCAGCATCCCCCTCGGCCTTTTCAGCTACTGCTTCCTGGCACTTCTCCAAGCAGCCCACCCTGATTTTTTTTTTTCCAAAGGGGAAATAATTTTGCTCCCAGATCTGTCTGACCTGTCCTCCCCTTACCAGGGCATCTATGGCTTTTGGCTTGTTTCTCCTCTGCTCCAGTGCCCATCCCATCTTGGCCACGGCTCTCCCCAGGCTCTGTGTGCCTTTCTGCCTTCTGCTGCTACACTGGGCACCTGGTGCCAGGCTGCTCCCCTCAGGGCCTGCCTGTGTGCCACGTGGCCATGGGCCCCGATCCTAACAGCATGTGCCTCTCCCCCCCAAGGATTGTTCCCAGATGTGAAGGTTGCTCCGGACACTGCTGAAGCCAGAGCGATCACCGGTGGCTTGAGGACCATTGTCCACTCCAGTGACCACTCTTCCAGAGAGAACCTGGCCTCCTGCCCTCCTGTCCAGGGCACAAGGCTGCCAGGTGATGCTGGGCCCCGGGCAGGGGGCGCCAAGGGAGTATGGATATCAGAGCGGCCTCTAGCTTCTTCACTTTTCACTCCCCTAGGCCTTCCCGCCTCAGCTGGTCTGTGGGTGATTTATGCTGTGTGTGGCCACGCAGCTGGCTTAGGTGAGTCCTTCCGGGAGCTGGTTGACCCTCCCTGCAACCCAGAGTTTGTTCTGGGGCATGGGGCCAGTAGCTTGCCCTGCAGGGTCTCACGTTCTCCACAGGTGTTAAGGAGTACATCCCAGGTCGTGCCCCTGCCCACACTCCTGGGCCTCCGTGAGCCACCCCCAGCCCCACCATGACAGCAGAGACACTCAACTTCGGGCCCGAGTGGTGAGTTGCCTGTACGGTGTGCCCTGGCTGGCAGGGAGGAGAGTGGAGCACCCTGACTTGGTTTCCTGGCACCTGTCCCAGGCTGAGGGCTCTGTCCAGTGGTGGCAGTGTGGCTTCCCCGCCTGCCTCCCCCGCCATGCCCAAGTACAAGCTGGCTGACTACCGCTACGGGCGCGAGGAAATGCTAGCCCTCTACGTCAAGGAGAACAAGGTGAGGGTGGGCTGGGCCCAGGGCTGCACTGCCCACCACCTTAGCCAGTTCCCAGGCCCTGGGAACAGGTGGTGTTTTGACACTGTGGTCCCTGTCGACCGATAGGTCCCTGAGGAGCTGCAAGACAAGGAGTTCGCTGCCGTGCTACAGGAAGAGCCGCTGCAGCCCCTGGCCCTGGAGCCTCTGACTGAGGAGGAGCAGGTGGGGCAGGCCCAGGCTGGGCCGGGTACGGGTCAGCATTGTGGCTGGGTGAGTGGGGCAGGTGGGTGGGTGGGTGCTCACTGCCACCCCGGCTCCCTCCTCAGAGAAACTTCTCCCTGTCAGTGAACAGCGTGGCTGTGCTGAGGCTGATGGGGAAAGGGGCCAGCCCAGCGCCAACCAGCACCTCCCGCGGCAGGGGCAGCACGCGCAGCCGAGGTAGAGGGGTGACTGTGCATGGGAGTCTCAGGACACGGGCTGGGGGGCAGGGGAGGGCATCCTGGCAGGTGTCACACCTAGGTGTGTCCTGCCCTTCCCTAGGCCGGGGCCGAGGTGACGGCTGCTTTTACCAAAGAAGCATCGAAGAAGGGGATGGGGCCTTCGGGCGAAACCCCCGGGAGATCCAGCGCAGCCAGAGCTGGGATGACAGGCACGCATGTCCCACCGGGGGCCTGTCGGAGATCCTGGGCCTGGCCCTGCCTGCTCACGTCCCTCTCATGCTCTGTCCCCATACCCCCGGGCCCTTTCTCCCTGCATCCCCCTCCCTCCGTCTTCCTTCTCAGGGCCGAGAGTACAAGGCACACAGCTGCCCTTTTCTGACCACCTCTGTTTTCTCCTGCAGAGGCGAGAGGCGGTTTGAGAAGTCAGCCAGGAGGGATGGAGGTAGGAGTGGAAGAGGGCCAGGATGCAGGCCCCATGACTCTGGTGGGGGTGGTCTGAGGGCAGAAGCCCCTGGCTGCAGCTGTGGCTGCACCCTGAGGCCTGTCTTCCCCTCACCCTCAGCGCGGTCCGGGTTCGAGGAGGGCAGCACTGGCCCGCGGAAGGAGCACGCTCGCTCGGACAGCGAGAACTGGCGCTCGCTGCGCGAGGAGCAGGAGGAGGAGGAAGAGGGCAGCTGGAGGCTCGGGGCGGGACCCCGGCGAGAAAGCGACCGCTGGCGCTCCAGCAGTCCCGGTAAGGCTGGGATGAGGGCGCAGAGTGAGTTGGGGTGCTCCAGTGGAGGGGTGCTCCTCCAGCCCACCTCGCCCCTCCCCAGGGTGCTCACTTTCCTCTGGCTTCTCCTGCTCAGATGGTGGCCCGCGCTCTGCTGGCTGGCGGGAACATGGCGAGCGGAGGCGCAAGTTTGAGTTTGAACTGCGAGGCGGGGACCGAGGGGGCTGTGGTGAAGAGGAGGGGCGGACTGGCGGAGGTGGCATCCATCTGCGACGGGGCCGTGGGCCTGAGGGCTTTGAGGAGGACAAGGACGGGCTCCCAGAGTGGTGCCTGGATGATGAAGAGGAGGAAATGGGCACCTTCGACGCTTCTGGAGCTTTCCTGCCCCTCAAGGTAGCATGAAGAGACCTGGGCAGGGGCTGGGCTGGCCGGTGCCCCAACCTGCTGCCCCACTCACCTGCATGTCCTGTCTGCTGCTTGCAGAAGGGCCCCAAGGAGCCCATCCCTGAGGAGCAGGAGCTGGCCTTCCAGGGGCTGGAGGAGGGTGAGGAGGAACCCTCAGAGGGGCCGGAAGACCCAGAGCCTGAGGCAGGTGAGCTGCCTTCCGGTCCCGCCATTCCCTGCTGATAGGATCAGGCTGCCTAGAAGGGGCGAAAAAGCAAGTGCTGAGAGAAGCTGCAGGAACAGGGCAGGGGAAGGCTGCTGGGTCCTGTGCCCCAGGTTACGGGGTTGGGGGATGCTCACGTTGCTCACACATCCCTGCTGAGGGTTGCAGGGTCTGCTGCCTCCCAGGGGTGCAGCTCTCACTGTCACCCTTTTCTCACAGGCGGGAAGGAGGTAACCCCACGTCCTTTGCCTGAGAAGGCCAGCTCCCCGTCCGCCTTGACCCCCTTGGGCCCACTCTGGGGAACAGATGGAGATGGGGAAGGTGCTGTGGAGAAAGAGCCTGTGGCGGCTGAAGGTTAGTGCAGGGCCAGTGCCCCTGGAGTGGAGTATGCTTGGGTATCGGTATTGGGGGCTGTGGAGTAATGGGGAGAAGACCCATCCTATCCCCTTCTCCTCCCCACTTCACCCCATTCCATGCCCTTTTGTTCACTTTTCCCAGGAGATGACATGAGGGGTATCCAGCTAAGTCCTGGGGGGACCTCACCCCCGGACCTGCCAGGAGATCTGGAGGATGAAGAAGGCTTGAAGCACCTGCAGCAGGTGTGGGGGTCCTTGGTTTACGTGGATATAGGGAGTGTCTTCCTTTTCCTGGCTGTACCCCAACCCCAGCGTCAACTCCCCTCTCACTGCCCCACCCCACCCCCCGGTTCCCCAGGAAGCAGAGAAGCTGGTGGCCTCTCTGCAGGACAGCTCCTTGGAAGAGGAGCAGTTCACAGCGGCCATGCAAGCCCAGGGTCTGCGCCACTCCGCTGCTGCCACCGCCCTCCCCCTCAGTCATGGTGCCGCCCGCAAGTGGTTCTATAAGGACCCGCAGGGGGAGATCCAAGGTAGCTGCAGGGGTGGGAGGGGGCCACCTGGGGCCTGTTCTGCTCCGGTGCGTTCTGCTGAGCTCGTGACCTCCTTGGTACAGGCCCCTTCACGACCCAAGAGATGGCGGAGTGGTTCCAGGCCGGGTATTTCTCCATGTCTCTGCTGGTGAAGCGGGGCTGCGACGAGGGCTTCCAGCCACTGGGGGAAGTAATCAAGATGTGGGGGCGTGTGCCCTTTGCCCCTGGGCCCTCGCCACCCCCTCTCCTGGTGAGCAGCGATGTCCGCAGAGCAGGCAGGCAGGACAGCCAAGCCCGACCCCCTGCCCCCGCGTGCACTTGGCACGCTCTCGCTTTCATGCAGGGCAACATGGACCAGGAGCGCCTGAAGAAGCAGCAGGAGCTGGCGGCAGCCGCCTTGTACCAGCAGCTGCAGCACCAGCAGTTTCTGCAGCTGGTGGGCAGGTATGCAGGGCCCAGGGGAACTTGGCAGACTGGTTGGCACTGGCCCTGTGGCTTACCGCCCCATGCTTGTTCCCACAGCCGCCAGCTCCCACAGTGTGCGCTCCGGGAAAAGGCAGCTATGGGCGACCTGACGCCACCGCCACAGCAGCAGCTTACCACGTTTCTGCAGCAACTCCAGGCTCTCAAACCTGCCAGGTGCGAGGGGCTTCCGCAGAATGGGGAGCAGAGCCATGGGGGGGCTGTAGAGGGCTCTGGGTCCTGAATGTGTGTGTGCTCTTCAGAGGTGGGGACCAGAACCTGCTCCCGACCATGAGCCGGTCCTTGTCGGTGCCAGATTCAGGCTCCCTCTGGGACGTACATACCTCAGCCTCATCACAGTCAGGTGTGTGGTCCCTGGTCCTCTGCCTCCAGTCCCTGTTTCAAGCCCTTGTCATCCCTGCTACAGCCATCCTAGCTGTCGCCATACCCCTGTCTACGGCCAGCTGACCCTGAAGCCAGCCTTACCTCATGCAGGTGGTGAGGCCAGTCTTTGGGACGTACCAATTAACTCTTCGACTCAGGGTCCAATTCTAGAACAACTCCAGCTGCAGCACAAAGTGAGTGTGTGCTGGCACTACAGTCTGGGGACCCGGGGGTGGAGGGCGGGCACCTTTCCGGCTGATGGGCCGATGGTCCCAGTTCCAGGAGCGCAGAGAAGTGGAGCTCAGGGCCAAGCGGGAGGAAGAGGAGCGGAAGCGGCGTGAGGAGAAGCGCCGCCAGCAGCAGCAGCAGGAGGAGCAGAAGCGGCGACAAGAAGAGGAGGAGCTATACCGGCGCAAGCACGTGCGTGTCATTGGCCCTCTTGCCACCTCCCTGCACCCAGTGGCTCCATACCCCCTCACCTCGAACTTGGTGTTTTGTCTCCATGCAGGTGCGGCAACAGGAACTGCTGTTGAAGCTGCTGCAGCAGCAGCAGGCAGTGGCCGCCGTGGCTGCAGCCCCTGCGCCCGGCTCCCCACCCCCACTCTGGGCTGGCCTGGCCAAGCAGGGGCTGTCCATGAAGACACTGCTGGAGCTACAGTTGGAGGGTGAACGGCAGCTGCACAAGCCACCCCCAGCCCGGGAGCCAGCGCGGGCCACGGCCCCCAACCACCGTGCGGTGAGTAGGCAGGCCCTCTGTGGTGCGGTGCAGGGCAGGAGTCCCCAACATGGGTCTGTGCATGGTTCTGCAGCATCCGCTTTTTTCCCAGGACCCTCACCTCGTCCCCTGTCCTTTGCTACCCAAACCTCCCCACCTAGCGCTCTGGGGTGCGTTGACTGAGCCCCCCTGACTGCCTACCATTTGTAGCAGCTTGGGGGCCTGGGCTCTGCCCCCCTGAACCAGTGGGTGTCTGAGGCTGGGCCACTGTGGGGCGGGCCCGACAAGAGCGGGGGCAGCGGCAGCAGCAGTGGCCTAGGGCTCTGGGAGGATGGCCTCAAAAGCAGCAGCAGCCTGGCCCGCAACCTGGGCCTCAAGAACAGTCGGAGCAGCCCATCCCTCAGGTGGGTGCGGGCACAGGCGCGGCGGGTGGCTGCGAGGGGAGGTCTCCTGGTTGGTCACTGACAGCCCTACTTTGCCCTGCCTTGCCTAGTGACTCGTACAGTCACCTGTCTGGCCGGCCTGTTCGCAAAAAGACAGAAGAGGAGGAGAAGCTGCTGAAGCTGCTGCAGGGCATCCCCCGGCCGCAGGACGGCTTCACCCAGTGGTGCGAGCAGATGCTGCACACGCTGAGCACCACGGGCAGCCTGGATGGTACCCACAAGTCCCCAGGCTGGGCTGGGGTGGGAGCTGCCCAGGCTCAGCTGGGCCTCACTCCTAGTTCCCTGCCCCTTAGTGCCCATGGCCGTGGCGATCCTCAAGGAGGTGGAATCCCCCTACGATGTGCATGATTATATCCGTTCTTGCCTGGGGGACACGCTGGAAGCCAAAGAATTTGCCAAACAATTCCTGGAGCGGAGGGCCAAGCAGAAGGTCAGCCAGCAGCGGCAACAGCAGCAGCAGGTAGGGGCAGCTGAGCCGAGGCGGGTGGGCCGACCCTGGGCGTCCTCACCACTCACTCCCCCCTGCTGCCCTAGGAGGCCTGGCTGAGCAGCACCTCCCTGCACACGGCCTTCCAGGCCAACCACAGCACCAAACTCTGCCCCGGGGAGGGCAGCAAGGCCAAGAGGCGGGCACTGATGCTGCACTCGGACCCCAGCATCTTGGGTGAGCTGGGCTGGGGTCAGGGAGGAGCTGGGCTCCTCTGCCCAGGGCGCAGGGGCCTAGCAGAGCTCACGCCCGGCTTCTCCCTGGCTTCAGGGTATTCCCTGCACGGCTCTTCCGGTGAGATTGAGAGTGTGGATGACTACTGAGCAGCCCGTCCTACCAGTCCCCAGGCTGTCGGCCAAGGGCTGCAGGAGCAGCTTGGACCCCAGGGTCCCCAGCCTGCAGGCTCCCCACAGGAGCCGAGGAGGAAGCAGGGGCAGGGTCCCCAGCACTTGTTACAAACCACACGATGCACCTTAACTCACCCACCACGAGGCACTTTACAGATTGGGGGAGGGTTTTTTGTTTTTTGTTTTTTGTTTTTTTATTTTTTAATTTTAAAATGACTTTGAAGAAAATGTTAGGAGAGACAAAGGATATTGTTAAAAACTAGACTATAAACACCCTTACCCCTTTTGAGGGATCATGGGTGTGATAATGGAAGGTCCACAGAGGTTTGTTTTTTTTGTTTGTTTTTTGTTTTTGCTTTTTTTTTTTTTTTTGTTAGAAAAAAAGAAAAAAAAAGTGGTTAGGCTGAAAGGAAAAACACACTGTTATTCCGGGGCAGTGAGGACACAAGCCCCGTGGAGCTGCCCGGCCTGGCCCCACGGCCACACTTACCCTCCTGCCCCTGGGATTGGGGCTGCTGGGGTAGCTGGAAGCTGGGGTGCCAGCAGTTTGCACAGCGAGGCCCCCTTGGAGCCCCGCCTGCCGGACCCGCTGTGAACAGCCCATAGACGCTGTGATGGCTGAGGCCCCCCTTGGCTTGGCTGCTTGGGGGAGAGTTGCACAAATCAGACAAGCCGCCCCAGCCCCTGGGCTGTCCTCCTGCACCAGCTGGCAGGGCCAGTAGGGGAGTGCCGGGCTGCATGGGCAGGCAGAGGGCAGCGGCAGGACTGACTGGCCCTGCTGAGTGGCTACCCCCTCTGTTGCCATTTGGGGGCTGCCTGGGTGTGAAGCTGAGCACCCCAACTTGTGCCGTGGCACATGAATGTATTCTGTGGGCCTCAAGTGTCCACATCATGCCTGCAAGCGCGTGGATGCGCCAGGAGCTAGAGCTGCCACGGAACAGACACTCGCAGTGCTGCGAGGGGGCAGGAAGCAGGCCCCCCCGACCTGCAGCCTGCCATGTGGCCTGTGGACCACCTAGCCCTGCGCCTGACCCCCTGTTGACCAAATGGGAGAGGAGCGAGTGGCTTCTCCCCTCAATGTGTTTTTTAATGTTGGGTAAGGTTGGGCTCAAGGGCAGCAGTGGGTGTCTCCCGGGTCGGGGGGCTGGCTGCCTTGGGCTCACACCAGTCGCTGACTCTGGTTCCCTCCCTGGGCTGTCGCCATCGTCTTTGGGTTTCTTAACCTCTTGGGTTTCTCATGTAACTCGTCCCGCTGACCTCACCGCTCAGAGTGCAGTATTAGGGCAGGCCTCTGCCACTGCCTCCCTTCCATGAATGTACCTGCCCCGCCCCGGGGAAGCGAGGAGCACCCCATCTCCTGCCCCATCTCCCCAGTGAGAATGACTTTTTTTTTTTTTTTTTGCACCAAAGTGGCAACTGGGTCAGTGTTGGGGGACAAAGCTGGCCTCAGGGTGGAAGGGCCCCTCCACCTGCTTCTCCCTGGTTTTTGACAGTGTTAGCGTCTGTGAAAAGACAATATTCTCTCTAAAGCAATAAGGGGGTGATGGGCCAGGGGGAAACGTTTTGCTGCTGCTGGCCCCCCAGCTCCCACCTGCCTCCTGCCCACTCACACCGAATGTGGGGGGTGCTCAGAGGTGTGGGGGAGACTCCTTTGTGACTGAATGTAATGCCCCCGCCCCTGCCACAGCCAATGCAGAGGAAGGGGGGACTTCCTGTCTCTTCCTGCCCCTTTCCCCCCTCAGCTAAAGAGACTTTGAACTTTGGGGGCCCCTGAGCCTGGAGAGGCCTTAACCCTGTGAGGAAGTGTAGGGGGAGCCCTCTCCCGCCCCCATCCCCTCTGAGAGTGGTCAATGTTTACAAGCCCTGAGCCCCCAGCCCAAGGGCTCAGCCCCCAGCCCCTCAGCCCCCCTTTCCTAGCCCGTCTTCCTGGGCCCTAGCTGCTCCCCTACCCTCCCGGGGTTCCGGGTGGGGTAGGGCTCTCTACCTGTTGTTCCCCTGTCTGCCTTGTTCCTAGTGTGCCCCTACCCCCTACCCTGTGTGACTCCCTTTCTCTCACCTGCCCCTGTAAATACCCCCATCTCCCAATAAAACTTGGTGTGTGTTCTCCCCATCTGCTTGGGCTGCTGTTTCTATTTCGGGCAGGGGCAGCAAGGGGGCAGTGTTAGCCAGCTGGTCTAGGCTGCTCAGTGGGATGGCCTGCTCCTGGGCCCCAGTGGAGGCAGCAGCTCAGCTCCTCAGCGGCTCCCACCTCCAGGTGCGGGGATTTAGGAGCACTCTGGTGTGTGACTCCAGCATTGTGCTGAGGACGTTGAGGTTTACCTCCTGGGCCTGCTGCTTGGTGGAGCCTTGCACCCCCAGCTACTGGCCAGTGGTGGTGGAGACAAATGAGGAGGGACACAAAGAAAGGCAGAGACCAGGTACAGAGTTGGAATTGGTTCCTTTATGGAAAAACTGAAAATATAATAAAAATTAAAATAAAACCAGTTTTAAAAAAGCCAGCCCCTGGGGTTTCCACCTCCTGCCTCAGGCCCTCCGGAGGGGCGAGGCCCTGACCCCAGGGCAGCCAGAGGATGTGGGCTTTCTGCCCATCCTCTTCCCCCATCCCACCCCCATCTTCACCTCTGCCATGGGGGCCCCGGAAGGAACCAAACCTGGGTGAGGGAGCAGGGACCCGTGGCCCAGGGACGGAGGCTCATAGCATGCCCAGCCCCAGAGCAGAGCTCCCGGCCTGTAGTGTGGGCATGGGCAGGCCCCTCCAGGCCTGGGCCCAGCTGGGGTCAGGGCAGTTAGTTCCAGATCTTGAGGAAGGAGTCCCAGGAGCCTGTGGCCACAGCCATGCCATCGTCAGTGACTCCAAGACAGCTCACTCGGTTGTCGTGGCCAGCGAGAACACCTGTGAGCAAGAGGGACATGAGAACCATTCCTGTGGGAACTCCTGATACAGCTGACCCCAGTGCCTGACTCTCACCTGCACGATCACCCTTCATAGCATCCCAGATGTTGCAATTAAAATCATCATAGCCGGCGAGCAGCAGCCGGCCACTGCGCGAGAAGGCGACAGAGGTGATGCCACAGATGATGTTATCGTGGGAATACATGAGGAGCTCCTGATCAGCTCGCAGGTCAAAGAGGCGGCACGTGGCATCGTCGGAGCCCGTGGTGAAGGCATAACCATTGGGGAAGAACTGTGGGACACAGGCCAGAGTGGAGTGAGGACTACGGACGGGTGGAGGTGGGGGCCAGGCACATAGGGGCAAGCACTTACAGCCACGGCGTTGATGTCAGACTCGTGGCCAATGAAGGTCTGTCGGCACATGGAATCCCGCACATCCCACAGCTTGATAGAGGCGTCACAGGCCCCTGACACAAAGGTGCGGCCATCGGGGGCCAGTGACAGTGACATCACGTCCCCACTGTGTCCAGCAAAGCCCACGGTCTGCTGACCTGTCTCAATGTCCCACAGGGCGCTGGAGAGGAGACAGGAACAGGAAGGGATCAGGGCAGGAAAGGATCCTCCCCACCCACTCCCTCCAAACCCCATAGGAACCCAGGGCAGACCCAGGGGCCAGCCCTCAGCCCTGATGGGAGGGATGGCCCCGGGCCACCACAAGAGGAAGGCCTCATTGGCTGGGTGGGAAGTGGTGGCTCAGCCCAGACAGCCTGGCCCTGACAGGGCTCACCAGGTGGTATCCCCAGAGCTGGTGATGATCTGGTTGTCATCCAGGAAGCGGCAGCATGACAGGTACCCTAGGGGAAGGAGTGGTCAAGCAGGCCCGGGTGATGGACAGGGGAGATAGCCCCAGCCCGCGGTCTCCACACCCAGCCAGGCCCCCCTCACCGGTGTGGCCAGGCAGCTCCCGGCTGACCCGGACATTGCCCTCACGGGTCTTGAGGCTGTAGATGGAGCAGATGTTGTCCAAGCCCCCACAGGCCACAAAGTTCCCTGAGGGTGCATAGGCACAGGTCATGACCCAGGAGGAGCGCAGCGGGATGGCATGGACCTAGGGAGGAGGGTGGGCAGTGCTTGGGGTTAGAGCTGTCCAGCCGAGGCCCCACCGCCTGTTCCGCACCACCTCCCCACACGCCCTCTACCTTGTTGGTGGTATAGCTGTCCCAGATGATGAGCTTCCCATCCTGGGAGGCGCTGACCAGCAGCCTGGTGGAGGCCGAGGGGTGGGATGTTAAGCCTGGAGCTATAGCACCTCCCCACCCTCTCCTGCACCCTGGAGTGTCTGGGAGTCAGGCGTCCTCTGCATCCCACCAGACCTGGGGCGGCCGTACCCATCCCCAGCCACCCTGCCAACCATACCCACACACCTTGAGTCTGTCCCCCAGTGCATGGCGTAGATTTTGGCCAAGTGCCCACGGAGGGTCCTCCGTGTCCTCATCTGGATCCTCCCCACTGGGTCCAGCCCAGCCGTGATCTGGAGGTGGGCAGGGTGGGCTCAAGGGGCTGTGGTGGGAGCCCTAGGAGCAGCCAGGCCCCCAGCCTCCTCCCCCTACCACCCCCAGCTCCCAGCTGTCCCTGGGGTCATCTCACCTGGGTCAGTGTTGAATCCCCACATGCTTTCCGGGCATCCTGCAAGGTGGACAGACCCAGAGAAGCCAGAGAGAAGAAGGGGGTGGGGGAGCAGAGGCAAACAGGAAAGCAGGAGACAAGAGGAGAGCCAGGGATGAGACACAGAGGAACACTCAGGATGCCCCCTCCCCGTCCCCACTCCCGCTCCCAGGCACCCTAGTGGCCAGCTCAGCTTCCCCCACCCCAGCGAGCCAGGCCCTCACCCGGATCTGGTTCCGGAGCTGCTCAGCCTCCTGTCTCAGTTGCTCCAGCTCACTCATGGCGCCGGGCCCGTGGGGCGGGGTTGGGGGCGGCTGGGGGCCGCGGGACGGGGGCTGGGGGAGGCAGCTCCTGGCCGCTGGCCCGAGGCCTGGGGGATGCAGGGCTGACGTCAGCTCCAAGGCCGTGGCCGCCGAGTAAGAAGCGGGGAGAGGCGGGGTGGGAGTCTGGTCCGGAAGGGGTAAGCACCGGGAAGCGGAGGGGGAGGGGTGGTGGCCACAGGGTGACCCTCCCTGGGCAGAAGCTAAGGGTCCCTGACCCAGGACAGCCATTGCCCAGGGGACTAACCCACTTCCCCAATCTTCCTCCCGCCCCCCGGAAATGGAGTGGGAAGTGCAAGAGGAAGCGCAGGGGAAACCCCTCCCTAGGACAGCGGGCCAGGCGGGACACCCGCGGCAGGAACTGGGGGGGGGATGGTGGGGGGAGAGTCCCTTCGAAAACAGACCTGGCGTCCGCCCCAGCCTGCACAGGCACCGCCCTTCAAGCACCTAATTTTAAAAGGGGCGGTGCCTCTTTAAATTCACCCCCACACGCTGCACACCCTCCACACACACCCCCAGTTCCGAAGGTGGGGAGGGGGGAGAGGAGGGGAGAAGCTGGGCTGTTCGTGGAGTTGCCTAGGCAACCGCCACCCGGACTGAGAGCACCTCATTGGAGAAGTGCCCCCACCCTAGCCCCGTTGCCAAGGCAACCGCATCCCCAGCAAGAGACCTGTAGGGTGGGTGACCCCACCCCCGGCCCCTTCGCCCCCGCCCCGACCCAGCCTCCCGCCTCTCTCCAGAACCGGCCAGGGTGGCTGTTTACAGGATTTGGGAAAAGCCGATTCGGCACTAATGGGTTCGGGACGGCTCACCCCGGATAATCCCCCAAGCCGGCTGCGTTCCATTAGCGGTCTGCCGAGGGTGTGTGGGGGGAGTGCGGGGGACAGTGGTGGGAACGCAGCCCCACGCCACGGCTCCCTCCGGCCCCAGCCGCCCGCCCTGCCGCGCCGCAGAAAGCCCGGGGGAGCCGCTCTCCAGTAATTAGGGCTCCGAAGAGAGGCCGGCGGCCCCGAGGCGCGGAGCTGCTCTCTTCCCAGGCACCCCAGGAGCCCAGCCCGTCGGACACCCCCACACCTCCCCGACACCTGTGTGATGAGCCGGCAGCCCGGGCGCCCCCACCCAGCTTCCACTTCCCCCTAGCCGCTGGGCGTTCCTCCTCCCCACGGACACCCCTTCCCCTTCTCCAAGATCAGCTTGCCACCCCAGCGCCAGGGGATGCCCCCCTCCAAGGGGCAGAGCCCCCCGACCCACACCCACATCCAGCGGCCAAGCCCGAACAGGGCGGCGACGCCTGAAGCTCAGGCCATTAGGAAACAGCAAGCCAGGAGGAAGGCCGCCGGGGCGGGGGCGACACTCCCTGCCACCCTCCGCCCGCCCTCCACCGCAGCCCCCGGCAGCCGGGAGAGGGGGGCTACCGAGGCCCCAACCGGAGACGGAGGAGGGCTGTCACCGCCCCCGCAGGCCTGCCGGGGCGCGCGCGAGGGCACCGAGGGTCCCCGCATCTGGCAGCTGGGTGCCGCGGTGCGAGGCGCAGTGGGCCTTGGCCTCGGCCCCCACGACCTCCATTTTGCCCAAAAGCCAGTCGGGTGTGTGCGTGGGGGGCGAGTCACCTGGGAGCGAGTCTTTGGGGTTGAGGGCTGGTCAAGGGGCACGGGGAGGGGTGCCCAGGTCTCGGCTGACTTGGGGTAGCGGGGCCCGAACCCCAGCGCGCAAAGGGTGGAGACGTGCGGCCCGGCCTGCCTCTCCCAAGGTTCCGGAGTTCTGCGAGGCGAATGCGGGCGAGGGTGCAAAGCCCGAGGACAACTTGGGGCGCTATCACCCTTCCCCGGGCGGGTAGGTAGGCAGGCAGGCGGGTGGTGTGGGGGGGAAGGGGGCGGGCCAGAGGGGGGAACCAGAGAAAAAGCCCGGGATTTTGACCCCCCAATTAACAAGGGAGCAAAAAGGCAGGCAGAGATGGGATGGGGTCTGGGGGGGGGGAAACCCCAAAATGCTGCTGATGGTGTAGGGACCGCATGCATTCCTGGGGATAAGGGTCCCCCCACTCGGTTCCCCTTCCGGGTTTGGGAGAGACGAGGCCGGAGGAAGGGAGGGAAGGTCTGAGGAGTTACGTCCACTCCCTAGAGGCCAAGACCCAGGGGACCACAAGCGACGTGCCCCGGTGGGGACCTGGGCTGGGGAAGCCGAGGACGCCCGTCGTCGGCGGGGCTACCTGTGGTGGGGGGCCTCTCCAAGGGGTCGCGGGCAGCGCGGGAGGTCCTGTCTTCCTCCGCGGCGGAGGCGGCGGCGCGGATGGATCTCCTCAGTCACCCCAACTCCGCCGGCCAGCGTCGCTCTCCCCAGAGCGGAGGGATCCCGCCCGCCAGTGACGCGGCCCTCGCCGCCGCGCCCAGGGCCCGGCTGGGCGAGACCAACGTGTCAGTGTGAGGGGGGGAGCCCACAAGAGAAAACAGCACGGAAACGGGCCCAAGACGAATTGAGTCCCCTCCCACAGACACAGTTGCCCATTATTTCGACGCGAGCCAGGTCGAAAGCATCAGTGTTCTTCCAGAAAATAAGCAACCTATTCTGCCCCTATTGCTGTCGGAGGTGGTACCGGCCCGGGGAAGGGGAGGGCGAGAGGGCTCTCTGGTCACGTGACAAGACATCCCGCCCCTCCCGGATTGGGCGGCTCCAGACTGGAGGCTGCAAGCCCAGGTTCTCGGCATGGCCACGCCCCCATCCTGGCGAGACCACGCCCCTGCCCGGGGGTGGAGCCAGAGCGATCCGGACGGGCCCCGGCCCAGCCCCGGGTTGGCAGAAGGAGCCAGCCTTTCTGCAAGTGGCTGAGCTTGAGTGGGGATGCAAATGCTGTTCCCTGGGCACGCCGCCGCCGCCCCCAGGAGTCTACCAGGCGGGTCGCCAGCTTTACCCCTCAGTGAGCTCCCGGAGCACGCCAAGGGGTGACCCCCATGGAGTTCCAGGCTCCTGGCTTCGTTTGGCCAACGAACCAAGAGATGGACCGTGTCTCTGTCACTCTGCCTATCAAAAAATAATCTTTTTGGAAAGGTATTACTAACATTTTTCCATCAATGCTAAATAGTTTTTCTTTTTTTAAGATTTTTTTTTTTAATTGGAAAGATTTCTGAAGTAAGAGGAGAGACAGATAGTCTTCCATCCTCTGATTCAGTCCCCAGACGGCGGCAGTGGCGAGGGCTGAGCTGACTCAATGCCAGGAGCCAGGAGCTTCTTTCAAACTCGCAAGAGCTGGAGCCATCTTCTGCTGCTTTCCCAGTTCACGAGCAGGGAGCTAGATCAAAAGTAAAGCAGCTAGGGCTTGAACCAGCGCCCATATGAGCTAGCAAGAGGAGTGTTAGCCAGTTATGGCACGCTACCAGCCCCAGCATTACAGTGTTTCGGAAGCACAGTGTTTTAAAGAACACTGTGGACTTCCTACTCCTAGGTGTACATGAGTTCCCAACTGATGTCAGAAGGGGCCTGTGGATGATTTACTTTCCTCAACCGGCCACTTGGAAAGTTAGCAGCCTGAGATGAGAGCCTAGCGAGGTCACTCCCTACCGGGCTTTCGCCCCTACTTCCTCTCACTGTTGGTTTCTGTGCCAATTTATTACTGTGTTTGAATTCTTCCAGCTAATCTCTCTGCTGAGTGCCACAGATACGTCCTGTGCAGTTCCAGGCCCTAAGGGTGCACTGGGAACAGCAGGTGCGTCTACAGAGGGGATAGGAGACAGGCATGGGAAAGAACCGTGAGTCCTGGTGGCCTGGAGACAGCAGGGAGACAGTTGAAGGGAGACACAGCAGCGGGGAGGGGAGGGGAGTGGCAGGACTTTGAGAGGGTTGAGGTGGCCACGGGAAAGGAGTCAAGAGAAATCCCTCCCCTCCCCCCCCCCCCTTATGAGAGAGTTCTGAGCTAGAACGGGGAAACAGAAGGAGTGGAACACACTCCAGGAGATGTGTTTAGGCTGCAGGTTGGAGACATTAGGCCCAAAGTATTGGGGAGTAGTTACAGGAATGCTCCAGAAGCAGCTGCTGAAGGCCTGCAGCTCAGCAGAGAAATCGGGGAAGAGGGGCTCAACAAGCTTGTCCTCTGCCTGCAGCGCCAGCATCCCATATGGGCACCAGTTTGTGTCCCAGCTACTCTACTTTCTGATCCTGCTCCCTGCTTGTGGCCTGGGAAAGCAGACCTGAAAGAAGCTCTCCTCTTCTCTGTAAATCTGCCTTTCCAATAAAAATAAATAAGTGTTCCTTCCAGCTGAGCCGGTAGCATGGACACGGCGAGGGTCAGGGAATCAGACACCGACAGGAGACCAGTAGTGGTGGAAGACATCTCTCACTGGCCTCCCTTTATTCAGCCATATATACTTTTTCCCCCAAGCCTCTAGCAGAACAATAGGATGCTAATGAGTCTGATAGACAAGGTGCCACTAGCCTCCAAGCCCATTTCCTGCAGGAGCCAAGCTTAACAAATGCTAATCAACTCCTCAGCCCACAACAAATAAGTATTAAAAAAAGAAAGAAGTATTAAAAAAGAAAGGAAGGAAGAAATTGGCCTTTGGGGCCCAAAACGGTAGCCTAGCGGCTACAGTTCTCACCTTACGCGCACTGGGATCCCATATGGGCACTGGTTCTAATCCCAGCAGCCCTGCCTCCCATCCAGCTCCCTGCTAATGGCCTGGAAAAGCAGTTGAGGATGGCCCAAAGCCTTGGGACCTGCACCCACATGGAAACCTAACTTTGGATCAGCTCAGCTCTGGCCCTTGTGGCCACTTGGGGAGAGAATCAGTGAACGGAAGATCTTCCTCTCTGTATATCTGAATTTCCAATAAAAATAAATATTAAAAAAAAAGAAAGAAAGAAATTGGGCTTGGCGTCAAGCCCCGAGAGTGTGTGGCGTGTACAAGCACTTGAAGTCATACGATGACTCATTTCTCTTCCGAGCTCCAGCACAGTCTCTCCAGTGGTAACAACTTGAACCCAGCTGTGGTTGGAGTACTGCTGCTCTGGACATTGGTGCGCACCTCAGCTGAGGGTACCCAAAGAACTAACCCCCAAGACATCCACATCTCGGCTCGCCTTCAGTGGGTTTAGCCCTACATCAGTCACGTGATTCCACTCCCTGTCTGTTCATCCCTCCGCTCTTCCCCAGTGGCCAGCACCACCATTCAGCACCGAAAGAAGCTCACCTCATTAGGGGAGAAGTTAAGGGTAGCCCAGAGGCCTGCAAATGCAGCAACTTAAGTCCCAAAGGAAATACCCCAAGGCAGTGGGGACTTCTCTGTCATTCCAACATGGTGGCCTTCATCGCCATGTCCAATGGGGTCCAGGCAACCACCACTGTTGTAACTATATCTCAGCCTGTGGGAAGGTGGTAAGGATGAGGGGGACAGCACTGGCTCATTCCTGATCTAGGACACCCCTGACTTCCGTTCAGAAGCCAAGCAAGATGTAAGGAATGCTGGGATGTGTAGTCTGCAGCTAGGTTCCCAGCTGAGCTGTGAATAGTGAGTAAAGAGATGGCTACTGGTGGAAGGCCACTGTCATTGTCAATCACAGGAACATCCCATCAGTGCTACCTGTGGTACTGGCTGCCAGCTGCTATTCTGTCCATCCTTACCTTTGTTTTGGCCTCTAAGAGAGTTTGTTTATAATCAACCTATCAAATACAGCTGCTGGAGATATCTTTCTAAGATGCAAATCGTATCACATAACTTAGGCTGTTGAGAAACAGCACGCACAGCTCCCCACTGGTTCCACAAGAAGGACCAAGCTTATTTGCATGATGCACATGCCAGGTCTTGTCTGCTTGACTCAGCACATCTTCCATCCACCCCCACTGCCACCCCCGTGCAACGCTCTTTCCTTGTCTGCCAGAAAAATTCAGGTCATTGTCTGGGACTTAGTCTAAATGCTACTTCTCTGGTCACATTATGTGCACCCCCCCCTTTGCAATGCTGGCTGTTCTCCTACTGCAGCCTTTACTAGACTGTAAATTTCTGGACCCTTGATACCTGCTGTGGGCTCCCTGGGAAGCCAAGCACCTGGTGTATCTACCTTGGAAGGTTGTCCGGGAGCTCAGCCAACAAAGAATTGCCCTTTACAAGATGCGGGGGGGAAAGGGGGCATCAGAAGGGCCCAGGTCTCTAGCATCCTCAGCATGATTAGCAGGTGCTTAGATTTGGCCAGCCTGAATGTAGCCATGGAATGTGAGACCCTCCAGATGATTCTGTTGAATGAATGGTTTCTTCTGCTGTTTTCCTGGGTAGGCCTCAAAGTCCACGGATTTACCATTAAGTTCTAGGAGCCATTTTATTTCCAGTGCTTGCCAGGCTCTTGGTGAGCATTTGTGTTTACCTCCTGGCCAGCACTTTGCACAGACCGCTGAAGTGCTCGTTTTGAACACGCCAGGATCCTATATGGGCACCAGTTCTAATCCCAGCTGCTCCACTTCCCATCCAGCTCTCTGCTTGTGGCCTGGGAAAGCAGTCGAGGATGGCCCAAAGCCTTGGGACCCTGCACCTGCGTGAGAGACCCAGAAGAAGCTCCTGGCTCCTGGCTTCAGATCAGCACAGCTCTGGCTGTTGGGGCCACTTGGGGAGTGAATCATCAGATGGAAGATCTTCTCTGTCTCTGCTCTCCTCTCTGTATATCTGATTTTGCAATAAAAATAAATAAATCTTTAAACTAATAAATAAATAAATCTTTTAAAAACAGACTGAAAATATTTAGAACATACATGTAACAACAGCTGCCACATGGAAAATGCCTTGGACCTGTGAAATTCAAGTGGAGTTGCAGGGGTCAACCAGTTGGCCTTTGACCTGTTTTCCACTACTAGCCACAAATTTCCCCAGACACTGGCCTGTGCCATCAGAACATGTCCAGCCTGTCTCCCAGCTCAAGCTCCTTATGACCCCCACACAATCCAGAAGTGCACCTGCTGGGCATGTGCTGTCCTCCATGTGGAAGACATCTCTCACTACACTACATCCTTCACCACAGCTGGGACTCTGCCCCCAGGAGCTCTCCTGGACTCAGCAGTAGGCAGCCACTCCCTGCCTTTGGGCCTCCTTTTTGGCCATGGTGTAGGCCCCGGTATCCCAAGGGTTAACACCACAGCTTAACTTCTTTCTCAAGGTGTAACAGGATGGGCAATCTTGGCCTGATGCACTCAGCCCCCGGCTTGGACTGACTCGGGGTGCGTGGTGACGCGGGCGTTGCCCACACCATGGTCTAGCACATCTGAGCTCCCCACACTGCGTCCAGATCCCTTATGTGTAGGGGTATCTTTATTTGAGCACAAATATATCTCAGCACCTCCTCCCACCTCCCCCAGCCTAGTCCTTGCCAAACGGTGGACAGTAAAGATGCTTAAATGGATGGATGAACAAAAATGAGGGGTGTTTGTTGTTTCATCATAACTGTTTTCTTTTTCCTTTTTTTTTTTAAAGATTTATTTTTATTATTTTTTCATTGGAAAGGCGGATATACAGAGAGGAGAGACAGAGAGGAAGATCTTCCGTCCGATGATTCACTCCCCAAGTGAGCGCAACCGGCCGATACTATGCCAGTCCGAAGCCAGGAGCCTCTTCCGGGTCTCCCACATAGGGGCAGGGTCCCAAAGCTTTGGGCCGTCCTCGACTGCTTTCCCAGGCCACAGGCAGGGAGCTGGATGGGAAGCGGGGCTGCCGGGATTAGAACCGGCGCCCATATGGGATCCTGGGTGTGCAAGGCGAGGACCTTAACCACTGCGCCACCGCGCTGGGCCCTTTCCTTTCTTTTTAAGATTTATTTATTTTGGGTCCAGAGTAATGGCTCAATCACTAAATCCTCACCTTGCCTGTGCCTGGATCCAATATGGGCACTGGTTTGTGTCCGGGCTGCTCCACTTCTCATCCAGCTCCCTGCTTATGGCCTAGAAAAGCAGTAGATGATGTCCCAAAGCTTCAGGACCCTGCATTCATGTGAGAGACCTGGGAGAGGCTCCTGGCTCCTGGCTCCTGGCTCCTAGCTTTGGATCAGCTCGGTTCTGGCCGTTGCTACCACTTGGTGAGTGAACAAGTGGATGGAAGATCTTTCTTTCTGTATTTCCTTCTCTCTGTAAATCTGCCTTTCCAAAAAAAAAAAAAAAAAAGAATCTTTAAAAAAAAAAAAGATTGATTTATATTTTTTTGGAAAGGCAGGTCAGATGTGCGTTAGCCATTGAGCCATTGCACCAGGCCCCACTAGAACCCCTTCTATCACATAAGAGACTCTTGTGTCAGGTCCCATGGGAAGTGGCCACTGTCAGTTTTGGTGACTCACTTCCCCCATCCAACTCCACTTCACATTCACTGGGAAAGCAGTGGAGGGTGGCAGGCCAAAGCCTTGAGATTTTGCACCTGGGTAGGAGACCCAGAAGAAGCTCCTGGCTCCTGGCTTCAGATCAGCTCAGCTCTGGCTGTTGTGGCCACTTGAGGAATGAACCAGCAGACGGATGATCCTTCTCTCTCCTTCTCTCTGTAAATCTGGCTTTCCACTAAATAAATAAATATTTTTTAAAAATTAAGTGAGTGGGAGTGCCAAAGTGCCCCAACACACATGTATTCACGTGTACACACACACACACACACACACACACACACATTAGGCCACACCTGCCAGCACCGACAGACTCACAAAATCTAGGAAGCAGCCAGAAACTTGGTCCAGTGATGGTGGCCTCCTAGACAGAACAGGTGGCTGAATAGAGGGGGGTAAGGGCAGGTGAGTCGAGTGCCTGTGTGTGTATTTGTGCATGTGTGTGCAAGTGCACATACATGCGCATGGGGAAGGCCCAGATACCTGAGGGTAGATCAGGAAAAGAGCCAGTCGTCAGAGACCAAGGTGAGAAGACCAGAGGAGAGAGGGAGACACAGCCCCTAGAGTCCGGCCGAGGGGAGGGCGCCCTTGGCTTCCTTTTAGTATCTAGCTCAGGAAACTGAGGGTGGAGCAACCCCTCGCCACTGTGGCACTCTCAAGCCCCTACCGCCCCCCATTTTTAAATTTAAGGGAGTTGGGGTCCCCATCGGTTATCCTGCGGGGTTCTGGTCTCCTCTCTGCCGCCCATTGCGTCTAGCCGGTCTTCACCGCCTAGCAAGGATGCCCTCCTCGCGGTAGCCCGGACGCCCCCGAGTTGCTGCGCCTTTAAAGCCGCAGCCCCCGACCGGGTTATTGTCTCGCCTCGCAGCCAACCGGCAGCGCCGTTGGGGGCGGGGGACCGGGTCTCCGGATTGGCCGCCGCGCGCGCCCCGCCCGCCCGGGATCCCGGGAGCTGTCCGGCCGCCGCGGTGCTGATCCCGCCGCCGCCCACGGGCCGCGAGTCGCACGGAGGGACACTATGAGCGGGGGCGTCTACGGCGGAGGTGAGCCGCTCCCGGGCCGCGGGGGGAACCTCGCGCGCGCAGCCCTGCGCCCCGCGCCCGCGCCTCCCCAAGCCCGGGCCACTCCGGGGCCTGTCACCGGGCACGGGGCCGGCTGCGCGCGCCACCCCTCTCCCGGCTTGCCTCGGGCCCAAGAGCTCCACACTATCCAGTCCACCTCTGCCCAAGCCCTGGCTCCATCCTTCCCAGTCAGGAGAGTGGCCGTCACAAGGCCACCGGGTAGGAGGCAATCTTGGCGGCCCATCTCACCCCCTCCTCTCCAAGGTCCCTCCACTCCGGGGTTCTACCCCCGCTTCAGGCTCCACTCCCACCTTCCCTGACCCCTGTGCCTTTACCCTAACCTCCTCCCACCCGGACAGAGTGAGGGGGAGGTCCCTTCACGAGCCCATCTCTCTGCACAGATGAGGTGGGAGCGCTGGTCTTTGACATCGGCTCCTTCTCGGTACGCGCTGGGTATGCCGGCGAGGACTGCCCCAAGGTGAGCTTCCCCTCAAAGTCGCTCCGGGCCCTCCAAGCACCCAGCCCACAGCCTCTGCGGAGCCACGGTGCATGCTGGGGCTGGTGGGGTGGTAGTAGGGTGACGCCCCCTTTCCATGTCCCTGCTCGGCAGGCTGACTTCCCCACCACGGTGGGGCTGCTGGCCGCGGAGGAGGGAGGCGGGCTGGAGCTGGAGGGGGAGAAAGAGAAGAAGGGGAAGATCTTCCACATCGACACCAATGCCCTGCACGTGCCTCGCGATGGAGCAGAGGTCATGTCGCCCCTCAAGAATGGCATGAGTAAGGGCCCTCACAGCTGCCCCTGAGGTAGACCAGGATCCCGCCGCTCAGGCAGCGACACACAGCAACTGTCCAGGTCCCAGGGACCCCGGCTCACTAGATTCCTGGGAGCATGGGGAGGGAATTTAATCCTCTAGAGTTGATCTCACCCTCCTCCTGGACTAGGCTTCCCCCACTCCCCTTTCCTTCCTGTCCCTGACCCCAACCTGCCCCACTGCATCATTCCCCGTTGTCTTCTGGCTTCAGTTGAGGACTGGGAGTGCTTCCGAGCCATCCTGGATCACACCTACAGCAAACATGTCAAGTCGGAGCCCAACCTGCACCCAGTGCTCATGTCTGAGGCTCCGGTAAGTTCCCTGGGTGCCCCCTCCTCACGCCAGGTTTCCCTTCTCAGGCAGTCCTTGCTGCACTGTCACGGATGATGTGGATGCCTGAGCCTTCTCTCCCTTGGGTCCGGCTCTCACCACCCTTCTCCTTGCCAGTGCTTTTTTAATCTTTGTGGTACCCTTGAGGAATCAATTTGCTTTACAAAACACAGTAAGGAAGAAATGCACTTCTTTCCTCTTTCTTCCATTTTCCCTTTGCCAAAGGCTGCTGCTTTTTTGCCTTATTTATTTACTTTGGACGTTTTCCTCTTTATGTCTGTAAACGTCACACTGCTGTTTGTAGACTCGAGTGTCACACATTGCCTGTGGATAAAAAGGGGCCCTGGTGTCTTTCCTGCCCTCGTCTGTGTCACACGTGTTTCTCATGCCCCGCCTTTGAGTACATTCCATTTTAGACTTTTAGAAGATTAATACTCACTATTTAACATCTTATGACCATGGATGCTAATCAAGGCTGAGCTGGCCAATGAACAGATACTTTTCTTTCACTGTGAAACTTTTTGTGTTCCCTACAACTGAAGAATTATCTGAATTTCAATTTTTTTCTTTGTATAGTTTTCTATTAATGTGATCTAAGTATTGATCAGCTCTCTGCACCTTGTGTTGGAGATCACGGCTCCTGCACTTGCTTCCTTGATTTATTCCTTTGTTTTCATGGAGATCTTTCCATAACTGCTTTAGAAAGTGGTTTATAGTTCATGGGGAGGGGCTGGTGCTGTCACTTAGCGCGTAAAGCCACTGCTTGCAAAACCAGCATCCCATACAGGCTCCGGTTTGGTTTGTGTCCAACTGCTCCACTTCTCATCCAACTTCCTGGCAAGAGCCTGGGAAAAGCAATAGGAACTAGCCTGAGTGGTTGGGCCCCAGACTCCCTGGGAGAGACCAAGAAGAAGCTCCTTGCTCCTGGCTTTTGGCCTGACCCAGTTCTGGCTGTTGTGACCACCTGGGAAGGGAACCAACTGGTAGAAGACTTCTCTCTTTGTCTTTCCTTATATCCCTCATTCTGTAACTCTTTCGAATAAATCTGCAAGAAGGAAACGTAAGAAGAGAAGAAAGGAAAGAGAAGAAGGAAGAAAGAGAAAAAGAAAGAAAAGGGGAGAAGAAATCGGTCATGTGGGGAAAATGTTTTGAGACCTTGTGTGTTAGACCTTGGACTGAGGGCTAAGTTGAGTTGCAGCGTTCCAGGTGGGAGATGGGTTTTCTCCCGTCGACACCTGCTGTTGCCATCAAGCATACTGGAGCCGACAGCGGAGGGTCCTCTGATGCCACGACTTCCTTTTTCAGGAAGTTTATATCATTTTCACTTCATCCTCAGTGTCCTACAACGTCACGATATGTGTGGCTTGTCTCTATCTTTTTTTTCTCTTTATTATTTTAAAGTTTACTTGAAAGGCAAAGAGATAGCAACAGAGATTTCTCCATCTGTTGGGTCACTCCCCAAATAACTTCAGCTCAGCAGCTACCGCAGAACCACAGCTGGAGCCAGAAGAAGCCAGGAGGCCACAACTAACCCAACTCCTCCCAGAGTGTGCCTGAGCAGAAACCTGATGTTGGAAGTGGAGCCGGAAGCGGAGCCCAGGCCCCTCCAGTGTGGCATGAGGATGTCCCGGGTGGGGCTGAACCACTGCACACCCTGAAGTCCATTCAAAAGATGGAAGGACAAGAAAGAGCATTTGCATCTCCTGGTTCATGTCCTAAAGACCCTGTGGCTGTCAGGAGTCCAAGTATTCCAAACCATCTTCTGCTGCTTTTTTAGGAACATTAGCAGGGAACTGGATCAGAAGCAAAGCAACTGGAATTCAAACTGATCCTCTGATATGGATGCCAGGCTTGCAAGCAGCAACTTGCCCCTCGTACACTCCTTTTCTGAACCTCCTACCCTTTTTTCACGGGTGTGAGATCATCTGATATCTTACTCAGGATGCTGCCAGTTTGGGTTTTGATCTTCATATGTTTTCACCTGCCCCTGTAATCTCTATCCATTGTCAACCAGCTGCTTCTCATCCATTCTTGGGGGTCCCTGTCTTGCTTTAGAGACCTTTCTCAGATTTATACATACTCCTGTATATCTATGGTTTTAAAAATGTTTCAAAAAGAGTATTTGCTTGTTTGAAAGGAAGAGTTACAGAGAGAGAGAGAAATGGAACGAGATCTTCCATCTGCTGGTTCACTCCCTAAAAGCCACAGTGGGTAGGGCTGGAACAGGCTGAAACCAAGAAACAGGAGCTTCATCCAGGTCTCCCATGTGGGTGTCAGGAGCCAAAGTAGCTGGGCCATATAATGAATGAATTTTGGTGTGCGAGTTTTCCCAAGCAGCAGAATTTTTTTTTTAAGATTTAAAAAATATATATATTTGAAAGTCAGATTTACAGAGAGAAGGAGAGACAAAGATCTTCCATCTACTGGTTCACTCCCCACAAGTCCACAATGGTTGGAGTCAATCTGATGCCAGGCCCCTCTAGGTTCTCCATATGGGTGCAGGGTCCCAAGGCTTTGGGCCATCCTCTGCTGTCCTCCCTGGGCATAAGTAGGAAACCGAATCAGAAGTGGAACAGCTAGGACTAGAATGGGTGCTTATATGAAATGCCAACGCTGCAAGGTAGAAGATTATCCAGTTGGCATTATCCTTTGGCATTCATCTCTCAGCACGTGGTCATCCTTGATGGTCATCTGGCTATCAAAGATAGTACTAGTGTGAACCTCTATGTGTAAGATTTCGAGTCCCAAGAGTAGAGCAAGGTGGTCCAGCTCTTGCCTTCTCGGGTGACCACCAGCTATTCGGGACACCTGCCGTGTGTCCAGGTTTCCATTTTCCATGTGCTGGATGCTTGCTGTTTTTTGCTTCTTACGTATAACCATCATGCTTCCTCCGGTGGGGGTGCAGTGGTGTGCGTCGTGGGGTCTCACCTGCCTCTGGTTATAGCTTTCCTGGGGTCTTGGGAGAGAATAAAAGTAGGCATTTGTGCTCATTTCACCACAATGACAAAGAAATCCTCTTTGCCTGGGGGAGACTGCAGTGAACAAGAGAGGGATACGCAGGCCTGGAGGGGGCCTTGAACTTGTTTTGCCAGAAAAAGAGCTCCAGGCCAAGGTCGAAGGACTGTAGCTCCAGACTCACGTGTCCAGAGCTTCTGAGTGACCTGACCTTGGGCAAGTTGCCACCCCTCTCTGAGTCCTGCCGTCCTCAGATAAGTTTGTCCTGAGATCTTCAACATCCTTTGACGTTCTCACATTCTGAAGCTCTCTGTGGTTCGAGGAGCTTGACCTGTGTTTCTTGTCAAAGTGGCGTGTACACGTGTAGGAGTGCCTGTGTAGAGGTACATGTGTGTGAGTGTGTGGGCATGCGTGTGCAGCCCCACACACGCACCTGGGTCTGGGCTGCTCCCTTGCCAATTCCTCCCTCCCGCACTTTCTTTGCAGTGGAACACCCGGGCCAAGAGGGAGAAACTGACCGAGTTGATGTTTGAGCAGTACAACATCCCCGCCTTCTTCCTGTGCAAGACGGCAGTACTCACTGCGTATCCTTCGGGCCGGCTGCTCAAGCCTGGCTGCACGGCCGGGTGGGACATGGGTTGCACTTTGCCTGGCCTGATTCTTCTGGGATCAGTGAGGGTCCCAGGTGGATAGCTGCCCCACTTCGCCCCATGAGTGGAGCAGGTCTAGCGGGCCAAGCGCATTGGGTCAGAACAGGGTCTCTTCTTGTTCCTTGGATCAGGTGAGCAGAGAGCAAGTTGGCGAGGTAGACAGCAGAGCCAGGAGTGGAATTGGGGAGGCAGCTATGACACAGAGGAGTGATTTCCCAATCAAACCATCCACATTGCCCTTTATTTGTGGTCAGCCTCACATTAAACCCTGAGTTGGGTGATCGGGCCCTGAATTTTAGGGTGTCTGTAGGATACAGAGCTAATTGTGGAGATCAGGGGGTTCAGCTGTGATGGAGACGAGGAAGATGTGGCCACGGGAGGGACTTAGAGAATGGCCATGAGGGCAGGGAGGACAGCAGAGCCAAGAGTGAACCACCCACACCTGTACCCCACCCCCTCCTGGTCACTGCTGCCTCTTTGACCCACCCAACTCACACCAGCTTTGCAAACGGACGCTCCACAGGCCTTGTGCTGGACAGTGGGGCCACACACACCACAGCCATTCCAGTGCACGACGGCTATGTCCTGCAGCAAGGTGGGGCCTCGACAGGGGGCTGGGGGTGCCCTCTGGAGGGCCAGCTCTGTTCTGACTTACCCCTACTTCCTCCTCAGGCATTGTCAAGTCACCCCTGGCAGGGGACTTCATTTCCATGCAGTGCCGGGAGCTCTTCCAGGAAATGGCCATTGACATAATTCCCCCCTACATGATTGCAGCCAAGGTGGGTCCAACTAGACCTGCAGCTGCCCTTGTAGAATCCTGGGCTTTCACGCACTGACCCCACGAGCTAGCAAGGCAGACAACAGTCCACTCCCTGCTCGCCCCAGGCAGGACCCTCAATCTACAGTAGGGTAATCAATGCTCTGGCCAGGAGGAGGGACCTGACTGAGGTTACATGACCAGCCAATATGTGGCAGGACCACATGCTGGATGCCGGGGGTCTAACATACCCCTGCTTTGTGTTCTGCTTCCCTGCTGTGTGAGAGCTGAGTGACCATCATCAATAACATGAATGCTCCCTAAGCCTCAGTCTTCTCTCCCACAAAGTGGGACCACAGTAGAGAGGGCTGCTGTGAGTGTTAAATGATACTACGTCCAGATACACAGAATGCAACCCAGGGACTGCCCTGGTCTCCCACAATGCTCCCCGGACCCCACGCTGTCTCTGATCAGCAGGAGTTATCAGTGGCCAGCATGGGAACAGGCTTTGCACTTCCTCCTCTTCTCAGGAAGGGAAGAGGGAGGGATACCACTGAGTAGAGATTCCAAGTCAACCTCGTGCTGGGTAGGCAGGTGCAGTCACTTGGGCTGGGGCAGTTGCTCACAGACTGTCTCCCTACAGGAGCCTGTCCGGGAGGGTGCCCCCCCAAATTGGAAGAAGAAGGAGAAGCTTCCCCAAGTCTCCAAGTCCTGGCACAACTACATGTGCAATGTGAGGCACTGGCAAGGGGGGTTTTGCCAGGGGGTGAGTGCTGGAAGTCAGTGAATGGGACCCTAACCCCTGCCTGGTCCTCAGGAGGTGATCCAGGACTTTCAGGCCTCGGTGCTGCAGGTCTCAGACTCCCCCTATGATGAGCAGTGAGTGGGGCTCCGAGCCGGCGCCTTGGGTGGTGGTGGTGGAGAAATGGGAAGGGGTAGAATTAGGGCTGCAATCCTGCCTGCGTCATGGGGCTTTAGTGAACTCCCACGGCCTGCTCTTGCTCCTCGGACAGGGTGGCCGCACAGATGCCCACGGTGCACTATGAGATGCCCAATGGCTACAATACAGACTATGGAGCAGAGCGACTCCGCATCCCCGAGGGCCTGTTTGACCCCTCCAATGTCAAGGTGGGTGAGGGGCACTGCACTGGGTGATGGTCACCCAGCATCCCTGGAGTCTGGATGACCACAGGCGTCTGGGAACAGAGGCCAGAGGTTCCCAAAGCCCAGATCCCCTTTGTCCATAGGGCCTGTCGGGCAACACCATGTTGGGTGTGGGCCACGTAGTCACCACCAGCATCGGCATGTGCGACATTGACATTCGCCCGGTAAGGTGTCTGAGACTCAAGGGAGCAGGGGGCGGGGCAGACCCGTGAAGGTTCACTCTCGCTGCTCCCTGCTTTCAGGGCCTGTACGGCAGCGTCATCGTCACGGGTGGGAACACGTTGCTGCAGGGCTTCACCGACAGGCTTAACCGAGAGCTTTCCCAGAAGACCCCACCGGTAGGAGCTCACCCTTGACGCAAGGTCCTGGACTCCTACCCTGACTTAGCTCTGCCTCCCCTACCCCCAGCCCCCAACATCCAGTGCTGTGGCCACCAGAGCAGACTGCCCATGACTATGCAGTCTCTCCTGAAAACCTGCCCCTTTCCACATCCAGGATGTCTGTTTCCTTTGGCCCATTTCTTCCCACAGAGCATGCGACTGAAGCTCATCGCCAGCAACAGCACCATGGAGCGCAAGTTCAGCCCCTGGATCGGGGGCTCCATCTTGGCCTCACTGGTAGGAGGGAAGGAACCTGGTATAGTGCTGAATGAACGCATTGTGGGGGGTACCCCGACTGCTCCCGTCCCCCGCCCCCGTGCTTGCCAACTGCAGGGGCACTGCAGGCTGAGGCTGTGCTCGCTGTAGACAGTCTGCTGGTCCCCAGCTGCCCACAGGCTGTCCAGGGAAAGTCACAGGAAGGGCACAGGTGTGGTGGTCCTTAGAGGCAGAAATCCGATCTAGTTCAGGAATAAGAGTCCATGGAGCTGACATGAAGAAAGAGGAAGAACTCAGGAGGTGGGAAAAAAAAAAATAAATAAGGGCACACAGACCACGCGAGCCAGAGGAGGCCCCAAGGCAGCAGGCAGGTACAGTTGGTTCCAGATGTTAGAAGTCCAACCTGGGCTGCCAGGGTGAAGGAGACCGGAAGGAGGCAGGCAGAAGCGCAAGCTCACCTCTAGGTTAACTGATGGTCAAGGTCAGTGCTACTCCGACATCCCTGTACTGCCTTGCTGACGGCATCATGACCAGAAAAAAACAGTCCGTGCTTGCTCAATTCAGATGCAGTTTCTTAATTGTGCTGGTACAGAACCGGCAGATTATGGAAAACCAACTGTACAAAGAAACGAGTGCCAATCACAGAAGGAAATACTTTGCTGGATCCAGGGTATCTGAAACACTCGCCTCTGCATGTTCCGTGGATGGACAATGTTCTCAATCCTTCACATCCTATTTTCTATACTCAGTCAACAAAACCCAGAGTACTCTTCCGGCCTGGAGCAGATCTCAATCTGCACCTGCCGCGTGAGGTTCATGGGCAGCCCTGGGCAGCCCCAGGCCCAGAGGGCGACCAAGGGCAGACAAGAAAACAGGCTCCAGGGGAAGGTGGCAGGAGAGTGGAGGGAGACCTGGGACCTGGGGAAAGGAGGGGTGAGGTAGATGAGATGACCCACCAGAGCTTAGGAGCAACATAGGGAAAGAGGTCAGGGACATGCAGACTCTGACCTGTAGGCCGAAGCGGGGCCTGGCAGAGAACAGGAGGACCAACTGGCTCAGGGACGCCCCAGGGCTGGGTTCTCACCGGGCAGGTTTAGCAGGGGTTGGGGGTAAGGTAGAGGACAGCTGGGTAAGAACCCACTGAACGGAAAAAGAATCCTGGCTTGAATGCTGGGCAGGGGGAAGCAGGGCTGGGGGTGCAGCGTGCCTTGACCGCCATTGTGCCTCTCCTCCCATCTCAGGGCACTTTCCAGCAGATGTGGATCTCCAAGCAGGAGTATGAAGAGGGCGGAAAACAGTGCGTGGAACGGAAGTGCCCCTGAGGCCGCCTCTTCCAAGCGCCCCCCGCAGCGCGTGTGGGGGTGAGGGGCGTCAGGAGCGGGGGCTCGCCCCTGCCAGGCCTCCAACCAGTACAGATTGAAGCCCTCGACCCCCTCCTTTACTTACCCACCCATAGTGCCCCCTCCCCTTTCCCCATCCTTCAGTCTCTTACATTGTGATGTTTCTGAGTTGGAAAAAGTAAAAAGGTTTTAAGAAAAGCAAGTTTGGCGTCCTTGGGGCTGAGGGTGAAGGGGCGAGTCACATCTCCATGCGTGCTGCCCCCGTGGCCCGGATTGCAGGCATGGACAGCGTGGACGGGCGGGGGAGGGGGCCCTTGCCGGGAACCTGCTGGGGGAGGAGCTGCGGGCCGGGGCGGGGCGGGGGCGGAACCTCGGCCGGATCTCGGGGCTCCCGGGAGCAGCGCCCACGCACTCCGCGCCCTAGGGTCGTGCAGCTCAGGTGAGCCAGGGCTGCGCTGTGCCTTCCCTGGGTGCCATGCATGCGGCGGGGACTGGAACACTGATATACACTAATAGCTCAGAAGTTCAGAACCTGGGGAGGATGTGGGGTTTCTCTGGGGATACCCCAAAAGGGAGCCTGCGCGCCCTCTGCAGTTTGCACCTGCCATGTGTTTCTGCCGGGAGAGGACAGGCAGAGAGGAGGAGAGCCCTGTTTTGAGTCCTTCAGTGCCAGAGGCTGGAGTGCCTAAGGAGGACCGTGACTTGCCCTTGGCCACCCAGCTCTATCTACACCCTGACCCGGGCTCTTCCCACTTCCCATGCTTGGTCGGCCTTGACCTCAGACCCCTATGCTGGAGCGCTCCCTGGTTGCAGAGACCACATCCTCCTACTGTGTCACTGAACCTAGAGCGAGAGGGCAGACCCAACCCCAGCCCATCATGGTGGGACCCAGCCTAGGATCCCCAGGGTTGGGGGGTGGTTAATGAAGGGAGTAGGGGCTGCAGGCAGATGAGGAAGGGCCCTGGTCCTCACCATGAGCCTACCACGGGAGTGTGGGGTGGGAGCTTAAGGAGGTACGAAGGGGTCCCCATGTACACTCGGAGGGGTGAGAGCAGGAGGGGGGGCAGATGTCTGTCCCCTGCCCCCTCTACACTCACCCACCTCCCCCCATCCCTGACAGGAACTGGGAGGCCAAAGTCTGTCCAAGGTCAAACATTGATCGTTCATCCAGTGGGGGCAGGGACTGGCATGGGACTAAGGAGGGATTGGCTGGGCCAGCACAGTCCCTTGCTTGGGCCTGGGCTGGGGTCTGTCTGGAAGGCTGGACTGAGGCCAGGACGGTGCCCCCACCCTAAGAGAGGGAGGAGGAACAACTGCCTGCGGGGGCTGATAAGAGGCCCTTAGGGGCTCCCACCAACGGTTTTATCACTGGGGGGGTGGGGGGGTATCCTGCAGGGCTCCGGAGGGGACAAGGACATGGAGCCACTTTGGGGTCTACTCCGGAGAGCGGTAAGACCAGGAGAGTGGAGTGGGGGGGGGGGGACAACTTGGGGCTTCCTTCAGAGCTTTACAGCCCACTCCCAACTCTCCAGGGTGGGCCCCTCTTCTCCTTCCCTCTGCCCCACCCCCCAGTACAGCTTCCCAGATGTGGCCTCTGCTCTGCAGGCTAACCCCAAAGTCAGAGAGCCTCCAGACCATAACCTCAGATCTCACACACCCCCCTCCACACATACACAGCAGCAGCTGTCCCCACGGCCCTCTCAGAGCATCTACAGGCGCGTGGAGGGCCCCACACAAGGGCGCCTGGAGGAGGAAGAGGAAGAAGAAGAGGAAGAGCCTGAGTTGCCCACCCCTTTCTGCCCCATGGAGCTGAAGGGTCCAGAGACCCTGGGTTCCAGAGAGGGGCAGCCTGGCGCCATACCCTGGGCAGCAGTGGGACAAAGGGCTGCCCCCTATCTGGTCCTTACAACACTTCTCATCCTCACAGCAGGTGAGAACCAACCCCCACCCCATCCCTGGGCTACGGAAGGGTCCCTGAGGTCCGAGGGTGGGGGCACAAGGAGAATGCCCGGTCTTGTCACCCCTCCAGCCTTCCTTCTGGGCTACGTGGTCTTCCGAGGGACCTGCCAGGCGTGTGGGGACTCCGTGTTGGTGGTCAACGAGGACGCTGGCTCTGAGCAAGGTCTGGACGTCCATCGGGGCCCGCTGTACTGGAGCGACCTTCAGGCCATGTTCTTGCGGCTGCTTGGGGAAGGGCACCTGGAGGACTCCATCAGGTAAGTGCCCACCTGCCCCCTCTTGGCCAGCCTGCTCTGAGTCCTTCCACCTGCTTCCCTGACCTCTCTGCAGTGTTTTGTTTTTTGTTTGTTTTGTTTTGGAGGGTGGAGGGTGGCATTGGAAGCTGGGGTCCCAGGAGACTCAGGGCCTGAGGGTAGCACCTGAAGGAGAGACGTGGCTGATGAATGATACAAATAGAGACAGAATCCTCCATCTACTGATTCACTCCCCAGAGGACTACAACAGCCAGGGCTGGGCCAAGAGCTTCCTTCAGGTTTCCCCACATGGGTCACATAGGCCCGAGGACATGGCCATCCTCTACTGCTTTCCCAGGCCATAAGCAGGGAACTGGAAGGGAAGGGAAGCAGCTGGGATATGAACCAGCACCCAAATGAGATCCTGGTACATGAAAGACGAGGATTCAGCCACTAGGCTACTGTGCTGGGCCCGGATGTTGAATTTCTTACCCTTGCAGGGCTGAGGTTTTTGGAGTTGTAGAAAAGGCATCCCCAGCTATGTTACTCAGGAAGTTGTTTGCTACGTTCTGCTAGGAGACCAAGCCAGGAGAATTGGGATAAATGTGTTTCCTGTTTGGTACACACATGTAGAATTTGCATAACCATGTGACTTCATAATTGTGGTCTGAGAAAAAAAGGAATGTTTCTGTTATCTGTTTCTTGCAGTTAATGTAAAAGTCCTAAGCTTTTGAAGTGTTCTTGGGAAAGCTGGCTGTGTAGTCATGCAGTGGTAATATTTTATGTATCCTGTATTTATTTTTGCTTATGTACTCAGAGTGACTGTTTTATTTAAAGATTCATTTTGAACCCAATGCAGTAGCATAGCAGCTAAAGTCCTCACCTTGAACGCGCCAGGATCCCATATGGGCGCTGGTTCTAATCCTGGCGGCCCTGCTTCCCATCCAGCTCCCTGCTTGTGGCTTGGAAAAGCATTCGAGGATGGCCCAAAGCCCTGGGACCCTGCACCTGCAGTGGGAGACCAGGAAGAGGCTCCTGGCTTCAGGTTGGCTCAGCTCTAGCCATTGGAGCCACCTAAAAAAAGAAAAAAAACTTTTAAAAAAAGATTTATTTTTATTGGAAAGTCAGATTTACAGAAAGAAGGAGAGAGAGAAGAGAAATATCTTCCATCTGCTGGTTCATTCCCCAAATGGCCACAGCAGCTGGAAGTGAGTTGATTGTGGTTCCGCCTGACCTTTCCCTGCTTAGGGCACCGTGGAGGAAATCCACACTAAACCAGTCATCCTGTTGGCGGGCAGGTAGGCAAGGAGGCCCGAATTCCACTGCAGGTGGGACACACAGGGCCGGGATAAGGCGTGACTCTGCCCAGTCCCCTGGATCACAAGAGGGGTGTGGTGGGTCAGCAAGCCGAGACCTAGAGATAGAGATTCGCCAGGTCAAGAGAAGGTGGGCTGAGGTTTCAAAACTGTGGACAGGTTGTGGTTTTCAGGAGGAAGTGAAATGAGGCCATGTGGTCAGCCTGGTGGAGGAGGCTCAGGCCTCACAGGGCTGTCCTGGCCACAGTTGCTGTTTGGAGTCTCATTCTTTTTTTTTTTTTTGGCGGGGAGTGGTGTCTCATTCTAAGAGAGCAAGAAGGTGCTGAGGAGTTTCAGGCAGTGGAATAACAGGATCACATTGTGTGAGTGTGTTTTGATTAAGGTCAGATTGCTTCTCAGCCTTTTGGCTAAGATCGGACGTGCCCAGCTCGGGCTGTTGCAGCTGTTTGGGGGAGTGAACCAGTGTATGGACATCTCTCTTTGGCTCTCCTCCCTCTGCAACTGTGCCTTTCAAAGAAAAATAAATACATCTTCAAAAGGAAAAGAGCAAGGTAACATTGCCTTTTTAAAAAGAAAAGATTTGGAAAAGAAAACATCTGAACTGAATAGTAATACAGGCTTTATTATTTTTTTTCCTAAACAATACAGTAACTGCTTAGCAGCATTTACACTGTATTAGATATCATAAGCAGAGCAGCAATTTAAAGTTTATAGAATGAGGGGCCAGACATTCAGCACAGTGCTGAAAACACCACTTGGGCCACACACATCCCATTCCCAGCAGCCTGGGTTCAAGTCCCAGCCCTGTTCCAAGTCAATGGCGTCCTGTTCACACATATCCTGGGAGGCCACAGATGCGGACGCAAGTCCTTGGGTCTTTGCTACCCATGTGGGAGACCAGGATGGAGCTCTGGGTTCCTGTCTTTGACTTGGCGCAACCTCAACTAATGCAGCCACTTGAGAAGTCAACTCCTGGATGAGGGATCCCCTCCCCCACCCTCTGCTTTTCAAATGCACAAAAGTAAAATCCTTGTCCCGGCCACTATCTGCAGTCTAGGTCTACTCAGTGCCATGTTGCCCACCCTACTCCCCTGCCCCTACTGTTCACCTTGAGGAGCTCACAGGACTGACACTGCACCTGCTCAGCGGGTCCAGAAAAGAGGGTAAGACACGCTAGAAGCCCCGTGCCTCAGTTGGAGGGACACGTGCAAGACACATGCACCTGTACCAGGTGTTACAGCTCTGGGACTGGCATTGTGGTGCAGTGGTTTAAACCTCTGTAGTGGGCCTCTGGGGATGCCTGTGTCTCAGATTTCTGATCATTTTTCCTTGGGCCGAGCTGTCTCCCTTTGAAGCCCCCATCACCCAGTTCTCTCTGCCTCTCTCCCGTCACTGCTATTTTCTGGCCAATTGGTAGCTCGTCCGTTCTCATTAAGAACTTAGTCATCTGCCTCATTATTTTAGCCTTCACATTCTGGCCAAAATCCACATGGAGGGGTGAACATGTGGCTGCGACTTAGTGGACAAATCCCCAGGGCCTGAATCTGAGTCATCCTCCCTCCCAAGCCCTGGTGTGTATATGTGTGTGTATATGTGTGCGTGAGAGAGAGAAGCTGCGTGTTTTTCTCTTAAGACTCACCAGGAGAGTTGACATCTCCAGCCAGGTTTCTGTCAAGGCCAGCCCTTAGCAGGGGCTTTCTGTAATTGGACCAAGAAGAACCTATGGGATGGTGGTAATGGGTCCCCTGGCTGTGGGCAGCAGTCAGAGCTTTCCCCTAAGTGTAGGAGCCCCTCATCTCTGGGGCAACCTCGACCCCAGATCCTTCCCTTTCTCTCTAATCCCACTTCTCCCGCATCAGGCAGACCAGCCATCAGGAACGCATGGCCGGCTCCGCAGGGATGGCTGCCCTGACCCGGGACATCCTGGCATCACTCTCCCGCCACAAGCTGGACCATGTGTGGACTGACACACACTACGTGGGACTGCAGTTCCCGGACCCGTGAGTGTATTGAAGGGGAGGGGAGGGGAGGTGGGGTGGGCAGCCTCGGTCACTCACCATCCACGTTTCTCAGGGCGCACCCCAACACCCTGCATTGGGTTGACACTGCTGGGAGAGCCAGGGAGCAGCTCCCATTGGAGGACCCGGATGCCTACTGTCCCTACAGTGCCACGGGCAATGCCACGGTGAGCGCCTGGCTTCCTTTGATCCATCCTAGGATGCGACCTTTGTTCAAAGTGTGGGGGAGCCCACACACGCTCAGTCACCATGGTTCGTGTTCCTAGGGAGAACTGGTGTATGCCCACTATGGGCGCCCAGAGGACCTACAGGACCTGAGGGCCAGGGGCGTGGAGCCTGTCGGTCGCCTCCTCCTGGTGCGCGTGGGGGTCACCAGTTTCGCCCAGAAGGTGAGGGTCCCTGAGTGAGGACAGCATACAGCTGGGGAGGAAAGCTGACAGAGAAGAAAGAAAAAATAACAACCTGGTAGGAAGAAAATGCTGGCAGGCACAAAAATTGGGGCAGGGGATGGTTCTCTGAGGGGCTGTGGATCCTGCAGCGTTAGAAGGCAGACCAGGGCTAGCTGGTGCCATCCACAGGCTGACAGGTACAGACCAGAGGCTGCGCTGCCTTGCTCTGCCCCGTCTCCCCTCCATCCACCCTTGTCCCCCGCTGTGCTCATTTGTCCTGTCCTCTGACTTCTTGGTGAAGGAGTCCTGTAGCGTCCCCTCCCACACGCACAGGTGGCCAGCGCCCAGGCCTTTGGGGCCCGAGGAGTGCTCATATACCCGGACCCTGCCGACTTCTCCCAGGATGGCCACAAGCTAGGCCTGGCCAGCCACCGCGCTGTGTATGGACACGTGAGTCCTGGGGTGGGACATGGGGGAGGCCAGCAGAGTCTTCCTGCAGTCTTTTTTGGAAATGGAGCTGACCTACACCCACACCCCCTAACTAGGGAAGCCCAGTCTACAGTTTCAGGTTGGGTATCCCTTTCCGCACAGGTGCACCTGGGAACTGGGGACCCCTACACGCCTGGCTTCCCTTCCTTCAACCAAACCCAGTTCCCTCCAGTGGAGTCCTCAGGCCTCCCTAGTATCCCAGCCCAGCCCATCAGTGGAGACATCGCTTCTCGTCTGCTGGGGTAAGGGGTGAGGTGGGGGGCTGGGAGGAGCTGGTGGAGAGAGGGGGTGGGAGAGGCTGCAGGTGAGCAAGGAAAAGTTGGCCAGCAAAGCTGCACACAGCTGGACTTCCTGCCCACCTCTCTTGGGCATTGTTGAGCAGCACACAGTTTGTGCAGCCGTCCAAGGTGGCCCTGGCTGTCCTGTCCCTCCCCTTCTGCATGTGCAGAGCCAGAGCCAGGGACAGAGATAAACAGCCAAGAGGACATTGGGCTCCTCTGGGGTCTGGGGCCTCTGCCATTCCCAGCCTTTTCCATCTTCCTCCCCCTCCAGGAAGCTCAGAGGTCCTGTGGCCCCCCAGGAGTGGCAGGGGCATCTCCCAGGCTCCCCTTATCGCCTGGGCCCTGGGCCAGCCCTGCTCCTTCAGGTCAACAACCACAAGGCCTCCACCCCCATTAACAACATCTTCGGCTGCATCGAGGGTGTCTCTGAGCCAGGTATGCTTGCCCACCCAGTATGACCCACAGTTCCTGCGGCAGACAGGATTCATTGGCTCTGGCCAGGAGTGCCGCAACCCTGAGGGAAGTGGAGGCAGGCATGGGCCACAGGAGGGTAACGCACAAGGCTGGTAAAATAAGACTGTAGCCAGCGGTGGAGCCAACAGGCTGGTTCTCCAGGAGAGCAGGGCATGAGCGTGGTGCGGGCCACCACAGGGACAGGGCTGGGGCAGCCAAGTGGTGGGAACCCAGAGATGAAGCTGATAGAAGGGATGGAGTGCGGGGGGGGGGGTGTGTGCAGGGGTTCAGACACTGCCCTCCCAGGGCGCATGCTGGGGACTGCCAGTGAAGGAGCTAGGTCCCAAACATGCCCTCCTCAGATCACTACGTTGTCATCGGGGCCCAGAGGGACGCCTGGGGCCCAGGAGCAGCCCGGTCAGCCGTGGGCACCTCCATCCTTCTGGAGCTGGTGCGGACCTTCTCCTCCATGGTGAGCAACGGTAAGGTCAAGGCCGAGGCCATGCAAATGCTGGGGCCATGAGCTGAGTCAGGCCCAGGGCTCCGAGGCAGCTGGGAGGGTGGTCACCACGGGAACTCAGGGATCGGAAGCTTCCTGCTCCACGTCCAGGCTGGGTGACCCCAGGTGAGTGGTCAGCTGGGGACTTGATAAGAGAGTGCGCACTGAAGCCAGGTGACCAGGACAGGACACAAGAGGAGTAAGGGGTGGGGGCTGGCATGGGCTCTCCCAGTCACTCCCATTTTCTGTCTCCAGGCTTCCGGCCCCGGAGAAGTCTTCTCTTCATCAGCTGGGATGGGGGTGACTTTGGAAGTGTGGGCTCCACGGAGTGGCTGGAGGTGACATGGGGTCCTGGGCAGGTGGTATAGTGGCCAGGTCAGCTGGAGATTCTTACTCTACACCCTGACCCTCACTCCCTCACCGCCACAGGGTTACCTGAGTGTGCTGCACCTTAAGGCTGTGGCCTATGTGAGCCTGGATGATGCGGTGATGGGTGAGCTGGGGGTATGATGCCATCCCCAGGCCTTGAGGACCCCCTAGGGTCTTGCCTGGGGGCCCAGCTTCCCTCTCTTGCTCTTTAGGAGATGACAGATTCCACGCTAAGACCAGCCCCGTTCTGATCAGCCTCATTGAGAACATCCTGAAACAGGTAAGCCCTAGCTGGGGCCATTCCAGGGGGTCTGGGCACTTGGTGGGGACAGAGCCTGACCCCAGGCCCACCCCTCACTGGCAGGTGGACTCCCCGAACCACAGTGGGCAGACCCTGTATGAGCAGGTGGTGTTCACCAATCCCAGCTGGGATGCAGAGGTGTAAGTGGGAATGGGAGGGAGCGGGGAAGGGGGAGGTGGAGCCCACGGAGTCCCCCCCTCAACCTTCCGGCCCCCAGGATCAGGCCCCTGCCCATGGACAGTAGCGCCTACTCCTTCACGGCCTTCGCGGGGGTCCCAGCCGTCGAGTTCTCCTTCCTGGAGGTGAGACCTCCGCTCCAGTTCCCGCAGCCCAGGCAGCCCCTGCGAGCATCGGCCCTGCCGCAGCCCTGCCCTGTCCCGCCCGGCAGGAGGACCAGGTTTACCCGTTCCTGCACACGAAGGAGGACACCTACGAGAATCTGCACCAGATGTTGCGAGGCCGCCTGCCCGCCGTAGCCCAGGCTGTGGCCCAGCTCGCGGGGCTGCTCCTCATGAGGCTCAGCCACGACCACCTGCTGCCCCTCGACTTCGGCCGCTATGGGGACGTGGTCCTCAGGCACATCGGCAACCTCAATGAGTTCTCCGGGGACCTCAAGGTCCAGCACACCAACCCCACCACTGGCCTCTGGAGGTGGTGGGCTGCAGACCCTCTCATGCTGCTGCCTGGGGGGAGTGGGGCAGGGGGCGGGGTCTGCGGCCTGGCCCTGTGCCTCTGCTCTCTGGTCACCTAACCTCCCAAGCCGCCAGGACCCCAGAGGGACCCTCTCCTTCACTCTGGGCCCCTCTCCCCGCCCCCTCCTGCCAGGCTCGGGGGTCCCGGCCTCCATCCTGGGCCGGTCCTGGCCCCTCCGCCGGCCCCAGCCCGCGCCTCTGCCCTCAGGCCCGCGGGCTGACCCTGCAGTGGGTGTACTCGGCGCGAGGGGATTACATCCGGGCGGCCGAAAAGCTACGGAAGGAGATCTACAGCTCCGAGGAGCGCGACGAGCGCCTGATGCGCATGTACAACGTGCGCATCATGCGGGTGAGCCCCGCCCCTCTCCGGACGCCCCGCCCCGCAGCCGGCTCCGCCCCCTTCGCCCTCACTAGGCTGACTGGAAGGGTCCTCCTGGCAATTTGGAGTGTGGATTTCTTGTTTCCTTTCTTACTCCTGCTAATGAGATGAGTGAAGCCCAGAAGGGCTGCCTGGAGGAGGTGTCCTGTGACTCCCTGGCCAATCCACCGCTTGGTGTTGACTGTTTCGCAGCCTGCACCCCAATTCCAGTTCCCTCTTCCTTTCTCTTCCTCATTCCAAGAATGCAACCCTTTAATCTTGGGAAATGGGTGAACAGGGCTTTGGGTTTGGGGGGTAGTTCTGTGGGGCACTATTACTAGCAGCATCATGTTTAGTGAGTGTGGGGTGAGCAGGGGCCCCGCAGTGGACCCACAGAGCTCCACACGGACATGGGGGCATACAGAGGTCACAGGAAGAGAACCTGTCTACCTTGGGTAGGTTCATGAACTTCCTCCGTCTGGCTTCCAGCTGCTGTTCCCTGCCTGTCGCCCTTGGCATCACTATGGCTTCTGTCTACAGAGGCCATCCCTCCGTTGTTATTTTTAAATTAATTCACTTGTTATTTTAAAGGCAAATAGAGCTTTCATTTGCGGGTTCACTCCCCAAATGACCACAATAGCTGGCACTGGGCCAGGCTGAAGCCAGGCACCAAGAACCCCGCTCCTGGTCTCCCATGTGGAGGGGAGGGTCCCATGCACTTGGCCCATCTGCTTATCATCCAGGCACAACATCAGGGAGCTGGATGGGCACTGTATACCCAGGACTTGAACCAGTGCTCTAGTATGGGAAGCTGGCATTGCAGGTGGCTGCTTTGTTCTCTGTGCCATGGTGCCAGCCCCAAACCCATTCCTCTTACTCTGCCTTTCTCACTTCTTTCTCTGCCCTCTCCAACCTCTTCTGATCTCTCCTCTTGTCATTCTGGTCTCATATTCCCTTCCCTGAGACATGTGTGATCCTTGGTGGAGAGAGACGTGGAGATCCAGCTTAGCTCAGTCTCGTTCTCGGATCTTGCCGTAGGTTTTTGGGAATGCAAAGCTGCTGCCCCCGAGTGCAACGTGGGTGGTTCAGGCCCTCGACAGAAAAGGGACTCAATGCGAGAGTTGGTCCAGACAGAGGTCTTCTTTGAGGCTGTATACCAAAGATTGGTCAACTGCAGCCAGCAGGCAAAAATGCAGCCACTTGCTGGTTTTTGTAAAGTCTTATTGCAACACAGCCATCTTCATCAGTTTGTGTGTTGCCTGTGGCTGCCTATTTTTTTTTTAAATTCGCTTTTTGTTTTAATTGAAAAGGCAGATTTATAGAGAGGAGAGATAAAGACAGGGAGAGAGATCTTCCATCTGTTCATTCACTTCCCGAATGGTTGCAATGGTTGGAGCTGAGCCAATCTGAAGCCAGGAACCAGGAGTTTCTTCTGGGTCTCCCATGTGGGTGCAGGGTCCCAAGGACTTGAGCCATCCTTGACTTCTCTCCCAGGCTACAAGCAGCAGGGAGCTGGATAGGAAGGGGACCAGCGAAGACACGAGCCATCACCCCTATGGGATGCCAGTGGTGGCACATGGACGATCAGCCTGCTGAGCCCCTGTGGCTGGCTTTCTGCCTTTTCTACACCGGTGGTGACTGACACTGGACAATTGTAATAAGGACCACTCTGACCTGCAAAGTGACTTGCATAGCAGAAAATCTTTACTGCCTGGCACTTTGTAGAGCAAGTTTTGCCGAACTCTGCTTTGGACTGGAACTTGGGGTTGAAATTACCGGCAGAACTTGAGTTGCTGGCAAGAAAAGCAGAGAGCCCCAGAGGTAGGGTGTGGCAGTGAAATCTGCCCAGAAACAGGAAAATCTGAGGAAATCTTTCCTCACAAACAGGGTGCGGACCAGCAGAGCCAGATCAGGAGCTGCTGCAGAGGCCCAGGGCCCGGGAACTCCCAGCCTGGGGTTAGGGGGCAGAAAGCACAGGCTGCTTGTGTGAGGAGCTGGTATTCGAGGGTCTGAAGCATAGGGAGGCTTTGAGGCAGTGAGCAATTGGTGAAAATGCAGTCCGGGGAAGGGAGTCTAGCTGGAGGATAAATGACCTGGAGAGGAAGTGGAGGGTGCAAGGGGGGCAGCCAGCACCTGCAGGTGGGGCCTGGGCTTGACCACAGGTGGAGGAAGAAGGAGCTGCTGTGACTAGAGGACTGGCTTGCTGGGAACCCAACTTCAGCTCCCGCAGTAGTACTCCCCTACAGTTGGGAGATGGTGAATGCGTGGACGGAAGCTCAGAGAGGCCAAGTAACTCCCCCAAGTGAGGGGTAGAGCCAAAATTAGAGACCAGACCACGTAACACTCCTTGCCCCAGCCTGTGCTCACTCTGCCTCCCCTGTGAGGGGGTACAGCCTGCCCCTGGGGAGGATGGTGCATTCACCCGCGTGAGGCTGGACAGCAGGAGTCCCCGGGAGCACATGGGGCAGCTGTGCCTGCAAAGGCTTTGGGGAAGCCTCTGACAGGGATGAGCTGTGTAATTTCTCAGTGGGTGACTCTGATATCCGTGAAGACTGAGGCCCACAGGAGTCCCCTCCCCCGAGAGGCCAGCAGAGGTGGGAGGAGGTGAGGCCAGAGGGCGGCTGACCAGTCAGGTGCCTCCTGAGGATCTGGCTTTCCCCTGGACGTTGGACCTTGGGCTGTGGACACTGGGGGAGGTGGGACAGAGTGACTGGGTCGCTCGCGGGCAGCTTTGGTGTTCAGATTTGTTCTTTGAGGCTCTGGGCAGGGAAACGGAAAGTTTGAAGAAAGCGGGTTGGGGGACCGAGATGTAAGCTTGGGGGCTCTAGTAATAGAAAGGAGGGGCTAAGCATCTGACTTAGCGGGAGGACGCACCCTGCCCGGCAACTGATTGCGTCACAGGATGGCTGTTCCTGATTGGAAAGTCGGAGGGAGGCGGGACTTGGGCCGCTCCCGGACGTCTGTCAAGTGCCTGCTTGATCCCAGGCTGCCTGAGGGGTGATCCAAGCCTTACGCCCGAGCAAGCCCCAAGCCCGAGCGCACCCCATTGTTTGCACAGGTGGAGTTCTACTTCCTGTCCCAGTACGTGTCGCCGGCTGACTCCCCGTTTCGCCACATCTTCCTGGGCCGTGGAGACCACACACTGGGCGCTCTACTCGACCACCTCCGGCTGCTGCGCACTGGCAACTCCAGCGACTCGGGAGTGGCGACCGGCCTGGGCTTCCAGGAGAGCCGCTTCAGGCGCCAGCTGGCCCTGCTCACCTGGACGCTGCAGGGGGCAGCCAACGCGCTTAGCGGCGACGTCTGGAACATCGATAACAACCTCTGAGGGCAGCCAGCCTTGCTGGGCACCCCTAGTACCCTGCGCCCTGCCGAGAGCTCCTCCTGTCCACTTCAGCGATGGAGGGGGACAGAAGTGACCCACGCTCGCGGCTGCTGTTGGTTCCTCATTCACCTCAGTGCAGAAGGGCATCCAGTCCTGAGAGCAGAGACCATTCTGGAAAGTTTGCCAGGCCTGGGACCTTCATGGCTGGCTCTTTGTTTGGCATGCTGCCCTGAGGGCTGACAGGAGCCCTGTAGTGGGTGGGCCATGGACTCTGGATATCAATAAACCTCTTGTTGCCATCTCTTGTCCATAGTGCCTCACCTTCCTAACTTTGCCTAATGCCCCGGTTGAGCCCTAGGGGAGGGGATGCCCCCAGGGAATGAGGTGGAAAAGAGAGCTTTAGGAAACTAAGAAAACAAGGAAGGCCCACTCTCTCCCACCTGCCCACCTGCCATAGGGGTGGGGCACTGGCTCAGCACCTTTTCCTGGGCTAGGTCCTGCTGCATGACCCACAAGGCCTGGTGAAATAAAATGCAAGGCCCTGCGTTGAAAACGCGGGAGCAGAGGCTGGCCTTGTGGTGCAGTGGGCTGAGCTGTGACTGCAATGCCAATCTCCCAAACTGGCACGCCAGTTCAAGCCCCAGGTGTCCTGCTTTGGATCCAGCTCCCTGCTAATGTTCCTGACAAGGGAGAGGATGATATTTAAGTTTTTGGTCCTTGCCTCCGGGAGGGAGGCGGGGATGAAGCTCTTAGCTTCTTCCTGGCTGTGAACTTGGCTCAGCCCTGGCTGTTGGCAGTCATTTGGGGAGTGAACCAGCAGATCAAAGATCTCTCTTTTACTCTGTATGGTGTTCTTTGCTAGGTCATGTCGCATTCCTTAGGTACACCCTCACAGGCACCCAGGTGCTGTCCCACAACCTGGGAGGAAGAGCTTGTAGCGCCTAGGACCCTGGTGGGGGAGGAGTGTGGCAGCTGCCTCTAGGAGTCCAAAACCCTGCCTCGATTGTCCTGGCGAGTTTCCCATCTGATGCATAAGTTCAAAAATAAATTCTTGGGGTTGTGCTATGCTGCAGCTGGGGAAACCAACACCTTTGATGCTGGCATCCCATGCAGGCACCAGTTTGAATCCTGGCTGCTCCACTTCTGCTGCAGCTCTCTCTAACGCACCTGGGAGAGCAGCAGCAATAGGTCCAAGTATGTGGACCCCTGCATTCACTTGGGAGTCCCAGAAGCTCCTGGCTCTGATCTGGCCAAGCCCTGGCTGTTGTAGCCACCAAGAAAGTGAATCGACAGGTGGAAGATCTCTGTGCGTCTCTCCTTCTTTTTAAAAATAGCTTTAAAAAGTAAGGTCATTAAGAACTTCAAGACAGAAAACACAGAACATTAAGCCTCACAGTCCTGCTCTGAGCACATGTTCCTGTAAGACCACAGTGGCCATGCACCTGCTAGGTTGGTCCCTTGGGGGGACATCTCCCCTTAGGACTACACTGACCTGTCTCCTCCGCCTCCTGGGCACCAGTGCAGGCCCATCCTCTGCATTTTATCAGGGCCTGCTCAGGCCGTGGAGGAGGTCGTGAGGCCCCCAGAGCCAAGCTGGGACAACTGATTAACCACCCAAGATAGCGGACAGGAGCTGTCCTAACAACAGTATCTCGCGGATGCTTTGTCCCTTGTCAACAATCTGGAGAAAACCAGCAGACAGAATATCTGTCGGGCCCGGCGTGATAGCGAAGCAGTTAAAGTCCTCACCTTGAACACACTGGGATCCCATATGGGCACCGGTTCTAATCCCAGCAGCTCCACTTCCTACCCAGCTCTCTGCTTGTGGCCTGGAAAAGCAATCGAGGAAGGCCCAAAGCTTTGGGACCCTGCACCTGCCTGGGAGACCTGGAGGAGGTTCCTGGCTCCTGGCTTCGGATTGGTTCAGTTCCAGCAGTTGCAGCCACTTGGGGAGTGAATCAACAGATAGATCTTCCTCTCTGTCACTCCTCCTCTCTGTATATCTGCCTTTCCAGTAAAATAAACCTTAAAAAAAAATAGAACATCTGTCACTATGAGTTTCAAATCAATAAAAAATAAAATAAAAAATCAACTTGGGGCTAGCACTACGGCATAGTAGGTGAAATGCTACCTGTGATACTGGCATCCCATGCGAGTGCTGGTTCAAATTGTGGCTGTTCCACTTCCTATCCAGCTCCCTCCTTATGGCCTAGGAAAGCAGTGGAGGATGGCCCAAGGGCTTGGGTCCCTACACCTATGTAGCAGACCCCGGATTAGCTCCTAGTTTTGGCCTACCCCAACCCCAGCCTTTGTAGCTATTTGGGGGAGTGAACCAGCAGATGGAAGATCTGTCTCTCCTCCTCTTTTTCTATAACTCTGCATGTCAAAGAAATGTCTTTTTTTGTTTGTTTTTAAGTTACCTTGTCTCACAGGTTCTGTTAGAGGTAGAAGCAGAGCCTCAGGGAAACACACGAACTTGCTGGAAGGCTGGTATGCTGGACACAATACCAGGATTTACCAAGCTCCTGTCCAGCCTTTGTGGGCTCCCCTGTGGCAACAGGGCTGGGAGGCAAAGGAGAGGCTGTGCAGGCATAGGCTGTGGGCAAGTATCCTATAGCTCTCGCTGTAATTTTAGAAATTTATTTTATTCAACTTGGAAAAATGAATACAAATCGCTGGAATTTTTTTCCTTTTAGGAATGGAGGGAGAAGGCAGCCAGGGAGGAGGAAGAGGAGAGAGCCGAGGCAAGGTGGGAGCAACACAGTGGCTGTCTCCAGGCCCCACCTGGGGGCTCAGGTCCGGAGAAACACCATGGTGAGGAGGCCTGCAGGCGCCAGAAAAGGAAAGTAAGGTCAGCCCAGCAGCCTACCCCCAGGGCGCCCACCCTGAGGCACCCCATTCCCACCCCCATCCGTGCCCTGGTTACCACTCAGAGGACACGCTTACCCAAGACGTAGGCTGCCACCAGTTTCTGTCCCAGGGACACGTGCAGGACTTGGGGCAGCTGACTGCCAAGCTGGTCCTGCAGCGGGAGCAGCAGGAAGGCCACCGACACTAGGCCGGTGAGCAGGAAGAGTAGGAAGGAGCTGGTGGCCAGCTGCTGCCGGGGCGCTGGGGGACAAGGCTCCTCAGTGGCTGGCCGCCCTGCCCCAGGTGTCCCAGAGAGGAGGCTGACCACAGGGGGCCTCCTTCCCCACTGCCCCCACCAGGAGCACAACACCAAGGCAATGCCACCCTCTCCTGGGTCCACACAGCCCTCACCCCAGGGCCCTGGCTCTTTGTTCTCTTTTTGCCCTCATGACCATCTGCTGGGCAGCATGGCAGGCAGGGGCCGCTCTCTGCCTCCCAAACCTAGTGCACCACTGAGTCATTGCTTAACACTGAACTGAGCTGGAACCGGACAGGAAGTATTGCAATTAACTGAAGATCTGCCCCTCCACACACGAGCTGCAGTCTCTTCTCCCACCCCTAGCCTAAAATCTCAACTCCTAGGGCAAAAGACCTTGCAAGGAGACGTCATCTAACCCCATTAAGCTCCATCTCCAGACTCAACCTACTCCTTCCCCCATCTTTTCACTCACCCTCTGGGAAGGGTCTGGCCAGGGTGGCTGCTGTCCAGGCAGGAGGTCCCTGTTGGGGCGGCGGGTCAGGTGGTCCCTGAAGCTCCAGGGGCCGCGCCGGGGGTCTGAGAACGGAGGTGATGTCCTTGCGCCCCACCACTCGGCCATCAGACCCCTCCTCCGACAGCTCAATGCGGAAGCGGTCCTGCACGTCGTAGTGGCTGGGGATGGGGGCCACATGGCGGATCACACTGTTCCCGAGGCAGGAGCCAGGAGTGAGATGGGGCATCAGTCACGTGCATCCAGGTGTCCCCCTAAATCCCCCACCCCCAGCGTTTCCTTCAGGGACACGAACAGGTGACAGGACAAGATCTCAGAGCTAAAGCAACAGGTTGCAGTGACCCCTGCTTTTGGTCCACCTCTCCTCCGCACCCCACCCCCCCATTCACTCACATGTCAATGCAGGACTGAGCCTTCACGTAGCCTTCCGCGTCAAACACCGTGTATTTGGCAGGTGCTGTGCACAGGACTGGGTGGGGAGTTGATAGAAACACTAGTCCTGTCCACGAGGGGACACCTGAGCCCCCTCCGCCACTTTGGACGGCAGGACTCCCGGGGCTGACCCTCTGACCCCACTCAAGGCACACACAGCCCCCGGCCCCCTAACCCGAGGCTCGCATCCCCTCACCTCGGAAGCGAAGCGCAGTTCCTGTGGGGTTATACAGGGTCAGCAGCTGTCGGGGCCCGCTCCGCTGGTCAGCCCTGAACACTAGATCCGGGGGGAAGACGAGGACCGGAACCACGGGTCCCGAGGGAGGAGGGGCACTGCGGGACCCCCGCCCAGGGGCCCCTGCACCCACCAGCTCCTGGTCCTGGGGCGCCCCACGGCGCATGCAGGCTCTGGGCGGTCGGACATCCGAGGGCAGAACTCAGGGAACAGGGCCTGGAGTCCAGGGCTGGGGGTACGAGGGGCGACAGCGGTCACGATGAGATGGTGGGACAGGACCAGGACGGATGCCGCCGCCGCCTCGCAACCCCACTCGGTAGGGACCCCTCCCCCCAAATCTGTCCCTTTCCAGCCAGGTCCTCCCTTTAGATCCCGCTGGCCACGCCCACCCACCCTTAAACCTGCCCCTCGCCGCTTCCAATCCGGGCTTTCTCCTCAGGCCGGGTTCGCGGGTCCACCAAGTCCCGCCCACGGGCAGAGGCCCCGCCCCTTCCGGACGTCCCGGTGCGCCCTCCCCCTCTCTCCGGCCAGGTTCCGCCCGCCGCTGCAGCCACCTTCGGAACTGCCTTACAAACGCTTCCTGCTCTCCGAAACACCTTCGGCCCCGTCCGCTGCCTGAGCTTCCTCCATCGAACGGCCGGCCGTTTGTATTGTGGACGCTCATCTTGTAGTCATAGCCCCTGCCAATCAGAGGGGAGCCCCTACGAAGGCTGCCATCTTCCCCCCAGCTCCCTAGCTGCACTTCCGCCGTACAGCGTTTCCTATTGGCCAAACGACCTGGGTGCCGCCCGACACTGGGCGCTGATTGGTGCGGTTGAAGAGCGTACGAAACGCCTGCCTCCTGGCGCCGGTGATTGGCTTAGTTCCTTGATGCGTTGGCGGGGCGGAGCACGTCGGCCAAGCCAGGATCAAAACTGTCCGCTAGGTGGCAGGATCCGTCTGCCTCCCTCCAGGGTCTGTGCTGGCAGCAAGTTGGAGCCAGGAATGGAGCCAAGGTACTCCAATGTGCGATGTGAGCAACTTTTTAATTTACAAAGTTTTTTTTTTTTATTGTTTGTTTTTATTACACAGAGAGAGATCTTCCCTCTGCTTGTTCACTCCCCAGAGGGCTGCAACACCCAAGGCTGGGCCAGACTGAAGCCAGGAGCCAGGATTTTCTTCCAGGTGTCCCACGTTGATGCAGGGGCCCAGGTACTTGGGCTAGCTGCTTTCCCTGCCATGCAGCAGGCATTATAAAGGGATGTTGGTACCACGGGTGTTAGGCTAAATACAGCGCTACCCCCGGATGTGAGCATACAAGCCAGCAGACAAAATGCCCACTCCTTGCCAGGGCAGATGCCAGAAGCTCCCCTTGGGGTCTCCCACCTGTGTGACAGGGACCCACAGTTGCTACCCCTCCCGGGATGTACATCAGCAGAAAGCTGGAGGCAAGACTTGGTGGGTGGGAAGTGTCACAGGCTGACAGCTTATCCAGGGAGTGCCACTTGGTGAGTGACTGAGACGCACACTGAGGGAAGAGAACGTGGAGGCCTGGAGCAGAAGGGCGCTGGTAAGCAAACAGAAGGCACCTGTCTGCTGCTTGCACACCTGAATGAAAATCTATCCGCAAGGTGGCCTTTACCCTGAGAAAGAGAGCTCTGACAAAAAAAAAAAATTTTTTTTCTAGTTAAGAACCATTTATTCAGATCAGAAACACCACACGCCTTAGGGCCAGGTGTCCTTGGAGCTGGCCCCCGGAGTTTCAGACCTGGGACTGGGTGGGTTAGGAGGGGCACTTCCTCTTGCTCAGGTTGGTGAGTATCTGGTCCTGAGTGGGGCGGTAAAGGACCACAAAGCTGTCTGGAGGAAGGACGGGTCCATTGTTCTCGTCTACCTGACCCATCAGCAGGTAGCTGGCTCCTGGGGGAGGGGAGAGGGGACAGGATTGAGAGCTCATTTCCACACCTGTGTCACTTGAGAGTGGCTCAGCCTGCCCACTGCCCAGCGTATGCCTGTTTGTTACCTCTCTTCAGGGGGCGGCATTGCTTGCAGGGCACGAAAAACTTGAGGGAGGTGTCCGTGGGCGGAGAGGGCAGGTCCAGGCCACCGGTTTTATAAACGTTCATGAGACTGACTGTGACGGTGAGACCTTCGCCTGGGCCCCGAACGATGGACTTGACTGTTCCCGTCACAACTAGAGGAGGAAGGAGGTGGGAGATGAAGAGCCCGGAGGCCGGGGTGGATCTGGGACCAGAAGAGGGGAGATGGTTGAGGGAGCTGTGGAGGCGTGGATGGGCATCTTACCCAGGCTGCTGGTACAGAAGTTGCCCTGCAAGGTGCCTGTCCGCTGGCACTGTTTGGGGCAGGGGGCACCTAGGAGGGAGGGGTAGCTGTTTGTGGTAGGCCAGCACCTTGCAGCTCTGAGTCCCTCAGGCAAGACCAGCCTTTGACAGGAAGGAGGTACTGCCCCCCAGCCCCTACTCCTTCCTGTACTCACCAGGGCCAGTGGCAGTGGCCTTGGCCTGGAGTGGGGTCTCAGGCTTCTCTGTAGGCTGGACACGGGGTTTAGGGGGCGGCTTGACTTTGGGTCCAGTTCCCGTCTTAGGGCCTGGGTGGTCGAGGGGGTTACCCAGTCGTGCATTCTCTCCTGGGCCCTGGGCTGGCCCTGCTGATGCCGCACCCCTAGGTTGGATCTTGTAGAAGGCTGAGAAGCCGTCGGCGGTGACGCTGAGATCTGAGACGAACTGGACCAGGAGCTCGTTCCCCTCAGAGAAGATGGGGCTGCATGACCCAGCGGGAGGCATCAGGTAACCACTTCCATGCCCCACGGCCTTGCGGGCTAGCTACCCAACTTTGTACAGTCCCCCACTTGGCTCTCCAGGCAGACCCCAGCCAGAGTGGCCAGGGGCTGAGGCTCTGCCCACTGTCTCAGGCTCCGCCCTCTAGGAGACCCGGATCCACTGCCCTGCCCCTCTTACCCCGGGGTCGTGTCGCCGCAGAACTTCCCCAGCCTCTTGGCATCATCACTCACGGCTCCGTTGAAGATGCTGACCGAGTCGTAGCGACAGTAGGTGTCCGGCTCCAGGTCAAACTTCCCAAAGGTCAGCGCGATGACCTGGTGGCGGACGAGGCAGAGGCATCCTGGCACCCTGCACCCTTTCAGCCGCCCGACCTGGCCTTCCAGGATACCAGATCTTTTCCTTTACCCCACTGCTCAGGGGGAGCACACCTCCACCAGGGGGCCCTGTGTCTGTGCTCCGCAGCGAGGTTCCGGCTCACACTCTAGACACAGGTGCCCGCCCGCCCACTCCTTGGCACCACATAGGTTGCACCAAGCATGTGTACAAGTCAAGGCTGCGTTGGCTGCAGGTGGATGCCCCCCTCTCCCAAGTCCCCAAGGGGGTGAGAACCAGCAGAGGGGCAAGTACCTGGTCAGGGGGTGCAATAATGTGCCAGGAGCAGCTGACACCCGGCGGGTAATCGGACTCGGGCCAGTTGGGCGTGGTCAAAGTTCCCTGCGCCTTCTCCATGCGCCCCCCGCAAACCTGGTGTTCTGGGGAGGGGAGAGAGGAGCCGGGGTGGGGGGCGCTGGAGAGCTTGTGGCAGCTCAGGGAGAGCGCGCTAGGCCCGGATCAGCAAGTTCGAGTGTGTGGGTCTCGGGATGAGGGGTGGTCCAGAGGAAGGGGGAGGAAAGAGGAGGAGGGCAGGTTAGCAGAGGCGGCTGGTGGAGCGGGTGCCCCTGTGGGCAAGTGGGAGGAGGAGGCATTGGCTGGGCGCACTCCCTTCCGTGCCCCTCCCCGACTGACCACACCGCGCCTCTTTCCCCGGGAGATCCCATCCCCCCGGCCTGGCAGAGGATCCCCTTGGCAGGCTGGAGATCCCTCAGGCCCTCAGGTGCCCTCCACTTAGGGCTCTGTCCCAGAGGTCCCTTTGGGGAGGTCTCCGCCTGAAACATCTCAAGGAAGACTTCTGCCACCAGGAGGGGGTGATGGGACCGCAATCGGGAGCCCAGAGTTGGGCAAGGGGGGGCTCCGGGTTGGGGGAACTTAGTCCCCCACCCAGCCCTGGGGGTGCCCCCTCACACCCATCGGAGGGAGCCCGATTGCGGACGGGCCGGACAAATTACTCACCGTCCCAGTAACCCCAGGCCGCCCATTCCACCCGCGGGTCGGTGACCCATTTCCGCCTCGCGCCTGGGGGGGGGCCTGGAAGAGGGGGTGGGTGGGAGCGGGAGGGGGGAAGAAAAGACCGGGAGGAGGGACTGAAGGGGCAGTTAGTAAGGAGAAAGGGTAAGGGAGGCAGGGGGGACCCTAGACTGGGGCGCAAGGTGGGGTGTGAGGGTGGGGCTGGTTAGGGCTGGGCGGGGCCTGTGCCGGGAAAGGGGCCGGGCAGGGGCGGGCCGAGGGGCAGGAGGGCTCACCAGTGCCCGAGGTGGCCCGCCCGCTGTACCAGAGCAGGAAGCCTCGTCCTCCCGTGCCCTCATCTGCTGTCATCCTCAGGGTCACCTGGTTGCCCGGGGCGATTACAGGGGCAGGTCGGAAGGTCCCACAGAAGCGCCCAAGTCGCTGGCCTGAGGTCCCAGCCCCGGCAAAGATCTCCAGGGCATCATAGCGGCAGGAGGGGTGTAGCTCCAGGTCAAAGACTCTGAAGGACAGGGACACAGTCTGGCCCTCGGGGACCTGAAACAAGGGGACAGGGCAGAGAGCCCACAAAGTCAGGCTACGCAAACCTCCCCGCCCCCGCCCCCACCCCCACCCAGGGGTCTCTCCATTAGCAGTTTGAGGGCCAGCAGAGGACCTGGGCTCTGCATCCCTGGGCCCAACTGGAGACTCCAGGTCTCTGCAGAGAGGAGAGTGAGCAGCTAGGAGAGAAGTAGGGAGTGGAGAGTCAGGATGGGAGCTATGAGTCAGGAGCCCTGGGGGAGAGGACCCCGAGGGTACCCAGCAGAGGCATCAGGCCTTTCCCTGGGAGAAGGGGCAGTGGTGACCAGAGGGGTCTCTCACCGTGATTGTCCAGATGCATTCTTTATTGGGGGGGTAGAGATTGGGGAAACCCTCGCTTGCCACGTAACCTGAGTCCCCTGTCACATCGCCTCCGCACAGGAATACAGGTCTGGGGAACAGGAGGGGGCTTGTCAGGGGGTGCGGGTAATAGCGGAGAGACTGGGATGGGTAAGGATGGGTGGGGGGCAGGGGTCTGGAAAGAGAAAAGGCCAAAGGGATCTCAGGGTGCCATAGCCCCCTGGAGGGGATGGGGTAGAGAAGGTGCCAGCAGAGGGTAAAGGAAAAGCTGGACCACTCCGTCTTCCCTCTGGTCCCCCAGATCCCCACCCCCACGCAGGCAGGAATTCCCGGAATCCTCAGCCCCTCTTCCCCACGCTCCATCTCCACCCCGCCTCCTCCTGCATGGCAGTCGGGGACAGGAGCTGCCTAACCTAACCACTTCCAGATGTGGACACAGCAGCCACGAGGCGGGGTGGGGGAGGGCAGGGGAGGGGCAGCGAGGAGGGGAGCTGCTGACATGAGTAAGGACCTTCACAGAGAACCTGGAAACCAGCTTCCCCTCCTCCCCCAGCCTCTCAAGGTCCTGGAGCTGTTCCAGTCCACCCCTGGAGTCCCTGCCTCCCAAGTCTCCCCTCTTTCTGTCCCACCCCTCCCCCCCATGTCTCTAGTTGCTGGAATCCAGATGTCCAGCTATCAAGTAAGTTCAGGATCTTGGCTCACTTAGACTCCGTTGTGGTGGTGGTTTGCGGGGAGGGTGAGCCAGCTAGAGTCTGGGTAGAAGAGGAAACTTAAGAGGGCCAGAGGACCGAGGCTGGAAGGAGGGGAGCAGCAAGTAGCAGGCAAGGGTGGTCTTCAACAGGGACAGAGATCTTGGCAGGTGGGCTGGGGTGGCAGAGGGGATGTGTCAACCAGACCATCCTAGGCTGTCCACAGGCATGACCCACAGGAAGCAGAGACCAGAAGTTCCCCTAAGCTGTCTGCAAGAGGCTCAGACCTACCTGGTGTAGTTGGGGGTCTGGCCCCAGGTGAGAGGAAGCAGGGCCCAGGCTGTGAGGAGGGGCCCCAGGAAGGAGATTGTGGCAGCAGGCAACATGTTGGGGGGAGGGGAATAGTGCTGGGGTCCTCAGACGGAGCAGGCAGCAGCTGAGCTTGGCGGAGGAGGAGGAGGAGGTGGCGGCGCGGCAGCCGAGGCAACAGCAGCAGCAGGATAATCAGTGCCAGATGAGGCAGCCCCAGGCCGGCGTGTGGGCGTGGGGACTGGCCAGCGGGGCGGGCGGCAGGAAGGCGGGACAGTGGCAAGTCCAGGGGCCTCCCTAGGTCTAGGACACAGAAATGTTGGCCTAAGTAGGGGGTGGGGCAATGGAGGCCAGAGGGTGCATCCTGCAGCCTGGATCTGGGATGGTTCTCCCCCTTCCGGGGTGGTGGAGGCAGGCCTGAGCCACTCGGGAGCACAGCCCCTGGACCCTCAGGAGGAGTCTACAGCCCACCTGGACCCTTCCACCTCCTGCTTCTTCTCAAGACTGCCACCCCTAAGCAGTCCCATCTTTGCTGGCCACCCCTGTCCTGGCCTCTTTGCTACTTGACGGTTCTAGCACTTCTCTCTCCAGGCCTTGGCTTGCGGGAGACCTGGCCAGGGAGGAAAGATTCAGCTCCATCCTTTTCTCTCCCAATATCTGGAAGAACAGCGGAGCAGGGAGGCAGGTGATGTGGCTGAGGGAGGAAGAGGAGGAGGAATGAGAAAGGAAGTGGGGAGCAGGGTGGAGGGACATCCTTTCGGGAGAAAGAGAAGAAGGGGCAGACACCCCCGAGAAGGAAGGGAGACAGCTGGCAGCTTTTCTGGGGTCAACAGGATGTGGTCTCCTGAAGATGGTCCAGTAGACAGAGGACCATGGCCATGAGTCAGATAGTACATTCCAGAAAGTGAGGTTAGGACTTTTGAGTCCTGGGGTCTGGGGCGTGGGGGGCGGAGTGCGCAAGCATGCTGTGGGTATCAGGTGCCAGTTCACAGCAGTTCACAGTTGGGGCCCATGCTGCCCTCCCTCACCATTGAGCCAGGCATCACCCCCCACCACTGCTGCCTGTGATCCGTCCTCCCGCCCAGGCCCTGAGCTCCAAACTGGGCCTTGCTTCAGTCTTTTATTGTATTTGTCCATTAAATCTCTTGTTCATGATAGCTGGGTTAGGGGCCCCCTCCTGGGCAGCCCCCTGAACATTTTATCAAAGGGTTCTTTGCCATGTGTGGCCATCCCCTCCCTGTGACCCGCCCCCCCCATCCACTCGAAGCATTCATTACCACCAACTCCACATCTCCCTAGCCTGTGTCCCCTACCCGCCCCAGTGTAGGGGTGAGGCTGGGAGGGAGGGGTGAGGCTGGGAGGGAGGAGTCAGCTCTCAGGGGTTGTGGAGGTCTGGGCTGTCTCCTCCAGGCTCCATTTGCAGCATGTCCAAGGCCTCCCAGAAGAAATCCTTCTGAGCAGCCATCAAGGGCATCCAGCCCACTATCTCCTTCATCTTCTCCATGCGGTCCTGCATTGTCGGGCAGCTGTGGATCTGGCTGAGGTACTCCCTACAGGCCCGAGCTGCCCCACTGGGGTCCTGCGATGTGCAGGCCTCCGCAGGCTCTGGGGTCACTGCTGTTCCTGTGGTCCTGCTGGCCGGCAGGTCCCGGTAAGCAGGATGATGCTCCAGGTCGTGGCTGGTCAGCATGTACAGGCACTCCCTGGTGGAGCAGATGGAGCAGGCACACAACGGGACCTGGGACGGGCAGACGGGAGGGCGTGGCTGAGAGGGGCCTTGGAGGCCAGAACTGATCCTGCTTCCCTGGGCTTCCCCCAGCCCAGCCCAGCCCAGCCCAGCGCAGTGGGGCAAGAAAGCTGTGGTGAGGTAAGGGAAGACCAGTGGGGTAGGCTAAAGTAAGGGAAGTCCTGACAGGAACCTGACCCCAGCTCTGACCTTGACATGGAGCCTGACGAAGGAAGCACTCCCTTTGGGCCAGCCCGGAAGGCGTCCTCCAGCCCCACAGCCGCAGCCCAACAGCTCCTTGCTGAAGTCGGGGCTCTGGCTCAGCACCAGCGAGTGGTTGAGGCCGCACCACATGGCGATGGGGCATTGCAGATAACGCACCTGTGGGCACAGGGCCAGCCAGGGTCCCTGAACTGGGGTGGGCGTTGGGGGATGCTGGGTCGGAGAAGGGGGACTGAAAGGCTCAGGACAGGAGGACATCTAGATGGTGTGGGTTGGAAGGTGGCGGTGCAAAAACGGGAGCCGGTAACCCTCCCTGCTCTTACGGACTGGCCCTGCAGCGCCCCCCCATGGTTGGCGTTGGTGAGCTCCTAGCACTGGTTCCTCATCTTTGCTCCCCTTGCCTGAGGCTGGGGCCTGCTGTCTGCTTCAGCCCAGAGCTGGTCCAGTGGGGCACCTCACCCAGCCTCCCAGCATTGGGGGGCACACAGTCTTCCTCTTGCCTGTGCAGTTTTAGTCTAACCCCCACCCCTGCCCTGTCCCTATCTCCCTGCCACCATCCCCTCCCTTTACCTCTCTAGAGTTCTCAGTCATTCTCTTCCAAAGTGGCCCTTCTAGTTTGACACAAAAGCATTTTTTCTGACTCCTGCCGCATTCTACCCCTATTCTGAGAGCAGTAGAGCCAGTGCCATGGCCCTGTCTGGGGTTGACCACATTTTTCCTGCTGCCTCAGGCAGGCTTCCCAGGAGCCTCCTCGTGGTCTGGCATCTCTCCCTGCTGTGCCACTAACATGCTCTCCCCAAGGACACCTGACTGCCCAGCCGTTTACATCCCAGGCCCCTCCTGTACACACTCACTCCTCTTGCAACAACCGTCGCCACTTTAATGCTGAAGTCACACAGAAGTCATCTATGGCTGTTCCAGAAAAGAAAAAAAAATCAAATATTGACATCCCCCCAAAAATTTTTTTCGAAATCCTGGGGAAATCTCACCACCTGCTACTAACATCTTGTTTGAGAGGCTTTTGCTGTTGCCTAAACAAACAAATACACAGGTTGTGCATTTGCAAACAAAAGCAGGGTTGGACTGTGCACACCGTTTCCAGCTCACCTCATGTGGCATGATCATCTTTCATGTCGGGAAACACACTCTGACCGTCAGGCAGTCACTATTGGCCATCCGCCTTCCCAGTACAGCCTGACCCCCTGCTTTCCTGTCTGCTGGGAGGTGTGCATGGGGAGCACCTGCCCCACTCATCTCAGAGACCTCCTCTCCTCACTACCCTGGCCCACAGATGTTTGCTCCTTTCTCTCCAACTGTTGTCCGTTCCACCTTCCTCCTCCTTGGAATCTAAGCAGCAGCCAGTTACTTCTAAGCACCAAGCCGGAGTTTCATTCTCACTGCCGAAAATTCAAACTCATGCCCTTCCACTATGCCAAATAAAGAAAAAAAAAAAACACATGATGCCAACTCTTAGGTGTGTTGGTGTCCCCTCTTTCTTCCATAGCCACCCCTGTCTCCTCTAAGCCATGCCCACCTCTGCAGCTTCACACTCACTGCTTTCTTGCACTCTGTTTGAATCAGGCCAAGCCTTCCACAGTCCCACATTGTGCAAGCTTCGTCCCAGTCCCCACTGCCCACTGCATGGATTGCCTTTCCTTATGCCTGTCTGGATTCCCCCTGACCCCGGAGGCACTGTTGCAGCTTATCTCTTGGTTACCCTAGCTCATCCAAATCCCTGACTGCCCACCCTCTCGCTGAATTCTGACTGCACCTCACAGTGCTAGTCCTGGATGAGACAGGACCACGGGCATTGCAGGCTGACTGCCTAACTGTACTGGGGAGTGGGAACAGGTTCTCAGGAAACTGCTGAGGTGGACAGGCCCAGAGATTGGGGCATTGGAGAGGAGGGGTGGGGTGGGGTGGGGTGGAGATGTAAGTAGCAGGGTGCAAGGGCAGCTACTGACAATCTCACCTGTGTGGGTTCCCCCCGGTCCATTTTGTCCCCTGTCCCCAACTGCCCATAGCGGTTATTTCCCTGCATAAAGATTCGGCCAAATTCATCCACGAGGCCGAGATGATTATAGCCAAGAGCACAGAATAGGACCTAAGAGGAAGACAAAAAGGTGGCGGAGAGGGACACTTGATTCGCTGCAGAGCAACCAGGAACCCCAGAAGCTCCCAGCTGCTGACCTGCCACCCCCGGCTGGTCTTTGTTATGTGTTATCTTGTCCTATCCCTTCCTATGCCCTTCTCCCACCTGCCCCCTCCAGCATTGCTCTCCGAAGCCCCATCCCCTCTGACACACTCCATCCCTCTAGGATCTTACCTTGGCAGGCAGTGAGAGAGCGAGCGGCATCTGCTGGTCCAGTGGGTCAAAGGCTTGAAGGGTCCCAAAGAGGTCACGATACACCCCTGGGGTATGCACCTCAAAATACACTCCACCCTGGTCTGAAGGGTTGGGCATGCCCTCAGCTCAGTGGCTTTTGGGCACCCATTTCCTAGGGCTAAGTCCCCATCTGGGAAGAAAGTGGCAAGATCTAGGGAGTCTTCCCACCCAATAGGAAAGCATCAGTTATGCTGCCCATGAACCTGATCTTAGCTTCTCACTATGATGTCCCGAGAGCTCCCCAGCCCCCAGTTCTGGGGTGAGGAGTGTCAGCAGGTGGAGGAGGGTCTGTCCAGGGCTGAGACAAGTGAGGGGCTTCTCTTACCCGTGATGTAGAGGGTACTGCTTTGGTTGGAGGCCATGCAGGTCACACGCAGGTGAGGCAGGCAACGGGACACTTTCCTCAGGGTCAGCTGAACAGTGTAGGAGCGGGGCTGGTCCAGCTGGGTTTCGTTCACAACCAGAGAGTAGATCTTGCCTTCCTCTGGGGCGGAAAGTGGGGTGGGAGTGGAAGCAGTCAGTTACATGGGGGAGGAGAATTACCATGAGCCATATAACCATTTGCAGAGACTGCCTAAGCCAGGGATGGAACGTTGCTGCTCTAGAGAAGGACTGGAGGAAGAAGAAAGGCGAAAGGAAATGAAGAAATGAAGTGAGAGTAACTTCCAGTCTCCCAGACCGCAATGCCTGGAATGCGCAGGAGAGCTTCAGCATGAGGGAACAGCCCATGGTCAGTGTGGGCAGAAACAGAAAGTCTGGGGATTTGGGGTCATGCTGGGTCATTCAAAAGTTCAGGGGATCTCAAATTTGAGGGTGTAGTCAAGTGTAGATGACACTGGGAAAGTGGTGAGGGGGCAAGTTTGGGGTACAAAGTGAGGTACTTTGCAAGGGATGTTGGTGGGATTAGAATGTTAAAATGCAGGCATGCATCACAGCAATGTTGTTTTTGTCTAGCTGGCAGCAGGGCCCTTTGTGTGCAGTGCAATGCAATGCAGAGTCCTAGCCTAGGAGACAGGATGGAAGATGGGAAGAGGCAGCCTGGGAAGTCTTTGTTTCTCCCCCATCCACCATACAGTAGGTCCTGAAGAAACTGCAGCAAACAACTAGGCAAATCACTCTTTTCAGGTCACACCTGTGAGGAGCAGCAGTGCCCGATGGGTCTCCTGCCCGACCAGGACAATCTGTTTGAAGCTCATGGAGTGGTGGAAGGTCATCTTGAAGACTCGCTGCCCGCTGGACTGCAGGTAGACCTCCACACAGTCACAGGCCCGGCCACTGGTTGTCCCAACCACTGCCGGCTGCTCCCGCGTGGCCAGGACATAGAGGTATTTCCGGTACATGGTGTCACATCTTGGGTCTGAGGCAAACTGTAAGGGAGGGTGTGAAGGTGTTGGGGATCCAGGGCCTCAGGAGGGGGTGAGGTTGGGGTTACAGGGCAGGGACATGAGAATTTGTTTACTTGTTCCTGGGGGGAAACTTGTAGGGAATGCTAAGCCCTGGAGGAGTGCGAGTGGGGATGGGATGGCTTTGGTTTTGTCACCAGCATTCTACTCACATCCTTGGCTCCACGACACAACACAACATAGCGGCAGGCTCGCTTCCACTGGATTTGGCCAAGGGTGGAGGAGACGAGGGCATTTTTGAGAAAGAAGAGGGTCCCCACGTAGTCAAGAATGAAGACGTGGTCCTTGGTGGGCAGGAAGCGGCGGTAGCCATGGGCCAGCAAAGGAGCCACACTCTTATTGAGACATCGGCGGCGGCCTCCAAAGGCCTGGAAATACAGGCCCTTTGTGTCTGGAGAAGGGAAGGAGATGGAAGGTTCAAGGGGCCCCAGGGAACACATTGGAGAAGAGGTAGAGTTTGGGCAAGCTGGGTTTCCCATACACTTCCTCCTCTCCAGGGCCTGGGAGCAGGCCCCCTCCCAAGGGAGATGTGGATGTTTGAGAGTCTAGCTTATGCCTCAACCTCAGCTCTCTGTGCCATCACAGCCCAGGGCAGATGCTTCTCAGTGGGCACGTCTTTGCAAGACCAACCTTGCATGAGTAACATCAAGGGGAAATGGATAAAAGCATGGAAAGAAGCAGATGGAGGATGGGAAGGGAATAGCTGAGAAGGGCTAATTACCCTCCCTCACCCTCTGCTCTGGATCTGCTTTCTGGACCCATCTCTCCTCATCTGTGCATGAAAATAAGACACTGGATAAGTGGCTCCCTTGGACGGCTAGGGGTGCAGCTTGGGTCCCCAACTGGAGGACTGTTTGCCCCAAGTAGGGATGATGTTCCTAGCATCCAGCAGGGAGAAGCTAAATATGATGTTAGACCACCCCTAGAAAGCACAGCACAGTGGAGGATGATTTGGTCCAAAATGCTGGTGGTGGTTGGTCCAAAATGCAGGCCGAGGGCTGCTGCTTTGGAGGAGGGAAAATCTCAGGATTGGGGTGGGAGTAGGATCCAGAGGGACACCTAGCAGTGATGCTACTGATGAGTCTGTGGGTAAATCTGTCAGAGACAGTGCAGTAGGGCATGGGGGCCAAGAGGGGTTTGTGTGACTCAGACAAGTCTCTCCTGGAGAGAAGGAAGGCTCGCTGGGATGTGGGGGTAGAGAGGAGCAGGGATGGCCCGGTACGGACAGATGGGGGCAAGGATGGGAGATGTACAGTTAAGAATGGCGGCTCTCTTCCATGGCCGGACCCCAGAACCCTGCTCTCGGAGACGGGGGCTCAGCTTGCGGCAGACACGTTTCCACACGCCCTCGGTGTCGCACACTTCGTGGAAGTAGTGGCAGGTCCGGCCGAGGGCCACTACGTCTCTGACTGGCAGGAAAGAGATGATATGCTCCACCTGGAGGCCGGGGGAAGACGCAGGGGTCACGGGCGGCCCCTTGGTGGCCTGGTCCCCTGGTCCTCCTCCCTCAGTACTCACCAGCTCTGGGGGGAACAACTGAACAGAAACAGTGGTCCTACGTCCCTTCTTCTCCTCACCCCCAGGCTCGGGGCCACAGGAAGGGCAGCTCCGCTTTACCTGCCCAGAGAGAAGGGAGCAACATGGGGTTTTAGAAGGTTCACCCATTTCTTTCTCTCTTCTACCCCTCTTTGTTCATCTGTTCCCAGCTCTCCACAGGTGCACATGACTTTTCATCCCCCCTCTCGCTGCCCTTCCCTGGCCTGGCCACCCTCTCACCCTGATCCCCTCCTCCCATCCACACAGCCCAATGAATGTGGGCAGTTGGCTTCTCCTCACCATCCTGACTGCCCCCTCCCTGTTCCTGCCCTCATCTCTCTGGGCCCATGGGCCCCCTGTTCGCAGCTCCCCTGGCCCCGTCCCTGCTGCTTTTCCCACACCATGTCCCCTGCCTGGGCTTGGGGGACTTTTAGGGCCCCTCTGCATCCAAGGCCCCTCCCTCATGGAGTCTGGGACAGACAAACCTCTCTGTGACCTCACCACCCAGCCACTGTGACCTGTACTCTTGCCCTGGCTCTGGACTTAAATTAGCTTCTGGGATCCTACTCAGATCTGGCCACAGGACAAGGGAAGCGTATGTTGCTATCATGGGCAGGTGAGGAACCTACAGGAGGACTTTCCCACTTGAGGCCCTTGCGACCCCAATGCTGCAGACAAACACGGCTCCATCCCTGATGTCCGAGCAGGCTGGGGCCTCTGGATGATGCGGGCCATGGCCCACCCAGCACCTGGGAGCATGCACTGGAGGCGAGCGGTAGCAATTCAGCACAATGTCTGTGCCATCTCAGGAAATAAGCATCCTAAAGCAGACTGCTTTCTTGGCGTGGCCACTGCATGTGTGAAGACAGCCTAGTAAGGAAGAATAAATGATTACTCGGCTTGGCATCTTAGGACATCTCCAAGTCTGCTTTCTTTTAAAAAATATAGATTTAATTTTAAATTTAAAAATATTTTTATATTAAAGATATATTTTTATTGGAAAGGCAGATCAGGAGAGAAGGAGAGACTGTTCTTCTGTCTGCTGGTTCACTCCCCAAATGGCTGCAAAAGCCTGAACTGAGCTGGTCTGAAGCCAGGAGCCAGGAGCTTCTTCCTTGGTTCACGGGGTTCAGGGAGGAAGTGGGGGAAAGTAAGGCTTAGGGCCATCCTCCACTTTTCTCAGGCCATAAGCAGAGAGCTGGGCAGGAAAGCGGAAAAGCCAAGTCAAGAGCTGATGCCCTAATGGGATGTCAGTGCTGCAAGGCTGAGAATTAGCCTATTGGAGCCATGGCACCAGCCCTGACTTGGCTTTCTTGGGTAGGTTGGGGGTGTGAGACATTTTTTAAGAGAAAGCACAGGAGCTGGTGTTGGGTCTGCGAGCTCCAGGCAGGAGATGGGCACCCACAAGTCTTGGGAGCCCCTGACTCGTCCAGGTGGCCCAGAGGAGTCCAGTTCTGTTGGCTCTCCTGTGCAGGGTTTCTGTCGTTGCCTGTGCTGGTAGACAGGATGTTCCCCACCCCATCCAACGTCCCCGTCTGAGGATACCCAAGGGGGAATGTTTGGTTAATCTGTGTTCAGCAGGGCAATGGTCGTGCTGTTAGGAGAAGGCGACTTCAGTCCAACATCAGTGACTTTTTGAGGAAGTGGACTGAGGCCGCTTACAAGGAGGTCAAGATCTCCAAGGAAATAGTGTTTTGTTTTGCTTCTAGATCCCCTCCCCTTGGTGCTTTTCAGCTCTAGGAGGCAAACCAGAAGTGGTCTCCACTGTGAACGGAATTGTTTGGAACGCACAAGTAACGCTGGGACTGTTCTCTAACACAGTTTCCCTATTCGCAAACTGAACCCACCGGGTCAGGCGGCTGGTGTTCATGCACAGCCATCCCATATGAGCTCCGGTTCCAGTCTGGGTTGCTCCCTGCATACGTGCCTCGGAAAGCAGCGAAGAATGAGTGACCCGAGTGCCTGGGCACCTGCTACCCACGGGAAGACCTGGATGGAGTTCCAGGATGCTATCCCCCAGGGTCTCAGCCTCCGCAGCCAGAAAAGGTCCCCGCGGTCCCTTTCGGCTGCGACAATGGCCGTCATACCGGCTTCAGGCAGCCCTTCCCGCCTTGCCTAACTCCCTTGCGCGACCATCACGTTCTTCACTTTAAAGTTCTAGTTCACCCGCCTCCTTCCTCAGAGAAGCGCACAGCTTTCTCGCCCATGCGATTGGTAGGCAGACCGGTCCCTCAGAGGAGAGGCTGGGCCTGATTTCCTGTGTAGAGGATCTAATTGGCCTGCTGGGCCAGTCACTCATCTGTATCTGACTTGCAATTGGTCCTCGTTGGACCCCGCCCCCCGACTGGCAGTCTCTCCGCTTCTTTTCCTTCTGGGGAGCTCTGTCGACCCCGCCTCCTGGCTGGATCTGATTGGCTCCATCCCTAGTCGTCTCCGTGTGGTGATTGGATACGGCTGCGCGGGGCGGGCCGAGCTTGGAGCGTCGGCCGTTAGCGAGCGCTCCGTTCTCGTGCCCCTCCCATTCTTCTCGGGGCTCCCGGTGCCGGAGGCTCCACCCCCTAGGCGGGCTCTGATTAGCCGCATCCGACTGGTTGGGGGACCACGATTGGTCCGCTAATCCTTGAGCCCGCCTCCTCCCCCGCTGGAGTCGGCTACGGCAGCCCAGAGGAGGAGGAGGAAGGGGGGCGGAGGGCGGACCGGGCCGGTGCCGTCAGTCAGGCAGCGAGAGCCGCCAGGAGCGGATGGCGGCGGCGGTAGCGGCCCCCCTCGCCGCCGGGGGTGAGGAGGCGGCGGCGGCGGCGGCCAACATTTCCGTGCCAGGCTCTGCTACTCTGCCCGGAAGCCGCAGCGCAGAGCGGGCCCTGGAGGAGGCGGTGGTCACCGGGACCTTGAACCTGTCCAACCGGCGCTTGAAGCACTTCCCCCGGGGTGCGGCTCGCAGCTACGACCTGTCAGACATCACCCAGGCTGGTGAGTGAGTCGCTTGGGGACCCCTGGGGCCCCTGGCGTCCGACTTGGGACCGTCATTTGCATATTCCGGCCCCGCCCCTCCGGGAGTCGGACCCGCCCCTTTCACCTGGCGGTCCGGGCTCTCTCTCCCTGCCTTGATTGGCATCAGCCTGCGACCACCCCAACCCACCCACACACCCACCCACAGACACGCACCTGCGCGTTCTAGGAGCCCCTGGGCCCTGAGTACTTTTGTGCTTGGCGGCGCCGAACGTCCCAGTTTCTCTCTCCGCTCGTTCTGCAGGTGCATGTCTGCGCACCTGTAGAAGGGCTCCGCCCCTCACCTGGTGGACTCATTTGCATGTCCTCCTTTCTGACTTTCCGATCGGTCCTTACGGCAGTCTCCTTCTCCCGCGAGTTCCTCTCACCTCTTCTTTTTCAACCTCCTTTTCTAACTCCTTCCCTCTGCTTTGAGTGCAGCTTGCGCCCCCGGGACCACTTGATGCTTCTGTTTACTTTGCCGTGGTCCCGCCCACCGAGGTCTCCCGGCCCTGTTCACGCTTCCTGCCCGCCTCCCGCCCCAGTCAGCTCGTGGGAAAGGGGCAAATCTGTCTCCCCTAGCCCTTCCACCTGAGCTCCTCCACCTGTTTCCCCTGAACCCTTACTTCTGCGTGTGAGAGGTCACTATGGAGCCCTAGCCTCCCCTTCAGTTTCTGCTTGCCCCAGGAGCTTGGGTGGCCCTGGGGAGTTACTGAAAGGGAAGGAGCCCTTTATCTCCTACTGTGAGCTCGGGGCCAGCTGGGAACTGCCCTTCCACCCTGGCCTTAGAATGCCTCTAATCTGGCTCCTTCCATGCTGGTGTCCTTCTGTGGCAGGGTGGGGGCTCTGCTGTGACAGGTGATCAAGACACAGCCTCTGACCCTGGGCTGGCAGCTGGGGGTAGGGACTAGGAGAAGGGTGGAGGGCCTGGCGCATTCCCCGCTGGGGTGTGCTGGGGTGTGAAGCCTACACCTCCTCCTCTCTCTGGGGTGTTGGCAGTCTTGGGGCTTCTTCAGCAGGTGCTGCAGGCTCTCCTGCAAGCCCTGGGCTGGCCCCAGGACCCGCACTCTCCCCTCTGCTGTCCCAAGAAGCACGGCTGTCCGTCTCTGCACTTTGCTTGCTTGTTGGGCAGTGACTTGGGGAAGGGGATGAGCCCCAGGAATAGTTCCTATCCCTTCACCCCGTTCCATCCCCCCTCCCCGAACCCCCCAGCTCCAGATTGACCTCAGCAGCTGTGTGACACTCGCGGGTCTGTTCGTGCGCCCCTCCCCCTTGCTTGTTTTTTGACAAAGACCAAATGTTATTCTTTACTTCCTCGGACTGTGGCGCAGTGACTGGGCTCTTGGGGAAAACTACCCAGCACTCCCAGCTCCTGCCCCGGCCCTGCCTGCTCTGCCCCCCAACATTCCGGCTCTGGGGGGCAGTTGTGCTCCAGTGTGCTGAGCTGTCCCACAGTCAGTGCTTTGGGACCCAGGTTCCAGGCCAGGTGGGATCCCTCTTTTGCCCACAACACTTTCCTCTGTTCCCCTCCCCAGACAAGGCGCTCATGGCCCTGGGGATGAAAAGGGGAAGTGACAAACCCAGGGCTACCCAGGCCCTGCCTAGCTCCTTGCCCATCAACCCAGAGAGGAGGCTTCAGGGCTCTGCTGTGCCAGTCACCCCCAAACACCCTCCTCATCCATCCTTGCGCATGCTTCCTGCCCTGCCAGTCCCTACCTCCCTTAAGACTCTGCTCCCTGAGGTGGGGGTGGGGGAGGGGCAGGGATGGGGTGGCTCCGGCAAAGGAGAAGTGTGGCTCCTTCTCTCACAGGCCACATCCTGTGCCCCCGTGCCCTGCCTCCTCTGGCCTGGGCTTCTTCCGTTCCTAGCTTTTGCCCCCTGCCACTCCTCACCCCATCGGAGCTCATGCACTCGCGTACACACAACACACAACACACACACACACAGATTTGTGGATAGAGAAAGCAGGCAGGTGGAGGTTGCGGGTGGAAAGACCAGATGCAGTCCTCCCACCCTCTCTGGAACGAACTTCCGCTCTGGGTCTTCTGTCTGCGCACTCCAGGGCTGTGGTGGAGATGGGGAAAACAGTTCCCAGGGCATCAGGCTGTAACCCCCCAAGGAAGCCACAGGGCCCAACCCCACAGTGATTTCTGCTGTGCTTCCTGTCACAAGATGTGCTTCCCTGGGGGATAGACCCTGGCTGCCCCCACCCCTCCACAACCCAGTTTGGGCTGGGAGGAAGCTCACCCAAGCTTTGCTGCTGGGACTTCCCCCAGTAGGCCTTGGGCCTGCCCAGCCCCCCACTAAGGGGAGGAAACATGCAAGCCTCCAGAGTGGGGGCCAGTCTGTGTGAGGGCCCCCTTCCCCCTCTGGGAGGGGCTGCCTCCAGGCCTGGAGACAGCAGGAAGTAGATGGGGCGGGGCAGTCAGGGCCTCCACCCTCCTCTCGCCCCTCCCCACTGCTGCCTGGCTGCAGGTGCACACAGAGGTGGGAGGTGGGCACTCCCCGAGGGCTGGCGCAGTGAGGAAGGAAGAGGGAACAGGCTGATGGGGCTGGCAGTGGGGATGAGGTGGCCAAGCCCAGATAGGGCAACCTAGAGGGGAGGGATCCAAGGGCTTAGGCGGCTTAGACCTGGCAGCCTGGAGCTCCCTTGTCCCTCGGATGTGGTGGGAGCCTGTCGTCTGTGTCAGGGCTCTGTGGCTGACATCTAGTGGCCCCTGTGTTTCCCCGTGGGCCGAGAGCTCCACTGGGCATGAAGACTGCCCAAGGGCAAGTCCTGCAGCAGGGGTTTCCCGCTCTGACATCTGCCAGTCCTGGGCTTTCTCTTTCTCCCTCTGTGTGCCCTCCACCCCCTGGCATTTCAGAATGTTCCAGCCTCTCTCGTAGCTCAGCAACCCTGGGCCTTCTGCCGTGCCTTCATCGTCCTGGCTGTTCCAGGCTGCAGCAGGCCTTGGGGTTTCCCACGGGAACGCAGGTTGCTAGGCCTAATCCCTTAGGGACGCTGGGGGGCCGGGTCTTTCTGTCCAGGGCTGGGCTTCTCTACAGCTGCCACCTGACCTATCTTCCACTGGCCTCCCCGCAGACCTGTCCCGGAACCGGTTTCCCGAGGTACCAGAGGCTGCGTGCCAGCTGGTGTCTCTGGAAGGCCTGAGCCTCTACCACAACTGCCTGAGATGCCTGAACCCATCCCTGGGGAATCTCACAGCCCTCACCTACCTCAACCTCAGGTACCAGGGAGTGTGGCCTTCTTGGCCCCCAGGATTAGGACATGCTGTCCAGAGGGATCCTCCCGGTGACCCAGAGAGGAGGGCAGTTCTTGGCGGCTACGCCTGGGGTATGAGCCCACAGCCTTTATCCTTGCTGCAGCCGAAACCAGCTGTCGTCGCTGCCGCCGTACATCTGCCAACTGCCCCTGCGTGTGCTCATTGTGAGCAACAACAAGCTGGGAGCGCTGCCTCCTGAGGTCGGTGCCCTGGGAAGCCTGCGGCAGCTGGTAAGGACAGGAACAGTGTGTGTACATGCGCAACGAGGGCCTGGGGAGCCAGGTGCTGGGGACCTTCTCGGGGGATGTTGGGGCAAGGCAGAGCTGGGGATGGGGGCCATTCCTGATGGCCTTCCCTGCTGCCTCCCCTGGTTGCAGGACGTGAGCAGCAATGAGTTGCAGTCCCTCCCTGTGGAACTGTGTAGCCTCCCTTCCCTGCGGGATCTCAACGTGCGGAGGAACCAGCTCACCAGTCTGCCTGATGGTAAGGCCCCCGGGAGAGGGCTCCATCATCTCGGAGCGGCAGATGCAGGATTCTTAATGCCAGCAGCAGTCTGCTGCTCATGCTTCTAGAAGCTCACGGTCCAGGGCTGGGGGGCCAGCATGGTCAGGTACTGGCAAGGGCCCCTTTCTGGACAGCTGTTGTCTCATGTCTGCCCATGTGTGCGTGGCTGAGCAGGGAAGGGACTCCCTGGAGTGTCTGTACTTCAGGCACTTGTCTGCACCTGAGGGCTCCAGTCACAGGACCTGAATTACTTCCCAGAACCCCGCCTCCTAGTGGATCACTTAGGGCTTACACTTTGTTTCTTATTGTTGAAAGGCAGACAGAAAAATAAACAGGCGTATCTCCCATCCACTGTTTTCTCCCCACTGCCTGCAAAACCCCAGACTGGGACAGACCAAACCCAGCTACTGCAAATGTCAGCTTGTGTCTCCCCTGGGTCAGGGCCCCGGGTGCCTGAGCCATCCGTTGCTGCTTCCCAGGGTCTGTAGTAGCAGGGCTCAGATTCAGGCGTGGGCGTCCCAGTGGCATCCTAACAGCTGCACACAAATGTCCACCTCAAGGTTATACTTGCAACATAGGTGTGGGGAGTCAAGTATTCAGTGCATCTCAGTGCATCCACTCTGAAGAATCTTTCCAGAAGGGTGGTGGCTTATTACCCAGGATTTGGCAGTATAAAAAAGATACTGTATCCTTCTCTCTAAATCTGCATTCCAGTAAAGTTGGCTAAATCTTTAAAAAAAAAAAAAAACGACGGCTCAGTTAGCTAATCCTCCACCTATAAGTGCTGGCATCCCATTTGGGTGCAGGTTCCTTCTAGTGCCCCACTTCCCATCCAGTTCCCTGTTTGTGGCCTGGGAAAGAGTAGAGGATAGTTCAAAGCCTTAGGACCCTGCAGCCTTGTGGAAAATTTAGAGGGGGCTCCTAACTCCTGACTTTGGATCAGCTCAGCTCTGGCTATTGCAGCCATTTGGGCAGTGAACTTGTGGGTAGATCTTGCTGTATCTCCTTCTCTCTGTAAAATTTGTCTTTCCAATAAATGTGGATGCTTTTTTTTTGAAAGACACTGCAAATGAGTTTATTTGGAGGCTGGCAAGTTTATTTGGAGGCTAAATCTGTTTTTGAACTATGAAAGCGGGCACAGACAGGGAAAGGGGCTAGTGTATTGGCTGTGTGTGGAGTCTCAAGTTTGGAAGGGGCCCCCAAGTTCCCCTAGCATCTCTGAGGAACCTCACAGAAGTGCTCTGATATCCAGCCTCCTGAGTCAGGTGATGTCCCTGCCGTTGCCTCAGAGGCTGGGAATCTAGGGGGCCACACGCTGGAGCCCCAGCAACCTCCATGGCAGCACCTCTTTGTGATCCAACACTTGATGGCCTCTGCTGACAACAGATGCAGCCGCTTCTGGCCTGCTCATGTTGCTGTGTGCACCTCAGTGGATTAGCAGGGGGACACCCAGGTGACATAACAGGGACCAACTCTGGGGTGTGATGGTTTAGTGAGGCGTGCTAGTAGAGGATACTAAAAGAACCCAGGTAGGGGGCTAAGAGCCCAGGTGGGGGGCTAAGAGCCAGGTGGGGGGCTAAGAGCCCAGGTAGGGAGCTAACCCCCCAGGGGCATAGGCGCAGCAGGAGCTGACCTCCAGCAGAATTCCAGGGCCCCTGCGGCAGAGTGTGGTGTGGAGGGCCCAGGGCCAGAGACAGCGCCCATGCAGCTAAGAAAGCAGGCAGGGCTTGGAGGAGTGCGGAAGTGGCCAGGCTGGGTTTTGAACAGGAGGGGAGTGTGTATGTGTCAGCATGGCAGAGCACGCAATGCCCTTTGAACTGAGCAGAAGCCTTGAGACCAAAGATCTGAAGACAGGCGTTCCATTCAAGAATGGAGAGTTTAGTAGAACTAAATGGTTTATGGGGTGCGAGAACGTCTCTGTGCTCCTCTGAAGTCAGTACGTGGACATCTAGCTGCTGAGATGTCTGTTCTAGCACTTAACCCTGTGGCTGGAGAGAGGGCATCGGGCACGGGGAAGGGAAGTAGGACCTGACGTGGCATCAGCGTGGTCTGCCGTCACACAGGGAGTCCAGGGTCATCAGTTTTCTCCCCTGAGCCTTGCCTCCTTTTGTGACTGCCCTCTTCCTTCCCAGTCAGCGGGTGCCTTAGCCCATTTTCCATTGCTGTAACAAAATACCTGAAGCTGAGTCATTTCTGAAGAAGCAGTTCTGGCTCGTGAGCCTCAGGGCTGGAAAGTCCACGGCACCAGCTCACCTCCTTGTGAGGGCTGCATGCTGTGTCGGGGCAAGGCAGAGGTCAACCCAGCAGGCGGTGAGCCAGCCGGCAAGCCCAAGAGCTGCTGCCACGGCCCCCACTTGTACTAATCTAGTGTGGATTAGGCCAGTTTTAGGGCAGAGCCTTCTGTGCCCATGCCCCTGTCCTTTTCCTGAGGTTGCACCTCCAAATGCCATTCTTGAGGATTTAAAGATTGAGCTTCCAACACTTGCACCAGGTCAGGGGAGTGAACCCTCTAGCTGTAGCAGTAAGGGCTGTCTGTGCCCAGAGAAGAGACCTGAGCAGAGTGTCCTGGGGACCCAGAGGATCCATGAATGCCATCAGCCTGAGGTGGCTGGAGAGGGTCACACGGGAGGGGATACGGGAGCTGAACCTTAAAAAGTGCCTGGATGTGAAGACTAGTTGTCCCAGCTGAACAAACAGGAAGTGGAAAGAAAGGCCCAGAAACTGAGGGACTGGAAGGGCAGGGAAGTGGGAGATGTGAGTAGAGCATGAAGCTGTGAGCACATGGTCTAGGGGGGTTGTGCTGTGAGGGGTGAGGGCTGAGCCTGGGGAAGGCTCCCCTGCTGGGCATGCAGAGCTCCGTCCTGTCCAGGCTGCAGGTGGCCAGCCTATTCAACCCCTCTGCCCTGGGCTCCTGCTGTGGGGGGCTCTAGAGTCACCTCTGGGCCGGTGTCTGCTTATCATTGCAGCCTGAAGAATGAGTTCTAGGACGGGAGGGCCTGGGGAAAAGGGTGTTGGTGGTGGGAGTTGGAGTCAGGATGCCCGGTGTGGGAAAGGTTTGGGTCAGAAGGGGCACATGTGGGCCGGAAGAGGAGCAGGGGTCACAGCCTGAGCAGAGGCTGCGCGGGACCTGGGGGTGACCAGAATGGCAGGCGCAGAACAGAGCATCATCGCAGGGCCCGTCCTTGGTCCTGCTCCTGACTTCCCTCACCTGTCCCCAGAGCTGGGGGACCTTCCTCTTGTCCGCCTAGACTTCTCCTGTAACCGTGTCTCCCGCATCCCGGTCTCCTTCTGCCGCCTCAGGCACCTGCAGGTCATTCTGCTGGACAGCAACCCCCTGCAAAGTCCCCCTGCCCAGGTGAGCGGGTGGGCCAGGTGGACCCCGGGCAGGGATGTGATCTGGCAGCATCTGGGGGGCAGGAGCTGGGGAAATGCCTTTGTCTCTTTATGCCAAAACTGTGCTTCTCCTGCATAGATCTGCCTGAAGGGCAAACTTCACATCTTCAAGTACCTCTCAACAGAGGCTGGGCGGCGGGTGGCTACGCTGGGGGACCTGGCCCCCTCCAGGCCCCCAAGTTTCAGTCCATGGTAAGTGCCAGGGGAAGGAAGGGAGCCCTTGGCTACTTCCTGCCTCTTCTAGGCTCCAGGGACCCCCTGGTTTTGTGGGGGGAGAGTGAGAGTTATGGCTTCAATTGCCCCACATGGACTGACCACATGTCCTTGGCCGGCCGCAGCCCTGCTGAGGATTTATTCTCGGGACGTCGGTACGATGGTGGGCTGGACTCAGGCTTCCACAGTGTTGACAGTGGCAGCAAGAGGTGGTCTGGAAATGAGGTAAGGATCCCTTGCCCCAGGAGGTGGTGGGACTTCTGAGCTGGGGTCCTGTCTCCTGCCCCCTCTGATCGCAGCAGCCCCACCTGGGCCTCCCTGGGTCTGGGCACCACAGGGAGGTCATCTCCCTCCTCCTGTCTGTTGTCTTTCTCCAGTCAACAGATGAATTCTCAGAGCTGTCATTCCGGATCTCAGAACTGGCTCGGGAGCCTCGGGGGCCCAGAGAACGCAGGGAGGATGGTTCTGGTGAGAGTGGAGTAGGAGTTGGGGGGCTGCACGAGGCTCTGAATTACACACCCACTGTCCCTGTCTGCTTACTGACAAGCCCCGGCCCCTCTAGCTGATGCGGACCAAGAGCAGACGGACTTCATTGACAGCCATGTCCCTGGGGAGGACGAAGAGCAGGCCTCTGCTGAGGTGAGGATCCAGCCCCTGCTTGTGGTGGGAGAAGGCAAGTGGGCGGGTGAATGCACCATGCCGGGGCCAGGCCTTCCCTCAGCCTCTGCTGTTCTCTCAGCAGGAGCAGCGGTCTCCTGAACTCAGCCCTGCAGCAGGGTTTGGGGAGAGGTCGCACAGCAGGTACCCCAAGCTCCATCTACCAGCCACCTCCAGTGCCTCCCTCCTCCATAGCTCCAGCCCACCTCTCTGTCCCCCATCCCGCATTGTTTCTAGGCGGGAGGAGCCGGCTGGGGAGGAGAGGAGGCGCCCAGACACCTTGCAGCTATGGCAGGAACGAGAGCGGAGGCAACAACAACAGCAGCAGAGTGGGCTGTGGGGGGCCTCTCGGAAGGACAGGTGTGAGCCTGGGGCCACGGGGCTGTGCTGGCATGGTGGTTTGCTGCTTGGGTCGTGGTTGTTTGGCATAGCTGACAGCCTCTCCTGCTTTTTCTAGTTTCCCCAAGTCAGGGGCCAGGGCTGCGGGGGGAGCTGCTGTTACCTCATCCATGCAGGCCACCTGCAAGTAGGTCTCCTTCCTGCTTCGTCTCCCCACATGCCCTTCCTGGGAGAGCCCCTCTAATGCCCCTGCTGTCTTTTCGCAGTGGCCCACCCAAGTCCACTGCCACCCAGCCCGGAGCTCCCAGGGGGCAGGGAGCCCCGGCCCCTGCCCCTCTTTCCCAGGAACCCCTTCCTGTAGCTGGACCAGGTAAAGGCTGCGGGTTGGGGGGAGTTGCTGTGTTGGTGAGGGGATGGTTAGGAAAAGTGTGAGCCTGAGGAGCATGCCCCTCATCTGTGTGCCCTGGTCTGGCTCCCAGTGACGGCACCTGTTCCCCGGCCACTTGGTTCCCTCCAGAGACCAAACAGCTTCCTCTTCCGTTCTTCCTCCCAGAGTGGCTCAGGTGGGTTCTGGCACTGCCCTGGCACCAGCCACAACTAACCCCAGGCCTGTAGGCTCTCTGGATTTGTTGCAGTGCCACACCCTTTGATGGCAGTCATGTCCTTCTCTTTCTCCTAGGCCCCTCCTCGCCAGACTCCATCTTGAGGTCTCGGCCAACCTCCCAGGGCCCAGATGAGAAGGCACTCATGGCCCAGCTGCGCCAGGTGGGCAGAGGTGGGGCCTGTGGGCTGCGCCCTTCTGGCTGGGGACCCAGGCCTCCCTTGACACCCTCTTTGCCCCCCCCCCCAGTTCCTCTCCTGAGGACAGACGAGGTCTTGTCGACCTTGACCTGCTCTCTGTCCCTCTGTTCCTAGGTCCTTGAGTCCCGGCTGCAGCGGCCCCTGCCTGAGGACCTGGCTGAAGCTCTGGCCAGTGGGGTCATCCTCTGTCAGCTGGCCAACCAGCTGCGGCCCCGCTCAGTGCCCTTTATCCATGTGCCCTCACCTGCTGTGGTCAGTGGGGGCCCTGCAATGGCAGAAGTGGGGGCTGGGGCTGGAGTGTCTGTGAGCTCTTTCCCTAATGGTTGCTTTTCTTACCACCCACCAGCCAAAACTCAGTGCTCTCAAGTCTCGGAAGAATGTGGAAAGTTTCTTAGAAGCCTGTCGGAAAATGGGGGTGCCCGAGGTAGGGAGGGCTGTCGTGTTACAGGTGGCAGGGTGCTGGCCTGCATGCAAGGTGGGATTCTGTCCACGAGGTGTCTGCTCCGAACAAAGCATGCCTGCACTCTTTGCCTGCTAACCTGCATGCCCCTGCCTGCAAGTCTACGTGCCTGTATGGCCCTGCCGGCAAGCCCGCATGTTGACGTGGTCCTGCCCGCGAGTCTGCCTGTTGACGTAGCTGTGCCTGATGCGGGGGGTGGGGGGTAGGGGTGGAGCGGCAAGGTTCGTCACTTGTGCTGCTGCTGACGGCTGTCCTTTGTCCTTGTCCACCTGCCCTCCCCCCCTCCCCCAGGCTGACCTGTGCTCGCCCTCAGATCTCCTCCAGGGCACCGCCCAGGGTCTGCGGACCACACTGGAGGCCGTGAAGCGAGTGGGGGGCAAGCCCCCCCCACCCCTCTGGCCCCCCTCTGGTCTGAGTGGCTTCGTCCTCTTCTACGTGGCCTTCATGCTGCTGCTCTATGTCGTCTACACTCGGCTCCTGGGTTCCTAGGAGACCCTGGCACCCCTCTACCCGTCCCCTTCCCCATTCTATTTATAAGATTCCTGCTCCCCCTCCCCCGTCCCCCACCAGTGGTGCCTTCAAGCCCCACCAAAGACACTAGCGAGCCCCTTCACAGACACTGACCTCAGAGGCCCCACTCTGGGGCCCCCAAGCCCTGGCCCCCCTCCTGCAGCTCTTCCCCCACTCAGTGCCTTCCTCCCTTTCCTGCTCCTGTCCCCATCCACCCCCCCCCGGCTGCTATGGGAGGGTAAATTATCTCTATTTTGTAGAGAGAACTCTATATTTGTAGGGGATGAGGGGGCCCCGGGGGTCCCTGTCTCTGTATAAACTGTACAGACCATGGCTGCCTCTGTCCGAATGTGTGTGTGTGTGTGTGTGTGCCTGCAAATGCAACCTGCTCCGTGTATCCACTGCCCACCCCAGCAGCTCCGTCCAGAAATGGCAGCCGTGCCTACCCCTGACCATGCCCTCCATGTCACCTCCCTGCTGTTCTCTGCTGGCAGCTTCCTTGGTGTCCTGTGTGTCCCCAAGGCATGGGTGCAGGCCACCAACCCAATACTTTGGCCTCCTACGCCTTGGCAGCAGGGGGGCTTTGGAGGGGGTGCTGAGGGGGAACTGAACCTGGGCCCTCCCCCCAGGAGTCCCTGTGCCAGCCCCACCACATCCTGGAAGAGGAGGGGGCCCCTGGCAGGGGCCTCCCCCACATCGCTGCTGTCATCCAAGCACTGCTGGAACGGCCTTAGGGGTGGAGGTAGGGGTGCGGGGCCACAGCCGCTCAAAACCCTTGACAGAGAAGCCGCGGTGGGCTCTGCCCCCTAGCCAGGATTTGGTTGAGGGCGGCCTTGGGCCTTGGGGTGGCCTCGAGCCTGGGCAGATGAGGGCCAGCCCGGCGCCGGAGCCCCACTGCCTCGGGGTGCGGCGAAGGTCTCGGGGTGGGTGACCAGCGATGGCTAGATACTGTATCAACCGCAATAAAAAAACCGGGAGCCCTCCGGGATGGCCTTCAGGTGTGAGTGTGTCTTTGCTGTACTGGGGAGGGGCGGCCCCTTTTTGGCGCGCTGAGACTGCGCAAGGCGGAGCTGGGCGCGCGGCACCTACCGCCAGGGGACGCCGTCGGGAGCGCGCGCCACGTGGCGGGGAGCCGCCCTGGGCGCTGGCAGCGGTGGGGAGGCTCCCTGAGGGCAGGGCCAGCTTGCTCAAAAGGCCAAGTATCCCCAGCGCTGCACCATTCGCCATTCGCTCGCGCTCGCGAACACAGCAACATGTTGCCGCGGAGGTCCCAGTCCTGGGGCGACGGCTCCGAAGAGGAGCCCGAGAAACCCGGTCCATCATCGGGCAGTGAGCAGAGCGAGACCAAGAGCTCTGGAGAGGAGGCACCGAAGGATCAAGGGGCGGCATCACAGGACAGGTGAGGCTAAGCTGGAGCCGCGCGCGTGCCGATGGCCCCACGCGTGGCCATCGAGGCGCTATCCGTGACATGGTTGGCAAGAGTTCCCAAAGAGTGGGCGCCGGTGAGTCTCTGCCGTGGCCCCAACGGGGATCTGGGCAATCTGGAACCTCTCGATATCTCCCCACAGCGTGCCGCCTCAGGCCCTCAACGCTCCCTGGACCCCGGGGCAGCAACTGGCGCCGGAGCAGGCCCAGCAAGCCCCAGGTAGGCGCCAAGCTCCCCGCCTTCCCAATCTCCCTGCCTCCAGGTCCAATTGCATCCCTTCAAGTGTCCACCGTTCCCCGTCTTCCCCGCCCCATCCCAGCTTTCCATCAGGTATCCTGGGAGGTGAGTCCTACCAGGATGGCTCTGCTACCACCTTGGGATCCCAGCTACGAGGTTAAAGCGGGAACTCGGGTGCTGTGGGTGAGTTGGGAACCATCACCTCTGGGCTGGGGTGCTCTGCGGGATGGGGAGGGTGTCTTAGGAGGCTGCGGCTGAGACTTTTGGTATCTCCGCTCACCCCCCCACCCCACTTTGTTCCCAGGCGGCCGGCTGCGGGTCTGGTGCATCTTACTCTGGGCGGACTTTGTGGCATCCGTCCTTCTGGCCGCTGTATGAGACCAGCTCCGGTGGGACCAGCTCTGGCGTGGCCAGCTCCGGCGTGGCCAGCTCCGGCGGGGCCAGCTCCGGCGGGGCCAGCTCTGGTGGGGCCAGCTCCGGCGGGGGCTCCCAGCCCCAGGCCCCTGGCGCTGGCCAGCAGCCTGCTGAGTCGGTGGCCCGGGATGCAGGTACTTCTGGTGGAAGGAGAGAGCTGTGCTGTGCACCCCCGGGGTTCAGTCTTGCAGGGTTTAGTGACATTCCCCCTCTCCCCACTACAGGGATCCCTGTGGTGTGCAGGGAAGAAATCTTCTTCTTAGATCCTCTGCTTCCCCAGGGGCAACGGGTGCCTCTGTTGCTGTCAGAGGTCCCTCAACAGGTGAAAGCAGTGCCCCGTGGAACGCCCGCTTCCCTGTCTGGCTGCTTGGGGCTGGGGTTGTGGGGGAGACACTTGTTCTCTTCTTTTTTCAGGCCGTGGGCTCCCTGAGGCTGCTGTTGCCTCCTGCGATCATGTCTCCCTTGGTCGTGCCCACTGTGACCCGGAGCACCTCCACCGCCTGGCTCACCGGGCCGGAGCTCATAGCTGTCACTGGGCTGCTGCAGATGAGTGAGGGGCCACCACGACCCAGCACCCCCCCTCAAACTTCTCCTCTGTCTGAGGACCCCCCAAGCTCAGCCGATGAGCCCCAGGACCCCGAGGGTGGCCAGGACTGCCCTCCGGGTCCTGACTCGGACCTTGCACGGTCCCCAGGCCCCCAGAGTCAGTAGCTCCTCTTGGTAAAAGGTAGGAGGGGGGGGGCCCAGCATAAAGTCAACCGCCTGCTTCCCTCACAAGCTTGATGAAGAATAAAAGTGTTGACTTGCAAACTTGGCTTCTGGTGGCTTTTGCTTTGTGTGGGGGAGTTGTGGGGTGGGATGGGGGAGGTGTAGGGGTGGGTGGGGGGTGTTTTCTTCGCGCTATCATGCAAGGTGCAGGAATCTACAAACTCCAAGACATTTCTCAGGAACTATGCAGAGTATTCTTTAATGAGTGGGTACGGAGGTGAGGTTAGGGTTCTAGAAGTTTCTCCCTTAAAAGAATTCAACTTCCTGGGGAACTTCCTCCTGAGAATTTCTTTGCAGGCAGGGTCCCTCCCTTCTCCCCACCTTTGCCCACCAGTTCATCTGTAGGTCACAGATGGTCACTGGTAACTTTGTTTTTTAGCCCATGTGCCTAGCTCCCGCATGCCCTTAGGGCAGGGCGGCCAGTGTGGCCTTCTGAAAGTTCTAGAACTCGATGCAGGCATAGCTGTGGGGGCTGGTCCCAGAAGCACGGCTGGGCGCAGCGAGAGGCGGCACCAGGTCCAGGTCCACGTAGTTGAGGCAGCGATTGCTGTGCTCTGATCTGGCACCGCCCACTTTTCCTGCAGACCCAATGCACACGTAGTCACCGGCCAGCTCTGCTGATGGTGGCCTGCGTGGTGCAGCCCCTGCCAGCCCCAAGCTGCCCCCGATGCCACGATGGGCATCTGGGACCCTGACTCTAAGCTCTCCAGTCCCGGACTTGGGGGGAGGGGTTTGGGAGAATGAAGAAACGGGCTCGGGAGGAAAGCAGCTCATTGGAACGTACTCGGGGCCACCAGGGTCCTGCCGGGGAGCTGCGCCGCGGTGTTTGCGGTCATTGTGGGCACTGCCTGGGGGCGCCATCACCACATAGCCGCCACCACTGCTGGCCTCGCCGCCCCGCATGGGCTCGTAGTCCCTGCCGGCCTGCATGGTTATGTAACCCCTGCCAAGGTCTAGCCCCTGGGGGTGGGAAGCTGGGGGTGGCGGCGGCCCCAGCCTGGCCAGACTTTTGAGTGCGGTCTTCTCTGCCCGCTCATCCAGGCTGCTTGACTGGGTGGTAGAGCCCGAGAGGATCTCCAAAGGACGGGAGCTGGGAGGTCTAGAGGCGCTGGTCGGGGATTCTCTGGGCAGTGGCTCGGCCCTGGCACCCGCAGCGCCACCCCCGAGTCGCTTCATGGCAGCCAGCACTGTCTCGTGGATGCTTTGGGCCACCACTGCGTCGGGCGCCTGCAGCCACAACTCCCCGGGTCCTGTAGGCGCCGAACGGCCGAGTTCCAGGAAGAAGAAAGAGTCTGCGTGGCCACAGCGGCGCACGCTGAGCAGGGACAGGCGCAGGGCGGGCGGTGGGGAGGCCCGGGCATCTCGGGAGCCTGTCTTCCGAGGCTTCCGCAGCAAACTCAGGGCTCCTGAACCCAGACATAGGCGGTAGCGACCGCTGCCCAGGCCTCGTGTCCGTCCCAGCCCCTTGGGTCTCAGTGTCACAGGCCACACGTCCTGGAACGGAGCAAGGAGCCAGGGGTCCTCTTGGGAGCTGGGACCTGGGGAGATCAGAGGCTGGTCACAGGGTGGTCATGTGGCAGGTGCAGCGACCCCTTCCCTAGCAATCTTGTAAGTCTGAACTTTCAGTGATCTAGAGGAGGGACCAGATCTAGGAGCCCTGGATCCCCTTGGTCCCCCACCTTAACCCGCTGCCCCGGGGGTTTTGGCCTCACCGGCTGCGGCGGCAGCGCGCACCTCGAGCAGGGCACTGTACCATGCCTGCTGTTCAGCCTCGCTGGCCGCCGCCACGCCCAGGCTGGTGTCGCGCGTGTAGAGCACGATCAGGTGGCGCTGGCGCGCGTCTGCCCGCTTGCTAATGGTGCACGCGCCTGCCAGGCTCACGCTGCGCCGCGGACGCGCGGGGCCCCCGGAGTCCGCGCGGAACTTCTGCTCGCTCTCGTAGCACTCTAGGCGCGGCGGGTCCGTGCGCAGCACGAAGAAGCGGCGGCGCCGGGACTTCTGCTTCCGCAAGTGGCCGCAGAGCCGCACGTCGGCCGGGCAGGCCCAGGGCAGTGGCGGGCCAGAGGGCAGCATGTCGACCGGCTGAGACTGCGGGGTGACCGTGGGGCCGCCGCCGACTCCGGGAGTCATCTCCCGGCGGAATAAAGTAGCGGGAGTCGGGCAAAGAGGGGTCTTTGCGCACGGCGTTTGCCCCGTGGCTGCTGGGTACTGGGACACTTGGGGCTCCTAAGGTCTTGGAGGCTCCACCCGCTGCCTCCCCTCCAGCCCTCCCTTGGCAGACCCCTTCTGCAGTCCCCACCCCCGCGGGGTTAACCCCCGAAAGTACAGACCGGGGTGGGGGTGGGGGTGAATAGGGACGTGTAGAAGAGGCGTCCTGCCCCCCACCCCCGCCCGGGCACCGGATCCTATGCAGGGCGGGGAGTGTGGGGGCATCTCTACCAATCAGCTGGCAGTTTGTGGGGGCGGTGGACAGGGCTGTGGTAGGGCAGGCGGGGACAGGCTGGGGCGGTGCAAAAAGCCAGTGTGATTTGGGATCGCGTTCTCCGTGATGGCACTGATGGTGGGGGGGCCTCAGTTAGAGGGTACCCCGCTGGGGGCTACATACTACTTCCCCTTTCAGTTGTAGTGGTCCATCCCTGTGTACCCGGGAATGGCTCTGGACTGGTCTTTGCAAGTACTCTCAGGAGCAAGGCCGCTGAGCACTTGAGCCGCAAGTCTGTTCTCCTTGGGGGTTGGGGGGTGGGGAGGTGGTAGGGAGCATCTTGTTGTAAACAAACTTAGGGGCTGGACCCTGTGCATAGCGTACATCTGCTGGAATCCTGGTCAGGCGGTCCCTGCGGCAGAGCCTGTGGGGTAGGGCCTGGCCATCTCAGAGGGGAGGAGGGGGTAGCCTTTCAAGCCTCCCGCAGTGCCCTCAGCCCCTCACATGCCTGGGAGATCTGAAGGCTCTGACCCCGACATACTTCTCATAGAGCGTTCCCCCACTCCCTCCCACCGCCGCCCAGGCATGTTGAATGGCCGGTCACTGGACATTTTTGTGCCTTGGTTTTGATCCCAGGACCACCCATTCACTTGGGCTGTGTGGGTGGTGGTGGGGAGGGAGGTAATGATGGCCCTGGTCCTGGCACACTCTGCCAGGCAAACCTGCAATTGGCATCTGGTGGGATTTTTGTTTTAGCCAACCTGGTAAGTTCACTCTGGTGGCAATGATTCCTCAGTTGGGGGAGGGGGAGCTGTTGAAGGCGCTGTTGGGAGACCTTGGGCGCCAGGGGAGAAGATAACAGGGTAGGAGAAGCAAGCACACCAGCCTCCCTTTCTGACTAATCCAAGGGCAGTGGTGGCCAACTACCTTTTTTCTACTTCCTAGGGAAGGGCTGGTTTATGAGCTGGAATATAGGAGCCATTGTGTGTCAGTGTGTGTCTGGAGCTTAGGTCCTCAGAAACACCTTTGCGGAGGTTGTTGAGAGTGGAAGGCACATAAGGGTGGGTGTGTGGTCAGCTGTCAGGCTCCAGGAGGCCCCTGGTCAGCCCACAGCTGCAAGCAAGTACAGGGAAGGAGTGCCTGCCACGGTGGTACAGTGGGGGGCAGTGACTGCTTAGGGAGAGGCAGGAATGGGATGGACCCTTGGTGGCCAGCAGAACGCCATTGTGTTCAAGGTCATGCTCCTTCCCCCCCACCCCCCCGCTCTCTGCCATGTTGCCCACAGCTTTGGTGCAGTGTCTGCACTGCCCCTCCCCTTACCTCTTGTGGCCACCTCAGGGAGGACAGAGGGCCCTGCTGTGACCCTGGCTTGGAAGCTTTATGGCCCCCAGCTTAGCGGGGACATATCCTCCATCTTTACCCATCAGGCCAGCCCACTAGGGGTCCTGGAACACCCTCCCCTGACATGCTGCCTGAGGACACAGCCAGGAGCAGCAGGGATTGAAATGCCCGGCACCTGGGTAGCAACAACGGCACGAAGGGCTGGTGGTCAGTGCCAGGTGATTTGGCCTGCTGCGGGGACCCGGGAAAGGCTGGAGCCAAACAGCTGGCCTCCGTCAGTTGCCCTACTAACTCTGCTGCCCTGGCCCTACCCAAACAAGAGCTATTTTAGGACAGGGAGTGGCAGAACCCGGGCGTCTCTCCCAGCTGGAGGGTATAGCTCCTCAGGGCAGTACAGTCCTTCCCTGCAGAAGAATCTGATTAGCAAAGGCAGTGACCCCCTCCGAGAGGGGCCCTAGGCTGTCCTGCTCATGGCTGGTCCTCTGTGGAGGGGACATCGGGGAGAGAGCAAGATAGCTTTACCTCACCTCTAGTCCCTGCCTGCAGCTCTACATCTGCCTGAGCAGGTCCCAAGTGTGCACACAAGCCTGGTGACTTGGCTCACCTCATAGGGCTAACTGCAGCTGACTGGCCAAGTCAGAGGACCACTGCTGGCAGAGCATGGCCACTGGCCAGGGCACATGTTAGAGGGTGAGGACTGGGCCTGAAGTCTGGCACGAGCTGGGCAAGTCACTCCAGCCTTGCAGTGTGTGTGTGTGTGTGTGTGTGTGTGTGGTAGGTTCAGGCCAGCAGGACTTAGACAAGGCCATGTGAGAGGGGAAGGGGAAGCAGCCTGGCCAGACAAACCAGGACATTCTCCATGCTTCTCTTCCCAGTGCAGGTCTGCTGCCCGGTAGGCACAGCAACTGCAGCCCTGCTCTTTACAACTCATGCCCAGGGGACTCTTGAGTTTCTCTGCCCTGGTGTCTGACGTGGACTCAGGGCAACCTCTCTGGCCAGGGAGCTTGGCTGGAGTCCACGTGGGACAGAGGAACTGGGCAGGGAGGGAGGATGGACTCCAAGGAAGCCATGGGAGATAGCCTGGGCATGCCGGAGACACAGGAAGAGTCAAGGAGCCTTCATACCCACCCAGGCTTTCAACCCTCAGCTCCATGGCCTTGAGAGAGAGGCTGGGGGAGGCTGCGGGTACAAGACATGGGCCAGATAGAGGACACGGACAGCTGGCCCCGGGGTAAGCAGAAGGAAGAGGAAGCAGATCATTAGGATGACAGAGACCGAGGGATGGGGGATGCCCTGGGGGCCCCACTAAGAGGGCAGATATACAGACAGGAAGATGAGCTGATTCCTGGAGAGGTGGTTAGGCCAAGCCTGGCTAGACACACAGCAGTAACTAGAGGGAGGGGGGCTTCCAGAAAACTCTGCCAAGTAAATAAGCAGAGATCCCAGTGTCTCTTTGCTGTTATTTGTGGAAGGCCCACAGAAACTTCAGAGTCAGCAGTCTGGGGGTAAGGGGGACCTCTCCAGGGAAGGGATGTGTTTACCCCACTCGGCCGTCTTGTCATCATACAAATAACCCAGACTTCATAGCTGTTGTCACAACAGCCCAGCTCCCCTGCCTTAGCTGTGGTGGCACCTTTGTCATTTCCCCACTTCCCCCCACCAGCCTGGTAGGACCTGCCCGAGCACCGTATCTAGGGAACCCCCACCCCTGCAGGAGCAGCCCTGCCCAGCAGCTCCTTGTCATTGCTGACCCTGGACCAGTCAGGACAGGAACTGGCCTGTCTTGTCTTTGGCCATCAGCCCAGGTCCAGACCAGTGGAGCCAAAGCAAAAGGTCAGTTGTGGTGACAAACCTGCGGCCCCTTTCCAGCTGGGCCTGAAGCAAGACCACGAGAGCCACTTTGTGTTTTTTTTTCAAATGCAGTTTTTTTCCAACGTCACCTGCCATGAGCTTTGGTGCCGAGAATCAGAGCAGCGGAGGCACGTCGACAAAGGGGAGAAAAAGAAAGACACAACACCCAGCCAAGGCTCTCTAGAACAGCTCAGGCTTGGGGGGCTGGTGGCTGGGGACACACATTACCCTCCCTGCCTCATCTCAAGCTCCAGTGTGGTGGAGGCTCTGTCCTATGTCCCCTATCTGGGAAAGGGAGAATGGCGGGGATCTGGGTGTGTGTACATGGGTGTGTGTATGGGGATGAATGGATATATTTTTCTATATATATATATATATATATATAATAGGCTATATTAGAAAAGACTCTCTATGTATAAATATAAAACACTGGTATCCAAACCTGATGCCAGTGGCTAACTAAAGTGCTTGTCAGGAGCGGAACTGTGTAAGTAGCAGGTGAAACCATTTATCCTGAGTGCCAGGATGGGGGCAGGGGTTGGGGGCAGCAGCACTGGGAAAGTAAAACAATGGAGAGGCAGAGAATAAGCAGGTGCCAGCTGCGCCAGGTGCCAGGGGGCTGCCTGGCCACCATCTCACGTCAGCACCACACCTCATCCTTATCCTGTTGTCCCCCACTGCACAGTGCTGGAAAGCTGGGCATGGGGGGCAAGCGTGGTGTGTCTGTCACTTCTGCCTATTAGGCCAGGCAGTGGGGAAAGGTTGACCTCATCCTTAATCATGAAGAGGCAGATCGTCCTTGCTCTTGTGGGCAGGGCTCTGCCTCACTCCTTTTGGAGTCTCTTGGACTTCCTGTCCAAGGTGAGGGCTGCCCTTCCCATCTGTAAATCCCAAATGAAGCACCAGCACCCCCACCATCCTGAGATCCCCACTCCTCAGAGCCACAGAGAGGCCCACAGGTAAGTGGTCCCCAGAGCTCTTAGGGAACAGGGAAGCCCAGAAAGTGGGAGGAGCTGTCCTTCTCTACTGCCCCCAGGACACAGTGCTACAAGAATGGGTTGGTGGTTGGAGGCTTGGAGGCAAATGGGCTTGATGCAGGTCCAGTCTGGAAAAAAACAAAAAACAAAAAACTAGCAACAAGGTTATGAGAAGAGCAACAAGGTGATGAGAAGAGCTGGGCGTGTGCATGGGAGAAATGCAGTTTAGGGTCCCATTTCCCAGCAAGCAGGCCCTATGGGCTAAGGGATGTGGGAGGATGAGGGTAGCGTGAGGTGGTGGTGGGGTCCAGCAACCGATCCCTTGTCCTGGCGGCTTGGAGCATGCACAACTCCACAAAGGAAGGGCAGGAATTCTACCTCTTCAGGAAGGTTCTGTCCCCCACAGCCCCACCCTCCTGCCCTTGGGAAAGATCACGGTGGTAGGACCCTGGGAACTCACCATGAAGGGATTGGTGGAGATCCCAGCCGGCTGGGACCCCAGCTTGGCAGATCCCAAGTCCCCAAAAGAAGAGCCTGCA